ATCTTCAGCTCCCTACGCGCAAATTGTCGGGTCTTCCACTTCGCAAGGCCAATGGGCCCACATCTCGTGTTCAAGATTGGATCCAGGCAGCCATGTAGCGCCTCAAAGACTACATCGAGAACAAGGTTGCCTGTCTTTACTGTTGCTCCTACAATATGCTTCACATGCATATTTGTGTCATCTCTGCATTGGGTCGAGAGATACTCCACTTTGGCTAACCACCCCGTCAGAAGCCTTGACTCTTGGCAGAGTGCCTAGCCAATACTTGGGTGCCGCTGCTTTGCCGTTGTGCGAATGGTAGATGGAAGCGTCCGGAAATGGTGCATAACCCAAGTCCCAGCGCTTTTCAGCGAGCTCAAAGACGTCGGGATCATTGTAGCTTGTGCGCTCCTCAGTGCAGGACCAATTTGCGTCAGGCACTTGAGCATCAAAGTCCGCCTGCGATTCGAATCGGTTCCAACCGCCCGGCCGAGGTGCGACGACACGCACTTCGAGTCCCTGGTCAGGCCTTCTCCGTACGGCGGGCTCGCGTCCCTCAGCAAAGGGAATCTCATTGTTGAAGACATGCTTCAGAGAAGCAGCAGCAAATTCTTTCAGCGCTTCCTTACCTTCTCTGACGTTGAGCCAATACTCGTCTCGATTTGCTGTCCGCCGCCTCTCTTCTTCCTGGTCCCAAGCGGTTGCTTCGTCAAAGCTCAGCGGCACGTCGCTCGGGAAATCGAGCGTAGCAAGTTGTCCAGTGGCTGTAGCAGAATTATTGACGGAAGAGACGAATTGCTCACCGGGAGTGCCTGTCATGTTAGCGAATCGTTGCGTTGGCGGTGGAGGTGGATCAAGGGCTCCCATCTCGCCCAGCTCGAGGAGCAGTAATCGTAGGCATGGGAAGAAGACTAGATTGCGCATGAGCAGGTGAATTGCAACTTGCAGCTTTGTTGCATTTGATGATCTGCCGTGGAGAAAAATTTGATACTCTTCGGTTGAGCCCGCATCTGCGTGTTCTCCACTTATCAGGCTCTCATCCATTGGACGTTGCTTTTCGATGAAATTGAGGGATTCTTCGAGCCGATCAAGCCCATCGTGATAGACGCGCGAGAGCCGCAAGACTTGTAATGGAGAGCAGCAAGTCTCCGAGTCGACGAGCATCTTGAGCAAGGGCTTCCTGGGCACGGTCTGAATGAGATGTAGGTGGGTGAGGTTCCGAAACAGACGCGGGTCAGGCTTGTGGATAAAAGGAAGCGCCGAATAGCTGCAAGCATGGCCTAGTTCAGTTTGGCTTTGCACTTTTACGACGGATCTTGACCCAGTTAACATACCTCAATGACTGAACAGTGAGGCATTTGAGTGAGCCACGTGTTTTGGGATTGACGAGTTGCTCGATGGCAGCACCGTTCGGTCTGCTGACGAGGCTCAACATCTCGAGGTTGACTGCATGTGTGAAAAGCGTTCGAAGACCTGGAGCCCACGCATAAGTGTCCGATAATGTATCGCCAGAGGCGAGATATCCATCATTGTGCGTGATGCAAACATGTTGAATGTACCTCGCAATATTTTGAGCTGCCTGCCTAATGCCGTTGCTTGATACGCCTAGGCCGTCTGCAAGTGCGCCGACATTGCTAGGAGTCTCGGTTGCCGCATCGGTCATCTTCATCGGGCTGAGAGCGAGCATCATCTCAGGATGAATGAGTGACCCCATGTTGAAGGGCGCTTGTTCAAAGTCCCTATTAGGAGAGGCGCTGCGAGCATCGTGGCCTTCCAGCGTGCGGGCCAGCAGGCGGACTTGGCGAGCATTTCCTAGCACCAGAGTCCGGTAAAGCAACTGGCGGGCGTACGGAAGGATATCTCGAGAGAGCAAGCAGCAATTGCAATAATCTCGGAGGTGATCTGTATGATGCATAGCTGCGCTCGGCAGCTCGAGTGTGGTCGCATCTGCCGCAGGATAGAGAGACGGTTCGGCAGATGGCTTGAGGAAGGAGAGTACGTGAGCGATCAGCTCTGGAGGCAATGCTGCCGGTACCATCTTGGACAAATGGTAAGGTTGCATGAATTCGGTGTTAAGGCAGCTAAACGGATCAAATGTCGACGCTCGGGGAGTCATGCGATCCTGAACGCACCGACTGGAAAGGTACCTTAGGCAGCAGAGCGGCCGCATTCGATGCCCGAGTCCATCGTGGCGCTGCCATAACAGAATTTGGCGTAGCGCTTGTCTCAAGGAGCGTTGCCCTTGTGCCCTCCTTTGTTCAGACTCGGAGAAGGATGTATATCAGGTAGTCACGTTGCTTGCCGTCACGGTCCTCATTGACTTAACTGATAACCGCGTTCAGCGAGACCGCGAGAGGCACTGGGGAAAGGTGGACTCTACGTATTTGTGAATGTGAATGGCGATTCACAACGGGTAGTTCCATTCACAATTCACAACTGGACTCTCACTAAATACTTGATTATACGGGCGGTCATGGCATCACCACAAGGTTATCACAGCCTGCACATGGCTAGACCTTGTGATGCTCAGCTCAACGGCGCTGTTCACATTCATATGCTCGTTCTCCTGCACGGTTGAGATAGGCTGACATCCACATCGGCTCCGGACGAGCGCATATCACGCAACAAAGACCGAAGTTTATTGGGAATCAGACCGTCGGACACATGCAAGAGATACAATGACGGACGACAAAGACGTTTACAGTTTCTACAAATGCGCAGATATCCATCTACCGCTACGAATCCGCATGTCAGCCGCTCGCCTTGCAAGCAGCACTGGGTACCGGGCTGATACTTCTTTTTTGTGTCTGCAGCTCGTCGCTGGTCGGGAAGCTATCCAAGCATTCCCGAACAGAATTGTTGGAACACCCAGAATATCGGTTTTGGGGGTCGCAAACAACGTAAGCGGCGCTGCTGAGCACAGTGTAGCCGTCTCGTCTGACATGCGAACCGCTTGCAGAGACTATCCCGACCTCTATGTGCGGTTCAGACTGTACTCTGACAATAAACCGCTGACGCCTTTCTACCGGACCGCGTATAAGCAGTTCCACAAGGGATGGAAGTCAGTCAATGAAATTCACCATGGTGAATTGAGAAAGAGCTGACATAGAAATTGACCCACAGCTGGAACGAGTGGATCACTTTCCCATGGAGCTTATCAGAGCTGCCATTAAATGCTCAAATCTCCTTCACAATTTATGACACGGCTGGTCCAAATAAGAGCAATGTCGTTGGAGGTACCACATTTCGCCTCTTCGGCAAGCGCGGGTAGGTGTTTTCGTACAAGCTATACCACCATACATTGCTCTAGCCATTACAATTTCCTTCTAATTTCAGTACGCTGCGCAAAGCTCAGCATCGTCTTTTTGTATGGAAAGGCCAGGAAGGAGACGGATCCGCCGAGAGCTCAACGCCTTCGAAGATCGGATCCGTGCAGGACGAGATGGGTCGGCTTGAAAAAGTGTGCACATATGCAACTCGTGAATGGCGCAATGCAACGCGACTGACCTTGCTGCCCACCTTACAGCTCATCAAAAAACACAAACGAGGTGATCTTCCCGCTGTCGAATGGATGGACAAGCTCGCTAACCGGAGAGCCGAGCAGATTTACCAAGCAGACCTTGAAGCAAGCCCGAACATTTTTCTCTACATTGAGATGCCGCAGTTTGAGCTGCCCCTCGTTTTTTGCGAACCGGATCCAAAGCCGATCACCCTACCGCCTCTTCATACATATGCAACAGGAACTTCAGCTGTAGCAACCCAAGCACGCCCCTCGGCCGTCCAAGGTGGAGCGGGAGCGAGGGTGGGCGGCTCGTCGGCTATCTCGGGTATCGATTCGTCTCTTTTCACGATTGCTGATGCCGAAATTGCAAGGGAGTCGCCAATTGAAGCAAAACATAGGCGGATGGCGAGGCAACACAGAAGTGGTCCACTTGACCGGGAACTGAAGCCAAATGCCTCTGTTCGCGACCAGCTCAATGTGAGTGTAGTCTCTTGTTTCACATTGGCTCCCTTCTCACGAACTCCAACTTCGTCAGGAAATTCTGGCCTATCCCCCGACACGGATATTGGCCGAAGACGAGATGAATCTAGTCTGGTCATTCCGATTTTATCTCACGAGAGATCCGAAAGGCCTCACTAAATTTCTCAAATCCGTTTCATGGTCAGATCCGGCAGAGGCCAAGCAGGCCACGGACGTCCTCGTGCCGATGTGGTCCGAACCTGCGGTTGACGATGCACTTGAGCTCCTGGGACCTACCTTTAAGGACGCCAGAGTACGAGCGTACGCCGTCAGCTTACTGGAAAGAGCAGATGATTCGGTGAGGGCATTTGAGGAGCATATCATGCTAGGCGCGCTAACATTTTGGGCATGCTATGCAGGAGCTCATCCTTTACTTGCTCCAGCTGGTTCAAGCGATCAAGTTTGATCATCTCGCTCTCATGTCCGCATCGCTACGCGAAGATCGCGTGCCAGGAGTGTTGCAACGCGAACAGCCTCGCGAGGGTGACAATGCCGAGCGACCTCAGCGTCCTCCACCCTCACTACGCGCATCCAGCACTGCAAGCATCTTCGGCGAGCACCGACTGGCAGACTTTCTCATTCGACGAGGCATCCGCAATGCCGAGCTGGGCAACAACTTTTACTGGTACTTACTCGTCGAATGCGATGACAAGGTGCAGGGCAAACTGTTCTCGCAAGTGAAATCAAAGTTCTTCGATCGACTGTCTGACACGCCTGGCGGGATCGCTCGCCGCGAGTCGCTGGAGCGGCAGACCCGGATGGTTACGACATTGTCGCGGTGGGCGGTCGAGTTGCGCTTTTCGAAAGATGCCCGACCGAGGAAGATCGAGAAGCTCCGCGCATTGATTTCCGATCCCAAGTCTGGGCTAGCTGAGTTTCAGCCGCCGTTGACGCTGCCTCTCGATGCGAAGGTGAGCATCGCCAGAACCGTGGCGGAAAAAAGCACAGTGTTCAAGAGCAGCCAGCTGCCCCTGCTACTGCACTTTGTTCCGAGTGGTTCTGAGGATAACGACGACGGCGAGAGCGGTGTCGCCGCATCCTCCAACGGGACAGCCTATCCGGTCATCTTTAAAAATGGGGACGATCTGCGACAAGATCAGCTGGTCATTCAACTTTTCACACTGATGGACCGACTCCTGAGAAACGAAAATCTGGATCTGCGCATTACACCGTACAAGGTGCTCGCCACTGCCCCAGAGGACGGGATGGTCCAATTTGTCCAGAGCCAGAGCATTGCAAGCATCGCAGCGCAGTACCAGGGCAGCGTCCTCAACTATCTCAGAGAGCACCATCCAGATCCAAATAGCGCGGATACTCTTGGTGTCAAGGCAGAGGTGCTTGATACCTTTGTCCGGAGTTGTGGTAAGAAGGCGTGTTTCCCAGAATCGAAATGTGAGGACGCTGACATCTGCGGATGTTCGCTTGGACAGCCGGATATTGTGTCATTACCTACCTGCTCGAGGTAGGTGATCGACATCTGGATAACTTACTTGTAGCCCCAGACGGGCACTTCTTCCATGGTACGTAAGAAGCCTTAAGTCATCATTTTCGCTCGCACACGCCTTAACACTAGAGGTGTTCGTAAATTTGCTCGATTGCAGTCGACTTTGGCTATATCCTCGGACGCGACCCTAAGCCGTACCCACCCCCGGTCAAGGTATGCCGCGAGATGGTCGAGTGCATGGGCGGTGCCAACTCGCCACACTACCACCGGTTCAAGTCCCTTTGCTTCACGGCATTCACGTCGCTGCGCAAGTCGGCCAACCTAATCCTAAATCTCATTGCGCTTATGGTCGACGCCAACGTCAGAGACATCCAGCGCGAGCCGGACCGTGCTGTGCAGCGGGTGCAGGAGAAGTTCTGCCTTGCCTTGAACGATGGAGAGGCTATCAAGCATCTAGACCGACTATTGAGCGAGAGCTCGTACATCACCACAGTCATGGATAAGATGCACGACTGGGCTCAAATGCTGAGGGCCTGAGGATCGTACCACAGGCACTTGCAGCCCACCTCCACGGTCCTCCTTTGTACTGGACGTGCTGTACTATCACGACGATACCTTTTTACCATTTTCTCTTCCACCTGGAGCTTCTTTGTGCACGCGCTGGCGCAATGGCTATGTAGCCGAGACTTGGTGCGACGGTGTCACCTTGCGTGCACCCATATCAAGCTACAGTCTGTGGTGGTGATCTCCATCACTACATCATCAATCCATCGTGCGTCATTCCTGATCGAACCACACGGAAAACTTGCGAAGCCGTCCAAGGACCTCACGAAACCATAGGAGGTATGAGAAGTATTGATGAACAGTCGGAATGCGAATGAGAGCTGGTGTTGTCGAGTCTTTCTTCCACAGCGGTTGCGGTTACTCTAGTCCTCGAGTACTGAAATTCTCCCGCCATCATCGTCTAGCCTGTACTGACATGCACCTTCAACCTTCTGAACTCTTATCCTGAGATGCCAGGCTCAACGTTAAAAGAAGTGAGAGAAGAGAGGCTGAGAGAGAGCGAACTTGAATGTGGTTATGTAAGCGAGCCTGCTTTCATCCCTTGATCCGCACCGTGCGTTGATACGTCACGTCTGGCCCGCAGAGGGTACAGAGTACTGCAGATGCTGAAGATCGATCACCATAGGCCTTGGGTTTGTACAGCATGCCTTTTCACAGCATGATCATGACAACTTGCCTACCTCGGAAGCTGTAGCTGATCCAAGCGCTCCGAAAGGGCCAGGTGCCGAGCACACTGAGAGTCGATCGTCCAAGATGGAGAGTGGACGAGTCGTCAGTACAGCGGCTTGGCTGCGGTTCTTGCTGCTCCCAAGCCGTCCGACGCGAGCGAATCAAGCGATCAGGTCTGGGGTGAAGACTTCTCCATCCTCTTCGAGGCGAGTCGCAGAAATTTTCCGACTGCTGAGGTAAGTCATTAGTCAAGGCCCTTAACCGCCTGCGGAGCGCAAATCTTCTATCATCGTCATGCACGGGCTCGATGATGGCGAAGCGTAACACTGCGCCACTGCTATTATCGGCAAGGCGGACATGCTCTTTGCAGAGCTGTCGCTAAACCCTCTGAGGACTTGAACTCTCTTATACCCGGATCAGCCTCGACCGTGAAAGCAGATTTCCTGGCTCTGTCACTCTGCCCTTGGATCCATCGCACATCGCGAGCCGCCGCGCTTAAATGTCCGCGCCACCGTGCTTTGGGAGACCCATTCATCATCTATTCACCATGCCCTTCCGCGGCCCAGGCTCTTCGGAGAAGTGCCGACTGATCTACGCGCGCTTCTACGTCCTCTTCACCTTCCCGCTTGCAGTGGTCCTCTTCCTGGTCGTGCGGCCGTTCTTGACGCGCCTCGACAAGCTTAAGCTCGTGCTCCTTCCGCTTATCGCGCTCGTGTGGACGGCTACATGAGACAGTGCGCTGATTCGCGCGGGTGCGTAGACGTACCCGAGAAACTGCGTTTGGGCTACCATTTTTGGTATGTTTTCGTCGAGGCGTACTTCTTCGTGAGTTGCCCAGGGATTCGGGAAGACGAACTGACAGTGCTGCCACTGGCCCCCACGTGTGCTGGTGAGTTGATCGCCAATGTAACATGTATTCTTCCCGATTCAAATCAGATCATAATCCAGCCTATCATCATCATGCTCGTCACAACTTGGACGACGCGTTGGTTGCTTGTCCCGTTATATCTCTTTGCCCCTCCGCCATGGGGAGCAAGAAAGGCTGCAGACTAGCCGCCACTCCCACCACATCGACCAGCCGCGCTGTCACACCGTCCACAATAGCGGTCATGATACTGCTGAGTATGAGTGCTTCCGGTGCAATCGTCCTGAGGCTTTCACAGACCGGGTGGGCGTACTACGTTAGCAGGATTGCCTGATGGGCGAACTTGCCGCTTGAATTGCTACTCTGAGGAAGTGCAGGCTATATCGGTCGAATCCTCTATAGTGGCAGCTCTGCGCTGCTGTTCGCCACCCTTGCTCTCCCTACTGGCTTCCTATGGGTGGTGGATATCTTTGCGAAGAGACGTGGGACGTGGGACGTGGTACATTACCGTAAGCTCCTACCTGACACTTTTCTTTTGCGTATCAAGGTCACACTGAACGGCCTCCCCTCCTTTCTTGTGCCTCCTGTACATTGCACAGAAGCGCACCTCGATTGGGGTGTTCGCGTTACCCGACCTGCTCATCGAAGAAGCGCTGTTTTTCGTTACGATCAAATGCATACTGCTAGCTGCCAGCCTCACCTTCTACCGCGCAGTCGGGATATGCAGATTCGCACCAGAACGCATGAAAACCTGCCACACAGATAGTGCAATCTTAGCGAGAGGGAAAACAAAGGAAAACGCTTCGAAGAACGTTAAGGTGGATAACACGGAGGCTCGGGCATCGCCACCGTTACCACCATATTCTACGACGTACCTTCCTTTCAATTGGCAGTCCATTCAGGCTTGTGGCTAGCCTTCATCTCAAGTGATGAGCATGAGATGAGTGCAGCGCTGCTGCAACCATAGGCAATGACGAAAGCAATGCAAAATGCAGCCGCGAATACACACAGCCGCGTTACCACGCTTCAAATATCAATAGCAGTGTTCTCGAAAGCATCACGTTCATTAACCACTGCTTCCTACTTGCTTCAGTGGGACCTACGCGCAGACTTGTGTGTGATCTATGCATTTTGCAGAGCAAGCGAAAATCTGAGCGACGAGAAGGTTTCTACGGTAGTCAGTAAAGATGCGGAGCAAGACGCAAGGGATGAGGCAGCAGAGGTCAGCAAAATGAAGAGGCGCAGACTGAAAGTGCTGAAAGAACTGCTCGACATCGCGTACGATTTGGCAGCCTTCCCATCTGCAAACTCCACAAGCACCTAGCACGCGCGGATCTACCAGCTGACAAGCCTCTGTGCGGCAGAACTTGCAATGCCAGGTTCCGACTCGCCGCAGGCACAAGGGTACATGGAGCTGAATGCCGTCGCGTCTACCCCGCTTGAGTTCGGTCATATCCTACCGCGCAGCGTGATCGGCGAAGATCTGCTGAGAGTGGTCAGCGCGGAAGTTAGGGATGAGGGCATTGCAGCAGGCGAGGAGAAGGGGGCCGCATTGCTTGCGTTGCTCCCCTACGCGCTGAAAGTGCTGGACCGCGCACAGAGATACTATGCGCCTTCATACCCTGCTATCAGGGGATACCCATTCCCGCCGCCCGCTCGAGACTACGCGTCGCATGCACAGTCTATGCGGATATTACGAGCGTTGTACGGCGTCAAATTTCAGAAGGCATCGCAAAGGGGATGCGTGCGAAAAGTAGCAATGCGCGTAGAGCTTGGATCGCTGTCAAGACGCTGTATCTACCATAGACATGTTTGATACAAGGGGCTTTCGAGCAAGGTCACGGTAAAAGAGACTGACGATGGTAGAGTGCGCCGTGTCAACGCTCCTAGGCTTGAGGATGTTACATTCAGTTACTTTACATCAGAGGGCGGAGGTTGACTTCGCTGCCTCGGCTGCGACGGCGCGCACAAGTCCTTCTTTGTCAAACGTTTTGGGCGTGAGATTGAAGATCCATACAACGAGCCAGCTAAACATACTTAATAAGATAAGGATGGCAATGTACTCTTTTGTGTATGATGTGTCGTAGCCGCGCAGGAAACGGTCGGCCTTTTTGGCGATCACTTCAGTACCCGCAACAACGACAGGCACGCCCGTCCCTGGCTGGGTTGAAGCGCCGACAAAGAAAAGGTTGCGATAGTATGAATGCCTGTGGAGATGCGAACTAGGTTGGTCAATCCTCCATTCTCGTCAACAATCTGTGCTCAAAACTCACTGAGTAGAGGGCCGGAAGTAGAGAACTTGCATAATTGAGTGGCTCAATCCTAGTATACTGCCTCTGAACAGATTAAACTTTTCTTTCCATGTGAAGGGGTCATTCACGATTTCGTGTTCGATGAGGCTCTCAAAGTCTGGGCGATTGAGGCGTTTGCTGATTGCCTCGATTATTTGCCGCCTAGCACGTTCCTTTAAGCGCTCAAGCTCCTCGTGTGTGTCAGCCACACCGGGCGTGTTGTCCGCGCGTAGCAGGCCGCATGGGACTAGCACGACAAGCGTGTCCTTCCCTGGTGGTGCGGCCGTCGGGTCTAGACGTGAGGGAACGTTGACGTAGAAAGAAGGCTGAGAAGGTAATTCGCCTTTGTCGAAGATTTCGTCGAAGGATTCTTGATATTGGTCGGCCAGGAAGATATTGTGGCCTGATAGCTCTAGGACAGTTTCCTTCAATGCCCAGTAGAAAGAGAAAGAAGAGCAAGTCTGTTCGAGCTTTCGGAGGCCCTGGCTGTACGAACTTTCCGGAAGCAAGCTGGCGACACATATGCCGATCAGCGCGTGCCATTTTCAGGTGTGGAAGAATGAGACTCACTTGTTATAAGCCCAAACCAAGTCAGCATTGCACACGACTAAGTCTGCTTTGACCTCCTCGCCCGAGTCAAGCTCAACACCGAGCACCCGTCCTGGACATTGCAAGTTCGGTAAGACTTTCTTGACGCCGGCGTTATATCGGAATTCGACCCCGAATTTCTTGTTGGCGATTTTCTCCAGCGACTCGACGACCTTGTGGAACCCGCCGATGGGATATAGCACGCCCTTTGAGTTTTCTGCATATTGGAGGAGCGAGTAAGTGGCTGGCGCACGGAACGGTGATATGCCCATGAACATCGAGCTGAATGTCATCGCTTGTCGAACATGAGAGCTGCGGAAGAAGTTACTGCAGGAGAACAAAGAATCATATTGAGGCTTGTTCACAAAATCTTCCCGTCCCGAATGATTCGATTCACCTCGCCCGACCGTAGAGGCTTCGATAGACACGCAGGGCTTTGGTCCTCCACAGCATCAGGAGAAGCTCAATCCGCAGCAGCGACAACGGGCTAACACTCCAGTCCTTAAGGAGGACATGCTCGATGCTCTCTTCGTAGTGCTCCCCTGCCTCCTTCAGGAACTTGATAAAGTTTCCAAGTGGGTCGTTGACACCTTCTGGCCTTTCCAAGCGCTCGAGCTGCGGTCCCATCTCGGCCAAGTTGGGCGTGAGCGTGAACTTTTCACCGTCTGCAAAGTGGATATTATATGTTGGGTTGCAGGTGTGAAGCGCATAGTGATTCTTGACATCTTCGCCCAGGTCTTTGAAAGCTCGTTCGAATAGCTCAGGCATGAGATACAGGGAAGGACCTTGGTCCCATCTGTGCCCATTTGCGTGAATGAGTGAGCATCGTCCGCCACTAAACTCGTTCTTTTCGAAGACGGTGACCTTGTAACCGAGTTTCCCGAGCCTCGCAGCCATTGCACACCCACCAATTCCTGCGCCAATGATCACAACTTGCTTGGGCCCAGAATTGCTGGAAGTCGCACTGCTTGCGAAAGCACTACCGCCGTTGGCCCGTCGCGCACCAGTTGCATTGCGATGTCCTACGCTATTGGCTGACATGGAGCCTAGTTCAAGCAGGTGTTCCCGATGCGCTTGTCATGACACCTGTGCAATAGAAAAAGGTCGAGTCTCTTTCTCAGAGCTCCAAGGATTGCAGTGGGGCTCTCACGCTATGAATGACACCAAGTTATGTAAAGTGAGGGGACTCGGTGCTATCAAACATGCCAGTAGCAGCGCGAATTCGTACACCATACGTCACACTTATCACTTTGATTATTAGGAAAGTGATCCGACACTCGCTGTCATGGGTCCTTTCACCACTGCTACCATTTCCATCCCCCTCAGCACCTTTTGCAGGGCAAGTCTATCGTCCGTATGGCCGTTCTCTCTTCCTGAGACGTTACCATTGAACATGACACCGACCTGTGCGTCCTGCGCACGCGTGGCCCTCCTCCCGTGGAGGCTCCGTGGTTCAACCGTCTCCCGAGCTTTCTTCTCCCAACGATGGCACTCCACAAAGCCCCATGTTAGTGCTCAGCCGCTCGCATCCTCCGCTTATACTTCAACCTTCTACTCCTCTCCAGGCTCGGCTGGGTCCAAGGGAGCCGCTTCTATGCCATCCACTAGTGAGCGCGACCGAGCAACCCGAGAGACACCAATGAACCTTTCACCAGCCGACCGCGATGCTCTTGAAGGCATGCTCAGAGTCGACCACGCCGGCGAAATTGCTGCAAACACTATCTATCAAGCGCAGGCGAACGTATTTGGTCTTCTAGGAGATACAAAGACTAAGAAGATGATGCTCGATATGTGGGATACGGAAAAAAAGCACCTTAAGGTTGCAGAGATGCTCCTCGCCCAACATCGGACGCGACCGTCAGCTTTGCTTCCGGTCTGGAGTCTTGCAGGAAAGATACTTGGTGCGGCAACAGCGCTTATAGGAAAGGAAGCAGCAATGGCGTGCACTGAAGCAGTCGAAACCGTAATCGGAGAACACTATGAGGAGTGAGTATTCAGCTCTGAGCTTTCGCGCTGACTGTGCTGACGATTCAGCTTGGTTGCCTCAGCCAACTCGTGCATCTGCGCAAAATCACCACCCAAACCCCGCCATCGCCGGTCATGGACCATTCACAGTCAGCGAGGGAATCAGATACGTCAGGGCCAGGGTGCCCAACATCCGGCCTCCATCCTTCTCTTCCGCTTCTCTCTGAGGTCATCACCGAGTTCCGAGATGACGAGCTCGAACACTTGGACACTGCCGTCGAGCACGACGCTCAACAGGCTCCCGCGCATGCGTTGCTAAGCGCGATTGTTGGCTATGGCTGCAAAGGTGCGATTCAGATCGCCAAACGCCTCTGAATTTGCTACATTTTTGTAATTACCAAGTACAATACATCCATTGCGCGGTGCAAGGTAGGGAATGGTAGGACGAGCGAGCATGCGATCTCGTGGATAGCTAGTGAATCAGGCCACCGGGCCCGCTGGCGTCGAGCTGATAGTGGCCGGCGCGACTCCAGTTGCAAGTTGGAAGTTTACCACCTCGGCCGCCGCTTTTCCAGGTTGCACAGGCAGCGGTGGAAGGCTGTCATCAGCCGTGTTAGCAGCTGCGGGTGCTGCCGCATCTGTTGAATTTATCGCAAGACACCCTGCATCAGCCGAAGCGGCGGCGCCGTTACTGGCGAGTGGAAGCGCAGCAGTCCCGTCTGCTGCGACGGTGTGCCCTGTTTTTGCTCGCTTACGATTGCTGTCGTCATCTGGAGCGGAGGAACTCGCCTTACTGTTCTTACCCTTTGGCCGCTTGAGACTCTTTGGCGGCGGCTTGTCATCACCGTCAAAGACGTATTTCGGAAGCTCAGTGCTAAATTATAAAGATGCGTTAGCTTGAATTGATTGCTGGCCCAAGACAGGAACGCGACCCACTTTTTGATATGCCGGACAATAATTCCCATGGCAGATTCCTCAAACTGGTCCCATTGCTTGACGACTGACATGAACTGCTGAGTTGGAAAGCTGATGTCCAGTTTGCGCGCCCCACTCGAGTTGTCTTGGTGGCCATGGTCGAGAAGGAAACGCTGTCAACACTCTAACAATTTTCGAGGTGGGGCATGATATATAAGCTCACAATCTTTTGGCGCCACGGCCAATCCAATGTAAAAGGTGGTGGTCCAGATGATTCGATGCCCTTTCTTGCTGTCCTCATCCTTCGGCTCTTCTGCCTTCTCTTTCGCCTCTTCTTCTTGCTTCGGTAGATCTTCGACCATTGTGCGAGCAGCGACAGCTTCGGGGATGGTGCCAGTCGCGACTTGCCGAATCTCCTCCTCTGTGTGCGTGATGCTAACCTGGTCGAAGCCCTTGACAAAAGGGTGAGACAACAGAAGCCCCTGTGTGAACTCAAGCTTGTTGACCAGCTGTCTTAATTTGCTTTCCACCAGACCTGACCACTTGAGCTGGAGGTCCGCTGAGCCAGAGGAGGCAATCACTTGCAAATAATACTTGTACTTGTAGAAAAAGTCGTGCTTATCGAACAGCTCGCTCCACTGCATTGTGCCAAGAGCGATTTCGTTGAAGATCTGCGCTCCGCGCTTGAACTCTTGGGTCATGATTGTCTGTGTTGATTGGCTGACGTTGTGCGTCGAGCACATCGACGGGTATGCTGGAGTAATGATGGGCATACGATGCAGCCTGTCACTTGGGTATAGCTGTGGAATTAATCAACATCAGTGCGAGCCCTCCCTCTTTTTTGGAAAAAGCGATGCATCGAGCTTACCTTCGGGTTCCACACCCGGACTTGTAGGGGCCCTTCTTCGATCTGTCTGAGCATAACGGGCTGTGGCCAGTTCCATTGCGCGAAAATGATGAAGAACCGTCCAACGATCGCACCAGCTGACGTGTTGGGATACAGTTGGCATATTCTAGCGACCAGCATTGCCCAGGCCACACCACCAAGGAAGCCCATCACGTTCGAGTAGATTGCTCGCCCTGGCGGGGTAGTGGTTATGTGAGTAGAGTTTGGTCAGCTTGTAGCGAGCTTAACAGAGAAACACGCGAAAGACTCACGCTGTGCCCACAACTTGACACATCGCAATGCGGTGTGGAAAGTATTCACATTCGGCACGAGTCGCAGGATGTCGTCGGTGACACGGGACCCTCCGAGACTGCGAACGTCTCGCTCGTCCAAATTCTTGAGCAGATTTGAGTCTTCAAGGATGAGAGAGTCGTCCACCCGCTGAAGAGCCAGACGCGCAAAGGTGAAGTCGATCGAGATGCCGGAGAATTTCAATCCGATGAGTGGGACATAAGCATCTGGTACCGGCGCCACATCTGTAGCCTCTGGTCTGGCCTTGAGCATTTCGGGAAGAAGACGAAAAAAGTCTTCGCGCTGAACGTGCTTTGGCACTACGCATAATGTGTCGATATCCGAGCCCGGGCCGTGCACGCCGAGTCGATAGGATCCAAAGGTGAAGATCTTACCGCCTGCTGTCCTTGCGAGCGACTCGGACATGCCCTTTTCGAGGGAGACGCGGTAAACAAAGTCTTTGACAAGAGCATCTAGCTTGCCTAAGACCACTTCCCTGACCTTGCTCTCTGCTGGGCTCTCGAACATGTTTCGCTTCTTCAGCTCTTCCACAAGGCTTTCGGTGATCTGAATCTCCCTTTCTGTTGGGCCGGTGAGAGAAATCGGCGGAGTGATTCCCAGCTGCTTTCCGGGGGTCCCACTGCTTCCATCGGCAGCAATTCCATTTGCATTGGCCGCCATGGTGTCTGAAAAGCCGGACTGCAATAGATGTCAAGTGGTAGCACGTCCTGATTCCTGAGGGAGTCCACTTGCAAGCAGCAATGGAGTCGGTGGAAAGGAGGCTGTGACAAAGCGTATCGTGCGATGCACAACTGCGGATACAGCAGACGTTGCGACTGCGAGACTCGGTCCAAGGCGAAACTGTAAGCTCGATTCAAGTGAGGAACTGATTGCGACGGCACCGCGGCGCATCAACTGCCGCGCGAGGCGGCCACCCCAACAAAAGAAAGACAGCTGTGCGCGAATGGCCTCTTGGAGGTGTCCTCAGCGGCTTGAGCTTACAGCATTCAGCGAACCACCTGGCAAGTTCCTTGCGGCCAACTCAGACTGGAAGAAATCAAGCGGTGTGGTGAGCATGAAGAACGAAAGCTAGTCGTGAACCATGAAGATCAAACATGGGTCTGCGTGCCCCAACTCTCTACAGACGCGCATGGAGACCGAGAAGTAATTCTCGGCCGGCAGGCAGTAGCTTTAGAGAGACTGCTGCGCCGCCATCCGCCGCTTTGAACCCGCTCACATCTCATCAACAGATCGCGTTAAAGTTACCGACAGACCCTCAGACCCTTAGATCAGAGGCTTGCAATTGAAAGCTGCGTAAATCGAAGAAGACCTCTATGGTACAGCATGTGTGGAAAACTGCATGGAAGAGGGCACAGATGAGGCATTGCAGCTTGTTATAAATCCACCGTGCAATGCTGAGGCAGAAGGATGGCCAAAGGGTCAAACTAGCCAAGATTTCGCTTGTTTGCTCGCCTTCCATCGCGCCAGGGCGATGAGCCCAGCACCTATGAAGCCGAGACCTCCGCCGTACGCGGTCATGGGCCACCAGCGATAGGGGAGCTGCTGCCCGTCACCGAGGATGGCGCCAGCGATGGGCGTGCCGACGACCGCAGGGAACGCAACGATGAACATGATCGTTCCTAATCGCGCGCCTATGCTGTGCGTTGGGCCGAACTGAGCAGCACTGGATATCCATAGGCCGATGAACGAGCCACCGCAAATGCCAAAGAATATGCAGTAGACGACCAGACTGGTGTGCGTCGTGCAGGCCGACATGATGAGTACCATAAGAGCGGTGAGGGCGACGAAAGGAACTAGGACATTCAGCCGACCGTACCGATCGGCTAAAAGGCCAGGTCCTATGCGCCCAATTGTTGATGACTGCAGATTGATTGGAGCGTCAGTAAGCATGGTCTTGCTGGTCGCGCAGGAGCCGCAACGCCACCTACAGCATTGAGAATAGACACATAGTAGGACCCAAGAGGCAACCCTTTGTCGCAAGCATAGATCGAAAGATACTGGTATGGGATGTAGAACCCAAAAACAGCGAGACACACGCCTGCAACGAGCAATACGAAGGCAGGGTTGTAGAAGCTTTGGACGTCTAACAGGCTGAGCAGCACATTTTGCCCCTTTTCTATGCCTTTTGGCGGGAGGCGCGTCTTGATCAGTAGGAAGGCAACGGCGAACAGGAGCATGAGAAGGAACCCGACGAAGCGCATGGTCCATGGGAAGCCTATGTCCCGAATGAGATGTGAGAGTGCAATTGGCCATATGACACCACCCGCGGAGCTGCTGGAGACGACGATGGAGATGACAAATGCCCGCTTCTTGAAGAACCATTGCGTCGGGATCACGCTGGTCTGTAGGAGAAGAAAGCGAAACACCAGGTAATCAGCATTATGCTCGCAGAGAGAGCATACTTTGCAAGCCGATTATGTACGGTGTTAAACAGGATGCCCATCGGCAGCCCGGCGCCAACGCTGAGTGCAAGGAAGAGTTGGTAGTACTCGGTGCATAGCGAAACACACATTTGGCAGAGCACCATGAGAACCATGGACGTGAGCATCATGTGGCGGCAATACCCAGCGTCAAACAGACGCCCTGTGAATAACCCGCTGGCGTACAGCAGGAAGACTTGGAAGGACGTGATCCATGCGACCTGCGAATTGGACTTGTCACGCAGCAGCTCTGTAGTGAAGTACTCCTGAAGGACCGCGCTCTGACCGACGTAGAGTCCAAAAGTACCTGAAAAAGTATTGCATTAGTCATTGGAACGCGAAGGTGTGTGATCTTGGAGGGTATGACGCACTAAAATAGATGAGACCACAGCCAGCGACCACCGACCATGCCCTGATGGAATTGGAAGAAGCAATGGTGAGCCAGGCCGATCTGGAACTGCTTTACGATCAACGGGTATATCGCACCTCCAGCCTCCGTCTGGAAAGCTGGGCTCTTGAGACTCGACTGGGCTGCTTTTCTCGCTGTCTTGATCAGCTATAGTCGCAGGTCTGTCGTTCACGTGATCAGTAATATCATTTTTGCCCCCCGCATTTTGCGGCTTGGCAAGGCCGAGGTTCACTTGGCGCTCTGCCACCATGTCGATGACACCGACAGCGGTGACACCTGCGCTGAAGACAGGCAGAACGTCGGAGGGTCGTACGCGGGCGTCCGTTGTGTCTCGGCTCTGCTCCTCCGCTGCGTGGCGCATCTTTTTTTTCGGGGTTGGAAAAGCAGTGGAGCGGTTCGTTACCGATTGCTAGCTACACAAAATGCAATGAATGTACCGAAGATGATGGTGAAACCGAAGCCCTAGGATCCTCCGCCTCGCCGTGGGCGTTGAACAATCGAGTGTCGAGGTCACGTCCAGATGAGAGCATGGATCTTGAGTCTCGACAAGACTCTACAACAAATGGCGTGTGTCCACCTGCGCTTGGCTTGCTCGTGATCATGGCTCGAGCAATCCATCGACGTTCATGGCCGGTGATGGAGGTATGGAGAGGGAGAGTGTGGAATTAAAAAATGGGACTGCTCTTGTACACATACTGGTGACTGACTGGTAGTGCGTTGCCGATGGTGTTCTTGCTTGATAGTATGTTCCATTTGTGCTTGTATGGGAGTTGAGGTGGGGGTTTTATCCGGAGACGGCCCTGGACCTATGTCGCCGGCTATTCACCGCAATAGGATTCTAGTACATTTTTCCGGGCTCCTTAACCCCGCTTTTCATAATTTTTATATGCTTAATTAGTTCTTTTTTCGAGCCGAAAATAAGGTTCTCGTCTTGGACTGGGTGTCCTTCGGTATGCATCTGGGACATACACATGCTAACATCTGATACACTGATTGATCTGCAATTTCCGGCGCCTTGTGTTCACATGCTTGCGGATTCCAGGGAGCAAATGCCCTCCAAAGCAGTCGTGCTGAACTCAAGCGCAATGCGCACTCGGTGAGCCAGCACCTGCTCGTTCGTGACAGCGAATATTGGTCAACGGTGAACGCATGAATAATGAACATGTGAACGGCAAATATGGGAACAAGGGCGGTCCGCATTATCGGCAAGCATGGCATGCTACTCTCAGATACTTGGGTTTGAGCCTGACGAAGCTCGCAATTTCAAAGAGCAGGCGACGTCTTGAAGCCTCGCCCTATGCTTAACAGGATCATCATCTTGAGGCTCACAAGAAGGCCCAGCGACCTATGCCTCCGCTGACAAGCCTCATCAGAGAAATCATTACAAAATCTGCGCATAAGATGCATACCCCCTAGAGCCTGGGATGATGCAAGGTGAAATCCTGAAGGCCATGCGCCTGTATTTGCGGGGAAGATGCTGAGTGAAATCGCACTTCTCCCATGGGGTTTCTTCTTCAGCCTCTGGCGCTTGATCTGTTTGTTGTCTGTTATTCACGTCCGTAGCTTCTTACGTCGGGTGGAGCTTCCGCCCAAAGGCTTGCAATACATTTGAGTGTTCCATGTACAAGTCCGCTGGCAATGGTGGTCCGAAAATCTATATGGCTAGGGCTTCTACGGATGACCGAAGGAGTGGATCTTTGCGGACCCAAGGCGGGGAACAAGGAAGATGCAAAGCCGAGAGCGATGTCACCAGAAGAGGCCGCCGTTGCCGACAGATCCACCGAGGAGCAATGAGCGGGGTATATCTGGAAGGAGGGTGGGACAAAGTAGGAAGACGGAGCCGACGGCGCTGGGAAGATACTTTCATCAAGAATATCGTTAACTATCGCAAAGATCTCGAGCCGATCCTGAAGCACCTGCCGAGCCTCCGAGAGCTCCCCCGGCAAGACTGCTGAGCTCGATGTCATCGCGGATGCGTCGAGGGATGTAGAAACCGTAGAATCTATAAATGGGTCGTGTCGGGAAGCAATGCGAGTTTTTCTGCAGCTGTGTAAGTCATCAATGGCATCTTCTCCAACTGTGAGAGAGTATACAGAGTCACTCAAAATGCTCTTTTGCTTCCCAGTACCGTCTCAGAGCCTCTTGTGGATGATCTAGGGTAGAACAAAACCCACTGCGCGGACTCTTTCATGGGGGTTGATATAGAACCATCGGATCGGATGGCAGAAATTTCTGAGGGGTACATAGGTTTTGATATCACAGATTCACTGGTCGAACTTCTGCAAGGCTTCAACAGCTCGCGCAAGGCTCCGGATCCAAAGAAATGCTTACAATACAAATAACCTGATGAAGGCCCTGAGCAAGAGCTGTACTTCCTAGAACGCCTAATGGAGATGATGTACCGGAAACTCGTGGCGATCAGGGGGCTCGTTCCATACTTCCAGACTTCGAGGACCCAGAAGGTGTTGATGTTAACCGAACTGCCCCCGGTGTTTGCCCAGACACCGGTTCAGAACCCGCCTGTGAACGATCCGTCGTTCGACTTGGCGATGAACCAGTACTGGCGAGCTATTCAAGACTTGCAGCCCACATTAACCGCACTCAGGGATCAAAGCCAAGCGAATTCACCATCGCAAGAAGCGTTTGAGGTGATGCTGATAAACAAACGGCAGCGGTGATCTTTAGAGAAAGACACCCTTTGATTCTTGCAAACGTAAATTGACCTTTGGGAGACGAACAGAGCTGGAAAGGCTTACCGTCTGCCGGACTGGTCAATTTTCCCCTCTCAGAAAGTTGGACTCTTGCTCCAATGACAAGGGATGACCGTACTGACAATCAAAACGTATGAAAGTCTATTGCGACATCACTTGCGATCGGCAACAAGCACCGTAGCCAAGCACAGTAGATGAAACATCGCTATCCAGCAGAGGGCGAGCTTGTATCACTGGGCCCACTTGCGTCACAACCGGCCAGTATGTACAAACTTTTCATCGGCTTTTAAATAGAGGTCGCCGGAATGGGTTGACCCAATCGCCATGAGCAGCTAAAACCAGTCAAATAAAGGCTTTAGCCGTTTTTTCGCAATGGTCTGGCACGCCAAGCTCATCCGAGGGGAACGGCGATCATTTTCAATTGGGGAACATATGCATCGTAGCGAGGCAGCAGGGCCATGTGTGCTAGAGAAAAATATAGTCATCAATATTCTGACAAAGCAGCCAACCCCAGCCCATCCGGGGAAACGCGCAGCTTGCTGCAAAAACGCCGATTCGATGTGCCAGATACGGAGCCTCCAATGTCGACGATAAAGTCGTGGGGAGCTGCGAGTGGACGGACGCAGAAGTGGGGACTCCAGCTTTGGGATTGGAGAGCGATGCTGCATCGACAAAAGGGAATACAATACACACACGAGAAAATCCAAAGTTTTATGACGGAAGCGCGCTGGAACGTGCGAAATGTATGTGCAGAAAGGCCTGGACCTGATCCATCAATCTGTCTGCATGAACGATTCCAGATTTGTGAGGGAGGTGGCGAACCAGGAGTCGAAGCCTGAAGAAGGAGTGCCCATGGAGAAAGGTGTGCTGGCGCTCGCAGGCGCTCCGCCAGCAGGCTGGTTGAGGCCGTATGCGCTACCATAACCTTCAAAACCGGTGACACCAGCTGCTTTGGAAGGTGTCATGGGCCCTTCGCTCTGCAATGCCGGCATCGGCGTGGGAAGCAAGCTGCCATTCAGCATGGGTGCGCGGCCGGGTAGTTGAGCAAAGTAGCTTTCCGGCGTCGCATCAGGTGCAGTGATAGCATTCGGATCTGGTTGCTGAGGCTGAGAGGATGGCGCAGGTGCGGATATCATTTGCTGTCCCGCCGATTGACTATTCGGGGTTTGCGCCTGCGCCTGGGTTTGGACTTGCGTCTGCGTCTGCGATTGTGGCGGTGCTGGCTGCTGCTGTGATTGTGGTGACGGCTGCTGCATTGAAGGGATCGATTGGGTGGCGGTCCCACCTTGGCCCAAGATCCAATCCCAGAACGAGTCCAGACCAGTGGTGGGCTCTATTGCATCACGCCCTACAAATTGCTGCTGTGCATGTTGCTGTTGCTGAAGGTCTTGTCTCTTCAGGTTCAATTGGTCCGAAGACCCTTGTCTTGACAGAGATAACCGCTCGACGGAGCTCGCATTCGAAGTAAGATCGGTCGAGGAGCCAGACGCGCGCACCGACGGTCGACTGGATGCGTTTGAGTTTTCTGGACTCCATGCCACGCTACTGTTGGAAGACAAGATACTCTGCATGTCATCGGAGCCGCTCGGCGGCGACTCGTACTGCGCCAAGAAGGTTGACAAGTCGAACGGCTGTCCATCCGGTGGTGCGTTGCGCATGTTGGTGATAACGCCATTGGGTGCGACGGCTTGTTGCTCGAGCGTGTACTGCTGGCCAGTATTGACTAAGTAGGGGAAGTTGGCCGCTGAGGATTGGTCGTTCTCCGCCGTGAATTGGGGATGCATGAGCTGCTCCACTGCAGATCGGAAAGGGGAGTGTCAGAGGCTCGATGGTGTCTATCCTTTGTCTCTGGCACACTCACTCAGCTCCTTAGCGAAAGCATCTTTTGCAGGTGCCGTTGCCGATGCCGATGCCGTTTCGGCGTCATTACTACGTGTCTCCTGTGTCGATGCAGCGGCTGCATCTCCATCCTCTGGCAGAGGGTTGTCCTCAATGGCGCGCTTGATGCGAAGCGCCAAGCTGAGCACAGCCTTGCGTCCTGCACCCTGAGCCTGGTCGCCACGCTTCCTTTTGCCTGCGCTGATCTCATTGGCGAAGTTGTTGCCACCCTCACCGCGACGCTTCCACTGCATCTCCTCTTCGGCGAGCAGAGCCTCGAGAATGCGGATGCAGCGCGAGACGTTTGGGTTGGTGGACTGCACCAGACGCAACGAGTCGAGCGCCTCGCCGATCTCGGAGCGGATGATCTCGCGCATCGCTGGCGGAGACGGCGTGCTGAACAGGTCCAAGCACAGGACAACAGCGGCGTTGAAGCTCTGCATCAGGATGAACCACAGCCGATCGACGACCGTGCAGCGCGAGCGTACCTTCTTCTGCATGTCGAGGATCGAGCGTGCGAGCAGCACACACGAAGTGCGGCTCTTCGTCCTCGAGCTGAGACCGCCACGATGTAAGCGCAACAACTTGGAGAAAACGCCCTGCTGCAGAAGCCACCGCTGGACTTCAATGTCCGTGCCGGCACCAACGTCGCTGCCAACTTGGAAGAAGGAAGGCACGTTCTCGAGGATCGCACGGAAGCGCGCATCCAGACGTGACGTGTCCTGGCACGTCAGATGGCGAGACGTGCCGTCACGTGCGCCCTCCATATCGCGCTGGTTGAGCAGGTCGACATTCTCGCGGGCTGCATCAGCGATCATGAGTTTGCTTAGCACGAACGACATTTCGGTATGCTCCGAAGGCGGCTTGGGCGGCGGCAATGGCGACTGGCAAAGATCTTCATCGTTGCTGCATAACAAAAAGAGAGTCATGTCCTTCAGTGCACGGGCTCTGAGCGCGATGACTCTCTTGTGACTCACTAGTTCCCTGGATAGGGCGTGTTGAACTGCCCGGGGTGGATGCTATACGCATTGGAAACCTTCAAGCACGACACCCAGTCGCGCCAGACGAGCGACCACCAGATGCGCTTGTACATCTCCCTCAAGATCGTTGTGCCGGGTGCCTCTCCCGGCTGCGGCTGGCGGATGGCGTCGCCGAGGCGATGGAGGCCCATCTCCTGCGCGGTGGAGATGGCCATGCGCAACAGGCTCATCTGCGTGCGATCTGACTCGGCGCCGTGCAGGTCGGACAGGAGGATCGCCTGTAGCACCGCGACGGACTGGCTGCACTGGTAGCGCGCGAGGATGAGGATCGTCTTGTGCGCCGAGTACCACAGGTGAATCGTCTTGCCGTCGAAGAGGTGCTGGATGTTGATGTAGTGCTCGGGTGGATAGCACGGGTAGAATTGCATGCCGAGGACGAGGATCATAAGGAAGACGGAGAGCCAGGCCGGGTCGACAAAGTTGAGTACGCGCGCCTGCTTCTCAACCGAGTCAAACGAGTAGAATGCCTCCATCTCGCGGCGCAGCGTGGGAATATGCACGACGTGGCCGGTGAGGTAATAGACGCGGCTGGCGTACACATCGACAAGCTGGGACGCAATCTCCTTGTTCGGGAGTGTGCGGATGACAGCGCGCAGCACAGCCTCGCGCTCAGCGCTGCCAGGGCAGAGGGAGCCTTTGATCGTCTTGTACTCTCCTGCTGCCTCGGCGGCACCCCATGCAAAGCCCATGCCCCAACCAAGCAGCGTCTCGGGACCTTGTTTCAGTCTGAAGAGGCCGTGGTTCTCGCAAGCGAGGCGGCAGGGCATGGTCTTTGCTCCGCAGCTCTCCGCGCCGCCGTCTCTGGCGTCGGCTTTGTCCCTGCTGTCCGATTTGATGCCAGTGGTGCTGTCGGCGCTGAGCTCATGCATGTCCGCGTCTCCGCCCTTCGCCTCCCTCCCATCGCAGGCAGCCTGTACGCTGCCGCTGCTCAGCGTGACATCGCCCATCTTTGTGTCCTTGCGGCCACTTATCGGCCAGCCAGTGAGTGCCTGGCCGGGTGGGTGCGGGACGAAGGCCTCATCGGTCTCGCGCGACGTGCCGCCCTCGGCGACGGGGAGCATGATGTCGACACGCTTGTCGCACTCGACAAACTTGCCAAACTTCCCCATGCGCCGCGGATCGAGGATGTCCGTGTGCTGGATCTCGAGCTTGCCTGCTTTCGAGTCTGCAGCGCATCTCTCGACCTTGCGCTGCCACGCGGCGCGCCCACCCGGCGTGGTCACGTCCGGCATCTTGTCATCGTCGTCGGTGCCAGCGCAGGTGCCAGCGGCCGGTGCTGCGGCAGCCGAGCGCAGGGCAGACTCGGCCGCGATGCTCTGGTTGCTGGAGTTACGTGTGACACTTTTGCTTGCCTTCGACGCCGCAGCGCCGCCACCAGCTTCGCCGCCCGCGCGAGCCGTCGCTGGAGTCGCTGCATCTCGTTGGCTGCCTGTGGATGTGCGCAAGCTGGGGCAGCCCTCAGCGGCGTTGACGAGCTTGCTGACGGCGAGCTTGCTGTCTCTCAGATCGCGCGCGCCCATGGCGAGCCCTTCAAGTACGAGCGCCGCGTCCTCCGTGTCGCTGTCGACCTCCATGCGAACATGACCGTTGGGCAGGGAGATGTAGGATGGCCCGCCGGCAATGCTGCTGGTGCAGCCGGCAGCGCCAGTCCCTTCGGCGTGCGTCGACAAGCCACTGTGGGTGACGTTTGGAGCACCCTGCGCCGTGCTACTGCTGTTGCTGCTGTTACTGCTGCTGCTGCTGCTGCTGCTGAGGCTAGCGGCAGCCGTGGAGCCGGGCGCGAGCTCGCCCAGCGGTGCCGAGCGCCTGTATGCGCTCCAGCCCGCGACACCGTTGTTGCTGGCGCCAGATACGCCCCCGGCAGTATTGGTGCTTCGCCTGCCTGCACCGCTCGCACTGCCGAGCAGGGAGCCAGACGAGTACGAGTCGAAGAAGGACGTGTCGTTGGGACCGCGCCTGTCGGCGACACCAGGAGCCGCGCTCGATATTGCACCTGGGCCCGTGGTAGCCGTAGCCACTGTGGCCGGCGCACGCCCGAAGAGGTTGTTGAAAGGCGGTAATGCGTGCGGCTGGCTGGTGCCTAGATGCGCAGACGTGGGGTGATACACGTCCGTCATTTGTGCGTAGCCAGGTGCTGGTGTGACGAGCGGCTGCGCCGCCACACTGCTGCTACTGACGCTGTTGCTATAGATGGAGCCCGTTAGCGCCGAGACGGGGCTCCTGACTGTCGAGGTCATGTTGTGCGTCGGGTAGATCTGACCAGCCATGCTCGTCTGGCTGCCACTCCTCTGTGGCGGCTGATGCTGTTGCTGCGGGTGCTGGAGTTGCGTAGGGAAGATGCCGGGGCTGCCGGGCTGTTTGCCGCCATTACTGTGGTAGGCGGCAGCGGGGCTCGCACCTGCGCTGCTGGGAGTGGACAGTCTGCCTCCCCCCGTTGCTGCTACTGCTGCAGCCGCCTTGGCCTCCAGTGCGGCTTCCAGCTGCGCTAGCCGGGCTTTGATTGCCTGCATCTCTTGCATCTCGGCCCCAGAAACCATCGGAGCTGTGGTCATGTTCCCAGGGTTGACGGGCGAGCCCGAAGAGGGGTATGCGCCGAAAGACGGCACCTGTGTATATTGCACCTGTGACTGCGTGGTGTACGTGGTCAGTGATAGCGCAGCAATGCCATCTTTGCTCTTCTTGCCGCCGGTCGACTGCCTGCCTTTGTTGCTAGGCCGCGACTTGGATATCCTGTTCTCATCCGCCGCCGCCGCGACTGCTGTGGTAACCTCTGCATCTGCGGCAGCGTGTGATCCATTGGCGATCTCCAGCGCATGGTTGTGCTCCGCCTCTTCTTGCTGCTGCAGTTGGATCTGCTGTTGTTCTTGGGCAAAGGCGTAGGCGGCTGCGGCTGCGGCTGCCTCGGGGTCCTGCCCTGCTGCGATGGCAGCAGCACGGGCCTCTTCCTCGACCTTGGCCTTGGCCTCGGCCGCCTTATGCTTGAAAGGCTCGATGTGACAGAGCCTTTCGTCGCCGCGCTTGATGCATTGATCACATGGGATCATGCGATTGCACTTGATCTTCTTTTCGCTGCAAAGGGGGCCAAGACAGTGCCCGAGGTATCCGCAGCTGTCAGGCCACTTCCCGTGAGCAGAGCGCACACGAGGCATCGACACTCACCGACACGCCGTGCAGCTGAAGGCCAGGCGGTTCCTCTTCTTGGGCGGCGGCCTGTTCGGGCTGTCCTGGTGCCCCGGCTTAGGTACGGCAGATCCCTCCCGCCTTCCGTGCATTGTGTCAGAACCCATGATGTGATTGCCTGTGTGCTGCTGCTGCTGCGCAGTGGGCCAGACGCTGGGTATGGATGTGGATGCCGACATGGTTACTCGCAGGCTATTCGTGTTCCAACACGAAAATGCAGAGTCGGCGGGATCCAACCTCTGTGGCTCATGCGCACACCAGCTAGAGAGGTCTGACACTGAAGAGCCGCCGCTTGGCCAGCTCGCTTCGGAGACTCCTCGTGCTGCCAAGAAGGGCGGTACCCGGGTGTCGACGGTAAGCTGAGGTGAGATGTGCAGTGTTGTGCTGAGCTGAGCTGAGCGACAGCTTGATCGGACGCCGAAGAGAGCAACCACACACCAATTAAAGAGGGAGACGAGAAGATGAGAGTGCTGCCAAGCTGCCTAGCTGCTGAGCGTGACGTGGCGGGCAAAAAAGTGGGTGAGCGGTGGAAGGGGAAGAGCGGCGAAGTGAGAGCAACTCGAGGGGAGGGGAGGGCTGGCGCAGGTTATCGCCGGGGGCGCGGACACAATCAACACGACTGACTGACACAGCTGCGCAGCCCAAAGCCACCGACCGCTCGTCACCCTCCGACTCGAGCTCCTGTCAAGACTCTCATCCAGTAACGTATGTAGTGCACAATTGGTCTCGTCCGTCGACGGCGGGCGCTGTGTTGACAGGCGACAACAGATGCATCATCAATTGAGAATATATCATCCATAAAACACCAGGCTTCCCCGTCTCCACTGTTCCACCCATCCCCATGCCAGTCGAGTCGGAATGGTGAACGCAGTGGAGAGGAGCAAAGGGGAAAGTGCAATCTCTACTTGGCGATATGTACGTACGGCTGGTGCGTTGAGCCCTCTCTTATTGGCAGATGGGAGTCCCTTGCGGGCTGCGAGAGGAGTACTCTGCTTGCCTCGTAAGCCTCGTGCAGGCTCAGTCGACAGCTGGGACCTGTCATCTAAAAGGTAGGGCTGCGTCGCCCTCGCGGATGGAGGGTCGAGTTTGTCACCTTGGTTTATAGGATTTAGTTCTCCGACGGGGCCTTGTGAAACATCATTACGTAAGCATCTTAGGAGCGTCTGTCACTCCGCGGCATCGTCGGTGAGGTCAAGTGATGATTGAGGGCTTGTGCGACTCAACGCAAGGCACTTTTAACAGCGTCCGTTCTAGCGTTGGTGGCTGTGACATGAACGAATTCTGGGGACCCGTCCAAGCTGGAAGGGGTTGGAGGATTGTTGGCCTGTTGCGCCATGCACAATCTTGCGACTTGCATCAGGTCGGTCGGGCATCCGCCATGGCCGCTATGTCGATCTGGTTGCCTTGTAGATTCGGTTGCGGTCTGGTGTTGCGCATCCACCATTTTGTACTTTGTGGCAGACCGCCCCCCTTTTTTTCCTTGAACGAATTGGAATGACACCGACGCCTCCCCAGCGCCATCTCGTCCGGGATACATACGACCAGTGTGGGTCACATCGTGTGCATTGTCATATTCTGTTCCAAGCATGATCTTCATCGTGCTTCTGCGAGGGTCCAAAGCTGGGATTGATGCGCCCTTGTTGTCAATTGTCCACAAAGAGACACCATATATCTGCATACAGCCCAGCCGAAGGAGACAACGCTTTGATGTCATAGTGCATGTTACATTGACGATACGCTCCCAGGTCCTTTCAGCACTGCCTTGCAGTTGTGTATGATGATTGGCACAAATTTGCAGCTAACTCCTTGACTCTCTGTCAAACAAGGCAGTGTCTTCAATAGCTATCATTTGCACTCTTGAGAAAGGCTCTGAGCAGGATGCAATTTTTACGGTCAAAACCACAACTGCGGCGTTTTTTCAGCGAGTCCCTCGTCCTCGCCTACCGGCTCATCCCTGGGCGACGTACTCGTCTTGCGGCAAGCAAATAGCACCGCTGCTCTTAGTCCCGATATGAACACGACAGCTAGTGTCATCGCTCCCAAGACTACTCTGTCGGTCTCTACAGGCGCATTCTTCAACAAAACGGACAGTGCTTCCAATGCCAACTGCATGCGCCAGATATACAGCGTCCTCTCGAATGCCAACCGTACGCCCTTCACACGACCGCCATGAGCTACGAAGACGAGGGTTAGATGGTGAATCAGACGCAGACCCCGCAGCTCTTTGTCAAGTGTGTGACGGACCAGCAACAATTTATGCATGACTACATCACCGGCGATAACGTCACGAACCAGGCCTTTGAGGTCTCGGGCATCTTGTGCATATCAAGATAGAGAGCGAATCAGTCCGCGGCGCTGCAGGTGCATGTTCAAGGAAATGGTGTCATTTCGAGCTACCGGGCTTTTCAGGTTAGTACGGCCGTGATATCGGCCTAGCAGGAGATACCGACTTTCCCCCTTATACTCATTTCACTCACTTGCTTTCAGGGTGATGGGGTACCAGAATCCAACTACTCGTACGCCTACCAGGCGGCCGAGTGCGGCATCTGCACGTTCCGTAACGACCACCTCGGCACAGGTGATTCGGAGAAGCCTTCCGAGGGCCTCAATGCGGCGCGAGCATTAACCGAAATCGGCATCCTGATCTCATTCCTCAAAATGGCCAATAATTCTACCCAGATCGGTGGTCAGCAGTGGAACAAGGTGGTTCTCATTGGCCACTCGCGGGCTCGGCTCATTCCTAGGCCGTCTCCACGACGCACCGGGACCTCCCTTACGGTATTGTGCCCACCAGCTTCTCCACTTTTTACGGACCACATGCCATTCTACCTCACCTCGGTGGTGTACACGAAAGTCTCGATGGTCTTCCCCGAGCGCTTCAGTAACCACATCCTCCATTTATCAAATAGTGCTCGACTTCGTCAGCGCCCATGGGCTGTAAATGTTCATTCTTAGCTGTCCCTGCTCATAGATGTACCTAACTCATTGTCTTAGATGCCATTGCTATACACACTTTTCATTCATCGCTGCAGGCGGGCCTCGTTGCCAGTGCAGCATTGGACAGTAGTCTAGTCAGTATCTATTCCAGCGGCTCCGCCATTTCGATAATTCATGCATAATATTGAGCAATTCGCCTCACACCAACGTATCAACGCACCAACCTTGGGCTCTTGGCCGATCCCACAGAGACAAGTCGTCACTCCCAGCGATGCAAGCTTGGAAAAAGCTAGTCTTGCCCATCAAGCTCTCTCACGACCTTACACGGCCTCATCGCCTCGCAAGCGATCCCTCACCTCGTAACGCTCCGCATGATGCGTTCCGAGGGCTCCGCAGCGAGAGGTGTTCGTCGATGACGATGTCAGCACGTGGAGTACGTAATCACTCAGCACGCCTGCACGTTGCACTGACTCGGGGGCATACTGGGAGAGCAACATTGCCTTCAATGGTATGTCAGCTCTTGTTCCTGCAGTCCTCGTTGAGAAATGTACCGTCAGACGGGCCATGATGGCACTAGGATGGCTCCCTCAAGGGCTCAATCTGCGTCATACAGCTCATCCTTCATGAATTGTGCTATCTCAACCTCAATCGCTCTTCAAAGCCAAGATTTGTTGCTTTCATTGTGCCGAGTGACCCATCTTGGGCGCCTGCAGCTGATTGATTCGCGGCTCGCCGACCGTACTAACCGCCCCCTTGGACACGGGAAGAAGCAGAGCATGCATTAGCTTCGGGACATCAGCGCCTCATCAACAAATACAAACATTTCATATTCGAAGGGTGCGCAAATGATGTCACATGACCCAGGAACCTACCTCACCTAGGCCACCTTCATGTTGAGACTTCTTGTCGTCGATACGTGCCAATGGCTCTGGACGCTGGACAAGTCAGCTCCTCAATTTCCCACAACTTCCCCGTCGCCATTGGTTTCTCATCCGCGTTGGAGCATTGTCGGAGCGACTTCCACGACCGATTTTACTGATACGGCCCTGCGGGAGTAATTACTGACCTACACCAGGTTCAGGTAAAGCATATATAAAGCGTTCCATTCCACCAGAGAACCAGACAATTTGCACCATGCGGCCTCCATGACGCTTCGTTCAGCAGTTGTTCAAGATGCACCTCTCTGTTCTCTCTTTGTGGCTTCTCGTTGCGACGCTCGTGCAGAGCGCGCAGAGTTTCTCAGGCGACTCAGTGCTAAGCACTGTGTTCGCCAAGCGTGACCGTGGTGATGCAAGCTGGACCTTCGCATCCCCAAGGGCGCTGCCAAACGAGACGGACGACACGTCGAATTCTGACTGTCAGCGGCAGACCTATGTCGTTCCGTCCATTGCCACCAGAGATGTCTTTGATCTCAAGTCGCTGGGGTACCAGCCTAACACAATTGTCAATCAAACGCAAATCACCGAGTTGTTCGTTCAGCTCGTAACAAACTCGAGCAAATTCATTGAGACATACTTAAAAGGCAGCATACAGATTCAGCAGACGTTCAGCATCTCTGGCATCCTATGTAAACCCAAGAACAACAAGTCGGCCTCGAGTGCCCTTCAGGTTCTCGTCCATGGCATTGTAAGGACAAAGCCCTTTGGTTGGGGATGACCAGCACTGCTTACTATACTTCATTTGCAGGGCTTTGACGCCTCGTACTGGAATATTCAAGGCCCTGGTGTGCCTGAAGACCAGTATTCATACGTCTATGCTGCAGCCGAACAAGGTATCAGCACGTTCCGATACGATCGCCTCGGCACCGGAGATTCGGAGAAGCCAATCGATGGGGTCAATGTCGTGCAAGGTCAGACGGAAGTGGGCATCCTGCTCTCATTTCTCAACTCGATTAAAAACTCCGATGTGATCGGTGGCCAGAAATGGAACAAGACGTTGCTCGTGGGACACTCTTACGGCTCGGCCCAATCGAATGCTGCGTCTCTGTCACGCCCAGACCTGATAGACGGGCTCATCTTGACTGGCTTCACCACATTCCAAGAAGGACTCGGCTACTACGTCTTGTCCGCGAATTACGAACAGGCTTCTTTAATCTTCCCGGAGCGTTTGGCGAACGCTACAAGCAACTACCTCGTGACCGCAACGCCATACTCGGCTCAAATTAACTTCAACGTCCCTGCCTATGTGACGAACGACGCTGTTGCACTCGTCCGAAGCACCGAGCAGCCAGTCACTCAGGGAGCGTTCTTCACCTTAGGCAGCCTGGTGGGGCCTAGCAACTTCACTGGTCCGGTACAAGTGCTTACGAGCGACAATGACTTCGTCTTCACTTTCCGTTCATCGAATGCGACCAACATCGTCGCAGAAACGGCTACGAGCCTTTATCCTCAATCAAAAAATGCCACGTTCTACGGTAAATTTTCCAGTTGCTGGTAGCAGCTGTGAACTTTGTGAGGCTAACTCTCTTACCTTCCACAGTCCCGAAAGGCCCTGGTCACGGCCTAAATTACCACGTGCAGGCTCCGCAAATCTACCAGGAAATGCTCTCCTTCGCTTCGGCGAACGACCTCGCTTGAAAGAGTGTGAATTGTTCTATCACATCAATAGCTTACGTCTGTCGTGCAATCACGCGTGCTATATCTGTTCCAATCTGCATTTTTCGTCATTTCCGCTATGATTATTGGGGGACATTGTGTACCCAAGGTTGGCAACCTGTTCCGGAAGGTTTGAAGCGCAGATGAGCTGGGGCAACACAACAGGAGGTATAAATGCGGCTCTTTTTGAAAACAATATGCAACCCATTTTCTTAGTTGCAGCACTCAATTGCGTTTACAGTACAGAACGTGTGATTGCGTAAGCAGCGCTCGCTGATGCAACTTTGAGCAACACCGCAGTGCGATGCTCAGATCCGCCCGGCTTCCTTCAGCTTGCTGACGAGCATGTCGACGTCCTTCACCTTGGTTCCACCCTGTCGCTTTGGCGGCTCGGTGACCTTAAGCGTTTCGAGACGGTTCTTGACTTCGTTCTCCAGTCCGAGGTCCTTCAGTGTGAGTTTCTTGAACGGCTTCTTCTTGGCTTTCATGATGTTTGGCAGCGAAGCGTACCTCGGCTCATTCAGTCGCAAGTCAGTGGTCATGACAAAGGGGAACTTGGTCTTGACGACACCAAGACCACCATCGATCTCGCGCGTGACCTGTACTTCTTGCCCAAGGTCAGGTGTACCGAGTAGCTCGAGCTTGCTCGCAAATGTCGCCTGTGGCCAGTTGAGTAGCGCAGCGAGCATTTGACCCGTCTGGCTGGCATCGTCATCAATCGCTTGCTTGCCTGCAATGACAAGGCCCACTTCCTCCTTTGAGTCTCCAGTGCTGATTCCCTCCTTGACAATCTTGGCTAGAACTTTTGACACGCCCAATGGCTCCAAAGAGCCATCCTTCTCCGGGATCTCTACGTGGATTGCATCGTCAGCGCCCATGGCCAGACCTGTTCGCAGGACATCGGCTGATTTAGGCGGTCCGATGGACACGACAGTCTAGCGTTTGAAGGAACTCAATGCGTCAGTTACCTTTCCATGGTTCGTGTGCTGAGTTCAGTTATGGAACTTAATGCAGAGATCTGAAGTCTCGTTGGCCAGTGTTGCTCGTGGGAAGGAGTGGCAAGCAGCCTGTAGGCGTCGAAGTAGAACTCACAATCTTGCTGATGCCATCCTTGTACTTCTCCTTCAACCTGACTGCCTCCTCGATTGACAACTCATCGAAAGGATTCGCCGCGTGCTTTGCGTTTGTGTCTACGCTCTTGCCATCCGACGCGACACGGATCTTCACACTGTAGTCAATCGTGCGCTTGACGGGTACTGTGATGTAGCGCCAGGCAGATTTCTCATCAGTCCAAGCACCTTGGGAGGAAATGCACCGCAAGGCATCAGCCTATAAAGATGGGAGACAATGACCCACCGAGAACCCGGATAGCATGGAGCGCAGAGGTCGGGCGCATTTTGGAAGTTCCGATCTTCGGAGCAGGGCTAAATGTTAGATCCACGTACTGTTGCGTTACAATTCAGAACGTGTAACTCACTCCGAATACAACTAGTAAGGGTGTTCGAACAGGACTTTCAGACCCTTACGTCTTGCAGTGTTGAGAACAGATGCGATGATGACAATATATACCCGGTCAAAGCCGCCTCCTGCAGCCAGCTAGCGGAATCAGTCACGTGATGCTATCCCGAAAGTGAACGACCTCCATCGAGAGGAAAGCCCCTGCCACGAGGAAAGCTCTTCTTCTTGGAAGAACGATAAGTGGTTGTAGAGCATCGCCTCCTGAAGCAAACAAGCAGCGGACAGGAACACCTTGCAAAGCAGATACTACAGCAATATGCTTCTCTCAGTTTCGTCTGCATCGACCTCGTCCCTCCGTCTGCTGAGCAGGCGCGCCGCCTCAAAGCAGGCTGACCGCCTAGTATCCTCCCCTTCCTCGGCTTCGTTCTGCTCTCTTTGCAGGTCGTCCGGCGCTTCTCGGTATGTATTCGTGAAGCCACGAGCACTGTTCCAACAAGAATTGAAGGGTGCTGACGATGCGCTCTATTTTTACCTACTCTATCCAGATCTAATTTGGCTTACGTGGCTGAATCGGGGACATATGAGATCAACAGCAGGGAGCATGGTCGACGATACATCCTCGCCCTTCCCTCGGGATCAGCCTTTACTTTGTCAGGGCCAGTAGGCTCCTCTCTCATCCGCCTCTCGGCCTCGCTTGGCCGCTTTTTCCAGCCTCCTGGATTTTCTCCAGCCCCTTCAGTTGCATCGTCGGTGCCGTACCCACTCACAATTGAGGGGATAGGTGCCCATGCGGAACAGCCTGAGCAAAGAGCGCAGTCCGAAGGGAGCAGCATCTGGAATTGGGATGGGCTTCTGAACGCGGTGCCTAAGAAGAAAGTCTCGCACTCTCGCAAGGCCATGCGAGCAGCCAACAAGGGCTTGAAAGATCGCGTTGGTAAGTTTAACCCCCCTTTCCTGCTTCGGCGTACGGGCCACCGCTGATTGTCTTGGGATGCGCTATTGTCAACTTTAGACCTTGTCCACTGCCAGGGTTGTGGAAGACCCAAACTCGCGCACCATATCTGCGGACACTGCTTTAAGGAGATCAATCGATGGCAGAAGGCTGAGCATCCGCCTACTGCTCGAAGACCCTGAGGTTCTATCTTCCTTTTGAGACAAGATGCAAGGTAGCATATAGCCCCGCATGCGACACGTGCGAGGGCGTCAAGACCTCACATGGACGACGAATTACTCGCATGGTCATATCATTTGCATCTGGTGACCTACTTAGCGCTTCGACCTCCAGCATGGCGGATGAATGCATTTTTTACAGCCCTTAACTCGTTGACCACTTCCAGCCCCGTGCTTCGCGCCCAGACAGTCGAGCGTGCGAACCCCTCTCGAGCGAAAGCCCGTAAAGGTTCTTCGAAAAATGGCTCCTTCCCTGCTTCTTGCATGCCGTAGCCCGCCGTGTGTTGATACGCTAGAGGCACAGGAGAAGCATACAACCAATGCAGGTGGTCAACTGCACTGAGCATCTTTTGGTTTTCGCAGTATCGCTCCCTTGCATATCCTCTAAGCGCCGTGTAGCTCCCCAGATCCGCTCCGCTCTGCACAGCGCGTTCAAGCGTGCCCACCAGAGAACGTGCATCCGCCAGGCCGAGATTGAGGCCCTGGCCCGCCAGTGGATGTATGCTGTGGGCTGCGTCGCCTACAAGAGCCGTGCGGCCTTTGCCTTCATTGGTACCTGCATTGGCGGAGGCGAGGCCCAAGATCGTGAGCCCTGTATTCAGAGCGCCGGAAAGTGTATGTAACGAGCGCGAAGTAGTCGACGCGCTACCGTTCACAGCCGCGCCGAGATATACATCGGCGTGCTTGACTTGCAAAGGGAAAGAAGCGACGCTGTGCGGGTCGACTGACCGCACGGGAGCGGGGACGAACCCATCTCCATGGTCTGGTAGCGCCTCAAGACCGCCTGCCTCTCTCACCGAATCAGAGATGATCTTAACGAGCCAAGACCAGTCATTCGCATTAGAAGCGGACGCGCTTGACCCAGAGGCGCTGGCGCTTGCTTTGGCGCGACCGCGTATCTCTTGAAAGATGCGATCAAGATATATCCATGGAAGGCGGAAGGCAGCACTGATCAGCTCAGCGAAAGGTTGCACAGCAGTATTGGTGGGAGTGTCGCGATGAATATGCTCGACAGCACGCGCAAGGTCTGGCGGCAATGTCCATACCATAGAGCCCACGCCGTGTTCCAGCTAAATGAGACACGCAAAGAGGCCAAGTTGAGCGTGAACTCCGCGATGAACGCTGTTTCCGACTTACCGGCAGAAAAGCAATGGGGCCAGTAGGCAAGAACCTCTGGAAGGCCGTATTGACGAACGGAACTTCTTCACCTGAGTTAGCGTCTCCCCCTGTTGGCTTTATGCATCGCAAGGTTCCCACTACACCTCGACGGCCGTATTCCCAACCATAGTTCTCGATTCCTGCGTACCTTCTCACGGGTGAATCCGGCCCATCAGCGCCAACGAGAAGCCGTGCGCGGAGGTGAGTGGTGTCTTCCGTGTCTGCGCCGAGCGACAGAACGGGCCACTGATCCAAAAAAGAAGAGCTTACTCCGCCATCTTCTGGGTTAGCCGCGATGCTTTGCACCCGTGTCCGATCTTTGACCTGCACTTGGCCTTGACCATGCTCTTCCAGATAGCGTAGCATTGCTTGCTGCAAATTCGAAATTTCCACCATATAGCTCAGCGTCGCTCTCGCGCCATTGGAGAGCGAAGAAGGCGCACTGCTGACATCAAATGCCTCATCCGCGTGGAACTCAATTGTGGCGTCCGATAGTCCATCCCAAACCCTCATGTCCCTGACCGGCCACAATCGTGATTGCACCAAGAAGGGTGAGACGCCGATCGTCGCGAGCCATTCCATGTTCTCCGCCGTCAAGCTGATGACGCGGTTCTCCCATGGAGTGTCGCTGTTGCTGGAATAGGCACGCTCTTCTGCCTTGGACGCCCAGTTGCGGAGTCGCGCCAAGTCCCCTCCTTCTACAATCGTGATGCTTGGATAGGCACTCAATGCTCTAATTTTCTGAATACTGACTGCTGCTTTTTGTGTCGAAGCGACGATGCCGCATGCAACAGAGAGGCCAATGGGCCCTGCGCCGACAACGACCACGTCCTTAAAAGGCGCGCATTCGAAATCTGGGTCGGCTGTGGTTGCGATGTGGCGTGCTTGGAAGCGAGAGTTCGATCCTATCGCTCGACGTTCACGGTACCCCCAGTTGCATGTTTGTTTTGTTCTATGCGCCGAAGTATGAGTCCTGAGTGAACGCGAGGGGATCGCGGTTGGCGAGCCCTGGCACCTTGTAGGTGCGGGTTCGGAGAAAGTAGAATGCCAGAAAGAACGATTCACCCGAGCGCTGCGGCTCATGGTGGATATTGACGCGGCGACTGGTTGCATTCTTCGTCGAGACACTTGGTATTACAACCGCGTGAACTCTGGGAAAACGAGGTTGACGCGTTGGCTCGACGGTTAACCCACATCTACGAGGTGGTTGGTTTCTTGCAGCGAAGCTTGTGAATCGATGATCAACCGGCGCGAAGCATGAAGTCATGCAACAGCTTTGCAGCTCCAGACCGGGAGCAACCCTAACTTCAGGTTCATACCTCCCACCCCAGCCGAAGCCGACCATGCAGAGAGCACCACTCTGAGAAACACGACAGCATGTTACATCATGCTGCACGCTGCAGTCCGCGAGGAGCAGTCACAGCCTTTGACCGCAAGGGTTTCTCGATTACTTTCATGTGCTGCGACTCGAACACGACGGTGAACCCTCGACGCTATATCTTCAGCTCGGGAGAGCCACGGGTGCGCTGCGGCCCCGACCGGCGTGTGTGACCCTGGAGGCGGTGCTCGGATCGAGCTTCAGCAAGTTGACAAGTCGTCGACATGGCGTCCCCGACACAAGAGTGGTCCTCACTGCAGGACGTCTTCTACCGCAAAACCGACATATACAACTTAACGTCTTGGGCCGTAAATTCGCTGCAGGGCCAGCGCGTCTCGTTAGGAAAGAATGGCGGCTTCATCGCAATAGTACGCGATCAGAATGCCCTCGTGCCGATTGGCGCGTCGGCCGTCACTGGTACCACGATGAAGATTGGCATCTACACTGCGGCTGGGCAGATGGTGGAAAGCTTGCCGGTGAGAGGCATGTCTTCAACAGCCGTCAACAGAAAATGCAGGCTGATTCCATCTATATCTGCATTTTCAGTGGGATGCTGCAAATCGAATCGTGGCTATGGGCTTCACATGGGACGAGCAACTCGCCGTTGTTCTTGACGAGGGACTTGTCCGCCTGTATCGACTATTGACACCATGTCCGATCAAGCTATCTTCAACTGCTACCAAGGACGCTGGCTCTTCGAGTGCGGCAGCTGGTAATCCTTCAGAGCCAATCGGAGCGACATCAAACAGTTACTACGTTTCGTACTCGTTGGGTCAAGAGGCCACGGAGACGGGAATATTCGATGCTCAAGTCTGGGAAGATGGTATCGTCTTTCTCACAGGGGCAGGCACCTACTGTGAATGGCAGTTTCCAATCACACAAAGCTTTGCCGGCAGGACTTCACCATGTGCACCGCCTACAGTCAACGGTGATGGCACTGGCGCTCGTTCCAACCTTTCCTCTCGCGGCGCAATACAGCACGAGGTCCGCAGCTATTCTCGCCTACCCCTTCAACCGATATCCTCCCCCATTTCAAGCGCATTGCCCTTTTCCTGGGCGCTTCTACCTCCTTCGTCTGCTAGCCCATTCTCCGAGTCGGACCTTTATGTTTCACCAACAGGCTCATCGACGCTGTACAAGCTTTCGCCTTCACAGCTCGCTGCCCAAGACATGCGTCTTGACAGGGGACCTTTCTACGCAATCCGGCCCAGTCCCGATAATAATCTGCTTGCGCTCCTGACGAGCGACTGGAAACTGTGGGTCGTCAGTTCCGACTTTGGGCGAAGCCTCAGCGAGTTCGACGTCAGTGCCTGCGATGGCTTTGTAACAGGCCAGACCTCGGCAGCATCGCCCCTTGGCAGGGTGAACACGGAGACAGAGGGAAAGACTGCGATGATGATTGCAGGTATCTCGCAGATCGAATGGTGTGGCAGCAATACGGTTGTCATTGCGTTTAAGGACCAAGTCGTAATGGTCGGCCCGTTCGGCGACTCCATCAGGTACTACTACCGCGATCTCGTTCACCTGAAAAGCGAGATGGATGGTCTCCGAATACTAAGCCCAGATAGGGTTGAATTCCTTTGCAAGGTCCACCAGTCAACGTCTGCTGTCTTTCTACCCGGCTCGACACACCCTGCGTCCTTGCTATACGACAGCAGTGAGAACCTTCATTCATCGTCGACAGTATCCGCATGCGCATCTTCACAATCGCGGTCTGTGCAGCGAAAGAGCGCTAAGGCGGACGAAGGAATTCGAGCCATCCGCTCCCAACTCGATGAGGCCGTGGAAATTTGTATACAGGCAGCGAGTTGCGAGTGGGATGTCAATCTACAAAAGCGGCTTATGCGAGCTGCAGATCTCGGCAAGACTTTCCTCGACTCGCATGATCCGTCCACCTTGGTCAGCATGGCGCAAAAGCTGCGGGTGCTCAATGCTGCGAGGCACTACGAGGTCGCAATTCCCATTTCACACGAGGAGTATGAGGCGACTGGTCCCCAAGCACTGCTGTCTCGCCTGACATACCGAAACAAACATCTCCTGGCACTTCGCATATCCGAGTTCCTCCGCTTGCCACCAGATCCAATCTTGAAGCACTGGGCGCGAGCGAAGATCGCACGCTCCAACAAAGAACGGGCGATCGCCGCCTCCACATCGCTCGGCCACGCAGCCGACGATGAGGTCTGCGATGCTATTGTTGAGAAATTCCGAGATCAGCCAGCGGTGAGCTACGCCGAGATCACAAAGGACGCCTGGGCAGCTGGACGAGTGCGCCTTGCTACGAAGCTCCTCGTGCATGAGCCTCGAGCTGTAGACCAAGTGCCGCTACTCCTGAGCATGCACGAAGACAAGTTGGCACTCGTCAAGGCTGTGGAAAGCGGTGACACGGACCTTGTCTATCACGCTCTGTTCCGCCTCAAATCCCAGCTTTCTAGAGCTGACTTCTTCCGCATCGTCCAAGCTCCACTGCAAGACTCGCTCGGCACAGCGCAGGCAAGCAGGGCTCAAGCTACGTCATACCTGGCACTGGCATCGAATCTACTCGAGGTTTATGCACGCAATGAAGATCGCGAACTCCTTCGTGACTTCTACTTTCAAGACGATCGTCGGACTGAAAGTGCGTTGCTGGCGATCGAAGAGGGGTACGAGTATCCCATCGAAGGTATCATGCTCGATGCATCTCAACGCGCGGCGAACCTGTCATCGCGCATCAGCAGCCTGCGTGAAGCGATGAAGTTTTTCAACGAGGACAAGGAGCGCGTACTGGAGGGCAAGCTGACGGACGAGCAAATACGACTACTTGGTTTCCAGGCAGCTTTGGAGAAAGAGAACCCTGGAAGTGATGGCATCTTCATTGGCCTGAACCTCAACGAGACGATCCGCATCTGTCTCAAGCGCAACTTGCACAAGAAGGCCGACAAAATTCGCTCCGACTGGAAAGTTCCAGAAAAGCGCTTCTGGAACATCAAGCTCCGCACGCTCGTCGAGATGAGGGATTGGGATGGAATGTGGCATTTCGGCAATTCGAAGCGGTCGCCGATCGGCTACACGCCTTTTATACAGCGACTCATTGAGGCTGGCGAGGTGGCGGACATCGATCGCTACCTAGAGAAAATGTCGGACAAGGCCGATCGGGCAAGATTGGAGCGCTATCTGCAGAGGCTGCCACATCAACTGGTCGAGCTAGCGGAGGCTATCACAGTCAGACTGAACGAGTTGTACTGAGCGTGAATACAAGTCACTACTCGTTGTCGTCGTCCATGTGCATGTCTGTGAACACAGTGAAGACGCATGTCAGCAAGGGTCTGTGATAAATGCTTAAGTACTCGACAGCTCACCTTCCAGGTCGTCCAGCAATTCATCTAGCGGGATGGCCGGTACATCGTCGTCGCCCCACTCGCTCTCTCCGTCCGCGTTGATCCCATCGTCTTCACCCGCTCCTCCCAATTTTGCCTTGATCGTCGCGAAGGAGGCAGGCTCAGCATCGGTCGACTCGTCCATGGCATCCATCGCCCGCGCAGCCTTCATGCGCTTGATCTCGTCCTTCTTGCGCTGTCGCTCCTGTTCCTTCTCGCGATCACGCCAGATGTTGACGTTGGCACGTAGCTCCTCGTCCTCCTCGAGTTCGCGCAGGAAATACTCGTAGTCGCGCTCGACGCGCTGGCTGTCGAGCCCGCCCCGTCGGCCGATGGCACCGCGCCCGTCGCCGCCGCCACCTTTCCCTTTCTCTGCCGTGCTGGCGGAGGGCGTCTCGATGTCCTTGGTATCTCCTGCCTCGCCGCCTTCTTTCGCCATCGTCTTGAGCTTCCACGTGCGTCGGTTCTTGCGACGCTTCGTGTCCGGATAGCTTTTCTTGACTAGCACGACATCCGGCATACGCTCGCTTGGCAGGCTGTCCCAGTCGGACGAGTTAAAGTTCGCCACGCGCAAGTGGTAACCCATCGCCTGGTCGCCAGCTTGCAGAAGGTTGCCGAGGTGCGTGCGCGTGTGGTACACAGCGTCAGCCTCGCCAAACGACGTTGCATGCAGTGGCGAGACTTGTGCGTCGGCCTCGAGCCATCGCGAGCTGTGTGCGTCCTGCCCATGGCCGTTGTTGCCGTAATTAGCTTCGATGTCGAGGGTGAGGAATTCAACGAGCTCAGGAATTGTTGCAAGTGCAGGGAAGGGGTTCCTCCAGTACTTTTCCGCGGGGATGTCCGTCGTCTGCAGCGTCGTCGGGTCCAACAGTCGCAAGGAGTTGTTGACGCGCGTGCAGATCAGCAGCTGGCCGATATTCCCCAGACTCTTGGCTAGCGGCCGTGGAATGCACACGAGGTCGTCTTTGCAGATTGGTGCGATCTCGACACTATATGTAAATTTGTAGTTAGTAGTGGACGTATGGGTATCCATGCCGATCACCTGCTCGGACTTGGTGATGCGCACGGGGACCACGGACGACAGGAACTCGCACATCTTGACGGCGTGCGTTCGCTGCACATAGTAGAAGTCGAGGCCATCGCGACGTTCGCTGATTGAGACTGTGTCCTTGTGTGCGTTGTGCTTGAGGATGAGCTGCTCGAGGTAGAGGAAGGTGCGCTTGTGTGGCACCTTTTGCCTGACTTGCACCTGCGCGCGCCAGGTATTCTTGGCTGCTAGCCGTGTGCAGTCTGGGCACTGGCCGTATTGCACAATGTACTCTACTTCGAAAATCTGTTGCAAGACTGTGGCAGTAAGGACCTGCATTTCGCCGAGACACATGTGGTGGCACGTCAGTCCTGACTATTCACTTGCTGAGATCAAGTAGCCGTGAAGCATCTGCTTGAACGAACCTCTTTCTGTACTGTGAGCTTGACCCTCAAGCGTTTGCTATGTGGCTCTGTCCATATGAAACCCGCATCGATGAGTCGGGCCTTGTGGAGGCCTTTGAGCTTCTTGAGGCAGATCGCGAGCAACTCTCTGCTCTCGAGCTGCGCCTGGACCCATTGCTGCGGCGGGTTGAGGTACCGTTCGCAGTTGCGGCAATAGTTGATCGTCGCCTGCTTGGGGATTCCTTCGGTGATGTCGACTGAGTTGCGCAGACAGGAGAGACACAGGTTGGCCGAGTTGGGCTCGATGGGCGTACCGCAGTCGGCGCACAGCACAAGAGAGGCTTGAGGAGCAGATGGGACGAACTCCATCTTTGCTTCGCGCGACGAGGAATCGTAGAGCTAGCTGACAGAATAAGATGCCGCGTTGGACTTGGTCTTGCTGGCTTACGCACAGTGCCACTGCGGAGACTGAGGCTTTGCGTGTGTCAGGGCTCATCGAAAGCATGAAGATAATGAGCATGCCAGGATAGTCCACAGAAAGACAATGAGGTAGTCTTGCAATCCCTCTCGAAAAATTTCCTCTCGGCCGAAAAATGCCCGCCCTGGGATCAGAGCTTCGGAACGGCAGTTGCACCGCTTGGTTGACGTCAGCTCAAGGGCAGTTCGCTCTTCCAGCACGGATGCCCTAGGCTTGTGGTACGACGACGCTTGTAGGGATGCACACCTACATGCGAGAGACTCAGGCCAAAGCATTTGGAAAGCAGATGTGAACGGCTGGGCCGAGCATCCTCATTCTGATCAAGCGCTCTTCGTGGCTCGGGTGAAGAATTCTAACCGAAGTCGAGACGCGATTCAATACACGGCGAGATGTAAGTGAGGAACTGTGGCCGACGGTCCAGCTCGGACGTTGTGGTATACCATCGCGTGACCAGCATGTCCTGGGCACGGGGGGCATAGCTATCTTACCCATTATCTCGTCTACTAATGTTGCTGCTTGATATCCTCCATCTGACTTGCTCGCTCGGTGCGCGCCCTGTGCCTGCCTCTCTTCTCGCTTGCTTCCCTCTACATTTTAAAAGGTCTGGCGCATCTTCCAATCTGACGTTGCGACTGAACACACCTGCGCACCATTCGGTAGCGCAATTCGTCACACAGGGGCCACAGGGTGCCAAGTACACGCTGGATGGAGCCCGGGGGACAAGTCACGCAAAGCTATGTCGCATCGGGCCGGGTGCAGGTGCAGCGCATCCAGCAGGCGGTGGGCATGGGCAAACGGGACAGATGGACTGCGTCGACATTGCGCTTGAAGGTGAGTCGCATGAGTGGGCTCTGCGAGGCAGGAGCGACTCGCTGATGCCGTCGACGATCTTATCGACTCACTGTGCGTACGTCCATCGACACATTTAGCAAAGGACCTTTTCGCGACGATGCAACAGCTCAATTTCTTCTGCCAACTACCGCAAGACCCATCCAAGACACACATCATATGCGAAAAGATTCCGCAATAGCGCTATATGACCACAGCACGATGATGCAAGGTTTTTGGACTGTCATGTTGCATCTCCGCCGCTCCATTTGTCCATCCTCTCTCGGCCAGCTATGTGTGTGTGTGTGTGCGTGCGTCCATGTAAAAATGCAACCAGAAGGCATGAAAGCAGCCAGCGCGTGCCGTCGAGCTTGAGTGGCTGTGCCGCGTGCCGAGAAGCGCGCACACCGACTGAAGGTGGGTCAAAGGTGGATAGGTCTGATCCTCGGGGTCTCAATAGACTTTGGCCGTGCAACAGCTCAGCCGTGCGCATCGAGGCCGTCGCTTCTCGACGTTGAGAGCGCGGTGGCTTGCCTTGAGGCCATTGAAAAGGGTGAAAAGAAAGAAATCTCGAGGGTGATGCAAAGCCCGGCTCCACCACACACACTTGTGCCTTGCGGGGCTTGCAAGAAAAGAAAGAACTCCACGTTAGTTGATCTGAATTACACTAGACTGTTCCAGTGAAGCATGCAGCACTCCCATAGTCCACCCCACTCGTGGCCATCCCATCCACAGAACTGACCAGACTTTGCCTGTACTGGCAAGCAGCGCTGACCTGTCACTCCACCTGGCAGATCAGACCCGTCGTCTCTAGTCTTTACCTCTTCATGCGCTGCCTGCCAGATCGGATCGCCAGCAGACGCGCGCTGACAGACAGACAGAAACAGGGGTAGGGACAGGGACTGACGGCCGGAGTGATAGCATCTATCACCGATCCGCCTCGCCGCCGCCCTGGACGTCTCCGCGGTGATTTTTGCCGCCCTAGACCCCCTCCATCCGCGACCTCGCCTAGTCTCGTCCAGGAGCAAGGCCTCCTCCCCGCTAACCACTCATGCTATAATCCACATCCAGCGAAGCCAAGCCAAGGCAATTCTGACCGCAGCCTCCAGCTCCATTCCTTGACGTGCTGCTAACTGCAGCCTCATCCGCACCCTCTCTGCCTGGCACCCTTTCATTCATACCCTCTCACGATTCGCCGCTCGCAACGCGGCAACAGATTCCATCCAGATCCATTGGTGGTCAGTCGGTAAAAGCGCACCGTGCTGAACCGGCCTACATCTCTCTCCATCGCCTGTGGCCGAAAGCCAGTCTGGCGCAATGCTCGGCCTCTTGAGCCGCGTTCGTCCGCCTACCCAGGAGTTTGATCGTGAATCTTCAGCAGATGCTCTCCAGCCAGCCAGTGGCTATGCAGCCCGCACATCATCCAGTGCATATGCAGGCGAATCCAGTCCAAGCGCCGGAGCAGCGCCGGCTCTACCTACATCGTTCGAAACCAGCGCTGGACAGGCTGGCAACGCTCTCGCCGTCCCCGACTCAGCCACGACCTCGCACCTACCCAATGCCAACGCCAACACCACTAGCAGCGGCAACCGGCGCCAACTGAACTTTTCCGAGGCATCCACCGTCTCCCCACCCACTCAGGAGCGGCGTGGTAGCCACGGAAGGGAGGCCTCCGGGCGGTCCATCCGCTCCGCTCTCTCCGCCATTTCGCTCGCCAACCTGCGAGAACGCGATCGTGAGGCAATGCTCTCCACCATCGAGAGGCGCCACGTGCAGGTGTCATTGCACAGACCGCAGCAGCAGATGAACGGCGATGATCCGCTCGCGCTAATGGAGGCTGGTTTCGCCGACCGCCCGCCTTTTCCCTTGCAGATGATGCGGCAGCAACTGGCGAACGGCGGAGCAGCAGCAGGCGCCGTTGCCGCCGTGCCACCGTCTGCGTCCGAGCTGGCGGTCCAATCCGCGCTCTTGGGCCCGGCAGGCCGCTCTCAGGTAGTAGCGTCGGAACGCAAGCGCCAAGCGAGCAGGCGCGAGCGCGACGAAGCTGCCACGCTATTTGGGCCGACGCTGAGTAATTACTTTGGCACTGGAAGCTCCTCGAGCGGGGCCGTCAACGGGCGGAGCTTTAGCACCGTCGTCGGGTCCGGCGGGACCGCTATCGGCGCTGCCGGCGGCTCACCGGCCGCAAATGCGAATTTGGCTTCGCCGGGTCTGGCTGCAGGGGGTGCAAGCGGTGCGTTCGGCTCGCGGTGCGCACGCCTCGGCAGTCGAGGACGTGCACGCGGCGCCTCCTTGAGTGGCCTCAGCATGGTGTCACTAGGAGCAGCTACGGACAGTGGCAGCTCCAACTTGGTGCAAGGAGTAGGGATAGAGGCTGCAGCGGGCGTCGCCGTTACTTCCGCAGTGCCAACCGACCTTGAGCCACCGAGCATCGTCAGCGGGCAGCAGGAGCGCGACGAGAACGTCAGCATGGCGGATGGGATCGAGCTGGGCACGCTGGCGCGATGGGTAGATCGGACTGTGGGCTTGTTGCCCGCGCTCGGCGCTACCTCCCCTATTCCTCCTCCTTCTACTGCTCCTGTTGCTCCGGCTACAACGGAAGCTCTGGACACTCGCAGATCCCCGGCGAGTGCTCTGCGGTCGGGCGCTGTGGGTGCCACTGTCGCGCTGCCCCCCGCGCCAGTGGTCTGCACGACATTGCAGTCGTACGTGAACCTCAAACGCAATACCGTCCGCTTGGCGCCGAGCGTGCATGCTGCCCGTGCGCCGCACAGTTCAAAGGCAGCAACGGTAGCATTGGCGCCGAAGACGAACGGTGCGCCGGCGGCGTCGGGCAGGACGCCGGTCATTGGAGCAGGGCCATTGTCGAGCGACGCCACCGCCGTGGCTGCCGGCCTCCCGCCGCCGACACATACGCTGCAGTTCGAATACGACTGCGCGGCGCCGTTCGCCTCGGTGCACATCTTCCTGCGCGCTTCGCGCAAGCACGGATCCTGGGCAAGCTACATCCCGCGTGCGGCGGAAGAGGATGTAAAAAATGGTGCTGAGGAATGGCAGGCAGGCGGCGCGAGCGGGCCAGAGGCGGAAAAGTACCTAGGGGAGCGCGGGATGCCGCCGCAGCATGTCTTGGGCTTCCTTGTTCATGGGGCTACCCTCAAGAAAGGCTTTGCGGCCAAAGCGCAAGCCGACCTTGCGCTGCGCTTGAGCCTCTTTGCGCCCCCGAACTGGGCCAGGAAGGACGAGGCCAGCGGGGACATCAGCAAGGCTGCCCAGGCTCGTGTGGACGCGAACGCGGTCTATGCACCCATCTCGCCCACCTCAGCAGGTGTAGGCAACACTGCAAATATGCTCCCGCCAGCTACTCCCGTCGTGTCCCCCGAGACACCCGCAATGCCGCAGCATCCCAACGCGCCTCTGAGCAAAGAGGAACGAGCAGAACGTGCGGCAAAGGAGAAGGCCGAGAGGGAGACACTCAAGATGGCCATCATCGTCGAAGCGCTGGATGAGGATTGTGGGTCCATCGCCGTGCGGCAAACGCACGACCTTGCCGTTTTGGATCTGGGCTACTGACGCGATTTCACTCCTACCCCTGCCGATCTGCCGTCGAATCCTGCAGGTAAACCATTGCGCGAACCGAATTTGCAGACATCATACCTGCGCGTCAGCTCATTGCCGGCGCGACATCCGGACGGCACAGTCGTTGATGCTGGGGACCGAGTGTGGAGCTTACAGGTCGAAGGCCAAGAAGCAGAGGTAAGTGAGGTTGGCGGTGCTCTGCTCCTCTTCTCTGCGACCAGACTGATCAGTTGGTTTCGCCCTTCATGCTCAGATCGGTCCTCGTCGATTTCAGCTGCAAGAGCTATACGGTCTCTCATCCAAGCCGCCGCCGGTATCAGTCCAGAATACAGACAATGCAGAGCATCCGGAAGATGCTGCCGGGAACGGCGAGGCAGGTATCGTCGAAGACGCAGGCACTCCCTTGGTCGCGGCCGATCTCGACGTGTCTAACGGGTCCGAATGCCTCATTTGTCTCTCCGACCCGCCAACTACGCTTTTACTTCCCTGTACGCATGGACTGTGCCTGCAATGCGCAATACAACTCCGTGAAAGCGTGAAGGGCATCAGAGATTCGGAAAGGCGAAGAGGGAAGCCCCCAAAGCGCAAGTACGCCTGCCCTGTCTGTCGAAGAGGTGAGCTGTCGCACATGCCTCATTGGATCTTGGAATGCGATGCTGATTAGCGGCCCTGCTCCTGCCCCAAGTGTACACCTCGATGCTCCACATCAGCACCGCGGACGAGAAACATGTCGCTTAGCAAGCGGCCACTGCCTAAGCGCTTCCTCGGGTCTCACATCCCATCGCCGCAACGGCTTCGCCCAAGCTCTGCTGCCCTTGCGTTTTGTTCACTCCTTTCATGAATCCAGCATCTTCACATTCTGTGTACTCGATTCTGTTTGCGGAATGCAATGCCCATACTTTATAGGCCATGGTGATACTGCCCGTGCGCTGCAATCGCGACACTTCCATCACCGGTCAGCTGGCCTTTACCTTCGGCTGTGGTGCGAACGTGGACTTCGGTGTCAGTGAATGGCTCTGCGCGCCCAAGGTGGAAAGCTGCATGCATTATTCACCCTGCAATCCTCGAAGACGCTCTTGATATGGATCCTGACATTACCCTCCCCTCCCGGCCCAATGTCGCCTACTTCACCTGCGCCAGGCCCTGGGTGTCGTGCATCCTCAATATTCTCTGCTCCGCTGGCGATGGCCAGCAGCTGCCCGTCGGCGCTGCACGCACCAGTGGAGAGGGGTGAGGGCAGGCGCGCGTATTGGATGATACGCTTCTTGGCAACTGCATCCCAGATGCAGCACATTGCGTCCCCACCAAGCGATGCAAAGGTTCCGTGGCTGCGATGAAGTTGGAGAGCCAGAATCAGAAGCCAGTTGGGGGTGCTCCACGGTCTTTTGCAAGCTAGTGCTCACATTGGGTGGAAAGTCAGGCAATTGACCGGGTAAACAGTGTCAATGCTGTCAACAGCTCGTCGGTGGCATTTGAATGCATATTTCCGGGCAGCGCCGGCGTCGCTATTGTCAAAGAACTCGACAGCTACTCGCCCCTCGACTGAGGAACAAGCGAATCCTATGAATTTGACGGTGGAAGGACGGTGAGTGTTTGCGCTCCTCGTGAAGGGCATTCAAGAACTCACCATCTCCGTTTGGCATGCACTTGACGTCCCGGAGCATGAACTTCAAGCTGGATTCTCTGGTGTACTCTGGCTGTATACCCACATCATCATCCCCCAAATCTGTCCCGCCCGCCTTTGCGTTCCGGAGTGCCTCGCCAAGCTTGTCCAGGTTGAACACCGCTAGAGTCCTGCCAGCCATTGCGACAATGAGCCGCGGTGTGGTATCTACCATCTGCACCTCAGATACGTTGGGCCATGGTGGGGAGACGTCCAGTGCGAGCACCTTGTCCGGAACATTGATCTTCCGTAGCAAGGTGGGGTGCTCGGCGAGAGGGTCCCAAATGCCTATCGTCTTGTCCCAGCTTCCGCTGATTAGCAACCCAGTCCGTGGGCTAAACCGAAGCCTGCATACGGGGGCATTGTGTTTTCCAATGATGTTAACCTGCCCCGTCTCGAGGTTGAGCAGTCGCACTCGCCGATCCAGCCCTCCGGACGCAGCGAGAGTGTCAGAGAGCCAGCAAACATCTAGCACGGCCGCGTCATGGTAGAAAGTTTGCAGGGTTGGCGTCACTTGTGAGCCCTGCAGCGCCTTTTCCGATAGATCCACCAAGCGCACAGTTTTGTCCCACGACGCGATCAGCAGCTGCTGTACCTTGTCGGAAGTGGAAGGCCCTGGATGAAACGCGAGTGCTGATACCGGGTCACTAGGAGGAGGCGTCACCTCAAATTCCGGTCGCACAGGCATGATGACAGCGTGTTCTGACCTCGTCTTTGGTTGGCCTGACTCAAACAGTAGATTGATGGCCTATGGATACCGCAAGACAAAAGGCGAAGGCTCATGTATACTGGCATGAGGGATAAAGCCCGATGGAATGGGCATACGCCTTGTCACTCGCCCCAAGGACGACGGACGCGTTTTCTTTTTCCGCTTTTTAGGGTTGTCTTTTTGTGCTTCTCACGCCTGGCGCTCACCTCATGCCTCTCTTTGACTCGATGAATCTTATGGGTGACTTGGCGAAAGAGATTGCTGCGAGTACGGTGGTTGCCACATCCTCGTCAACGTTTGCCATTGCTTCGTGAACCTGCCGCTGAATACAACGCAGCATGCTGCGATCATCTTATCAATAGGCCTGACTCTGCACATGATCATCATTCTTGAACACGCTGCAGACGTGTAGAACGCCAGCTCGACTGGTGCTAGTGCAAGCCTGTGATCATGGTGCTCTTCTTTACATCTACAGGTACTTACCCCTTTGAGCACCCCCATCGCACTCTTTGCAGCCTCTGACCGCAGTGTTGAAAATGTCTGGAAAGCAGCTGTCGATCCTGCAGCCACAATATACATGGGAAAAGACAAAGTGCGCGACTCCTGTGAAATCACTAAGAGGCTGGGCCTCTGTTCCAGGAGTGCTGACATGGCTTGTTACGCCTCTCGCAGGTAGAAAGTAAGCCCCCTTCTGTACCTTCCCCGCCGTTCTATGTGGCTGCTCCATGGCTCAAGAACAATTGCGAATGAACAGATGAAGATTTGATCAAGTATGGTGACGATAAAGATGTCTGGGTTCATGTCGATAAGGTTAGTCTGTTTTGCATGGCTAGATATGAAGGCTTTACGGCTTGGCCTGACTCAGTCTCACTTCGGTGTGCTCCTTGCGGTAGCTCTCCTCGGCACACGTTTACATTCGACTCTCAGACTCTATGACCTGGGACAACATTCCTCAAGGTCTGCTCTACGACTGCGCGCAGTTGGTGAAGGCGAACAGCATCGAAGGTACCACGACCACGCATGTCGGCGAGCATCGCTGACGACCCCGTCTGACCGAGTGCACTTCTCTTGTGCAGGGAACAAGAAAAACAATGTCACGGTTATTTACACGCCATGGACCAATATCAAAGTATGCTTGGGGTGGCCCGGCAGCACTAAGGCCTGGTGGGCTTGCTGACTAGGTGCGCCCCACATGTAGAAAACTGGTGACATGGCGATAGGCGCCGTAACGTTCCACAATGAGCAGATGGCGAGTCTCTTAATGGAAGAACATCCTTTCCCTATCCCACTCTGGCGCAATTCTGACCGTACCATGTCCTTTGATTAGCAGGTCAAGCGAATTCACGTGAAGGAGCGCGAGAATGCGATTGTGAACCGATTAAATAAGACTAAGAGGGAAGTTGCTGTGGACCATGAAGCGGTACGGCAAGAGCGAGAGAGGGAAAGGGGGCGCGAAAAGAAAGCTGCGGCCACGGAGGCTGTGCGTACGGAATGACCGCGCCTTCGCCTTCAGCCCATGCTGACTATAGCTAAACTTATTCTGGCAGAGAAATGCGCAGCTCGTAGCTCAACGAGCGTATGCCGCAGATAAGGAGGCGCGAGACTACTCAAAGTGTACGTGGGGTTCAATGAGCATGAATGCTTTGGCGCCCGACTGATCTTTTGGAACGTTGCTCCACTTGTCCTTTGTACGCCACGATCCATGGCACATGTGGTTTCTTGTGATCTGCGATACCAAAGTGTTTTCACCAGAGGCGTTGGCGGCAGCAAACGAGGAGAAAGAGCGAAAGGCGAAATTGAAGGCCCTGCATGCTGCGGATGGTGAAGTGGCTCCGGAGGGTGAAAAGGATGATGCAGGAGGGAACGACAGCGACGACTCATTCATGTAGTCGGAGTACATACAACGCAATGCCTCTCTCGGTACCCCTACGGAAGAGACTTTACTTCCACACGCAGTAACTGCCGAACACAGGTCAGCATGTTTGTGAACGGTAGCACAAAGTCCCTTCGAACTAATCGTCGTGTTGAGCATACTTTACAAGACTGAGTAGAGCGTGGCGTCCATGCACTGGTCTTATGAATGCAAGAAGCCACTCTGAAGAGTGTTACATTAAAGTATGACTCGCATCTGGACGGGGCCTTCCACCGATACCTCCTGCGCAGATGACGCGGTTGCTCTCAGGTGGCGCTTCGCAATTTCCATTGTCAGCCGTGTGACTCTTTGTAAATATGAGAATATCGCAACGGCATCTTTCGTAAACTCGCCGATGCTGGACTAGAAAAGATGTAGGGTATAGATTTTAGCATAGAACGAAGGCATGCAGCGTGCTAGCTGGCTGGTGAAACGGTGGCAAGCGCCAATAAGCCCCTTGTGTGTGTGCCTGCGAAATTACAAATTTGGGCCACTGCGTTCCGGGGAGCCACATTCCACCACGGTGTTTAAGAATGCGGAGTGCACACTACTTACATTTTGGCACAGAGCAGGCCCCTCGAGCCGCGCCACTTGAGGAGGGGGCGCAATTAGCGGCAGCAAGGCAGGCATACATCTACCATTTATCTCATTTGGGTTCTTTCCGCATCACACTCCGCTTTACGATCTTTGAACTGCATCCAGATCTATGTGATAAGTGAGTGCCTCCCATTGGCCTGAAGTGATGGGGGTTATTGATGAAATTGGAGATGCCACGCCTTGGCCAAGCGGATTTTATGACATTGACGCCCTAGGTGAACGTCAAGCACTCCTGAGTTGTATGCTATGTCCCCCTGGTACCAATCCCGAAGCGACCAAACGAGTGCGCCGCTCTTCCCTGAGCAACAATTGCTTTGATCGCTTCATAGTCGAGACCCTACGCGCAGCATCACAGCCGGCAGCACTTGGTGACTTCCATACATCCTGCCCTCGTCAACATGGTCCTCCCCGGAACATTTTTTGCACCGCGGAACAGCTCCGGTAGCGACGAGGAGGAGCTCCGGAAGGACCGTGCTGCTTGGAATCAGAAGCCGGTCGATGCAGACCTCGAACAGAAGTTGCAGCAGATTAGCGCATTTAGGGAACGATTAGCCCGCGAGAAACGGCTGGGAGCGGTATCTTCGTCATCCTTATCGGCTGCTAATTCTACGTCATCGATCCCCGCCGGGCGAACAACTTTGCAAGCTGGCACGAGGAGGGGAGAGCAACACCATGAAGATCGTAGGCGTCGATCCACTCTGGATTCAGACCAGGACCATGGGCTAGAGCACGCGTCCTCTAGCTCCCGACCAACATCCAAGCTGGATGTACGGTCCAGCTCGAGCGAACGCCGAGACGCTGATGTTCGCCCCTCCGCCCCTACGCTCATGGTGACATCGTTGTCTCCTCCTGCAGCAGAGGCTCCAAGCTCACCGCCTACACTTGGTGCCCGTCGGCGCTCGTCCAACTTCCAGCTACCGAAGCTTAAGACGAGAGACTTTGCATTCCACCCATCCAGTCAACGTTCGACTGCATTTGGAGAAGCTCAGTGCTCGAATCCTCTGTCAATAACACGTACGATCAGTTTCAAGGATGCCAAACCTACTCCCAGTCGGTTGCGCGGTTCCATGGGCCATAGTCACCATGATGATCATGCACGCGCGTACAATGGCCGTGATGACGATGACGCGCTGCACACACCGTACAACGCACGAACCCTCCATGCCAACCTTTCGTCAGCAGGCATTTCATCCTCTTCACGCTACCGGCCGCGTGGCAGTGGCAGGGGCACGCTATCCGCTTGGCCTAGTCATGCCGACCCGGTTAGCCCGTTTTCCACAGACACGGACGGCGAATCGACCATGGACGAAGACGGTGCAGGTGTCGGAACTGGGAAGTTCCACCTTCATATTGGATTCCTCGAGCGACTCCGGGAGAGGCGCAGGCGTTTGCACGAGGAGGATGAGAGGCAGGTCGCCCATGCAGCAAAGATTGCTGCTGTGGGTGCTACCAGCACCATCGGCGAGAAAGGCAGCGAGCACGGGCCGGGCGGTGAAGAAGGCCGCGCCGTAACTGCCGAAGGAAGATTGGAGGAAATAGAAGAGTTCGCGCTCAGAATATACCGAAAGACGCCCATCTTTTCTGGAGTCATGGCCCCATTTGCGATCATGCTTGAGTGAGTTTTTCCGCAGGCTATATGCGCCTTAGTTGACACCGTACTAACGTTTGACTTCCTGGTTGCGCTCAGGGTGCCTGGCCTCACGTCGAAATGGTACGTCCGCACGCCCACACCTGGCATAAGCGTAGTGTATCAAGACAACCCGGCGCTTCTTGATGTCGGGCTGGCGATTAGCATGGGATCTGCCATCATTGCAAACATCTTCATCATCCTGCGCTTTCTCGAGCTTTTGCGACCTCGATTTTCGACGGTTGTCGCGGTTATCTTTCTCACATTTCACGATATCATTAATGTCATGGCGCTCTCGATCTTCGGCGTCATTCATGCTGTTGGCGATGGTGAGTGGTTCGATCGTAACGTCTCGCTCGACGCCGAAGAGTATTCTGGCGGATTCTGTTATGGGTCTTCGATTGATGTGATCTCTCGACTCTTATCACTCGGAAGGCTTCACCTATAGCGAGAGCTTTTATATGACACTTGGCTCGACTGTGGCCTCCATCATGGTGAATGTCACCCTGATCATCGATTTCATCTCAACGAAGAACTTCGGCAATGCGGGATCTGGCCTGACGCAAAAGCAGAAAGAACTTGTGGGTCTGTTCGGTCGATTCCTTGCCTTCCATTTGCGATCTGACTTTTTCTCGTGCGCACTGCGCACCACCATCTCTTCCGGACAGGTGATCATGGCGATGGTCTTCCTGGTCTACCTCTCACTCGGCAGCCTGCTTTACGCGCTCATTCTCGGAGACCGCTTCGAGAATTCTCTTTACTTCGTCTTGTGCACGATCACTAGTGTTGGCTTTGGTGATATGTTGCCCGCAACCCTGGCCTCAAAGATCATCCTCTTTTTCTATGCCCCTGTCGGGATCGTACTTGTCGCACTCGTCATCGCCACTGCGCGGCAAACCATTCTGGAGTCCTTTGAGAAGACGTACAAGAAACGCAGAACAGAGTTCCGGAGACGATACGAAGACAAGCAACGAGCACGCAAAGACAATAGACGGCAGAACAAGACATTACGCTGGTTATATCGAGGACGAGGCGCCAAGCCTATCTCGAGTTCGGGGGGCATAGGCGGCGGAGAGAATCAGGATAGCACTGGGAAAAGCCGAGTAACGCCAGGATTTTCATTCAGAGGGAGCCCAGCGTCGCTACGAAAGAAAACCATGACCCTACTGTCTTCGCCTTTCTTCACCAGGAGATTCGTCGAAGAGCAGGACAAACAGTATCAGACAGTTGACAAACAGACACATACCTCGGAAAGATCTGATCCGAGGCCTGGCCACGAGGCTCACAAGTCGACAAAAGCTACTACGCCTTCTAAATCAAGCTCGGCCGACGAGAAAGATGTAAGAGGCACCTCGTCGTCGTCATCAGCGAAGAAGGCATCGGCCGAAGGCCCCAGCGCGGACAAGGCGGCAGAGGGGACAACGGAAGCACAAGTAAACTTTCAGGTGCTACACACCGAAGCCGAGCAAGCACCAAGAGCTTTTGCCAACTCGACACAGTCCATGACGCTAGTCGCGACCGAAAATACTCCCCTTGCCGAGGTAGACACATCCGTAGATGGCGTGGACTCCAACGAAGAGGATAAGGCTGGGGACACAGAACCAGCGCGAGAAGAGGACAAAGAAATGCATTCGCACGATGGTTTTGCTGAAGCAGAGCTTGACGAGATGGAAAAGGAGCTGAAGAAGCAGCGCGAAGAGCTTGAAGCAAATTGGAAAGCTTACAAGGCAAAGATTATCGAGACAGAGCGCACCGAGGTGAGGCCTGCTTCTATACTGGACCTCGACTTAGACCGTCTGAATTTAACTCGTGCGCTTTGCACATGACAGTTCTATGCGAAGCTCTCTGTAGCTGCTTCGCTGTTCTTCTTGTTCTGGACCATTGGAGCTCTCGTCTTTATGTTCACTGAAGGCTTTGACTATTTCACTGCGTTTTACTTCTGCTGGGTGACGATGATGACAATCGGCTATGGCGATTTTACTGCGCGCTCACCGCCTGGGAGGTGAGTGCAGGTCCGCATACAAGCGGGTGTTGCCATACGTACCTTCCGGCTGATTAAATAAAATTCCAACTCCATCGGATGTGCTTGCTGAACCGTCTAAATTTTCAAATGCTCCCTTCCGCAGAGCCTTCTTCATCATCTGGATGCTCTTCGGCATCGGTATCCTGACCGTCGTATTCGCAATCATTGGAGACGCCTGGGGGTCAATGTATCACAAAACCATCATGAAGGGTTCGAAGCGGCAAGCAGTGACAAAAAGCCGCCAACGGCAGAGGCTGCATAAGCTTGCAATGTCCAGGCAACACTCCCCCATGACAGGTTCAGGGCGCGCGCCGATGACTCCAACGACCTCGACCACTGCGCATGCCTCGGCCGATATCGAAAAGTCGCCTAAAGCTTTAGAAAGTCGCAACACCTTGATATCAGCACAGCACTCCGCCCCTGCTTTGCATCAAAGGCTAGACGAACATTTGGCTGAACAGCGACTTCATGCCGGCCACGAGAATGTACCCGACCATGAGCTGGAAGGTCTGGCTCTCGGGCTCGCTCGCGCTGGCATGGCTTTGCATGAACATGCTTCTCGTTTCATGCTGGAACAGCGCCATTCGCTGCAAGCAGCACTGTCCAAGCTTCCAAATTGGCATGACTTTGTGCCGGAGAGGCGCGTGCAATACAGCAGAGAACAACTGCATGAATGTGTCCTCGTGGCCGAGTCGATCGGCGACCCGACTTCCATTCAGGCGGCGCAGCAGCTGCTGACGATGCATCAGCTCGAAGAACAACTGACGCTAGTCGTCAAGAATGCACATGTAATGACAGACACGCTTTCTCGACAGCAGCAAGAGATTTCCGACCTGCAGGCAAAGATGGCAGACAGTGCAGCAGGCTCTGCATCGAGTCCATCGACCCCTACATCAGATCCAAATGTCCGAACTCCCCAGGCGGAAGAAACCTCAGAATTCGTCGCTTGAAAGGGTTCATGCGCTTTCCAATGGATCGACCCTCACCCTCTGCTCGTTGCACCCACCCACCGCCTTCGTTCAGGCTCTGTTAATTCTCAAGCAAAAAAAAACTCGGATCGCTTGCAGTTCTTTGTCCGCACTATGCATATATCGCGTCTCCGTACACCTTTGCGTTGTTTTGTGCAGTCAATTGTATTTCACATGTATATGTACTATGCTCACAATTCACATCCTGCCCCTGCCGATTGCTCCATCGCATTCCATACCTATGAAGAAGTCAACGCTGCCTAACTTGAGACAGAGTCTGTTTCCTGGCGGCGATGCTTTCGGTCGGGAGTCATTGGTGGCCGTGAGATGGCAGAGGCGGCAGCGCGCCCAATTTACTTGTTGTCAGATTATAGTAAAAAGAAGAGACCAAGATTCAAGAGGCGAGTCGCGCATTCGTTTCCAAGGGCAAGAAAACAAAGAATGAGGCAAATGTGGCCGTTGAGGTGTCCCTCACTCTATTCATCACGAATGTCAGCATCAGGCACCACGCTTGAAGCACGAAGCATGAAGCGTGGACGCGGAATGCTGAACCACTAAGTGGCGAACGCGCTTCGCGCTGAACGTTAAAACAATGTCCAAAAGGACATGCTGCGTTGCATACGGATGGACTGGACCTTGAAGCATTTGGAGATGAAAGGGCTGTTTTTGGCAGCATTCAATTCAATGTCTGGAAGGACCAGCCAAACAGAGAGAGACGCACGTATGACTGTGGGCTCATGTGCCCGCAGTGCATCCATGTTCCCCACTGTGAGATCAAGCACCAGGGCAGGGCGCATAGAAAATGCGTGAACTCCGCTTGGCCTGAGGAGAGAGAACGTGGTACTCCTCACATCACCTCATCCACCAGCACGGAGAACAAGGCCTTATGTCGGGTCTGCAGGGCTTAATACCTGGCAGATGTTCTCAAGAGAATGCAGCTGGGTATGCGAGCCCTATGCAGGTTGGAGCTGTCGGCGCACGGGCCGCACGCACCTCGATCCCTTGCAGCGCGTGAGCATGGCTCCCCTGCACCTCCCAGTTTCGCATATATATCTCGACAGGGTCTCGAACTGATCTCGGAGATCTAACCGCTGAGCGCTGCTGGTCGAAGCCTGCTGAAGCAGAGGCGAATCTTTGGGACAGGCACATTGTCCGAGACAGTCGTGAACTCCAGCAGACGTTATCGCTTCATCGCGCTTCGGCTTGTTTACATCGCACATGGCACAACAAACACCTCTCTCCCTCTCCAGTGCCCATGTCCAAGGCGACCCTGGCTTCTCTGGCCACCGCTTCCGTGCACCAGGAAAAAAAGAGTTCCGCCAGGTCTCACCTGCTGCACTCTTCCTAGAGTTCGAGAACCTGTTCGAATTTCGTTCGACTTTGCTTTTTGCAAACGAATACTTCGAGGTACAGATCAAAGAACGAGACGGTAGGAAGACAGCCAGGAAGAGCGACCCTGAGGCGGAGACTCTGAAGCCTCTCCCCATTTTATATGCTTTTGTCTGCGCGGCGATCCCGTTCGCTGATGCGCTGACTGCTGCTGATTCGTTCATTCGTGGTCTCCGAGGGACAGGGCAAGGAATGGGTAAGGGCCGCATGCCTCGCAAGCATGCACCCATGCGGAACTCGGGCCTCATTACCCTTCCATAGACCATCAACTGTTGAATTTTTGATGCTGCATTCTTGACCGTGACCATTGGCAACCGTGCTGCTTTTTGTTCGTACGCAAGACCAAAAGAAACTCGAGTCTCCCTGGCGATGATGCAGCTCAATACGCTTGCCGCATTCACCACGCTGGCAGCAGCTGCTACTACTGCACCCGTCAGCCAGGATGGATTCCTGCAGACGCAGGCAAACTTCCAGATGGTCGCCAACTCGGCGTCTACCAGGGTGAAACCGTAGGCGCCATCGCTTCTCACCCTTCGTACCTGGTCTATACGATGAGATATCACTACCTGTACACCAGTTACAGTGTCCGTAAAGAGTGCTGAAGCTATGTGCACGTATGCACCCATGCGCACTAGCTCGTTTCGAGTTTCGACCAATGCATGCAAGCCTGCGACGACACGGAGGGCTGCGTCTTCGCCAACGTGTACCAGGATCAACACCCAGCTGGCGAGATACCTAGAGACCTGCCTCCTTCCGCCCGCCCAGCAAAAGTACCAGCTGGGCGAGCTCACGTGCGCACTCGTCTCCAAGTGCCTTGGCGACGACTCTTTCGACAACTACGGCGGGTAGAACGGCCCAAGCTACATCACCGAGTCGTAGGGCTTCTACAAATTGGACAGCCGCTGATCGCTCAAGGACACTTCACGCGTTTCCTCACATTTGATCACTTTTCCCGGGCATATTCGTGAAGTTCATCAATAGCAAAGCAATACTTTTAAATATGGGTCCTTGAGGCGTCACGCCGTCGCGGTTCATCACATGTACGATCATCGTAAAGCGTTCCGCATGATCATCAACCGACACCGCCCGATGTGGCAATGGTGATGAAGGTGGCCGAGCTCATGTTTCAGCCGATGCATGGTGCCTCTGAAACCAAAACAAATGATTTTGCGCCGCATTCCATTATCTTCGGACTGAATCTTGTATTTGCAAATTGAATACAAAAGGAGGAAACGGATCTTCCACCATCTGGCTCTTTTCCGTCCCATCTACGGACATATAGTCATGGAGGTCGGCAAGCAGCTCTGCGGCACCGCAAGGGCCGCCTGCGTATCTCCTTTGCCCACGCGATTGCTATGTACCTTGTTACACTTGCAGCTCATCGGCACTGGACGCCTTGAGGCTGAGGTCAAACGAGTCGCGCAGCAGGTTCTCCACCTCCTGTTGGTGCGCCTTCTTGTTACCCGTCGCGACCGAGCTCGATGGCGGCCTGCTTGCAACGACGGTCAGACGCTGCTTGTGGTGCTCAGTGTGGCGGCATGCGGTGCGGAGACGTGGCTGCCAAGACGCGGGCAAGATGCAGGTCAATAAGTCATGTTGCAAAGTGTGGAAGATGCGGGAAGGGACGAGCGCTGGCATTGAGCACCTCATTGCTCAGTTCCTTGCAACTCACCTGAACATAGGCCCATGGGCCGTTGTTGAGTGGCTCCTCCTGGGCCCACATGAGGTCGGCATTGCGGTACTTGTCGAGATGCGGAGTGATAAGGTCGTACGGGAAGGGGCTGATCTGCTCGAGACGGGAGATGGCGACGTCCTTGATGCCTTTCTCGCGCCTGTAGTTGAGAAGCGCAAAGTAGACCTGGCCCGAGCAGATAATGTGCCTCTTGATCTGGTCGGCGGGCAACAACTCGTCCTTGCCCTCCTCAGCGTGCGCTTCGGGGATGTACTTCTGGAAGCCGCCCGAGCCGGGGAGGAAGTCCTGGAGCTTGCTCCGGGCCTCAGGGTGCCGCAGGAGGCTCTTGCTGAAGAAGCTGATCAAAGGCTTGCGGAAGTCGCGGTGGACCTGCCTCCTGAGCGCGTGGAAGACGTTGGCGGGAGTGGTGCAGTAAATGACGGCCATGTTGCAGTCCTGGTGCTGCCTGTTCATCTTCTCCTCCGACGGGAACACGAACGGGTGGTCGTCGCAGAGCTGTAGGAAACGCTCGATGCGCGCCGACGAGTGCTCGGGGCCCTGGCCGTCGTAGCCGTGCGGCAGGTTGACAACGAGGCCGGTGCGCTGCAGCCATTTCCGCTCGCCGGACGCGATGAACTGGTCGATGATGCATTGCGCATTGTTGGCAAAGTCGCCGAACTGAGCCTCCCACACGGTCAGGTTCTTGGGGTCGACGAGCGAGAAGCCAAGCTCGAAGCCGAGGCAGCCAAACTCGGAGAGCGACGAGTTGCACACGACGAACGGTGCCTGGTCCTTGCTGAGGTGCTGCAGCGGCGTGTAGGTCGTCTCGTTCTCCTGGTCATGCAGGACGGCGTGGCGCTGCGAGAAGGTGCCGCGCTCGACGTCCTGTCCGGACACGCGGACGTAGTAGCCCTCCATGGCAAGCGAGCCGAACGCAAGCGCCTCGCCGGTGCTCATGTCGATGCCCTCGCCCGTGTCGACGGTGGAGCCCCTGGTCTTGAGGATCCGGGCGAGGTTGCGGTGCACGCTGAAGCCCTTGGGGTAGCTCGAGATGGTCTCGCCGATGTGCTTGAGCGTGCCGACCTCAACGCCCGTCTCCTTGTGGTCGATGATCATCTCCTTGAGCTCCTTGGGCGACGGGAAGCCGTCCCAGGCGGAGGAGAGCCACTCGCGCTCGCCGGGGCTGTAGTCCTTGCTCTTCTCGGCGGCCTCCTCGAGCAGGCTCCACACCCACCTCTGGTGCTCATCGATATCCTTCTGCGTAAATGTACCCTCTTCGACGAGCTTACGACCGTACTGTGTCACCGCCGTCTCCTTCTTGGCGATGGCCTTGTACATCCGCGGCTGCGTGAACGCCGGCTGGTCCGTCTCGTTGTGCCCGTGGCGGCGGTAGCAGACGAGGTCGATCACGACGTCCTTCTTGAATTGGTTGCGCCAGTCGGCGGCCAGCTGACACACCCACGTGACCGCCTCGGGGTCGTCGGCGTTGACGTGGAAGATGGGCGCGTCGATCGACTTGGCAATGTCCGAGGGGTACGGCGTCGAGCGCGAGAAGCGCGGGTCGGTGGTGAAGCCGATCTGGTTGTTGACGACAATGTGGATCGTGCCCCCGGTCGCGTAATTGGGCAGTTTGTACATGCCCATCGTCTCGTACACGACGCCCTGACCCGCGAACGCGGCGTCACCGTGCATCAGCAGCGCGACGGATGTGACGTGGTCCTTGTCGCCCGCAAAGTCCTGCAGCGCACGCGTCTTGCCAAGCACCACCGGGTCCTCCGCCTCAAGATGGGACGGATTGGCAACAAGCGACAACGCGACCTTCTTGCCGGAAGGTGTGGGGCGCACGTAGTTGGCACCCAGGTGGTACTTGACGTCTCCACCGCCCTCTGAGCCGTCGTCCTTACCCATGAATTGGTTGAGGATACCCTCGATCGGCCTCCGGATGACGTTGGCAAGAACATTGAGACGTCCGCGATGGGGCATGCCAATGGTGATGCTAGATGCGCCATTGTCGACGATCCGGTCGATCAGCGCCTTGACACCGGGGATCAAGCTCTCGCCGCCTTCGAGGCCGAAGCGCTTCTCATTAGGGTACTTGCTGGCAATGAAGCGCTCGAACGAGTCGGACCAGATGAGGCGGTCGAGGATGCTTCTCTTCTGCTCGGTCGTGTACTTGTACGGCACGGGCGTCTCGATGCGCTCGCGCAACCAGTCGCACTGCGAGCGATCGGGGATGTGTACGTACTGGATACCGACGTGGCCGCAGTACATCTTCTTGCACGTGTCAACGACCTCGCCGATAGTCATCTCCTTGATTCCGGCCTGCTGGAAGTTGGGCAGTAGACCGGGACCAAGGCGCAATTTTCGGTTGAGATCAGACTCGCTCCAGCCATAGTGCTCGATGGTCAGCTCCTCTGGTACGTAGGGGGCGTTAGTGATGCCGAGAGGGTCGAGGTTGGCGATGCGGTGGCCGCGAACCTGGTATGCACGCACAAGGAGTTGAAGCTGCAAATAAGACAGTGAAGTGCACGTGTCAGCCCGACGGTGCTCTACAAAGAAATTGCTAGATGGCTTGCCTGCGAGGGCAGTCAGGGGAGTAGCGCATGTACACGGAACTTGGAAGGCTGCATGCATGGGCGGTGAAGGTGTTGCCGCAAAGGCATGGTCCGAAGGCCGACTCCAACTCACCTTCAAGAGATCGTCGACGTTCGAGTTGGAAGAAGCGACGCCGGACAGGTCGACGGGGGGTGCCTCCATGGGGAGCAGCATAAGCGTCGGCGGCGGCCTGAACGCGTGCTGACTTGGCAAGCCGTTCTTGATACCCGAAAAGTAGACATCCCAGCTGGCGTGCACGCTGGAAGGGTCCTGCTGCCACAGGCGGTGCATCTCCTCGACATAGTAAGCGTTGTTTGTCTCGAGGAACTTGTCGTTTCCCGACGGTGGCGAGACTTTTTGGGGTGCCGACGAAGCTTGTGAGCGTGCTGCCGACGCGTGCAGTGCGCGCAGCAGGGGTGCATTAGGCGATGAAGCCCATGATGACGATGATGGTGATGATGATGACGATGATGACGATAATGATAATAATGGTGTTGCGGAAGCATTTCCTCTTGATGCGAGTGAAGATTGAACGGCGGCGATGGCGAGCGCTCTCCGTGGCGCCGAGGCGAGGAGACGCTGGGGCCGGGCCGAGCGCGAGTAGCTCCTCAGCATGGCGGCGACTCGGCAATGGGGAGGATGGGAGGCTGCAGTTTGCCTGCTCTTGGGCTCCCTTGGGATAGATGGATGCAGCAGCAGCAGTGATGATGGTCGAGGGTGTGTTGATGGAGTATTATCCTTGCTGGTTTGGAAAGCAAGCAAACAGAGGAAAGAAAGAAGTGGTCAGTGTGTCGGATGGATGTTTCGCCGTCTCCCTTTTAGTTCCGTGTTTCGCCCATCTACCCATCTCTTCCGCTTGCAACGCTGCTGAGCGGCGGGCGAGAGAGCGCGTTTCTCCGTTACAGCAGGCCAGCCACTCGGTCTCTGGTCTGCAGTGCCCACTGCCAACCGCACACGCTCCACGCCAGTGGCCGGTGATGACGCACAACGACCGTCTTGACCCGACTCTCTGCCCTGCCGGGCACAGTCTAGTTCCGCTTTTCTAGCCCGCACCGGCCAGCCACGGCTCCACTCTGCTTGCAGCAACCCTACATACAACCTCAAACTTCTCATAAGAACAGGTCACGTGCCCGTTTCGCGACTCGCGCTCGTGCTCGCTCGCGTGCGTGCACTCAACAACACCCGTACATACATATCCCCGCACTCCAAGCCCAAACGCAACAACAAGCGCGCAATGAGAGAGCAGAGCTGAGACTTGGTGGGAGAGAAAAAGCTAGAGGGAATTGGGCAAAAGAGCTTTGCTGCAGACTTGCTCAACTCTGTATGCGCGCTGCGGTACTTTTATATACATACGAGTAGGTACCCATATACGCTGGACAAAAGGGCGCAAGCCCGCAGGGCATGCATTGATTGACACTTTTTGAGCATTGGGTCGTCCATAGAAGTGCAGCCAACCACGTTTGCAGCATTGCACTGTGCAGGGCCACGCCTACTCCCACTTCACCCAGCGCTTTGCAAAGCCCTCAGCAAGGAATTTTGGCGAAACATCTGCTGGCTGGCTGCACTGTACATACAGCCAGTCCCACTCGATATTCATGGCGAGTACGAGCTGCGGCAACACCTTGGGCCCCGGTATTGGATTTGTCTCCTCCTTTCTACCGACACCGATGACGGCGAGCACAACGGCGGCGGCGAACCAGGCATCACACAGTCCCCTCGTCAGCGGAGTCCGCACCCAGAGTCATTGGCAGCAGCAGCACAACGGCTCAGCTCCCCTTTCTCCTGCAAGACAGCGCGAGCAAAACGCGGCGCACATGGCAGACTACGACGCCAAGATGAAAGCGTACATGGCGCTCAAGGCGCAGGCGCAAGCAGGCAAAGATGTCGCACACAGCGGCAGCAATCGAGCCTCTGTCTCGCTCAGCAAGGGCACCCCGATGCGCGGCATCCAGCCCATCGGCGGCAGCAGCACAGCAGGCAGCGCAGGGCAGGGCAGCCATTCGCGCAAGCCCTCCGGTGCAGTAGCAGGAGGTGGTGGAGCAGCAACATCAGCATTGGCGGGCGGAGCGGCCGATGTCAATGCTATTACGGTCAGCACGACCAAGATCAACATCTCGAGCGCCGCACTCATGAAGCAGGCAGGCGCGTCGAGGCCGGTGCATGACCATCATCAGCAGCAGCCCATTCGGCCTCCACAGGCACAGCACTCGCAGACGCACGCATCGGCATCATCTAGCGGCACGGCCTATCGACCAAGCCAAGCGCAGGCACATCATCATCAGTGGCAGCAACAGCCACAGCAACACCAGCAGCCACCACAAGCCTCGTCAGCGGGTGGCCTCGACGTCGGCAAGTACGATGGCGGCTTTGAGCGTGACGAGAAACGAGGGCGGAGGACGCTCAATGCTGGTGCGGCTGATGCACTGGCCGTCGATAGCAGCGATGCAGGGTGAGATTTACCAAATGCTACTACCTGCGCTTCGTGGTAGCTGACTCTCGACCCTCCCTCCTTGCGCAACTTGCGCCTATCGCCCCGCCTCTCCTCAAACGCGGACCGCACTACATCTAGGCGCGCGCACCGCCCGACGAAGACATGGCGCCTGAAGGACTTTGACATCGGGCGCGGCTTGGGCAAAGGGCGCTTCGGGCGTGTGTACATCGCCAAGACGAAAGCGGCGCCGCACTTTATCCTCGCACTCAAGTGTCTGTACAAGAAGGAGATCGTCGAGGAGAGGCTCGAACACCAGATCAGGCGAGAGGTCGAGATCCAGATGAACTTGAGGTAAGGCACTCGTTCTCGAGGCAAGTCATTTGCACTGTGGACCATGTCGAAGCTGATTACTTTGCATCCATCCATGTTTGTGCAGACATCCGCACATCCTTCGCCTGCACGGCTACTTTCATGACGAAGGGCGACTCTTTCTCATGGTCGAGTTTGCAGGCAAAGGCGAGTTCTACAAGTACATGAGCAACCTTCCCGGGCGTAGATTCCCCGAGCCGACCGCCGCAAAGGTGAGGCGGGAAATGATAGACCGTTGCGTCCGTCTCTCTCCCTGCATGCTGACGTGCTGATCCCGCGCCGCCCGACAGTACATCGCGCAGATGACTGACGCGCTGCAGTACCTGCACACGAAGAACGTAATTCACCGCGACATCAAACCGGAGAATCTGCTGATGGGTCTGAACGGCGAGCTGAAGATCAGCGACTTTGGCTGGTCCGTGCATGCGCCCGGTAACCGCCGCTCGACCATGTGCGGCACGCTCGACTACCTCCCTCCAGAGATGATCGACAGGCAGAAGCACGGCAAAGCAGTCGATATATGGGCGCTCGGCGTGCTCACCTACGAGTTCGTCGTCGGAGACGCACCCTTCTCTGCGGAAGATGGCGGACGTGAGTGGAGCAAGTGCGACGCATTCCATCCGGGGGAGCGCACACCGGCTTGTCTCCCGCGCTGCATCACACTACTGACCGTCCGTGCTGCTTTTCTCGTTGGCCGCGCCTGCGCGTATCGCATCACAACAGGCACATACGCGCGCATCTCAAGCGTGGACCTCCAATTCCCTTCTAGGCTGTCTGCAGAGGTATGCGACTTGATCAAGCGGGTACGTCCTAAGCATACATTTGCACCTTCTGTGTTTCATTGGTACTCATCTCGCGTCTCGTCCTTCAACATCAAACATCACCCAACAGCTGTTGAGGAAAGCACCAGAGTCCAGACTCCCGCTGGCAAAAGTCCTTACACACCCTTGGATCGTCAAGTACGATCCCGAAGCGGCTGCCAGAGCCAGCGGTAGGACGTTATGATCGTCAGAGCTATAGGATCGGATCATTTGCAGGGCGAGTGCGCCTGACACGATGTAATTACTGCATGCATATATCTCTTCCACATATCTCGACGCTGCCAATAGTAAATAGCAAGAGGAACCTGAAGTAGATGCATAGGGTCTGCTTGTAGTACATGAGAAGGGGCCAAGGACAGAACCTGCATCGTGGACTGCCCCGATCCCTCCAAAAAATGCTGCGTGGTGTGGTAGGCATGCAACATTCACGATTTTGCCGCAACAACTGAACACCATTGTTCAGCTCTCCCGTCTGATCCTCCTACGCCTCGGGAGGAGCGGCATCTAAGCACCTTGCGTTTGCCCTCGCAGACGTAAGATCCTTATGCAGAGACTGCCGGAGCACGAGCAGCGGCGATCCGCTTCTGAGCAAGCTGCCTCTTGTTGAGGTTCGTGCTGACAACGGCGCTCTCGGCCTTAGGAACCTCAGCTGCCGGCTCGGTCAGGTGGATCTCGATGTGGCACGGGTGGCCCTGGTACGGGTTAATGCGACCGTGGGCACGGTACGTGCGGCGGCGGGTCTTCGGAGCCTGGTTGATGACAATGTTGCGAATGATCAGCTCCTCGGTGTCGAGACCCTTGGCGTCAGCGTTGGCCTCGGCGTTGCGGAGAAGGGATGCCAGGAACTTGGCCGACTTGGTTGGCCAGCGACCTTAAAAACCAAAACGATACTCCGCATCAGTACGAAGTTCTTTGCTGGCGAATATCAAAAGCTCAAGGCCAATAGACTTGCGCATCCTCCTGCACCCCAAGTCGTAAATAGACAGACAGAAATGAGTGGCATGCGCATACAGACTTCCTTCGAGGTTCTCTGCATTTAACCTTCCTCGAATGACACTGGCCCTCCACTTATGTTCCACCCCCTGCCTATCCTTGTCCAGTGCCGCTGGCCATGAGCTTTTGAGTCTGCGCCTACTCACCCTGGGTAACACCCCACTGCTTTGCCTGTGCATTCCGGCCAACATCACCCTTGAAGCGCCTGAAAGGAACGCACTGCTTCTTGTCCTGCACATCCTGCAGGAAAGCGAAAGCCTTCTGCAGTTTCATGCCCGAGACGGTGGCAGCGGTCTCGCGGGTGTTCTTGAAGTGCACCCGGAGGTAGGAGCCGTGGCTCCTGGCCGACTTTTCGGTCAGTGTCGTGTCGTCGAAGGCGTACCTCTGGAGATGAGAAATAGGTTAGCTAGGCTGTCCGATGGAGCGACGCTTATTTCCAAGGTAGGCAGCGCGAGTCGCAATTTCCCAACATCTATGCTCCAACCACTAGCAGCGAGTCATCTTCCTAATATGTTCTTGTTGGATATCCCCCTAAGCATGACCTGTAATCTTGTCCTCCACCCCAGGATACCAATAGCGCTCTCCCCTTGCCTTCCCCGTGCTGCCATTTTCGACGAATGCCAGCGTATCGCGCTCCACGCTGCCCAGATATAGGGAGCCTATCAAACGTACCATCTTGAAGATTCTTGACTGGACCTAGGACGAGATGGTGTAGACAAGTTAGGCACGAAGTAAGATGTCATGGATCAACGAGACTTGAAGCTAATCCAGAGCCAAGCAGGTTGCTCACACGGAGCAGTGCGAGCGGGCAGGCGAGTGCGGGAAGCAGGGGGCGTGCGAGCAGTAAGTGAAGCATTCCGGCATTGGGTGGGCGCAATAAATGCCGCAGCAAAATTCTAAACCCTCTGCTCCAGCGCAGCGCGCCGCTCCTCGCCGTAGCCAATACCACCGCCCAGCCTTGCACATCCTCCAGCTGGCTCGCCAGGCTGTCGATTGCCACCAGAAGTTCTTAAACTTTCACATTTGACACCTCATCATAAGCTAGCCTCTCCTCACCGACTTTACGAAGGAAATAACAGCAAAGATGGCGGGCACGTCGGGTGAGTTTACCCATTGCAGAGCGTGCAGTGCGGCCAGCGCAAGCCAGTCCGCCAGGAGGGGCATCTTGGTAGCATGGAGAGGTGGAGGATACAACAAGAGGGCTTCAGTTTAGCAACAAGCAAACACAATCTCGCAGAGCGCTGGGGAAGGACAGAAGAGTCTATGAAAACGCGAAGGAGGTCGTCATTTGGGCACATTGGAGTGGCGGCACGGTCGTTATCAACTGCGGCTGAGCAGACTTGATGGACTCAAATGGGCGAATGGCTATCCTGGTTCTCAGAAGCAAGGTTGCCCATATTGCATGCAAAAAACATGGAGTCATATCGCAAGGTGGAAGATAGTGACAGTAGCCTGCTGCTATTTGGTCATCGAGTGGTTAGGGGAAGGTTGGCATACAGGCACTGGCTGCGAGGGGGAACACTGCACGCTCCAATTCTAGCACTACTTGACTTAAGCTAACATTGTATGTCTGTCTGTAGCAACCTCTGGCAAGCAAACGGCCACCAAGGCCAAGAAGGCCGCCCTCAAGGGCGTGAACGGCCACAAGGTCCGCAAGGTGCGGACCTCGGTCTCCTTCCACCGCCCCAAGACTCTGCGCCTGGCTCGGTCGCCCAAGTACCCGCGCAAGTCGATCCCGCATGCGCCGCGCATGGATGCTTTCCAGACTCTGCTCTACCCACTCAACACCGAGAGCGCGATGAAGAAGATCGAGGAGATTAACACCCTTGTCTTCATCGTCGATCGCCGGGCGAACAAGAGGCAGATCAAGGAGGCGCTGAAGAAGGTCTACGACGTTGACGCAGAGAAGATCAACACTCTCATCAGGTGAGCATATATTACAGAGCACAACCGGATGGGGCAAGGTCAAAGAGATTCGGGTAGTGGGAATGTGCAGGGGTTGTCAGATGCCTGACGGGTGAAGGTATTGAATGGATATGGTCTCTCGATCGGAGATGGAGCCTTGTGCCGTTTTAGCGAAGCGAGACGACGAGAGAATGCAGACGCTGATATTTTGAAATTTTCCGACCGTGCAGGCCGGATGGCAAGAAGAAGGCGTTCATCAGGCTCCACAAGGACCAGGACGCGCTCGATGTGTCGAACCGTATCGGCTTCATTTAAATGTGTCGCCACGACCTGATGTCGTTGCGCTTCTAAAGCCAAAGACGAGGGCAACACCTTTCCTCCTGATCTGGAGGTTTGTCGTGCACCGCGGCACACCTTCAGTCGCTCGACTGTGCTTGTCTGTTTGTGACGGACGCTCGCACGCCATGCACAATCGAGCACATTTGTATGACTACTCTGCATGAAGAATCGATATGGTGCAAGCTTGGAAACTCATCCTTCCGCCGTGCTTTACGTGAACATCTTCTGGCCCAGACTTGAAAATATTCCTGTGACAGCAACCGGACAAGGCAGGAAGTCGGTAGAGCATTCGCTGCCGCTACGGATCAGCGTACCGCTACAGGGAGTCGAGCACGACCTGCAGATACACAGTAAAGCACATGAAGGGCAGCATCGCACGCATCGTACATGTTGCTTGCAGGTGCAAGGCACAGAGAAATAACAAAAGTACATTGGAAAGCTCGTGAAGGATTTTACAAAGTTGTGAAAATATGCACCGTGGAAGTCATAAGTGGGGCGTGCGATGCGACTAAAAACGAGTCCTTTCGCTACAATTTTGGGAGTGGGGTGTATCGTGTGTGCATGCGTTCTTGTATTTGCCACTTTCTTTTGTTTCCATCTTCCATCCCTCCTTGGCGCTCGTTGTGCGTCGTCGCGAGTCTCACGCGCTGGCCTGCTCGTCGCCGATGTGCATGGCGTCGACTTGCTTGCGAAGGACGCGAGCCTGGTCACTCGTCCGGCCAAAGTACTCGCCCGCCTCAATTGCCGACTGCTCCTGCGTCTCGGCGTCGTGGACCTGCTGCGCCCGCTGCGCGATTGCAACGCGGAAGGTCTCTTGCAGATCGTACGACGCAAGCCGCATCACTTTGCGTACCTCTCGGGACACGCGCTGCGTGTGCAGCGCCGTAAACGTCGCCGAGCCGCTGCCGCCTATGTTATTGCCGATGTAGTCTGCAACGTCGTCAATAGCAGCGGAAGCAGCGATATCCTTGAGCGGCTGCATGCCAGCGGCGTGCAGGCTGCGCCCGACGTTACGCGGGATCGAGTTGGGGAGGTCGTAAATGACGTACACGACAGCAGCGGCGACGCTGAGGCCAAGGATGGGCCCGGCCCACTTGCGCGCGGTCTGGTTGCCAATAAGGTCAAAGACGCGCAGGAACGGCTCGAGCGCCGCCTTGGCGCCGAGCGCCTTGCCGCCGACAAGTGTGAGAGCACCGAGGCCGAGCGTGACGCTGCCAGCAAGGCCCACCTCCTCTTCAGCCGTGAGAGGCTTCTTGGACGGCGAGATCGATGTACCGCCGCTCTTGCAAGCAACAGCGACGGGGAAGATGGCCTGTATGAAGTGCGGGATGTCAAGGATATCCGTCGAGCGCAGGTCCGCGACGTCCGGGCCGAGGCCGAGCCATGCGAAGTTGCCGCTGCTGCCGGGGCGGATAGCGGTACGGCCGTAGAGTCTGCGGGCGACCTTGTGGCCGTTGCGCGACGACGAGAACATGGCGTGCGGCAGGAAAACGCGGTTGGACCGCTCAACGTCCTTGGGCAGCTGCTCCTCGCCGATCGCCTTGACAGTCGAGACAGCGGCGGCGGTCGTGAGGCGTGCGTTGTGCTCGACGTCCTTGACTGCCGCCTCGAGGCTGTCAAGGAGGAGCAGGCGCACCTCCTCAGCGTACTGCCACACGTCGAAGAGGCCCGGCCACACAGGGAGCGAGAAGGCGGCGTGCGCCGGAGCGCCGCGCGCGATAGCCTTCAAAGCCGTGTGGAGCTGCTCGTGCGCGGTGCGCGAGACGCTGCCAACAGTGCGCTCCTCCTCTTCCTCGAGCTGCGCGCTGAGCTTTTCGTGGCGCCGCTTACACTCAGTCAGTGCAGGCCGCGCGTCAAGGAGGCGCTGCTGCGCTTCCTCCTGCTCGGCCTTGGCGACGGCGAGGTTGGTGCGCGCGAGGAAGCCAATGTCGGAGAGCAGGCGCAGGATGTACGTCTGCGCTGGCAGCAGCTTCGACTTAGACCGCTTGAGTAGGACAAAGTCGCGCAGCGAAGTTTCGAGTCGGGCAAACGCTGCGTTCGATTCAGGCGAGGTGGCTGTTTCTGCTGCTCCTGCGACGTTCTCCCCGGCAAGCTTCTTGGACGATCCATTGCCGCTTTCTGAAGAGGGAGTCTCGACGATGCTGCTATCGGGCTCGCTGCCTGCCACCTCCGTCAGCGCTACTGCTGCTACGCCATCCGCTGAAGTGTCGTCAGGGAAGACGGCGCTCGAGTCGACAAAGTGAACGAGTTCGTCCGCGTCCTCGTACGTGCGGGGGCTGAGCTGGCGGATCTGCTCAAGGACGATGCGCCTGCACTTGTCTTTGTTCTTGATCTGGTCAAACTTGTTGACGACGATGAAGACGTAAGCCTTGTCGTTGCTGGCGTTCCAGAGGAACTCCTTGGCACTGAGCGTAAAGTGGTTCTCGGCGCTGACGACAAAGACGACGACGTCAATCTCCTCCTGGCGCGCAAAGAGCGCTGTCGTCTTGATCGAGTCGCGGTTGAGACCAGGCGCGTCGATGAGCGCAATGTCAACGACGCCCGAGCGCAGCAGCGACTCGGGCTTGGCCCGGTGGTCGCGGCAGTAGCACTTGATCAGCGGCGGCATGGCGTTCTCGCCGGCGGCGGCAGCAAGCTCCTCGGCGTGCGCGACGATCTGCTCGGTCTGGCTGAGCGTGTAGCGCGCGTATGTGCTTTCATCTTCGCGGCGGTAGAACTTGCCGTCGCGGAGCATATGGATCTCTTCGTAGCCATCGTTGGCCTCGTCGGCGTCGAGCACCTCCCAGAACACTGTCGTGCACGGCTGCTGGTCCGTTGGCATCAGCTCGCGGCGCAGGAGCGAGTTGACCAGCGTCGACTTTCCGGCATTGAGATCGCCGGTGACGAGGACCTTGCTCTGCTTGTCGCCGACGCGCAGGCGCAGCGCTTCGAGGTGGCGGATGGCCTGGGTCATGCGTCCGTCGAGCAGCTGCGCCACTGACGACTTTTCGAGCGAGTGCACTAGCGACTGTGCGGCATGGATGCCCGACACACCCGGTATTCCAGGCGCCAATGATGAGGGCCCGCTGCTGTGCACGCCGTGCCCGACCTTGAGGTCAAGCCGGAGGATGCTGAGGTCACCTGCTTCTGTGTACGCCGCTGCCGCCGCCTCGTCGTCCTCCTCCCCATTGTGCTCCTGCGTCGCGTCGTTCTGCTGCCTCTGCGGCGGCTGGGTATATGAACGTGACAGCACGTGGCGGGCGGGGGTACTGGGCGCGCTGACCGTGGCGGCGTGGCTGCTGGGCTGGGGTGATGCGGCACGGGCGAGCGAGTCGGAGGACGAAGTGGAGCGATGCAGCTCGCCGTCGTCTTGAGTCGCGTGGGAGGCCGATGCGCGTGCCAAGGGGGGGTTGATCTCGGGGTAGTGGACGATCCAACGGCCGTAGTTGAAGTCCTTGAGCTCGTTCAAGATGACGGCCGTCTTGTCGAGCGCGGCGGTGAGGCTTGCCTGGTGACTTGCGTACGCCCTGCTGGTTCCGTCTGCCGCTTCACCCTCTTGCTCCGACTCCATATGTACATCTGCAGTCATGTCCCCAGCGCCAGTGGTAGCCCCGGCCTCCAACGATGCGACGGTCGCCTCGCTGGCGCTGCGTACCCACTGCAGCGGCGAAGGGGTGAAGGGCGCATAGGGTGTAGATCGTGAGTTGACCGCGGACGGCGCGGTCATGGTTGCTGTCGATGACGACACGGAGTCGGCAGGCCGGCCTGCAGCAGCAGCAGCAGTGGCAGCAGCAGTGGCAGCCGCAGCTACTGTCGCTGGCTTTGCGTACTGCTGCGACATGATTGTAAGCTTGGGCAGGCGTCGGTGAGTGGACCTTGCTTGCTTGTTTGCTGCTGCTCCACAGATACATATGGTTGAGCGATGGAGCTCCTTGCTTTTTACCTTTTGGTTGGCGTGGCGTGGCGAGTCAGTTGAGAGTGACAGAGAGCCCGCGCGCTCTCGAGTGGAGGGTGGTGTGCGAGACAGCTGCTGCGGCCTAGTGCCTGCAACCTCCGCCCACTGCCGCTAGACGGAGGAGCCCGGGAGGGGAAATGAGGCGAGAGCAAGCAATTTTTTTTGTCAGTGTTGGTTTAGTTCCGCACACCACAGAGCCAAGCCAAGAGAGTACAATCACGTGATGCCTCAACCCAAGCACAGGGATTGCAATCACAACAACAGTTTTTTGGTAGATAGCTGACGTCACGTGCACGCCACAAGCAGCAGGGGGAAGACTGACCAGCTGCCGTGTCTCTGCCGCTCTGCAATGCTCGAAAGGGCTATTGTTGCATCAACGTTCAATGGAGGTCATGTAGACGCAGCGCGCATCGAACATGGGGAGAGGCCGCGGCAGCCAGTACCTTTCTGGCTGCTGCCGTATGAATGAGCCACCGGCCGCATGAAAAGAGGGTCAAAGAGGCGTTCTGCACTGTGCCCCGTCAAGTATATGTACGTATTGTGGCCTAAATGCAGAAAGAATAGGTTCTTGCACAAGAGTTCCCCGGATGATGGCATTTTGGCTGACTGCAGCGCACGCCCCAACCTGTCGAAGGGTGAAGGTGTCTGCAACGTCATATCTCCCGGGGAATCCACGCTCGCTCGTTACTCGACGCCGCGCAGTCCAAGTCGTCTCCTATCACATCACACGTACACGAGGGTGTACGATACGATACGCTTTGCATCCCTCCTTCTCCACCACAACCGTCGCAGCCTGCAGCCATCACGCACGTCCCATTCGCAAGCTCTACAAAACACTCGCGCTGACGTGAATCCACGCATTCGTCGCCTTGGTGCTCGCTATCCGCAGCAGCAAAGTCCACACGCAAGCTCAAGCACCTAAGCCCCTCGCTTAGCGCAGCGCAGCACAGCACAGCCAAACACAACACAACACAGTTCAAAATGGCGCACTGGAAAGACAGCCTGGCCATCAAGGCGGTCAACGTCCTAGCCTTTGTCATCTTCCTCTCCTCCAACGCCTACACCTCGCTCGCCCCAGAGAAGGGCAACTGGGGCGCCGGACCGCACGAGACGTACATCACGCCCGAGAGATGGATCTTCGCTGTTTGGCCCGTTATCCATACGCTGTTGCTCGGCATGGTCGTCATCCAGTTCTTCGAGGTAGGCTACGACCCTGTCGTCAAGGTCGTCGGATGGCGCTTTCCCATTCTGGCAGGTGCGTTCTTCCAGATGCATGCATGCATCCCCCTTCGCTCAGCCCCAAAGCCTGTGCTGATCGCTCTTTCTCCTCAACACTGTGCGTACGCTAACCAGTCCTGACGTCCATATACTCGGCGCTGAACACCGCCAGCACCGAACACGGCGAGCACCATGACCGACGGGTTTTCTCGATCCTCGCGTTCGTCGCGCTCCTCCTCTCCGCCGGCGTCATCTCGCACATCTACCGCGACCTCAAGGTGCGGCACGCGCCAAGCTCGTGGATCGACGCGCTCTTCGTCCATGTTCCGTTCAGTTTGGTGAGTCGCGAGCGTCTCGAGTCCTAAGCGGGTCCCATACCTCTTCCCTGGCAGAGTTAACATACCGATCCCTCTTCTCCTCGTGCGTGCTACAGTACCACGGCTTTGTCGTCGTCTTGCTCGTCGTTTCGGGCTTTGCTGCCTTCGGCGTCAACGCAAACAAGCACTCCGCAGGCGTCATCACCAAGATCCTCGTCTTCATGGCGCTTCTCTTCCTCGAGGCGACCGCAGCCGGCTACGTGGTAGGTACTGTTCCCCCTCTCTGTGTTCCCGCGTAGTGATGCAGTGCCCGACGACTAACACCCTCCGCCGCGCGCACGCTTGCCCACTCGCCCACTCGCAGTTCTACGGCAAGGGAGACATTGGCGGCGCACTGGTCATCTGCCTCTCGCTGCTCGCCATCTTCCAGCACCAGACAGCCAGCTCATTCATCCACTGGTCCGCGCTCGCCTTCTTCATCATCTCGCTCGTCGCCGTTCTGCGTGCTACAATCGCCGCGTTCCGTGGCGGCCGCATCGCGCTGAGCGACGAGGAGCGGGCGCCGCTGGTTGTATGAGGCGCAAGCAAGCTTTGGCCTCGAGTTGCAGGGTACGCCGAATGCTTGGAGTATGAGTCAGAGGGGCAACCGAGTTCGGTTATCCCGTCACAGCTATGCTACGCCCGTCCATCATCCTCTCTAGGGCCTACCAAAGCACACGGCACGCAATCACCAGCCACATGCACATCTGCAACATCATTTTTCCATCTTCATTACAGACTTCATCTTCATCCATGAAATCAAACAAATGCATAGTCCAGTTTCCGTTCCCGCGAGCTCTCTTGAATTGTTCTAATGTTGTTACTCGTAGCAAGTTAATAAATGATTCCAATGAACATGAGGCGAACCTCGACTGCTGTGCGCGTTTGACAATGGGGAAGGTGTAGGTGGCATGATACCAAACGCGACAGCGGCTGGGCTGCGAGATCTGAGCCATGCGATTTGAGGAGCAAGAGAAGGCGTTTTCTCATGCGGAAACATACTGGCCGATGGGTACATGAGCCCTGCTTCTGCCGCGCTAGGAAGTCCCTGGCGTACAGGGATTGGCTCGAAAGGGCGAAACGCCCAGTTCCTTATCGCCTCATCATTGTATGCTCGAGCGCTCTGACTTCATCGCGTTGTCCCGTATATCAAACAGTCCGCACTACTCTGGCGACGAACGCCAGGTGTCCCGCTATTTATACGAGTCTTGTCGCCAGCACCGAATGCAACAAGGCATCAGTGCCCATAGCCGCCCCTTACAATTCACGCACACTTAATCCAGACACTGCATGCTATATTTCAAAGCACTGCAACGACACCCATAGGCTACTCATCAACGCCGCAGTGCGTAGCTGTGTAGCATTGCTGGGCGGGCGCAAGGCAACCTCTCCCTATCTCAGTGTGTATCATGTATGCGAGGGCCTCCCTGAACATAGAAAATGGATGGGCTTTACCCCCGAAAGTTCGGTCCTCGGGTTGTGCCTGGCATCCGGCTTCCGTTAGGTGGTGCACCTTTTCAACTGGGGTCTTCTACTGGGGGAGGCTGTCCCGCTCTGGTTGGTTGCGGTATACCGAGAATGCGCAAGCTTCAAATCATGGTGTGAATGTACAACGCTGCTTACTCCACGCATCCGACTGAGGCAAGGAGGCGGCATCTGTCGATACTCCCCCCCACCTCCAAGTGCCAGCAGCTGGCGTGGGAGCACAAGCGTTGACGAAGGGACATCAAGTACCCAGAGGCATCTATGGTCAAGATGGCACCGATGTTGCCACCAATGCCCGATCAAGACTCGGGCGTCGAATCCACCAAGCACCACCCGGTCCTACCGCAGCGGATTCGCACACCACTGACCGACTTCTTCTCCGTCCCGCACCCGATCATGCTCGCGGGCATGAACCAAGCTGCCTCTTCGACGCTCGCCGCGGCCGTGTGCAACGCTGGGGGTATCGGCGTCATCGGCGGTGTAGGGTATACGCCGAAATTCTTGCGCGAGAGTATCTGCGACCTCAAGAAGATGCTCAGGAACCCTCACGCACCATTCGGCGTCGATCTGCTGCTGCCGCAGATCGGCGGGAACGCAAGGAAGACGAACAAGGACTATACGAGGGGGAAGCTGCCAGAGCTGATCGACATCATCGTCGAGGAAGGCGTTAAGCTGTTTGTGTGCGCCGTCGGCATCCCACCAAGATGGGCTGTAGACAAGCTGCACAAAGCGGGCATCCCGGTCATGTGAGCCGTGCTCTTGCCCGCCTGCCCCTTTCGCACGATATTTTCCCTGACGTAAATACATACATCCTCCTTGTCTTGCGATTTGCACCGTTGCTACTCGACACAGGAACATCGTTGGGCACCCCAAGCACGTAACCAAGGCGCTGGAGGGTGCTGGCGTGGATATGATCTGCTGCCAAGGCGGCGAAGCCGGCGGGCACACGGGCGACATTCCATCGTCCATCCTCATTCCCCGCGTCGTAGACATCTGCAAAGGGCACGTCTCACCGCTGACAGGGCAACCCATCATGGTCCTCGCGGGTGGAGGTATCTTCGACGGACGTGGCGTCGCTGCTGCACTCGGCTACGGTGCCGTGGGCGTCTGGGTCGGCACGCGCTTCGTGTGCACAAAGGAGGCTGGTGCGCCAAAGTTGCACAAGGAGGCCATCCTCAAAGCTGGCCCGGACGACTTGATCCGCACAGTCATCTTTACCGGCAGGCCGCTCCGACTTGTCAAGACGCCTTACGTGGAAGCTTGTGAGTTTGCTGTCGCGTTGTTCTGCCTTTCTTTAATCACACACGCGAGGTCACCGCCCTCCTCATCTGCATTGCTTATCCGCACGAACCATTTCACGCAACAGGGGAAGCCAAGCCGGAGAAGATCAAAGAGCTGACGTCCAGAGGCATCATCCCCGTTATGCATGACTTGGAGAAAGACGATCCCGACGGAAGCATCATGAAAGGCGCATTGTCGCACTGGTTCGCCGGCTATGTCGCGTGCATGGTCGAGGATATCCCTTATGCGCGCGAGATCGTCAATTCTGTGAGTTGCCGTGAATTTTCTCTTAGGGGAGGAGAGGCACCTTCCCCTCGCTTTTCCTGTGCGGTTGCTGACTTGATGTTTTCTGCCTTTGGTTCTCCTGCAGATGGTGAAGGAAGCAGCGGCTGTGATGGAGGGGAATGGATCGTATCTTGTGCAGAGTTCTGGCAGGCTATAGGCACCGCGCCAAGTTTTCCCTCTCTACAATGGCACCTGCAACTGTATCGTTGCTACTGATCGCGTGCGTGGTCACACATTCTGTTCGATTCTATCCAATGTGGTGTGTCCTATTGTTATATTTCGCGCTGGTGAAAGGAGAGGCAAGGGGAGGGCATAGGAGATGGAAATGGGAAGCATGCGGCGACTGTGAGGGGAGTGGTGCGATGGGGCGCGACGCGACGCGTCTCAGAGGCGCGATCGATGCGCTTTTTGTGTTGTTCTCTCACTCTTTCTCTCTTCAATTGATGAGAAGCACATATGATTCATATATATAGTTATAAGCGAGTCGAAGTACCCTTTTGATTCGTCGCATTCTTCCCCTCCAACGTTAACACCCACCCCAAAACCTGCTCAGTCAGTGGCATAAGCAGCTAGCAAAGGAAGGAGCTTGAACGTGGTCTCCCAGCGCAATGCCACGCGGCAGAGGACTGCCGAACGAGGCCAGGCGCGCCGGCCAGCAGCTATCCACGTCGCACCCGCATCATCATTTGGTAGCGGGAGTGTGTTCCAGAGGTGCAGCGAGCGGCTCAGCGGACTTCAATCCAGAAAGGATGCAACAGCCTTTTCAGCACCGCAGCATCGATCGCGCCTCGCATGACAGCGCATTCACCGCCGGCGCGAAACGCGAGCTCTCAGTTGATCCTTATGGCTATGGGGAGTATGCGGCCAGAGAAGGATCAAGCAGCGTGCTAGATGGCGGTCACAGTGGCTCCAACAAGCGCAAAAAGTCGGCGAACGGCAAGAGGAAAGCACAAGCAGCGCCGGAGGTGGAGTGCCCCGTCGGGCCTGCGGAAGAGTCGCGTCTTGGCAGGAGCGTGGACGAGGATGCGTGGCTAGAGGCCATCTCGAGTGATCGCGGTAGCAGTGTGTGCATCTGCGCTGAACTTTCACGGCTCGGGCAGACCAGAGAGAGAGATGGTGTCCCCGAAATGAAAGTGAGTGTATGGTGTCTCCTTTCGCCTGTCACGTACCCATCTTGATCTCGCATCGATGGTTCCCACTCGACCTGCAGGTACCGGTGCGATCATTGAGCAGCAACGGCAGCTCCTCTCGGCATGACGACACACTCTTACTCGTCTTCCGCGGCGAGGTTGTAGAAGCAGTTCGTCTCTACTTGCAAGGCCGCATCGACAACCACGGCCCCAGTCCAAGTGCTCCGTCGCCTTCTATCTTCATCTCCGGCCTCGGAGCCATGCTTGTCGCGAATGAAGAGCAGACGACGTCAGGGTTGCATATTCTCTTTCAAGAGCGCGTCTGCATGGCTCAAATTGCTCCTGTTTGGCCGGCTGGCAAGAGCATCAAGTGGTTCGAGCACCCCGATCCTGCCCTTGGTCTGCATACAATCTACCCTTCTACGGAAGCAGCAGCTCGCTTAATTGCACTCAAACAGAGCATTCTGCAACGTTCCCAGCCTAAGCTGGAGTCAGGTTCAGAAGGACAGCCGCTTCCGCGCATTGGGCAGGATGCAGAGGAGATGGACGTGGACCTTGACAGGCAATTTGAGGAACAAATGCGAGCTGCAGAGCTCGTGGTGGCGGAAGAGGAGAGCAACCCATCCGCGAAGCCGGAGCCAATGGAAGAGGATGACTTACTTAACTTTGATATCAACACACCTGAGCCGCTCGGAGGAAGGGAGATATCTGCAGCTGTTCGAACACAAACGGCATCACCACCACCGCCGCCGCCCGTAGGCGCGCTGCCGCAACGCCCGCTGCCCCCGGCGCCTCCGCGGCCCCAAACTGAGACCCAAAAGCCCCAGCAAGCTCTGGCTCGGACGATATCAGCGCCGAATACCTTGCTCCAGTCTGCTGGCGTGGCAGAACAATTGGCGCCGTTCTTGCCGGCGTCGAATACTGGTTCAAGCATAACGCGAGAAACCAACAATGGTATCCATGGCGCCGCTTCTGCTGGTGGCAATCCAGGCTTTGCGGCGTCACTTCACTTCCATCGACAGCGAACGCAGGACCGTGATCTACCGATGTTGACACCGCTTTCACCCTCCGAAGAAGAGCTCGCAAACCCCATCGTGCTTGCGGGAAACGCCTACCAGCGGTTCAACAAAATCAGAGACAGTTCGCGATCTGATCTGATTGGCCTCGTCACCCAGAGCACCTTGCCGACGCGAGCCACAGGGGGCACACATGATTACATCCTAACTTTGCAGACGATCGACAATTCGCCTTCCCTTGGGACCAATACGACGCATATAGGCATGCAATTCTTCCGCCCTGATGCAAAAGACCTACCCCCGCGTCCTCAAACGGGAGACGTCATCGTGGCGCGCAACTTTGCGGTCAGGAAGAACGAGGCGTCCAGAGGACTGACGCTGCAAGCCAAGAGCTTCTTGCGCAGCAACAACGGCAAGCCCAACTGCTGGATGATGCTCCGCCTCAGCCCGAACGGCGAGCCTCAATGTTGGAAATCGAGCAACTGGCCCGGCGAGCCATCCGCAGCGGAGCGCGAGTACGCGCATAGGCTCGCGCTTTGGGGAAAGCTGACGCTTTCTGGCGAGGCGGGCGAGGACAGCGCTAGCAGGAAAGCACGCATGCTCATCACGCTGGACCAGACGCGCCCGCAGCTCTTCTTTGATTGCGTGGTGGAGGTGCTGGATGTCAGCGTCGGCGCCCGCCCGTTCATCACGGTCACCGACTACACTGCACACCCCTGCTTCGATCGCGAGAACGACGCGCTGCTGCATGCGCGCCTCGGCTTCCCGCCTCCTGAAGACGTCATCCCGGGCGACGGCGGAGGGCGCGTATTCCACATCACGCTATTCGGTGCGCAGCGCGCTGCTACTGAAGTCCTTCGCGCAAACAAGCGCTACCACTTTAAGAATGTCCGTGCCAAGGTCAGCCAGTTCGACACTCGCATGCTTGAGGGAACCCTTGGCAATTTTGAGTCCGACAAGCGTGGCGGTCTCGATTTCCTGCCAGTTCAAGATGACGAGCCGGAAGTGGAGATGTTGCTTGAGTGAGTATATCACTTACCCTGGCAGAATTCAGGGAAGTGTCGTTCTAACGACCACGTTCCTATTCCAAAGGCGCAAAAGACTATACCGAGAAATGTTGAGAAGTAGTGCTACGAATCCTTCACCTCCGGCGTCCACCGCTGCTTCTCCGACAATGGGTAATCCCGGTCTTCAGCAACCCCCGAGCGCTGAATCGTCCGCTGGGACGCCCAGACCGGTTCTCGTTGCTCAGCGTCTCAGATCAGGAGCGTTCACGGCGGGTCTCTCTCACACCCCGAGTAGCATAGCACAGAGCACGGCTACTTCGGCCTCGTCGGAAGGGACTGCGCTGCCCACGCCGTCGAGGCGCCCTCTACGCAATGTCAGAGCACAGATGTCTCAAACCTCTCCGCAAGCTGAGTCACAATTGGCGGGCGTTGATGATGCCGACAAAGGAGAATCGCACGAACGCAAGCCGAATTTGTTGAAGGCAACGTCAACGAATGCTTCTGCTCTTACCTCTGCTACTGCTGGTGGTCGTCTCCCTGCTTTTCGCTCGACTCTGCCTGGCAAAGATTTCGCGGTCGCCACAATTGCCGATTTGAAAAGCAAACAAGTAAAGGACTCGACCTTCCTCGTCAGAGCCCGTGTCATGAATGTACGACCGCCTAATCCAATTGATTGGGTTGTGCTCCGGTGTTTGAAATGCAACAGAGTACGGACGTGCGTGCACAAACAATTGACCCGGTTGACCGTCAAATTCCTCTTTTCTAACATCTCCCTTCCATTCTCTTCATTGCACAGTATTGAGGATGGCCCAGTGGTATGTCCGAACAATGCGTGCAAAAACGAGGAGGGCACATCTTTCGTGCACGACTGGCGCGTTGGCTTTGTCATCCAGGACGACAGCTCTAAGATCGGACAGGGCATCATCATTGAAGGCAAGCAAGAAGCTGTAAGTTTACCGCTTGTGAACCTGCGGTGTCTTCTCGCTTCATGTGACTGATGTTTCACGGGCGATGCAGAGCAAATTGTTTGAAGGCATTGATCCGCGTGAACTGCGCAAGACTTCGGACACGGTTGCTCTGACAAAAAGGCTGCAGCCTCTGCTCGGCTCGCTTCTGGATCTGCGGGCGGGCCCGGAGGTATCGCCAAACCCGATGGTTTCGATGACAATTCGTAAACGAATCATCAAAGGCCACGATTATGTGACCCTAGGCCCTTGTCAGTACTACGTGAAGGAGCAGAGCACCTGAGCATGGAATTAGTGCAGGAGGCGAGGCGGCATGGTCCGCATGTATGCGACCTCGTTTGAATGTAAGTTCATGTACAGCAAGAGCGCGTGCAAAGTTTTGCAGCCACAATTCTTCGAACGAAAGTGGGAGGCGGTTATGACAGTTTCCAGACCGCGACGCCGGCGGCGGCAACGGACTTGGCATCACCAACGATGACGGATGCGCTCGAAGGCACCGAGCTCGGCACGTCGACCGCTGATGGGCCATAATTGAATGCGAATACGGCATTGCCTTGACGAGAGAAGCGCAAGTCTTCGCCAAGGTCTGAGCTGCTGGAGACAGTGTTTCCCCACACGTCCTTGATGCCGGCTTCCGAGGCGACCTTGCCGAGGTAAGCCGTGAGGAAGTTGGCGTCGGCGTAGTAGGCAACGTAGCGCGACACCTTGCCGTCCTCGGTCTTGTGCGCACAGGTTGCAGGCTCGCCGTCGCGATAGCTGCTGAACGTAGCCTCTACGGGCATGGAGGTGTTGGTGCCGTTGCGTGCACAGCGGACCCACTCGGCCCACGACTTGACGGGGTACTCCTTACCGCCAAAGCTGACCTTGTCAGCGAGATCGGGGCGCAGAGACTCGACGCGGTTCACGCTGATGGGGAGACGGTCACGAACGGCGCCAGCGGAAGGCGGGAGACCGTCTGGAATGGAAAGAGTGTCGACCTTGGAAGCTGACCGAGGGCCGAAGACAATGCTTCCTTTGTAAGCGTTGAGGTGCTTCTCGAATGCATCGGAAATGTGAGCCATGGCGGGCACGACGACGAGGTCATATGCGCTAAGGTCGGTGTCAGGGCTAATGACATCAACTGCGAGGCCGAGACGGCGCAGCGCGCTGTAGAAGTTTCCGTTGATCTCGTGCCAAACGAAAGGCACACTGTTGAACGTGTTTGTCGACCAGATACCACCTTGCGGGTTGCTCTCGAGAACGAACTGCGAGTAATAGTCGTGGACGAAGGCGACCTTGGTTTTGGGCGTCTCCGCGGACCAGGTGGTCACAGTGCCCGTCTCGCCTTGTACCTCCGACAGCAAGCCAGCTTGGATCAGAGCCGGCAGGTCCTTGGTGGCAACTTCTTGCTGCTCGATGTAAGCCTGGTTCTGAGTGTTGTCGCGTCTGTACATGGCCTCATGCATCTACGGGGCAGAAGCAAGGTCAGCTGCTATAAGAGGCGAGTTGCATCGTCCACTGCGCGCGACTCACCTGCTCTTCGCCGTAGAATGCCTCACGCCAGCGGAAAATGGCTGCAAGGGACCCTCCGTGGGCGAAGATCTCGTGTAGCCAAAGTCTAACCATACCCTTGAGCGGGATGGCTAGTGATTGCATGGAGAACCACACAAGCAAGCGTCAGCCGTTGGCCAACCTCTGCGAGCCGTTTGGTGGCCCTTTTGCGGGTACTCACGATTGTACTGGGCCCAGTTGACAGCACCTGGCTGCAACTCCATTACACCCCAGTCACCCGTGGCTTGGCCCTTGCCCATGCCAGCGACACCCTTGTAGAGCTCAAAGTGGAAGCTCTGCGCGTCTGGCCGGCCTTGACGACCGTACTTGACCTTGTCAGCGGTCGGCACCCAGTCGAACTGCTCGGTGTTGCCGAGCGGATAAGAGTCAAAAGTGGCGAGCTCGAGCCCAACTTCCTTAAATTTTCATGGAGTAGGAAGTCACGGAGCATCAGTGTGACACGAACTTGAGAGGCTTCCAGGGGAAAACAGCGCAGAACGAACCTTGGCAAACTTGTGGTGGTCAAAGTCGACAAAGAAGCCCATGAAATTGGTGGAGATAGGCGCGTTGTGCTTGCGGTACTTCCTCCAAATGTCAGCCTGGTCCTTGGCGAAAGCAATGACCTGGTCGGAGCTGAACTCGAAGAAGTCAAGCCGCAGGGCCGGGTTGGACTCTGTGACTTCCTGCGTGGGGACATCGACCTCGTCGAATGCGTCGTAGGCTTGAGACCAGAAAGTGTTGCCTTGCAGGCGGTTCATCGTCTCCACATCGCCGTACTTGTTCTGCAACCATTTTTGAAAGGCGCCCTTGGCGTGCTTGTCGTATGTGCGCACCGTCGAGTGACCTGAGGGAGTACGTCAATGATCGTCAACGTCATTGGGAGGGGGAATGTTCAGGAAATTGCAAAAAAGCTGCGCTTAGAAGACTCACATCCAAACTCGTTGTCGAGCTGGATGGCTCCGACATGCGGGTTGTCGCCATATCGCTCCGCCAGCTTCTTGGTGATGCGCTTCGACAACATCTGGTAGTCCGGGCTGCTGAAGCTGTAGTGCCTTCGAGACCCGTGAATGCGGTCAAAGTGCATGCTATCCTGCGGCAGAATGTCGTACTTGAGCGAGGCCCACCTCGGCGGTGTGGCTGTCGGCGTGCCGAGGATCACCTTCATGCCCTTGGAGCCAATGTCCTCGATCGCTTGATCGAGCAAAGTGAAGTTGTACACACCATCCTGTGGCTCGATGTTCTTCCACATGAACTCGCCTATGCGAACGTACTGTAGCCCGGCCTCCTTCTGCCGTTGCGTGTCGGTGGCCTTCTTGTCGAGCTCGCCCGGGTCAACCCAGGCTTCGGGGTAATAGTCGACGCCAAAGTGCAAGCCATGGGGGAACGCGCCAAGTGAAGCGGAGGTGGAGTTGCTGGAGCTCGACGGGTACGAACCAGCCGTCCGCTCGGCGAGGATAAATGGCCGTTCAGGGGACGCGACTTGTAAAGTAGCGGCGGCGGTGAGAGAGGGAAGGAGGAGCGCCAGCGAGGCGAGGGACTTGAGGGCGACGTTCTGGTGCAGCATGGTGGCGAGTGCGCTGGAGAAGGTGGCCAGGGAAATTGGAGAGGATGGGCGGGTAGCGAGGGATCGGACGGCTGAGAATGCGTAAAGAGTGCTCTGTCTTTATCATTTATAGCAACTTGATCTCTCGCAGGGACTCGTAAAGTTAGTGCATCGGCTCTCGTTCTCGATGAGATGGGAGCCCCCCAACTTCTCGAGCTGACAAGGTCTTCAGCGAGTGTGCGAGGTCGTCACTCACGTTAACTGGTGCTGCACCGGCACTTGCCCAGACTTCACATCAATTGCCCTTCATGGGCCATCCCCTCGTTTACATATCCCCACGGGGTCGGAAGAAGCTCATCAGAAAGAAAGAAAGAAATGGGCAATCGCATTCCACGTTCGTGCCTGGTGCATGTTGCCCACCATCTCAGCACCGAATACATATGCACCTATGTGTTCCTGTAGGTGCCGAAAGACAGCACCGATGACCAAAGACTCGACACTCGACAGGGATGTCGATGAAGGCGGATGTAGAAGGGATGCATATACATACATAGACAGGATTTGGACCTGCTAAACTTAATAATTCTGCTTCAAAACCAGTACGTCCGTCGGGAATCTCCTCGCTATGTTTGTACATACGATTGAGGGTCCCTGTCTATCATGCTTCGTCTTGTTAGTTGCGAGGTCTAGCGTTGACCGGCACATTAGCACTGGGTACAGTGTGCAAGTCTGCTTCTCTGCAGGTGCCAGCACTCTGCAGACGCGACGTACATGCCAAGCGCAAGCAGGCTCACACGAAAGCGATCGCCGCAAGCCCTTCGCCTTCCCAATTGAGCAGCTGCAACCTGTCATTTCCAGGACCTGCCTCTCCACGTGCGGCAACCTGTGCCAACTTGCTAGCCAGGGCCAGTGGGTAGTCGGCTGAAAAGCGCTGACCACAGCGCCAAAATTAACGCCGTATGTAGCAGGTAGTGGTAGCCCAGATCCTAGAGAACGCCCGAAAGGTGAAGTACCAATCACAGGCTCTCTCTCTTTCCCCTCTCCGAAGCAGCAGACGGGATGACCTGCGTGACGTACCGATGCACGGCGGGGAGGCGAGCGATGATGAGGTCAGTGGGCCTTAAGCACACCAGCAGTCGTCGCAGCCAGTAGTGCCATTCTTTAAATATTCAGGTGCCTGTCTCTCTTTGGTGCGCCGGTCCGGTCACTATTTTAGCGCATGGAGAACTTTTTCTTTCTTTTTCCTCATCTCGCTTGCACGTTTCCAGTGATCTTTTCCCTCGCTAGTCCTCTCCCCAGCCTCCCGCATTCTCCCCACAATTCCCTTCTTTTTGGCACATTTTCGGAATTGGTTCTTTGCGGTTTGGCACAGCAGGAAGCAACTTGCGCAGTACAATTTTTCTTTGTTCCTGCTTTTTCCATTTAGAGGCTAGTGCACTCTCTCCGGTCCTTTCGGCTGCTGCGTTGGCCGGAAGCCCGGAACAAATGCATAGGCACTTGTTCTCGCAAGTCGCAAATTGTCACCGATGTTCATCGCTGTTTGCTCTTTCCCCCCATCCTTTCCTTCCCCATCACCCATCAGATGTTCCATGGATGTCCTCCACTCGTCATCATATTTTCTGAGGTGGCTTCGACGGTCCAATTCCGTCCGTTTGACCACACCAGTTGGACCTGGTTTGCCGCCTGATGCAAGCACCATACCACCATCGGTGTCACTATGAACGGTCCGTGTTGCAGCGGAGGCTGTTTGATAGGCTGGCAGCAACGCCCAATTGTCCGTCGCGCCGAAGCGCTGGATCTCACCGCACGAAGATGCTCGTCGTGGTTTTTCTTGCGACTGACATACTGATCATGGAGTCGGCAGTGATCTTGACGTTGTTGGCCATGTACTTCAGGCCAGACAGACGCAGATGGAGGGTAGATTCATGCGCAGATGTTCTTGACATTCATCGAGGGACAGAGAGATCGGACTCCGGAGGCTGTGCGACCCAGTCAGTAGCGCAGCTGAGAGCCAAGCCGCGGTGGCCCACTCCAACTCTTGACCGTTTCACATAGTCACTGTTTCTTTGTGTGTTTATTGGTAACGAACCTACGAGGTTTGCACTGCTGATACCCGCTAAGCACGCACGTGCGGTACATACGAATCTGGTCGGTCGGCGAGCCCTTCTCCTGCGCAGCAGCTGAATCAAACGATTGTCAATAATCCATGCTGGCCACGGGTGCTTTCGTCTGCGACATCACTTCTACCCCTGACGTTCGTTGCATGCGAGTCCCAAACATGATGCTCTATCGGTAGGGCTGTACGTTACCGTGCGATGCTCCCAACGTAATGACTACGCAGCTCCTCATTGCTTGATGCATCCAGCGCCTGACAAAGCAGCTTGCAGTCAAGAAGGGGCGTGGAATGTGGGCCGGTGGGGATGGGGAAGAGACTCCAGGGATGGCTGTGCCATGTTGTGCAGTGCAGTGCATTGGAGTCAGCAGTAGAGTCAGGATGTGCTTGCTATACATTTTTGCGAGAGTAGGCTATAAGATAGACCATGTGCGTCACATGCACAAGTTTCTCGTGTTCTCTCATAGCCAGTGTGCCGATTGGCCACAGTGTCGATTGGTGTTGCACCGAATGGGACGGCGTTCCGGTCGTGGTAACTTGCACCGCATTTTCCTTCTCGCCGCAGATCCGGCGACTGGGTCGCATTCAGAGCCCATGTTAGGTGAGAGGATACACACGTGACAGTCGCTGGCTGCAGTGGATAGCAGTGTTGCAATCCATTGACCTAATTGGTGCGAAAGTGTCCCCTGAGCGCTATGATCGCAGTGAGTGCCATGCTCGAAGTCAGCAGCCAGCACCTGCACAAGAGAGCAGCCAGCTCTCCTCTATTCTTCTCTTCAATATCGACTCTGCATTACACTTCGCGGCGACGCGCGCAAGAGCAAGCTCGGAACCGCTTCCCGTGCGCAGCTTTGCTCGAAGCGCTCCTCAATCACCACCCGCTCCTGGTCGCTGCAAGGCGAAAGCTCCTTCACCACCACCTCCTCCTCCACATCTTCCGCCATACAAGGGCTTAAAACCCTCCCCAATTCGACTTCCAAAGAGCAGCCTCCCCAACCTCAAAACCCTGTCTGATAGGCGTTCGAGCAGATTAGGGACACGCTGTCTGAACACACTTTGCCCTTCTTTGACCTGACCGACCCAGAGCAACTCTCACCAGGCGCCCCATCAGCGCCATGCCACCTAGGGGACAGGGCTCAGAGTCCGCCTACCTGGCCGGCGGACCGCCCAGGATGCCGACACCTCCTCCAAACACAGCCGTCGACCATTCTTATAGCACCCCTCCACCGGCTCACGCTCATCACAATGGCTACCCGTCAGCCCCGCCGCCTGACGCATACCACGACCACCAGCACGCGCATCCTCCAGCTCACATGGACAACCCGTTCGCTGGCGGAACGCCTGAGCAGCATTCTCCTTATGATGCCCAGGACGAGTACATGATGACGAGAAGGCCGCAGAGTGAGGAGTACTATGCGCACCACGGGCGGCGCTCCTCGCAGATCGCTCCGTATGGCCTCCGTCAAGGCAGCGCAACGTACGGGCATCCGAATGACATAGCGTACCCATCCGCGCAAAATCTGCCCGGCTACCCACCAGCTCCCGGCGAAGAGACGGGAGAAACGCAATTGATTGCAGCGGGCGTAGCCGGAGGAGTGGGTGGCTACACGCCTGTGCAGCCCTACGAGGACCGGTTCGCCGAAGATGGCGATGCCGTCGACCGCCAAGCGCATGGGCGACAGCGACAGCGCCCCAGCGATGCGAGCTATATGCCGGGTGGCTTTGACCCGAACGTGCTCGAAGAAGGGGAGATGGCGCCGGGCATCCGCTTCGGACGCATTCCGCAGCGCGTGCCGAGGAGGTACAAGACGTTGAAGCGAGTCGAGCTCTACCACGGTAACCTCGTCCTAGACTGTCCCGTGCCGGGAAAGCTTCTGGACAAGCTCAACGACCGCGAAAGCCGTGAGTTCACGCACATGCGCTATACTGCTGCCACGTGCGACCCGGACAACTTCAAGGACGAGCGCTACACGCTCCGTCAGGTGCTCTTCGACCCGCCGCGCCGGACTGAGCTGTTTATCGTGCTGACCATGTACAACGAGGACGAGGAGCTGTTCACGCGCACGATGCACGGTGTTATGACGAACATTGCGCACCTGTGCACGAGGGAGCGGAGCAAGACGTGGGGCAAAGAGGGATGGAAGAAGGTCGTCGTTTGCATCGTCTCGGATGGACGCATGAAGATCAACAGCCGGACACTTTCCGTTCTCGCCGCCATGGGCGTCTATCAAGAGGGTGTCGCGAAGAACGTCGTTAATGGAAAGCCGGTCACGGCACACATTTACGAGTGAGTCGATGCGCAGCTCGTGATCACTTGAGATCTCTGCTGACGCTATGCCCCTTACCGCGCACAGGTACACGACGCAGCTGTCGGTCGATCCGCACCTTCGTTTCCGTGGCCGTGAGAAAGGCATCATGCCGGTGCAGATCCTGTTCTGCCTCAAGGAGCGCAACCAGAAGAAGATCAATTCGCACCGATGGTTCTTCAACGCGTTTGGGCCCATCTTGCAGCCCAACGTCTGCGTCCTGCTCGACGTCGGAACGATGCCGCGCGCCAAGAGCATCTACTCGCTGTGGAAGGCGTTCGACATTCACTCCAACGTCGCCGGTGCCTGTGGCGAAATTGTCGCACTCAAAGGCCGCTTCTGGGAGGGCTTGCTGAACCCGCTGGTTGGAGCGCAAAATTTTGAGTACAAGATGAGCAACATCCTCGACAAACCACTCGAGAGCGTCTTTGGCTACATCAGCGTCCTTCCCGGCGCCTTCTCCGCGTACAGGTACATTGCGCTACAGAATGACTCAACGGGCCAGGGTCCGCTGCACCAGTACTTCAAAGGCGAGACGTTGCACGGAGGCACGAGCGACGCGGACATCTTCACGAGCAACATGTACTTGGCTGAGGACCGCATCTTGTGCTGGGAGCTCTGCTCGAAGCGCGACGCCGCATGGATCCTGCACTACGTCAAGAGCGCCCAGGCGGTCACGGACGTGCCGGACGCTGTCGCTGAACTCATCTCGCAGCGCCGGCGGTGGCTTAACGGGTCGTTCTTTGCTGGTATCCACAGTATTGTCAAGGTGTGTTGCGAGATGTGCACGCGAGCTTGAGCGGCTCCAAAGTCTGACTCGCATGGTATGCTCCTTTCCGCTTGCTGTTGTCTCGCATCTATAGTTCTGTGAGTGGCGCAGCGCGCGTTTCATTAGCAGCAGCGACGCGTGCTAAGCGCTCTGTTCTGACTTACACCTTGCTGGCTCCCTTTCCGACCGAAAGACTACATCTACCGCTCGAGCCATTCGTTCGGCCGCAAGTTGGCGCTGCACATAGAGCTTCTCTACCAGAGCATCTCGTTGATCTTCTCCTGGTTTGGGCTCGCCAACTTCTTCATCAGTTTCTACGTTCTGACCAAAGCTGTCTCGGAAGTGGTGCCGCAGCTGAAGGTTCCGAACTACATCCTGACATACGTCTACGTGAGCTCCTAGTTCCACCTCACTTTGCGTGCCTACGCAAAAAACTGACAAGCACGAATTTGGACGTCTGCCGCTGCCGCTGCCGCCAGCTCGCCTTTGTCGTCTTCTGCTTCCTCATGGCACTTGGCAACCGGCCGGCGGGCAGCAAGTGGGGGTACATCACCGCGATGGCGGTGTTTGCGCTTTTGACCATGTACATGACCGCGGCTGCGCTTGCACTGGCGATCACGAGCATCATCAAGGCCGAGAAGAGTGGCGACGCGACATCGCTGATTGGCAATGCCGTCTTCCGCAACATCGTCGTCTCGATCGCGTCGACTTTCGGCGTGTGGTTCCTTGCATCGCTGATATACGTGAGTGCACGTTGTACGAGCACGACCATTGTCCCGTGGGCCGCGCGCGCGCTGACTCTCGCCACGAGCGTGTGTCTTGCAGCTCCAGCCGTGGCACATGTTCACCTCGATCCTGCAGTACATGCTGCTGGCGCCGAGCTTCATCAACGTGATCAATGTATACGCCTTTGCGAACACGCATGACGTCAGCTGGGGCACAAAAGGCTCAGATAAAGTTTCCACCGACCTCGGCGTCGTTGGCAGCTCGGGCAACAAGAACCAGGTCGACGTGGCGATCCCCACCGAGGCGAAGGACATCAACGACGCGTACGACGACGCGTGCCATGTGCTAACGACCAAGAAGCCGAAGGAGATTCAAAAGATCGACCATGAGACGAAGCAGAAGGTGCGTGTCGCTCGCAGACAGGGTTCCCTTTTCTTTTCCTTCTTTGATCGCGGGATTGATCGTGCGGACTTGCCTTCATGGTAGGACTACTATGCATCCATCAGGTGTGTCTCTGCTACCAAGATTATGGAACAACTGCTCTCGACAGTGGGCTGAAACTTATTTCCCTGTTTTGCCGCGCGCAGGACCTGGGTCTTGCTCATCTGGACACTAACCAATGCGGGTCTTGCGATCGGTATCCTCAATGTGACGAGCACGAATGTGCAGATCACGTACATGGGTGAGAGTCTACGCACAAGTCCTTTTCGCGTCTGACATCGCGAAGCTCTTGCTGACGAACTCTGGTGCTTTTTCTTCACGGTGCGAAAGGCTTCTTGCTCTACAGCGTTGTGCGTTGCATCTGCGCTTGGCGAATAGAGCCACTTGCTCGCCTGTCTGTCTCGTCGATGCTGACATGTCGCCACCTGTCTTCTCCCTCCACAGGCTGCGCTCGCGCTCATCAAGTTCCTGGGCTGCCTCATATATCTGTGGGTCGTCTGCGTCTCCCATGGGTGGCTCTTCGCCCCCCCCCCGCCTTGTAGAAGACATCGAACTGACTTTTACTATTATTGGTCTCTTTCGATTTGAATGATGATGATTTAGGACGCAGCGACTTTTCGCTGGGGAATGAAGAAAGCGCAATTCGCCTGCCTTGCGCGAGGGGCACTCAGGACGCAAACCCAGTCGCTCGCCTGCGCATACATGTGACATACATTACCGTGTGCACACCGTTTGCCCCATGCCTGCCTGCCGGTTGTCATTGCATTCGTCCCCCCTCCCCACCCTGCGGGCGCGCATATGTGATGTTTTCTGTTGAGTGTCTGTGACTGCCGCATGCTTCCTGAATCTAAGCTCCCGCCTCCTGAACTTTTTATTTGAACCAATTGCGCCAATAATCGAACTGTTGGTGCTGTCGGCCCATTTGTGCCAACACGATGCCGCGGCCCCCTTCGGACTTCCGGCGGCAGCTCAGCAAGTCTCTACCGATGAGCCTAAAAGTTCTTCCCTTATAGTTGATGAACTTTGTCGCGTAACCCTAACCCTTTAAAAAGCCCTGACCCGGGCTCGGAGCGTTGTGTGGCCTGGGTATGTGGCTTTTTAATCTCCGACCCTGCTTACGGCGCGGCACCATGCCTGCCAAGTGTATGTATGTAACCTAGTAAGGGTTCTATGCTACCAGAATATAGCCGGTGGTTCGAGCCACGAGTTCGGAGTTTGCAGGAAGAACGGCCCGTCTAGTCATGTCATCATCGGTCCGGCGCAAGCATGTCGCCCGCAGTCAAGGCAGAGCTGTTCCATTGCCAGACACAAGGATAGGTGGACGAGGTTGGCCGTGAGCGCCAGCCAGTCAGTCAGCATGTATGCATGCTGCGTCGCCTCGGTGACGCCCATTGGTCGGGTTTGCATCCCCGTGAAGTCGAGGCAAGGGACGCACGCAGATAACCCGCCGACCTGGCCGGGTATTTGATGTCGCCATCTGTCAACTTCCCAGCAATAAGGTCCAGTTTTAACCCACCAAAGTGATCGCCGCCGCCATCACCTCCCCCTGCAGTCATTGTCCGTCTCTGAGGAAGAGCAACGCCGTCTCTACCACATCTGCATCAAGACACGACTACAGGTCGCGCCCGACAACGCGGTTGCGTTTCCAGACCCCCCGTTGGCAGACAACGCAGCCAGAGTAACCACAGCTGATCGCTGATCATCCGGGCGGTTTTGTCCTGCTTGTTTGCCATGTCCCACACGACCAAGCCTAGCTTGGCGCCCTCTCACGCGTCAGCATCTGCCGTGATGCAAGGCCAAAAGGCAGACGGCCCCTTGGGTTTGCGGTTCGACAGTCACGCACAGCCGCAGCTGTTTGATGACGCTGTTCTGCAAGATCCCGCAATACAGCACCAGCAGCTTCGGCACGATGCCGCGCCGGCACAGAGACCATACCAGCAGCTGCAACCCCAACAGCAGCACGCATCCCTACCGTCCGCTTACGTTCCGCAGGTCCCTCTCTCCGAGCAGCATCAGCAGTCGCGCCCCACTGAATCAATGGGCGGCCAGTTCTTCCCCCTCATACCCGTCGACTCCGCCACGGTGCCCGTGCCGTATGCGCAATCCATTCCTTTTGGCGATAAAATAGAGACTTCTGCGGTGGCAGCGGCGGCCGCTGCCGATGCCATTGCCACTGGACAGCAGTACATGTTATCGTTCTCCACAAACGAGCAGGCAGATCATTGGACCGGCTTGGCGCAATCCGCGCACATCCCGAACCCTGCCTTCTTGCCCGCTGGAGCTAGAGCTTCGCATGCACTTGGCCCCTCCTCGCATCCGATTGAAATGCCGATGCCGATGGTTCCAACGCCAACGCAGCGACATGTGGTGAGCTACTCTGCGTTGAACCAGCCTCCGCTCATGGTCGGTCCATCGGTGGCCACCCTCGATGGCGTGGCCTTCAGCAACGGACACAACATGGTGCACAGCGTCAGCACCGGTGATGGTACTCCTGCGGCTGCTACTGCTGCTGTGAGTGGCAATAGGCCGGGCCACGGAAAAGGAAAGGTTCTCTCCAGTGTGACGGTTTGCACGTTCTGCCGCTTGCGCAAGCTTCGCTGCGACGGCGAGCAGCCGTGCAGGCAGTGCGAGCGACGCAGCTTGCAGTGTGTACACGCGCCCGCCAGCGGCGCTGGGCGACGGGAATTGGCCATAGGGAGAGGGGCAGCTTCAGCTGCTGCGGCAAAGGAGGGGCCATACAGCAAACCTAAGGCCAACAAGGAGAAGAGCAAAACGTCAGACGGAAACAACGAGGCAAAGGGGGCAATAGCTGCGCGAACGGTTGGTAGCCCCGACGGCGGCATGGACCTCGCAGTTCCGAGCGAGCATTTTCGCCCGTTAGATCTTGCACCCGGGGCTTCCCTTGTTGACCTCGTCCGTGTCGGGCCATCGGGCGGGCAGCACGCATTTGATGAAACTCCAATTCACACACAGCCTCCCGCTGCCCAAGCCACGGCACTTCACATACATGATGGGCATCACTCCTCTCCCGCCGCTGGTCGCATCACGTCGATTCCGCCCATGTTGCAGCCGCGCAAGGGACGTGCGACGACAAGCTTTACGGTGTCAATGGCCTCGCCGCACCAGTCTCTGCCCAACACGCAGGGGCAGCCGACGCGCGCATGGACATCTGCCGATCATGTCCAGCCTCTCGCGCTATCGCAGTCGCAGTCGCGGAGCAAGATAACGGCATCGCCACCGCCCGAGCACACGTTCACGCGCTCCGCCGAGGCGGACGACGGACTGTGCCAGGTCGCCGCTTCCGCCACGAGTGGCTATTTGTGGCTGAGCTACGAGGTTGACCCGGCGCTGTACGACGACGGCGACGACGCCAGTGTCGCATCGTCGCAGGAGGAAGACGAAGATAAGGCAGAGGAGGAGGAGGATGACCACGATGTGGGCGCGGCCATACCGGAGGAGCCGCTTCCTTCCGCGCTGACGGGGAACCGTTCTGCATCTGCGCTGCACCTCGTCAGGAACCATTCCTTGCGGCGGCGGCTGCACGCAGCGCGCGCGACGATCGCGCGCGAACCGGACAACCGGAGCAGCCGCAACCCGGGCTGGTGGGATGAGGTAGTGCTGATCTTTGGGCCTTCTCGCGCACGCTCGAGACGCATGATCAAGTCGCTCACTGAGCACTTCACCACGAGCAATGCCATCTTCTTTGGCTTGATCTACCCGCCCGAGCTCATGGCGTTGCTGCAAGACGCCGACAAACGTGCGAAGGCGCACCCGGCGCTGCTTCCCGCCGTGCTCGCCGTGGCCATGATGAGCATCAAGGAGAAGCGCCCGGAGCCGTTCAACATCGACTTCTTAAGCATAGACCCAGTCACGCGGCAGATTGTCGCCAAGCTGCACAAGATGGCCATCACGCAGCTCCAAGCGACCATCGAGTCCGGCAGCAACCGCAGCATCACAATGGCGCAGGCCACCACCCTGCTCACGCTCCTGTCCGAGGACGTGCAGGAGAAGCGCGACCTCATCAACCTCATCCAGCAGACCATCCTCGGAAACCGCTGGGCGGCCGCCGTGCCCGGCTCCGCCGCGTCCGCCGACGCGGCCTTCTACACGAGACCCCCGTCCGCCGTCCTGGAAGGCGGCACGGCCGATGCTGACGTGCTGTTGGAGACGCTGCTGCGCCTGTGCTGGACGCCGTCGAGCCACTGGATGCGCGACATGCTCCTCGCGCCGCACGAGGATAACATCAAGCTGCCGCTGCACCTCGAGATGGTCCGCCCGATCGGCCACTGGGAGCCATCGCAGCTGCCCAAGGAACTACCCCTATCGTTCCACTGCATACAGGAGCTGCTCCGCCTCGGCTCACACCTCGTGCGCATCGCGTGCAAGGCTGCACGCATCAGCAGCCACCAGCAGGCGCTCGTGCTCAGCGAGCGGCTCGATGCGCTCGAGGACCGCCTCATCTTCATCAGGCTCAAGGGGCTGGACGAGGGGGGTACGCAAATGCGCAATCAGGTCATGCACTTCGTCTGCTGTGCGCTGGTGCCGCTGCGCTTGAGTATCTGGAGAAAGGTGAGCGAGGCCATGGCGGCTGCGACGCAATGCGTTCTGGCATGTTGACCAATTACACATTATTGTAGACGGGCATCTGGACTAAGCGTACATTCGAAAACTACATTCTCGATTTTGGGAACACCAGCGCGGCATCCACTCGAAACGACGGGCAACAGCAGCACCCAGCCTCATCTTCTGCCACATTCATTGTGCCACTTGCAACACCGAGCCTGCATCGCACCTACATTCCGCCATCGCTTTCGATCTGGCTCGATGGCGTCATCGCCATGACCTCGCGCCTGCTCAGTGACGCAGGGGCATCTGTAGAGCCCGAGCAAACATCGGCGGCCGCCGCCGCAGCAGGAACGACAGGAAACACGGCACAGTCTGGCCGGCCGGCTCAGCACAGTGCCGCATCTCACAGTGGCAGCAGCAGCAACTTTGCTGGAGGCACTATTGGCGATGCGCCAAATGCCCCTCGACCGCCGCTGAAACAAAGCCAGGTCGAGCTCCAGTGTGCCGCGTCGAACGTCAAAGCGCTGATGCAGCTGCATGCTGCGCTCAACGAAGGCGATGCGCTGCTTTCGCACGCGGAACGGCTGCTCGCTGCGTTGAGTGCACAGGTCAGCGCGAGGAAGGCGATGGGCATGATCTTTCCCTCTTGGCTGCCTGATGAGGTGGCCAGGCTGAAAATGACGGTGGCTTGGCTGCACGGCGTCGCGCACGGGGCTGGTAGCAGCGGTGACGGCAGCAGCAGCAGCAGCATCGGTCTTGCCAACGATAGCTCGAATATTATGGTTGTCGGCGCTACATTGCAGAATGTGCATCTCGACGCTGCGCTTGCACAGGCGCAAGCGCAAGTGCAGGAAGCACGCTTTTGATGTATGCTGCGTACGGAATCATCATGTCGGCGTAACTCGTCCCGAGGACGCCAACTCTCCTCTCAGATTTCTTCGTCTTACCCAAAGCCTCAGACATCCTGTTGCAGTGTCATATTTGCACTCAAACAATCTAGACTGCATTTATACATACATAGGCTAATCGACTAGGTCTGTAAGGGGGTGAGGGGCTGCGTGCGAAGATATCGAGCGCGACGCTCCACTGGCAGGAGTACTCGGACATGCATGGCAGCTGTAGCGGTGCAACGGAAACGTGGGGCTCTGTCAGTGAGGGGTCTAGTCGTCGGTACCGACGTTCGCATCGCGCGAGGGTTCCGGAAGGTATGCAAATCCGTCCTGCAGCTGGTTCCTATCGTCTGTCTTTTCCCTTTGCCTTAGACGTTGCCTAGATTTCCGAGTGTCGCTGCCTTGCATCTTTTCAGGTTTCTCCTCACGCTCCTTCGCGTCTCCCTCTGCGGCTGAAGCATTTAAGGTAGCGTTCGCCTGCGCCTCTTCGGCTCTCCGTCGCGCTTGTTCGTCACTGCGTGCAATCTCGCGGTTTGCGCACTGCTCAAAACGCTCAAGCGCTGCTTTGGCGCTGCCGTCCTGCATAGCCGTACGCGCAAGGTGTACGCACGCGGGTAACGTCGGAGCGCGCCCCGCGACGTAGATCAGCGCAGCGGCTTGCATGAGCGTATAGTCCGCGATGGCGCGCAGGTGCGTATTCGCTGGTATGGGCGGGAGAGACGACGTTCCGGTCGGCGTGGATGGGGCTGTTGGCGTGGTGGGTATAGAAGCGATGGATGAGAAGGAGGAAGACAGGGAGGAGGAAGTGGAGAGCAGAGTTGGCAGCTCGTGTGTGCGTAGGCGAGACGGGCTCGCGAGCGGTTCCAGTGGCAGGTCTTCGTCCGTCGTGGACGAGAGCAGACGCCAAACTATTGCGGCATTCTCGTCGGACGAAAAAGAACCGACGTGGCTGAGCGGATGTCGCTGCAGGCCAAAGTCTTCCGGCGTGACGACGCGCTGTGTGATCTCGCCCCGCTCGCTGAGCTCCCAGACATCCGTCTCGCCTGCACAACTGATCTCATCGAGGCCCTCACGGCCGCAAACGACCCAAGCGCGCTGGACGTCGCCGCGGCGCTGGAGCGCTTCGGCGAAGGTCCTGCCGAGGCCATACGAGTGCACACCAAGCACGCAGCGTCGCGGCAGCGCCGGGTTGATCAGCGGGCCGAGGACGTTGAAGAGTGTCGGGAAGGACAGCGCGCGGCGGATCGGCGCCAGCGGCGCCAGCGACGGGTGGAAGAGCTGTGCGTAGAGGAAGGCGAAGGAAGACGCCGGCAGGATGTCCGGCAGCGACGTCGGCGGTAACCGCGAGAGCGGGATGCCTAGCGATAGGAGCAGGTCAACCGAACCGGACGTTGATGAGGATGCCTTGGCGCCGTGCTGAGAGGAGTGGCAAGGGACAAAAAGGCGTCAGCTTGATCGGTTATCAGTTCGATCAGAAGGGGTGACAGCCTTCAACTTCTCACCTTGCAGACACGAATGCCAGGTACACCAGAGGCGACGATCGCTGCGGTGGTCGAGACGTTGAATGTATCCTGCCCATCCCCGCCGGTACCGACAATGTCGAGGAGACCCGTGTACTCTTTCCCGTCACCACCCCCACCCCCACCACGACCATCGCTTTGATCGTCGCCTTGCACCGCCCGCTGCGGCACGCGCAAGCAGCACTGCAGGAATACTTTGCTGGCGATGGCGAGCGCTGCGGGTTCGCGATCGATTCCGCTCATGCGTAGAGCTGTCAGCGCTGCGCCGATCTGCGCATGGTTCGCATGGCTGGAGGTGAAGTTGGCATCAGCCATGTGCTCGAACAGGGCCAGCAAGTCAGCCGGGGTCAACGGAGGGCCTGGCGGGTGTGTCTGTGAGGGGGAATGGGCAGATGATAGCGATGATGAGGATGCTACCTCTGAAGGCGAAGCGGGCGGTAGCGGACATGAGAGGGTAAGCTTCTTGAGCAGCGGCCGAAAGGTGTCGGACGTGTGCGGCGCTGAGGCGCCGGCATTGCTTCCTTTTACAAGCGGCGGTGCAATGCTGCTTGTGGCTGCCATATCTGCGTTCCAAATGTGCTGCGATATGCTGCGTCTTTGCTGTGCTATGCTGTGCTATGCTGTGTTGTTTGTCTAGCCTAATCTAGTTCTGCATCGTCGAGGCCCTGGACCCCGAAAATGGAGATAGCATGTCTAGCTGGAAGTTCAGCTTCATCCCTTGCTGACCACAAACCCGTGACTCACAAAAGTCAAATTACTTTCAAAGGGCCGGCGAAGCCGTTCATCTAGGGTTGTGCTGTATATGGTTGCACCGAAGCAATGCAGACTTGCACCGATATCGTGTCCTTACGTCAGCAAAGCCCCTATTTGCTAGGGCAATCGCAGTCGCGCAGCCGCGACTGCGTCACTTTCCACATACGGCGATGCGCACCTACCAGTCTGCTTGCTAGGATGGGATGGGATAGGGTAGGATGCAATGGATGCATCTGGCATGGATCGATTTCCATTGGCCACCTCGCCATCGCGATCTTCACGCTTCATGCACCAGCCGCCATCGCCGCTTTGTGACCATGCCAGCCGCAGCAGCTTGAACCTCTCCCCTCCTCTCATCCGCTGCACGCCCTGATGACCAACGAAACGAATTGACAGCAAGTTACCTTCATCTATACCCCTTACCCGCCATCCAGTCTAATCCAATCCGAAACGAGCCCATTTACGACCATCACCCCGAAAGTAACGCACTATTGACGAGTTGCACTCCGCACCGCTATAACGAACTCTACAACCTGCTTGCGTTCCAGCAAAGCTGAGCGTCATGGCGCACCCACTGCATGGTATCGCGCCCATGGCGGCTACCATTGGATTTGACGCTCCCCCCGATTCAACTTCCTCCTCGCCAGTGACACCGGCAACGCCGGCTGGCATCATCGCCGGCCAAGAATCCAAGAACCTTCTCGCGGGCAACGTCCCACTCTTCATGAACGGTCACTCGTCTTCCGACATTGCCGACGTGCTCGTCGCGCACTACACGCGAATCGTCAACGTCGGCAACGAATATGCCGCGCTGCCTGCCTCTGAGCGCATGTACGCCGGGCATGACTCGGCGGATCTCGCCAATGCTCTTGTGAAGTATGTCAAAGTCCACCCGACTGAGGGTGTACCTCGTAGCGTAAAGCTTGCTATATCTCCCAACGCGATCCAGGGAGAGGGCATGATCGGCTCTAATGCTTGGACGACATGGGGCCTAAGAAACGCCGTGGCTGTCCCTGCCAATGCGGATGGAAGCTATACGATAGATGGACATACCTTCCATGACGCACCCTTTTCCTGTAAGCTTTCCCCCCATGATTTGCCAACGCATGAGCGCCGCTAACCTCTCCCTCTTTCGCGTCCGCTCAGTCGCCAACACGGTCCAGTCCCTGTACTGGGCACAGATCATCTACTGCATCCTCTGGATCTTGACCGGCACGCTGCTCCTCTTCAGCGGGTTCGCCTCGTTCAACTGGCTCTCTCGCGCCGGCGTGCGCTCGCGCTCGGCCATTCTGCCGAACGGCAAGCAGGTCAAGTCGCGCGCTGCGCTGCTCGCAGGCGGAATCGGCGGCTGCGTCATTGGCTTCCTCTTCTTCAGCTTCCTCGTCACGCTTGTCCTGTGTGCTGTCTGCGCGCGCAGCGGCAAGGCGCCGCTGGCGCCGCAGGCGTTCTTTGCCCTCTGGTTTGCCCCCAGCCTCGTCCTTGGTCCGTTGCTAGGCGGTCACTGGCGCGTCGTCGGCCGCAGCATGGCTGGCTTACTCGCCGGCGTCTGCACCGTCCTTCTCGTTACGGCTGTCTTTGGCATCCATACACTGACCATCCGCGTCATCCTGCTCGCCATCTTTGCCTCCCTCTTCACCGCGCCGCTCCTCCTCACGGCGCGCAACAGCACCGTGCAGCGCCACCTGCTCGGGGTCTGCACCGCACTGATCGGCGTCGTAACCATGCTCACTGGCGTCGCGCTCTTTGCGCCGCCGGAGGACTCGAGCGCAGCCTGGCTCGACCTCTGGGCTCTGCTCTTCGCCCACGACGGATCCGCGACACAGGCCAACGCGATCAGCGCGTGGGGCACGCCCGCATTCAAGGGTTACATCGCAGGCGGCGTGCTCGGCTGCGTTATCGGCTGTGCACTTCAGTTCTTCATCGGCGCCAAGACGGGAAACGACGCGGTGGAGGAATGGAACGATTACCTTGGCGGCTGGACGGAACGCTTTGTCAACAAGAGCGGCGCAGCGGTGCCCGGCCCAACCGGAATGGTCGAGTCGCGTGCGGGCCTGTTCGAGCCCGCTCCGACGGCTTGGCAGCGCGTCGCAGGCCTCTTCAGCGACAAGGACCAGCGGCCCGCCTCGTACGGTCGCGATCCGCCCATTACCGCAGGCGCCACCAGCGCGCCGTCGGCCGGCGGTGCTGCATTCACGGAGCTCAACCCAAACCGCCGCGCAAAGAGCGCAAAGGCTCGCTCAAGCGCCGGCCGCAATATCTCGCGCGGGCCTGCACGCTTCCAGGCGCTCGCCCGCGGAGAGAAAGACGCAGAGGCCTCTGAGCTCAGCGACGAACACGACGCTGATGACAGTGACGACGACAGCTACGCGACCAATATCGACGACAGCAGCGTCGACGATAAGAAGCAGCAGCAGCAGCACAAGAGCGGTGAGCGCGATGCAGTTGCCGAGCTCAATAAGGGCAACGGCGGGCTGGAGAACTACCGCGGATACGCGCTCCCCCGCCCGCCCAGCTACCGGACCGATAGCTGTGCCTCCAGTGCTGGTGGTAACGGCGGCGCCGGAAGCGGGCTCAGCGGCACGACCAAGGCATCCTCATCCTCTTCATCGGACGGGCTCTCAGATCCTTCCAATAGCGGCGGCAGCGAGGAGGTGCACAAGCCGCTTGCAGTGTACAGAGACAGCGCTGCAGTGGCCGCGCCTGCGACGCTGCCGGCTTCCTCAGCAGCATCGCGCCCTCCGCTGTCAGCTCCATCAGTGGCCCCACAGTTGCAGGCGCCGCAGCCCGCGGGCGCGCAAACCATGGTTCCGGCGACGCCGTCGCTGATCAACGCCATCACGCGCATACAGCAGGCCCAGGCGCAGGCCCAAGCGTGGAAGGAGTCACAGTCGCTGGCAGCCAAAAGTGGTGAGAATTTCGCGCCATATGGCATGGCGAAAATCGCACCATCATCGCCCACGTATCCGAAGGCGTCGACAGCGTCGGCGCCTGCCGCAGGGAACAGCACTGGCGCGGGCTTTGAGAAGTGGTGGGAGAAGGAGGTAGCCGGAAAGAAATAGCCTGGTTCCCTTCTTGCTCGCCACTTCGGGGTTTCTAGCGATTGCGCCGCGTCGACCCCTCGCTAGATGTATCATGGACAATATCGGTGTTGCCTTTGCTCCTTTTTCCTTCTTATCGTTCTTTCGCTATCATTCGTCTTTGCGTGCGCGCACAGGCCAGCATGGCACATGGCACCGGAGAGTTTTGGGACAGTCGACGCTGTCGCGCAAGCGAGCTTTGGCTTTTTACTGTACTACACGTTTTCTATCCGCCTACACATCTGTCACGTCTCCTTTCACGAGCCACAGTCCATGGCCGCAGCAGCGGCACGCCAGTCGCCTGTTCTGGAACAGGAGAGAGTATATCACTTTGACAGCATTTCATCGTTCGAAGCGCGTATTTCATGGTGTGAAATCCTTGATTCTCCTTGAACTAGTCTACTGTCTGCTCTTGCTAACGCTCGTCAGCGTGTCATCAGCTTGGAGAGCTTGTACGCCTTTGTGCACCTATTGATGCTCATTCAATGTTTAATTCGAGCTTCAGTTCGATGGATATTCGTCCTTGTCAACGCAGCAGCAATGATTTACTTTCCAAAGGCGTCGTCGACTCGGCGAGTAGCCAGAACACAACCCAAAGCACTTGGGGAACGAACAAACGCACCTACCAAGACGGCAAGATGGATCTTCGACTCGCAATTTAGTTCTATCGTTGCATGTCCTGCAGTTCAGCTCCATACTCTGCATCAGCAGGACAATGGACAACTTGCTTGCTCTTCGGCGAGGCACGTGCGACGGTGCCGTTCTCTTCTTCATCCCGAGAAGCTAGTGCCACCGTGGTTCTCTTGGGGAAGGCGGCGCAAGCGCAAGGCCTCCCAGAGAACAGAGTGCCAGAAACGGCACGATGAGGTATGAATTGCTTTCTGGACAGAGACTGCCGTGAATTCGTGGTACTAGATACATTGAAGAAGTGCGATGGCCTGCGTGGGACTACTAATTATGCGAGGCGAGAGGGGTGTTACACACACAAGGTGTGCTGCACATATCAATAAAGGAAGCTGGGGGATGGAAGCTGATTCCGATCTGTATTTGCTCAACCTACCGCTGTGGTCACCAATATCTTTAACGGTCGCTTCTGGTGAGGTCCGACGGTCAGCCGGTGACAGATAGGCGCTTAAGCGCTTCCTTACTGTGCTGGCAGCTGTCGTCGCTCTAAGATGGACTCGATCGAGGATAAGCGATGCCGAGCGAGCACGTAAGCTAGGACTGCAGGTGTCACATTGCTTGATTTCTTCACAATCATCCTTCGCTACGAGCTGGGGCTGGTGGGCATTTAGCACTAAGCTGCCTGGGCTGATTGCGACCAAGAGAGTTAAGTCCGGGGACATAGACGGCGTGGAATTGATCAGCGTAGCTATCCCTTTTGGCTATGGGGAACAATGGTGCGATAGCAAGACGAAGTACATTACATCTAGTAGTCTACGCTCGCAAAAGGGACTTCAAAGATAGGTCAGTATCGATATCACCCGTTGTTTCTAAGCGCTGGATAGGAATCTGGTAAGACCTTTTTAAAGCAGTTCAATTAATTTTGTGAAGTGGGTGATTCGACTGATTCAGATTCGGATTGATTCGCTCGTTTGGTTCCAGACTAAGGTTACCTTTAAGAGTCCAAGTTTGTAAGCAAGCACGCCAATTCAAGCCAAACGTCCCTCAGCTATGGAACGCGTGCCCGTTGTCATGGCACGCCGCATGACCATCGCTTGTTCACACCTGTAGACGATCAATGCACACCTCAGCTGCCCTTCAAAGCTGACCCATTCCCGAGTTATCGTTCATAAGAAGTGGCTACAAAGCTAGGAAAAGTCGAGGCTGCGCAGTGACGGCCCGCTGGAACGGCACAATGCCCGCGACAGCCTCGCCCAGCGATGCACCCGACTTCATCGAGCCGCTTTCTTGGGTGATCCTCATCGTATCCATCATTCTCATTTCCATTGGCATCCTCTATGGCCTGAAAAGATGGGGTGAACCCCCAGACGATGATGTTGAATCAGATGGGCTAGGCGTCTTCCACACTACCCGGGCAGGCCCACGAGGCTGGTCGGGTAACGATGCGCAAGGGCTAAGCAGAGCCACAGAGTTACACAGGCTACTCGACGTGCAGGAGGAAGACGAAGAGGACAATGGAGAGAGTGGGAGCGAGACCACTGCAGTAGAAGGCAATCTACCTGGTCTACCTTCAGGCGCAGCGCCGTCAGCAGCCGGCAGATGGAAGCTGCGGAGAGAAGGCTTCAGCACTACCTCGAAAGAATTCCAGCCGAAATCTAGCGGCAGATCTGCGAACAGGCAATCCCACGGCACACCCTCGGCGGGCACGGGGTGGCCACCACGACATTCGAGGGGCATCAGTATCAGAGATGCTCTTGGCGGCGAACAACCAGCGTTCAGCCCACCTACCGCAAGTAGCAAGGACGACTGAGTCATTAGGTGCAGGAACCATACTCACCGAAGCCGCAGCGTTCGAGACATGACGCGCGCACGCGCGAAAGTCAAACACTCTCAACACCTGGCCGGAAACCAGGACACGTTCCGCTCCCACTGCATATTCTTGGGGCTCTGCCTCATCACCTTACTGCGTCCTATATATCTTTCACGAGTCCTCCAAGGGCAAAGCCTCACGAGCGCAAAGCAGGCTGAGAAATACACACATCACGGATGGTCTTCTCGCTGCAGTATGAGCGACGAGGAATCTCTTTCTGACGCTGCTCCGCTAGCGAAGCGGACCCGTTTCAACGTCGCAGCCAGCATACGATCTGACGCCCCAGCGAATCCTTCATGGCAGGACAGGACCGAGTACGATGATTTCGACACCGCAGAGGCAGAGCTGGAGGAGGAAGAGAAAATCGCTGAAGGCGTCATCATGTCCATCCTCATTCAGCACGGGCGGGTGGGCTGTGCCATCTTTGAAGATGTGTCTCATACCCTCTTTCTCCTGGAGGACGCCGCCGTCGAAGCGCATACATCCACCTTCAAAGCCGACACAGTGATCCTGGGACGAAGTGATGTACAGGAAGGTCCTGATGCTGGACACACAGCAGGAAATGCATCTACCAGTGCTGCAGCTAACAAGGAGACCGGTATGCGGGACCTCGTTGGTCTCAGTGAGCTAACACTTGAATCTTTTGACGTGTTGTGGCCTCTTCTGCATCTGACACTGACAGAACGCGTCGCTTCATTCTCCAAGTCATCGATCAGCATAAACCAGACATGATCCTTGCCAGTTCAAAGTGCTCGAGCGAAGACATCGAAGCGATGAAGACTGACTGTGCGCACCTGGGGAAAGCCGGATGAACCCTCGCATATAGCCAGCGTCAGCCTACTTACCAACCGACCTTGTTCATTTAGTAACCGAGACTGGGGGTACGCTGCAAGTGCGGCCTGCACGCGAGTACGACCCTGTAGCAGGCAAGATGCGGCTGCTGTCCATTGGTGCTTTGGACGCCGACCGCGCGGCTGACTCACAGGATGATGATGAGGGATATAGTGCAAGCCCTAAGATCACCAGCGCTGCCGAGGCAGGCGAGCTACCCTTCTTCACCAAACGCCTGAAGCTTGCATCCGCCGTCGACGCTGAGCAAATGACTCTCACGACCGCTGCAGCGTGCGCCTTGCTCAGCCATGTTTTCCGCCTCGTCTCTCATGGCGCCTTGCCCAACGCTGAGCCAGGCCTCTCGCATATCATCAGTGGCGTCGAGACCATGTGCCTTTCTAATTACTTGCAGGTGACATCTGCGACGCAAAAGGCTCTGTCTATCTTTGTGGAGGAGAGCGTGGCGAGTGCGCAGTCTTCCAGCAAGAAGGAGGGCCTGTCGCTTTTCAATGTTCTAGACTTCACCGTGTCGCCAATGGGTCGCACTCTACTACGCCGCTGGCTTGCTTGGCCATCCGCAGTTAAGAAGACCATCAACGTGCGCCACGACGCAGTCGGATGCCTGCTTCGTCCGCAGACCGCCGCAGACCTCGTCCTTCTCGTTGCGGAACTCAAGGGCGGGGCCAACATTGCTTCGCTCCTCGGGTCGGCGTTTGCTCGCGGTACGCCGAGCCTGGCCGCATGGCGCAAACTCTCAGAGTACTGCAGGCATGCCATTGCGATCAGCGAGATACTGGGCAACTTCGAAAACCTCTCGAAAATGCTCTCAGATGTGCGCTCCTTGTTCCGCGCCTTAAAGGTGCATTTTCTCACACTGGTATCATGATGCTCCCCGTGCTTTGCAGATCCTCAGCGCCATCAATGTTGCTAGCCTTGCAGATATCGCAGACATGCTTGGAATCATTGACTGGCAAGAGAGGTAAGCGCTTTTCCTTGTTCTTTCGTGTCGGCTACGTCTCTTAATCCGCATTGCGATGCCCAGCACGCAAGAACGCTCTGTAGTCATCTGTGTGGGCCATGATGCTCAGCTCGACGAGTGGCGCCGGTCGTACGCTGCGCTCCCTAGCCTGCTCAGCACTGTTGCAGAGAGCTTGCGCGGCACGGCGATGCAGGAGCATGCAGAAAGGTGAGAGTGCGATACTATGCTCTCTGCATTCAGCGAGCTAACGTATTGATTTACTTGGCCTAATGACTCTTCTGTCCCACATAGCTTCAACATCTGCTTCTTCCCTCAGCTCGGCTATCTCATTGCCTTGCCACGTGAATCCGAAGACATGACTGGCGCAGAGAGGCAAATCGAAGGCTTGACGTTCTCTTTCTCGTCCAACATGATGGATTACTTCAAATGTATGGTGGCTCCGGAATTCGCTGCGGTGACCTGACCGCGGGCTGATCAGACTGTTGACTTCTGCAGCTCAGGAAATGGAGGACCTTGACGTTCACGTGAGGTCACCGTGACCTGAGTACGGCTGGTTGTTCACTAACAAATGTCTTCACAGCTCGGAGATCTTCACTCGTACATTGCAGATAGGCAGATAGAGATCACCAACGATCTGCAACAGCGCGTGCTTGCCAAGCAGGCGGTCATCTTGAGTGGAGCACAAGCTATGGCGGAGCTGGATTGGTGAAAAACAGTCACGCGATTGGTATCGAACCGGCTGCTGACCTATCTCGAATCAGTTTGATTTCGCTCGCCCGGGCGGCGCAGGAGTACGGCTACGTGCGGCCAAACATGATTGAGGGCAACGAGATCAGGATCGAGCGCGGGCGCCATCCTTTATCCGAGCGATGCGTCGAGAGCTTTGTTAGTGCCAACGACCATCTTTGAAACCGTGCGTCGTTGACTCATGTTTCCTGGCTTTTAGGTTCCAAATGATGCGATGCTCGTAGGCGGCAAAGGCGATCTGCAGGATGCTATGGTCCAGGATAGCAATTTTGAAGAGTTTGACCAACAGCAGGCTGGAGAATCCACGGACGCCGCAGCGGGAAACAGCATGATAGTTGTGACAGGCGCGAACTGCTGCGGGAAGAGCGTCTTTATCAAAAGCATTGCAATGATCGTGTGAGTGTCTGCGAATGGCGGTGTGTCCGTGGCCATATTTGAAAGCCACACGTTCTATGCTGACAGTTGCAATCGTGTCAGTTACATGGCACAATGCGGCTCCTTCGTCCCTGCTGACCGCGCGGTCTTGGGTGTTTGCGATAAAAGTTAGTACGATACAGCCGACTGAAACTATACGAGGAATTGACGAATCGTACCGCCGCTGAAAGTCTTGACCAGTATACAAGTGCTTGAGTCGGTGGGAAGAATGCAGAGCAACTTTCTTATCGACATAAGCCAGTGCAGTTTTGCCTTGAGACACTGCACGGCTCGCTCCCTCGTCCTTCTCGACGAGACGGCAAAGGGGACCGACGCCAAAGGTGGGTCTCTGGTGAGCTTGCTATTCTAGACCAATCCGTTGAAGTCCAGAATTCTTCAGACGGGGCTGCACTGTTCGCTGCCATTGTCCAAGACCTCTTGACGCGCGGTCAAGACTGTCCCAAAGCTGCCGTCGCAACCCACTTCCACGATGTCTTCTTCAATGGTATACTTCCGCCATACCTACCCTTCACTCCCATGCATATGCAAATTGTGCTGGAGCAGACGGATGGAAACGAAGACATCATCTACCTTTTCAAGTATGCAACGCTCGGAGCATATGAAATTTCGTTCCGCAGGCGCTGATTCATCCACCTTTGTTCCGTCAGAGCGGCTCCTGGATTTTCGGACTCGTCGAATGCTGGCCACTGCGCCCGGATTTTCGGAATTGACGTGGAGGTGGTGAACCGCGGTGATTTCGTAACGCGTTTGCTGCGCCAAGGTCATGCATCTGATCTGGCATTTGCCGGCCTTGAAGACGATGGCGAAGGGGCAGCATACTCTTCCGCTTGCATCACCAATAAAGAAGAGCTGATGGTGATTGAAAGAGTGGCTCGGCTGTTCCTCGATTGGGATATTGACGGCACCTTGCAAGAACTTGAAGACGGGAAGAATGAAGGCAGCGAGCACAGACCTTTGATTCGAGAGCAAGTGCGCGCCATTCTGGCAAGCCAGCTGCTTAAGACCGATCGTCCAGAACATATGGAAGAGCGCAACAACATGGCTTCCAGTAAACAAGAAGGTATTGCTGATATGAGGCCTGCTTACGCGGATGGGTTTGAGAACCTCGCGCACGGCTTCGCGGGCTCCGATTGCCACAAGTACATACCAGAAGAGGTGGAATTCTTAGACGCTCCTTGATGGACATGACAAACAAATTGCGGCCGCTGCCAGCGCCCCACGCTCGGTTGATGATAATGAGGAATCCACACAAGCGATATGCGCCTCGACTTTGAATGCACTGTAGCTTGCAAGCGTGCTCAATGGCTTATAATGTGATGCAGGGATGCTTCCATTCTATTGCAACTCCCCTGACGTCTGTTATAGCATGCACGCAGCCTCACCGAGCCACAGAACGTCCACGTGGTTCCTCTTCGCATTCCTGAACGCTGCAATATGATGGGGGCGCGTCGAATGAGCCCGGCTCAGCTCCTGGATGCACAGATCGGTCCTGCGCGACCATGGCGCCAGAGCCGACAATCGTGATACCTTCTGTGTGCAGTGTCGCGCTGCTCGCTGTGCTGATCCTCGAACTGCGACTGATGGACCTTGCCATTGCTGCGCCACCACGGGTGACGGAAGCCGAACGGTGAGAACGGGAAGAGCTCCTGCTAAGGCTGCGACGCAGGCGCTCGCCCACAGGCTCTGGCTCGGGCAACTCTCCAATCTTCCCACGGTTGTGTACATGATCGCCCAGGATCGTCATGCCCGCCATTCGCGGGATCAGGGCGCGCTCACGTGCCGTGAGGTCAGCAATTGTCTGCCCGCATACGCAGTAGTCATGTCGCGAGCCGTGCTGGGGCAGCGCAGTGTTGGCCCACGGCGCATCAGGAGGGAGTGTCGCAGGTGCACCAGGCTCGCCGATATGTTGAATGCCAATGTCATACGGCATGTTTGGCGAGCGCGGAATGTTGTCGGATTCCGAGTATTCGGGCAGCGTGACTGCGTGGTAGGCGACGCAGCAAGATGGGATTATGACAGGTTGCCTCAGCGCAAAGACCTTCAGCTTGCGTTCGGATCCTTCCGGCAAGCCTTCAAAGGCAGGAGAGCGAGAGTGCACCACCTCTACCACCAATGTGTGAGAGAAGCGGATACCGGCACGAGAGCCAGGCATCGTCGTTGCACGAATGACGTTGTCGTCTGGAATTCTCGCAACCGTCTGGACCGTCCAAGCATGATCTGTGCCCGCGTCTCTGATGAAGCCCTGCGCCTTGTTTCCGTCACCCGGCCCCAGATGGTCGTTCGGACGCGGAGGCACCCATCCACGCTCCCACAATTTGTGGCGCTGGGTGGGTACACTCTGCTTGCCTTTTTTGCGAGTGTGCAGTTCGATCGTCGTCTCGAGGATCACGCGGACGAGGTAGACGATCAGGTCCGACGGTGGGTTCGGGGAGTGCACATCGACGTTAAAGATGCCGCCGACGGAGACGGAGCTGCTTGTGCAGGTGATGCTCAACAGCCCGACGGTCGGATGCAGATCATTGTACAGCACCGTCATGGGCGTCAGCACGTTGTCGGACGAAGGATTGACGATTGGAAATATGTCCCGATGCGCTTCGACGTTCGACTTGGCGCGGCCTGCGCCAAGCGCCGTCGCTTTAATCGTGTAGCGGACGCGCCCGAACGGGGAGCGCTCGTAAGGAGGTGTGTCAGCTGGGATGATGAATGCGAATTCGAAACTGGAGATTTGGGAGCGCGGAGGCAGAAGAAGAGGTTCTCGTGACAGATCAGCATTTGGCTCTTTTTTACTCCAAAGCATCGAGACCGGTCTGCTCACCCGTGCACACCCCTCGAAAGCTGCAGCCCACTCCCATCGGTAGCGCTCTCGCTCGCAGCAGATGCGCTGGCGATGCTCGTGCTCCTATCCGCGCTTGGGGCGTCCACATCCTTGACGGGGCCACGCCCGCGACTAACGGCGCGGTCCTTGCCGCGTCCCCCGAAGAGGGGGAGCGCGACGCTCGCACTGCGCGTGGCCGGCTTATGCGCATCGTGGTGTGCGGTGCTGCTGCTGCTGCTGTTGTTGCTATTGCTATTGCCAAGGCCCCCGCGCCCTCGTGTGGGCTGAGGCGCAGCGCTGGAAGCGCGCTCGGACGCTGAGCTGCCACCGCCAGCATTGTCATGGCTCGAGCTGCCTCTCGATGACAAGCCATTCTCCAGAGATGGACGCGAGAGGAGGCTCCCGAGTCCTCCACGGCCGCGTGTCGTCGCGGCGTCTTCGAGCGACGCCCTGCCGACATCTTCGGCGCCTGCTGCGCTGCGCGCACTTGCAGTGGAGCCGATCCCACCGCGACCAGTTGGAGGCCTGCTCAATGTGCTGGGGCCGACATCTTCTGCATGGCCACTAACTTGCGAGCGCGGTGGAGAAAATGTGGACTCCGCCGGCGGCCTCTCAGAAGTGGACGAGGGAGAGTCAGGCGCGATGACGCTCACGTCCCGCTGCTGCGAGTACGGAATCGTCCCGCTCGTGCTGCGCGCTGTCCGCGGTGCGGGGCTGAACACCCTTGATCCACCGATGACATTCGCCGGACCGGGGACCGATGTACGCCTCCCCTCCGCGTCCAAAGGCGGCGCCAGCAGGTCTCCTCCTTCCTCATCTCCTGCAGTAGCGGCTGGGGCAGGACTTGGCGCACGACTGGCGACTCGGCTGGCCGGCCGTGAGCGCGAATTGGCCCTGCTAGGTGCGCGACTGGAGTTGGGCGAGTGCCTCGCGGACACCGAAACGGAGTTCGATCCGGGCTTGCGGGAAGCTGAGCGGCCGCGTGACATGGCGGCTGCGATGGCGCTCGCCAGGCCACCTCCGCCGATGCTGTGTCTGTGCTTGTCCCTCTCCCGCTCGCGGTGCTCGTGAGACGGAGATGCATCCCCGTTGAGACAGACGGCGTGATGATCGTCGTGCGAGCCAGCGTGTCCTCCTCCAGAATGCGTGGTGCGAGACGAGGAGCCGCGGTAGAGAAGGTCAGGTCGATCAGCGTTGTGTTCTTCACGCGAGGAGCAAGTAGAGGTCGGGTATCTGGGCGAGTCAGGTGTCTCAAACGTGGGTGTGAGAGTTCCAGAGCGAGACGTTCCGCTGCGATGGAAGTAGTGGTGGTGATGGTGGTGGCTGTGGTGGGAGGAATCTTCGTCGCTTCGATGCGGGATCAGCGGTAATCTTGACGCCGATGTCGGGGCCGAGCGCTCCGGGCTGGCGTGCCTGCTTTTGCTGCGCCCCTTTTCCTTCTCTTTGCCCTTTTTTTGTGCGACTCCAATCTCGAGCGTCTTCTCAAGCACCACTGTGTCCTCCCAGGTGATGAGCATGGAACTCGTCGCAGAATCGAGGATGCCAATGGTCTGGACACCCTTGAGCTTAACCTTGATGCCACCTATGTGACGTTCGGAAGGGACCCACAGCTCAACGAGGCCACGAACGAGCTCATCCTGAGACGTAGGAGGGAGCGCTTCCTGGTCGCCGCGTGTAGTGCGGTCTGGTGGGTGGAGGAAAAGGCTGTTCTGGAGCAGATGCAGTTTGATCTCACATGGTTGGAAGAGGGACGACAGCATTTTGGGCCCTTGCTTAGCGACTGGACAACGCCAGCAGTTTGCTGCAAGAAAACCTTCTGCGACTTGCAAGCCGAGGACTGAAAGCCTGGAAGAGGGAGGATGGAGGCCTTCGAGGGACACCCCGTGCAGGTCAACTTCGGCCCAGGGCCGTTGTGAAGCAGGTTGCAGCCAGACACCGCGTGCTGGTCAGCTCCTTTCCCCTATCAAGATTAACCCTGGGAGGACGCTCGCTGGAGTGAACGCTTTGCTGACAGCGGGCCGCAGGGTGTCAAGAGGGAGAAGACGAAGAAGGATTGTGATAGCTGATCATCAGCGGCATCCGAAGCCCAACCAAAGGTCAAAAGCCCAGTCAAAGTGTGACTTAACTCATCTTCGCCGCATTTGTCCATGCACCAAAAAGAATTCCCCGAAAAGGGGTTTGAGTACATTCAATTGGCGCATTATTTTCAGGGCGCTGGCAAGCCATCTCGGAGGATTTGTGTGCTCAAATTGGCGTTGAATCCCATGTCTTTCATGAACTTTGGGAGCCTTCCGCGGGTTGCCGAATAGTCCTCTGGGAGATCCGCCGGATTTCTCACCGGAAAAGCTGTGGAAATGAGAGGTATGGCGGAATCTCGGTCGCGCTTCCCGCAGAGCATATTTGTTGCAGACCTCGTGACGTATGGCAGTCGCATTGCGAACATCGTCGGTGCGGCGCTTGCACCGTATACATATATATACTCTCCCATCGTGAGCATGTCGTGTTCAGGATCGGCGGGCGTCGCAGAGAGACCACGGCCGGGAATTGAGCAATGGGCTGCTTGCTTCCATCGCAACGATTCGACTCGCACAGCAGCGCCGGTAGTCCCTGCTCAACGTCACGTAGCGCCTGCCCTTTCGTATCGCCCACCGCAGCCATGGCGTCTTCGTCACTGTCATCTTCCTCACCAACAGCGGCAACCAACACCAGTGTCCCCGCCACGCTGAATCTGACGCCCTCGCAAGCGCGCGCCGAAGCGTCCGGCCTCTCCGCGCGGCTCGGCGACATCAAGGAGCTGCTCTCGGTGCACGAGTCGACGCTGGCTGCGCAGCACGTCTCGCTGACGTCGCCGCTGATCGACCGAGAGGGCTTCCCGCTCGCCGACATGGACCTCCTGGCAGTCCGCACGGCGCGGCAGGAGATACACAGGCTGAATAATGACAGGTTGCGCATCGAGTCGAGGCTCCACCAGCTGCTACAGGTCGCCCTCAGGCGGGATGACAGCGAAGGATCGGCGCAGAGACCTTTGCGGCCCGTAGCCGCGACCAATAGACATGCGAGTGCTGCCACCTCGGACGTGGAAGCGAGAAGTAATGCAAACCCAAGTGCGAGTGCGAACGACCATGCGGCAGCGAGGGGCGCGATCCATCTGCAGCCCTTTGCACAGATCAACAGCGTGTCGCCCGCCCCCGCCCCCGCGTACCGAGCAGGCCTGCAGCCTGGTGATCTGATACTACGCGTCTCGTCAGGTGTAGGCACGGATGCACGTGCAGCTGTAGACGCCAGCAATCACGACTCGCTACGAGCACTGCCGGCGCTCGTGCGTGAAGGCAGGCAGGTCATCTTCACCGTTCGCCGCATACGCGAGACGAGCGGGCGCGAGAGGGAGGAGGTCGGGGAGTTTACGCTTACCCCAAGCAGCGGGTGGGGCGGACGCGGGCTTCTGGGGTGCGTCGTGTGCCTGCCTTGCTTGTCTCCAATCTGGCACCAGTGACTTCGATTTATCGTGCAGCGTGGGCGAGAATACTGACGAGCATTTCTGGTTTTGCATTCAACCACCTGGTTCTTGTAGGTGTCACATCCTGCCACTATGATCATGGTTTCCGCGACATCTTTCCCATACGCATCAACGCGAACCCGCCATCGTGGACGATTGCAGCTTCCAGTCGATTGTACCCTCGTTTCGTTTTGGAACTCTCCACATCTCAGCACCCAATTGGAAGATGTCTCAAAAGCATTGATGTACTGTATCCTACACTCTCTGTTCGCATCGCTACGGTCTCGCTGCTCATTCGCACTTGAAACTTGCGTATGCTACATGGGTCAGTTTTTATGCTACAACAATTTCACACGCCTTCATGGTCTCTTATCTCTACTGTTGGATAGCCATGATGGCTTTCATACTCGCATCCAGCTCTTTCTTCGTCTCCTCATCCAAGGGCTGAGAAGTCTCTCGGCCACCATCCGCTGCCCGGTTCTGACCCTCTCGCTTTCTTTTCCGGTTCTGTGCGGCTACACCTCCCTTGGCCTCGACGTTAGGAACGGGCTCTTTTGCGCCGGCGGAGCCAGCGGGTAGTGCGGCTGTATTGCTGAGGGCTTCTGCGGTGTTAATATTGCCCGGCTGGGTCTGGAACATGGCAAACAGCGCTCGCTGTCGCTCGACATCTGCTCTGCGCTCAGACGAAGCGTTGTGGCGTCGCAAGAAGAAGATTACCTTCTTATCCATTTCGATCGCTCGCATCTGCGTCTTCTTGATTGTGCCTGAAAGCGGATTCGTTCAATTGCAGCTCAGTAAAAAGCCAGGCGACGGGTCAGAGCGAAGAACCAAGCAAAACATACCGCTGCAATGCACGACAGCGATCCGGACCCTGCGCCCTTCCAGCTCGTTGATCATGGTGATTGCAGCCCAGACGGTCCTTGCAGCCTCTCTTGCACACCGTATGATAGCCATGCCCGTCTTGGGAGAGTAGTATCGACACGCAAGCGCGCCGCCGCATGTTCCGGCGCCCGCATCGCCGAAGAACGTCTCCAGCGCTTTGCGTATGGCTCGGATTAGCGTCGAAGCGTTCAGTGTAGATGGCAGGTGCGCTGGGCTGAGCGAGTGCGCAGACGATGAAGAGGACGAGGATGAGCCACTAGGTGAAGGCGCGGGTGCGGCCATGGACAGTAGCAGCCATCGGTTCTGCGGCAGGACCAAGGCATCAGCCCGCTTTCCGTTTACCTCTTTGTGACTGCACTTGCACTCACTTTGAATCTGACCATGGCAAGCGCAGACGATCTTCTGCATCCACCTCGAACCGGCACCTATGCTGCAGGGGAACGATCACCAGAGAGACGACGGATGCAGCGGTATTGCAAATAAATGGACAGCCTTGTCAAAATGTCGCCTGTTGTCAGCATCTCTCCTTTCTACAGTCAACGTCTTCCTTCTTCGCCTGTCGACGGCGTTGCCACCTATTTTTTTTCCTAACCCCGCTCAGAAGGGAAAAAAAGAATTGTGGGACCAGAACTCAAATGTGTGTTGAGGCGTCGGATATCTCTCCGAAAATGGATCACTCCACCCTCGGTCAGAACACCGCGTCGTGCTCCCGACCTCCCTTGCCAATAAAGAGAAGGGGCCACCGCCGATAAGGCCCATAGCTAGTAGCGTTTGCTGTCACCCATTTGGATATATAAATCGTGATGGTATTGGCAAGCGCCGATGAGAACACCCTTTCGAACGGATCACAGCTCGACGATCAGGTGAGCAAAAGTGGAGAACCTCACGCAAGCGTTCGAGATGGCCAACGGCAGGGGATCTATTGGAACCGTGGTCACCGCTAACACCACCGCAGGGTCATTAAGACTGACACACAGCGACGCCGAAGCGCATGTCGATTGGCTCTTTACGCTGCTTGAGTCCCAAGGACATGCGGACTACATTGGTGAGCCGATTTCGCAACTCGAGCACTGTCTGCAAGCCGCCCACTTCGCCGAACAAGCAGGCGCCAACGCGACGACCGTGATCGCTGCGCTGTTGCACGATGTCGGTCAGTTCATCCCGCTGGAGGAGAAGGTAAACAGCGCCAAATTTGCACATGCGCAGAAGGATGGACAAGAAATGATGCAAGGGGGGGCCAGTGTCGGCCGTATGGGACATGATCGTCTCGGCGAGGAATGGCTACGGCAGCACGGCTGGCCGGAGACCGTGAGCAAGCTGGTCGGCGCGCATGTTGTTGCCAAGCGGTACGTCGCGATGAAATCGCCACCAAGCGACGGGCACGAACGGCAGACACTGAGAACCCTCACATGCCTTGCGCAGATATCTTACGGCAACCTCGGCTGAGTACCTCGCAGCACTTTCATTCGCCTCGGTGGCGTCGCTCAAGCATCAAGGGGGACCGTTCACTTCATCAGAAGTAACAGCGTTCGAGCAAGATCCCCAGTGGCGCCAAAAGGTGCAGCTCCGATTATGGGACGACAAGGCCAAGGTCGTAGGGTTGGAGACGAAGCCGATTTCAGCATACCGTAAAACCGCAGTCGACGTGCTGCTTGGCGTCGCGTGATGATCTGCATTACGGTTGGGCTGGATAATGATACATGAGCAAAGGGTAATCTGAATGTGATGCTTACTATTTAATGTCACGAATGTCTTCCTGTCTGACAATGCTGAAACCCCCTGTCGGTCGTCAAAGGGGGCTACAATGAGCTTACTCATAGGCGTCGTCGTACCCGTACGCCTCCTCTGCATAAGCGTCCGAGTACGCCCCTCCGTCAGATACGAAACCACCTGCGTCGGATCCGCCGTCCCTGCTCCTGCTATCCCTCCCGGCGCGCTCAGGCACGCGCCCTTTCCCATTTGCGCGGCTGCCACGAGAGCGATCCCTGTCAATGTCCTTGTCATCCTCGCTGCCGAAATCCGACTCGCCGCCCAGGCCGGTGCTCGCCTCGCTGCGGGCCTGTGAAGCGGCACGGCCGATCATGTTGTAAGCCGCACCGATGCCGCCCAAGTCATCCAGCTCGCTGTGCGGCCGCGATCCGCCCGCCGAGACGATCCCCGATTGATTCGGTAGCAGATTGCCGAGCGCGCTGTAGTTGATTTTTCGGCTGAATTTTTTCTGCTTCATCATGTTCACAGTCGACTCGAGGGCTGAGCTTCCTGCAGCGTTGCTGCTATCCCGCAACACTGGTTTCTTGCGTGGCTTGCTGCGTTTCGGCTGGATACCGCGCTTTAGATCTTCTTCCTCCTTGATTGCTTTTTGCAGCGATTCCTCAAGCCATTCCTTGTTGAATTCGGTCCAGATGCGCTCTTTGACCAACTCCTCATCTTTGGAGAGCAGATACTCGTCGAGCTCTTCTTCGTCTAGATTCGCCAGCGGGTCCTTTGGATCCTCCGCTGGTAGCTTGCTCTTTTTCATCGCGACGGAATCGGAAGCTTGTTCTTCACCACTTCGAGCACGCTTCTTCGGCCTAGTTGTAAGCGCATCTACCTCCTCCACCACACCACTTCCCTCATTTCCACTGGCAGCACCTCTCGCAGCGGCTTGTGAAGTGCCTATTTGAGCCTGTCGCTCGGCTGCGGTGAGCTTAGCCCGGCGTTCGCTTTGCTCTAATTCATGGACGACGCGGTCGAAATCGTCGCGCAGGCGATCAGACTGCAGGAGGCCTTGTACTTCGTCCGCGATGACTTGGTCTACCTGCTCCTCGACGTCAGTGTTGGCTTCGGCCGAGAGGGCCCCCTCTTTGGCTCCAGAAGCCTCGCCCTCATCACTGTCCACCAGATCGTCTGCTTGGTCATCGCTCTCTGACCCGTCATCATCCTCGCCCCTTTGCCCGTCTCCCACTGTCCTTGATGACCACTTTTTCGAGCTCCTCATCTCGACCCCGGAGCTATCCGCCTTATTCTTGCCACGCACGTCTTCGCGCTTGGCATTCGCGCTGATCTTGCGTGCAATTTCCTCCTTCTTCTCTTTCCCCTTCCTTGCCTTCTGCGCCTGATTTGAGGTTGCGCTCGGCGGCATCGCACCATCGCTGACATTGTTGTACAGCTGGCGGAAATCGTGGATGCTCATCTTGGCCGCAGGCGTCGCACGAAACTCATCGAGACGCTTCTTGAGTGTCACGTCAGCCACCTTGACCACTTGCACAACCTCAGCGACGCTGCGGCGGAAGTTGTTCATTCGCGCTGCGAGCAGCAGACAGGCGCCTGTGATACCCGACGGCCGACGGCCTTGTACGAGCCAATCGTTCTTGAAACGGATGCAGAGACGCGACGCATCTTCCACCACTCGCTCGTACTCGTCGCCAAAGTCTAGGAGGCGCGCAAAGCGTCGGATATAAATCGAAGGCTCCATGATGTCGATGCTGCGTTGTTCAGGATCGAAGCGGAGAAGCTGTGCGAGGCGCAGATACGCTCGACCGAGGACGAAAACATTGACCTGGAGATCAGCAGCAGCAGAAATGATGTAGTCAAAGCGGGGAGTCAGCGGCTGCGCAGGTATAGACCACAACAGGAGTATTCGCTCACCTTGATCAGATCAGCGATCTCGATGAGCATGATAGGGATCTTTTTCCTTCGAAATGCAAGGTAAACGCATGCTCCGTATGAGTACTGACTGCGTCGGCCTTGCACCAAATTTCCGGCTGCGTCGCGCTCGAGCGTCTCTGGATTTGGGAACCACTGCTTACCTTGCCCAATGTTGAGGGCCAGGGTGAATAAACGCGTCGCAGTTTGGTGCAGATCTTCCGACTCTTGATTCAGCTGACGGCAAAGGTTGCGGATCGCTTGCTTGGCTGGGGTGGGAGAAGAGGCAAGTAGACAAAGATTGTGCAAGTTAGCACAGCCTGCGAATGCCTAAACGGGACGCTCTGGTTGCTGCTGCTCACCATTGTAGATCGTCGCCTCTCTCGAGTCAGTTCCATCACCGTACCTCCGTCCACCGGGTCCGACCATAGCATGCTTCCCCGTGGAGCCGGAGACTTGTGTGCCGTGCACCGTCGCCGCACCGGCGGAGGTCTCTCCAAAGGTGACGTCGTTGACAATCTCCGACTCGCCCAGCACATGGCCGCACTGCGTGCAGACCTGCGTGCCATCTTGCGTCTCGATCGAGTCCGAGTCGCATTGCGGACAGGTACGCATTTTGGATTACGTGCTGCCAGGAAGCCCGGGGTTCTGGTCGATGTCCTGAAAGGGCCCAGCAAAACACTCCGTATGTCAAATCACACAGGTCAAGCGCGCTGCATGGCAGCCGTGGAGCATGAGCGTGGCTGTAAACTGCAAGGCGTACGTCTTCGGCGTCCTCAGCATTGGGTCATGGCATCTGGCCGTTGACCGCTCGACACTTCCGCTGGTTGTTCATCCATGCCAGTCGCTTCAGACATCAGTGATCCCGGCCTGGTCGAGTCTCAGGTCTCGCATATGATGAATAGGAAAGAGGATGAGAGGTAGGCTGGGGAATCTCACCAAGGCAGCGTTAGAACTTTTCTCGCACGAGAAAGCAGGAGGCTACATCCACGACGAGGTCACCCATCAGTCTGGGCTTCCGCGCCTTCTTACATGCATTTTTTCCCGCTGTCCACGCGCGACTCTTCACACTCGTTTGGTCCCTGAATCACCCTTGCAATGCTGGTCACTCGGCTCCTGCACGTCGCTCGATGTTGCTGGATGCTGGAGCCATGTGTATCGCATTTCGCGGCTCCAGGATCTTCTTGGAATCAGCAGCAAGTCAGGCAAGAGGACAAAGACAAGACAACAATCATGGTGAATCGGCAGCTCTACCGTTGGGTGGGTATGGAATTCGGCCTCATCAATGCTACTGCCTGAATTTAGTGGCTCGTCCATACTGCGATTTGCCCTTTCCATAACAAGGCAATTCGGGCCAACGTCGACGAGGTTGCACCCCGTTCTGCCACGCTTAAGGACCACGTTCTACTTATCTCGGATGTATTCAAAGTGCTCGACGACTCCAGACTCTTGCATCTTCGCTACTGCACGCTGAGGCTCCATATAATGCTTCGTTCCCGCCTCCTCCCTTTGTCGCTCGAGGCGGCCGACCATATCATGCCTGCTTTGATTGAGTGCATCCACCTCCCTCTGCGTACGCACATGAGAAGCTCTCCGCTCATCATGGGTCTCACGTTGCCGGAGTGCGCGCGCTTGCAGCCAACGCATCTGGTTTGTAGGTCGGCGAATATGTGTTGAACGCAGAGGACTAGATTTGGCCCGACGGGGCCTTCTGCGTGGCAGTGTGCGCCCAGGAGCATGGACGAGCTGCTCGTATATGTTGAAGACGTACACTCATCTACCGGCCACTATGGCACTCGCGCAACCAAGGCTAACGCCGGACAGTAAGGCGTATGCTCATCTGCGTCCCACGCAAGGTCACCGACCTCCACACCAGAGGATTCGGCTGCAAGCGCGCGCGCTCTGCCAGTGTGACACTAAGCGGCCCAAGACCCTCTCTACAACGACACGCTCCAATTGACGCGGTGGCGCATGTACATACGGTCAACCAGGTCGCTCTGGCAGGCAGGGACGTGGTACATGATTCGAACATCTGCTACAAAATACAAGTGCTATGTAATAGGGCAGCTGCCGCCGGCCGATGCCATGTATCAGTAAATCAACGATGCGCGGCATCGCGGCAGTGGCTGTCTTCTTGGCCGGCAGGAGAGGACTGAGCTATCGGCCAGCAATTCAAACTCAGATACCCTCGTTCTCCAAAAACCAGAAACTCAAACATTCCAGAAGACTGATTCGTCTGCGACACTGCGCAACTGCCATGTCATGAACATTGTCATGATCGTGATGACGATGAAACACTGTTAAAATAACACCGATCACGATGGCAGAACGAATGTGATAGCTATTCGATCGATTTTTGGGGGCACCAGTGGAAACAGGATTGATCATGAGCTGATTCAAGTCCAAGAGAGAATTCATCCATACACACCCTGGGTGACCCAGACGACCAGACCGGATTCTGTCATTCTACCATTTGCACGGGGGCGATGTATGCGCCGATGCATGGCTTTCGACGCGAGGAGCTGGCACCGCACTATAGTGGAGACAGTGTGAAAACATGTCATGAGACGAACATGGTTGCGAGTTGCAAGATTCTGAGGCTTTGAGATCTAGACATCAATAACAGTAACGTAGAATGTACATACTATTGTCGTACGTGGCGCAAACGACACTGTATGGAATCGACTGCTGCCGCTGGTTCGGCTCACTATGTACTGTCGCAGAATCAAGAATTGACCAACCAATGCCAAGCTTCTTCTCAAAGGTGGGTTGATGGCAACGAAGCTGTACTGAATTCGTTCAGGCATCATCCGCTCGGCGATGAAGCAATCGGGTAACAGGAGGGCAGCGCTGGATGGCGCGTGGAGTCGCCAAACGGTGGCGGCCGGCCCGGGGGTGGGACGCATTGACCACTGTCGGGCACCAGAGGACAGAATATGGGCCAGTGAAAATACGTGTGTTTCCTTTTAATTTTTTCCATTTCGGTTGAATTTTGCAGAAGGACAATCTAGAATCCATGACGTTTGCAATGATTTGTTTTGAATCCTCTCCAAGACGGCCGGTCGCCTCAAGTCTGTCGCTCCCGTGTTTGTAGCGAAGCCAAAGATGAACGTTTCGTCCCAGCACTCTGTGTAGTGAACTGTAGCAGAACATGTTGCTGGTTTGAGCATGCAGTGTATGCTCTGGGCTTAACTTGGTCTGCACGGTTCTGTTGCACTTCATCTCGCGGCCCGCCCCTTCGTGATATCCAACGGCACTCTTGGAATTGTGACATCGGAGCGCAATCGCATGTGCACCGCCGTGCTACACAGGTATTGCTACCCCTCACCCCAGTAGAACCCACGTTCCGAAACAAACAAAGCCGGCCCCCTTCTCTTCCCTGATTGTCAGCAGGCTGTCTTGGACGGAGACAAACAGCGCCGGGAGGTCTTGCCCCGGCCAGACGTGTAGCGCAAACAGCCACTCAGCGGATCTACCAACGCTTGTCGCCAAGCATCGGCAGGTGATCGCCACCGTGTTTCAGGCTTTCATCAGCGCACCCGCCAGTCTTCTCGTCAATCATTACACTTCAGACACCGGCATTACTCCCTCTTCCTTCTATTATCCTGCCGGCACTGCAGGTGAAGGGTTGAACAGCCAATTGGCTGTCACGCCAGGTCTCCAGGAGGGGCGTAAACTTCAGCCCTATGGTCCTGAACGTTGCGACGTGTTCGCAGAATAACCTCGCCCATCATGTCGAATCTGCAGCGGACATCAGCCTATGCGACGCCGTCCTTGTTGTCTCCGAAAAGCAGGTGAGTAGCACCTCTGCTACCCTAGCCGCGCGACCAGGGGCCTGCATGGACTTGCCCTTGTCAATCCGAATTCGGAATGCCTGCCCTCTCTCCACCTTCATCTCCTACGCTACTTCATCTTGGGGGCTGACCTCGACTCCGTTCACGATTTTTTGATTCAGCAATGAAATCTCGCGCACAATCGATGCCCAAAGTGAAGAAGGAGCCTTTTTGGACGCGGATGACCAATTCCAGTCGGCTCACATGACGCCGCGCAAAGTACCTATGCCTCTCAGCGGCGTATCAACCGCTTCGAACGTCATGCAAAAGCAGCAATCCACAGCAACAGCCAGTCCGACGCGAACATCCAAATCACATGCTGCCGAGGCGAACAAGCCCCAAAAGCATGACGTTCCCCTAAGTGCGCTTGGCAATGTGGCAGACATCGGGTCGAAGCGAACGCCTTCTAGTGCAAGGCGGCATTCGAATGCTTCAGGATCTGCATCCTTCTCGGATGACGTCCATCGCACCAGCGCAGCGAGCGGCCACGGACATCTACGGTCGCCAACGCCAGCTTATTCTTCAGCGCCGCAGATCCACTCTTCCATCCATATCCCCCTTGCGGCAGAAGTACATCCGCTCAATGCTCTCCTCCCTCCCCGGCCCGACAGCAGCTTGATGACGCCCCGGTCTGGCAGTGGCTCCCACAGTCGCTCTGGCTCTCCGGCCCACGGTGCGTCCTCAAAGGTAGCGAGCGCCAGCTCTGTCCTCGGCAACAGCGCCGGCACTGGCGCGGGCGGTCACAGCAGCTCGCTCAGCCCCTCGCTCGCCACCCACTACCTACCCGAAAAAGTTGGCCGCATCCATCGCCAAGGCTCGCGCAGGCACCGCGGTTCCTCGCCCTACCTGGACCAGCGATATCGCAGCACTAGCGACACAGTTGCCACCGGGCCTAGCGGCTTGTTCTCTCCTGGTGGTGCAGAGGACGCCGCCGCCGGCGTCCAGCTCGATGGGGCTGCTCAGGCTCCGACCAGGAGGAGCTGGTTCGGCGGAAGTATGTCTAACGGCGGTGGCTCACCAAAAATCGCGAGCAGCGCTGGTGCCTTCAGGCGCAAGAGCATCCACACAATCACATTTGCGTCGGCACAGCAGCAACAACAGCCGTCGCATTCGAACTCACCAGCCCGTGGTAGTCACCTGGAGCTTCCCCTGATGGCGAATGCGAACGGCGACAGCGCTCTGTTGGCGCCCTGCGCCATGAGAGACATGGGGTCGCCCAGCAGGCTTTCGCACCCGAACCTGAACAGCAATGGTATGCTAATGCAGCTTAAGTTCGGAGCTGGCCGCGCAGCTTGGGGTCCTGATGGTGGCGGCAATCCGGAGCTCGGAGCGGGTGACTTTGAGGACGACGACGGTGTCGAATTGGCCACACACAGCGCTGCTGGTCCTGCGTATGACCGCAGCGGTAGCAGCGGAGGCGGCGACGCAGACGCCATGACAGGCAGCAACATGTCGATTGGGAGGGTTTCTCGCGCAATCGGCGCTGCCGCAAATGCTGGACTCGGCCTGGGGAGCGGCGGCGGTGCAGAGGCGGAGATCATGGGCTCGCAAGGCATGCGTCGAAGGAAGGACAGGCTGCTGGATTACGAAGAGCGCTTCGCCGGCAGCCCAGCGTCCAGCAATAGCAGCGAACATGGCAACAGCGAGGGCCGCATCCACCCAGCCAATGGCGACAGCAATGGCTACGAGGATGGCCACTACACCTCACGGGCTGTCATCGGCATTGGCATGTTTGGTCGCCTGTTCGCAGGCTTATTCCTCAAGAAGGCCACCAAGGCCGACAGCACAGTCCCCAAAGGCCGCGAGAGGTTGCGCTGGAACAAGTTCAAGTGGGCGCTCTTCACCACCAACATCGTCCTCACCGTCTACGCGATCGGCGGCCTGGCGGGCGTCCTTCTCACTTGGGCGAACGTCTGGGAGAGTTCGGACGTCATTCGGACTGCCAACTCGACCGAGCTTGTCCTCGCGAGCATCGCTGCCACTCTCCTTCTCATCACCGCCATCATCGGCTGGTGCGGTATCCTGCTTAACAACCGCGCTTTTTTATCGTTCTACAACCTCTTTCTCTGGATTAGCTTTGCCTTCCTCCTCGCCCCCGGTTACGTCACATACAAGAAGCGCACGTTCAATCTCGAAGGCAAGGTGAACTACATGTGGTCGCGCGACTTTGACACCGACGACCGGCGTGAGATCCAGAACAGCCTCAGCTGCTGCGGTTATTACAACCCATTCATTGAGGCCGCGGAGAGCAGCAGGTGCTATGCGAGGAGCACCCTACCCGGCTGCAAGGGCCGCTTCATCCGCTTCCAGAAGAATGCGCTCAAGAGGTTCTACCTCTGCGCGTTTGGCCTGGTCATACCGCATCTCCTTTTCATCGTTACCGCCCTGCTCAGCTCCAATCACATCACATACCGATTCGGCAAGGGCCTCACACCCAATGCGTACAGATTAGACGAGGCCACTGCCAGGAGCATCAAAAATGTGGGTAAAGTGACCGTGCTTGTACATTCCCCGAGTGTTGTTGACCCCCTTTTCTTTTCAACTCCACAAAGGACTTCCTCGCGCAATTGAGCAGCATGTACGGACCAGACATCCTCACCGATCTCTTGGCCAACCAACGACGACGCATTTCGCAACTTGCCTCCCTCGAGCACACCAACTCCTCCACCTATCTCCTCAGCGACAACGCCTTGTCTCCGCACAGCTTCGACCAGGTGCCGCTCGCGCCACCAAACAAGGGCGCGCTCTTTAAGGGCCGCCACGACAGCTTCTCGTCTACCGGTATATCAGAGAAAGGCAGCCCGCTGCAGCAGAGCCTGGGACTGCATGACCTCATGCACCACGGCGCATCGGACGCACGGACATCGGTCGAGCGGGGAGATACGACACGCTGATACACTTTCATCACACCGGCATCGCCCGCGCGACTGCTCGTCTGCCTTCTAGCGGGATAAAAGAAATGGAGGAGTCAACACCAGCTGATTCTGTGGACGCTCTACAACAGGAACCATCCATCAAGGCACGTATACCTACGTTGAAATCCTACCCTATTACACTCTTTTAATTTTATCATTCATTAGGGCATTCCTTCATCGTGTAGCTCTACTGCATCGTTGACCTGACCGGAATGGAGACACATACACTTACATCAACTAAATCAAGCCCGCAGCCTGGGGTGTACATGAAGTATTGCAACGGAGGGCCAATTGATGAAACAGGGCATGGCATATTCTTGGTCGGCACATCGTGAGCAATACAGTCAATGTTGCCTCTTCATAACGGCACGAACACGGCTCGATGACACCACAGCCGTCATGTAGCTGCGAGCTTGCCTCCTGGTTCCAGCTAAAGGCGACGACGCCGCTTCCCCGAGAAGGGGGAAGGGAAATGAATTGAATATCTGAATGGTGGCGATCAAGCAATCAAAAGCAGCACATCAGTGGTGTTGCTAGAGCTAGCAAACCTACAAGGCTGTGTTGAGTATTGGCGGGGCTCTCATTTGGCAGCATCACGCGTGCTCAGTTTGTCGAGGCTTCGGCCACCGGCTTAATCCGATTGCCGGGTCGAGATTGTAGGTGCCGCGAGCGCGTAGATCTCTTGCTCTACCCCACCCCCTTTTCGAATGCCAGGTCATCCGCCGACCATGAGTACCTTGTGTTTGTTGCATCAGACCCATCGATCCCGGCCCTTACGGAGAACCCCAGGCGCCTGCTTTCGAAAGACACGCAAGTGACGACAAGATGGCAGGCGCGGGTAAGACACATGCGTCCGACGACGCGGCACTCCAACGGACGCTCGCACGCGTCAAGGCCATTCGCTCCCACCTGGACACGAAGGCGCGTACCAAGCGGCTCGAAGGCAAGGTCGCCATTGTCACCGGGTGCAACAGTCTGGCAGGAATTGGGTGAGCTCTGGCTGCTAGCCCTGTCTGTGCCGTTGCATGCTCATCATCTCGCTTGAGCTGAACGCTTCCCTCCCCTCGCACCTCTCTTTCATCGCAGGCGGGCCACAGCACGACTCTTCGCTCACGAGGGTGAACAAGCGGAACCGGTGAAGGATTAGAGACTGTTTTCGTACGCTGATCCTTGCTGATTGGAATTTCCAGGCGTCAAGCACTTGTACTGCTCAGATTACGCAGACGACAACCTCGCCGAGCTCAAGAGCTGGCTGAACAAGCTGTACCCGGATGTCGCTGTGGGTACTTTTGCGCCTGGACCCTGAAATCTGCAATCTGAAGATGTATCTCCTATTTCCGTAGGTAGATGTCATCCAGGCCGATGCCGGAGACGAGAAGTCAGTGGTGGGATTGGTGCAGAGAGCAGTGAGGGATGAGGGCCAACTCGACATCTTCTTCGCGAACGCCGGCATCGGCCCATTCCACCCGCTCGAGTCGACCGAGGCAGAAGATGTGAAGGAGGTTCTGCGCATCAACACAATCAGCTGCTACCTCGCCGTCAAGCACGCTTCCGAAGCCATGAAGCGCACCTCCGCATCTAAAGCCCAGTCCGGGGGATCGATCGTCCTGACCGCCTCTGTCGCCGGCTTGCGCTCTGGCGCGGGTTTCATCGACTACTCAGCGTCCAAGGCTGCTGTCATCTCAATAGCACAGACAGGCGCGTGGCAGCTCAGCGGCACCAACATCCGCGTCAATGCCGTCTGCCCAGGCCTGATCGAAGTTAGTGTCGTCTAATCTGACGACGCAGCCGCCTTCCTACCTTGTAATCAATCTGTGGCTGATCCCCTCTTATTCCCCAACCAAGACCGGCATGACGGAGCTGGTCTTCGAAACGGCACGGGGAAGAGGCACGGAAGGCCGCATCGGCCAGCTGAATCCGCTACGGCGCTATGGAGTTGCTCAAGAGGTGACTATTGCGCTCAGGCTTCCTCTTGGACAACGACACAGACCCAGCTGACAATCCTTTCTTTGTTTTTCGCAGATCGCAAACGCAGTCATCTTTCTCAGTTCGGATGAGGCGTCCTACGTGAACGGAGTCGCCCTTCCCGTATGCGGCGGCCTATCTGCCTCACATCCCGTCGCGCCTGGTAAGAGCTACTAACTGAAAGTGAAACAGCACGCCAGCCAACGTCACGATCATCTGTTTTGTATGCAAAGGGTCATCGATTCAATGATGGTGGTGGTGATGCGAACCTACATGGGCATGCGTTGCGTGGTTGCTTGCGTCGGATGCGTGTGCATGGCTAGCATGCGAATGGGCATGGCCGTGCGAGTGGCCGTTGCCATTCCCAATGCCTTGTGAGTGAGAATGTGAAATATCGGGGACATGGCTGTGAGCATGGCCGTGGTGCTCATGTTGGTGATGATCGTGATCGTGATCGTGACCATGGCTATGGTCGTTTGTGTGGCTGTGTCCATGGCCATGATGGTGATGGTGATGATCGCTGGCATGTGCATGAGTATGGTGCTGCATAACGTATTCCTTTTTGCCTTCGCGCTCAACCTGGATGACAATTTCGCCCGCACGCATTCCGCCCCGCAAGCTCTCTCCGGCCCGCAGGCCAGCCACGGCACCCACACTCGGTGCGAGCCGCTCCCACGCTTTACGCGTCAAGTCGTGCAGCTCTGCGTCACTCGCTTCGCTCTTGAGGAAGATTTGCACGTTGGCGATGAGTGCCGGGGCACGGGACGTCGATTGTGTGAGGTTGGCAAACGAGTTGTGCTTGCGTGGAGAGGCGCCGTCGCTCGAGGTCACGGCTGATGTCGACGGCGTCAGCTGCCATATCCGCGGTGGTGCAATGTATGTCACGAGTGGCTCCTCTTCGAGCTGAAGCGGATCAAGGAGGTGGAAAAGGCAGGCAACCCGTCAGTGGTCTAAAGTCTGGGCCCAGCACTTCTAGGGTTCGCACCATACACTCACCCTCTGCAATGCCTTGATCAGCTGCACATACTGCGGTGAATCCGGTGGCGGCGCTGTTTGCAGCAAGACGAGGCCGAGCGCCTTAGATGCAGGGTAAGCGATGCAGAACATACTGAGGCTCTCTAGCCCTGCCAGCACCTTGTCCAACGCTGCGACCTGGAACGGGGGCATGAACACTGCCGAGAAGAGCAGACTGGCTGAGAAGAAGAGGACGGTCAAGCTGAACGGATTGGCGAAAAGGCCGAGGAAAGGACCGGCGATTGTCGTCGGGCTCGTCAGAACAGACGTACGACGCGCGTGGTGTCCACCGCCGCGGCCACCAGAGTACATACTCTGCGCGGCGGACGCGGCGGTGGAGATGCCGCATGCGGCGACGAGCTTGGCATGGTTCTTGAGCACGACGTTAGAGAAGATGCACACAGCCGTAGCAAGCAGCAACAACCAAGTCGGGAGCACCAGTCCGACATCCGCCTCTTCGTGCTCCTCGCTTCCTTCGAGCAGCGCATGTTCGATCGACTCTTTCAGCACGTAAATCGCCGAGAACAGCAGGTAGATCGACTGGGAGAAGTGCAAGATCGTCTCGAAGCGATGCGGGCCATACGGTCGGCGGATCTGCTCGACGGACGTGTGCCCACGCATCATCTTCCCGCCGCTTCTGTATCGCCGATCCAGCTCTTGGCGCCAGCTCTCCTGCGCCATCCTGGACCCGACCTCGCTGAGCACGCCGAAAGCATCAAAGACGACAAGATAGCCCAAGCCGGTGACGGCAAGCGAATCGCCCGCTTGCCCCGCCACCCACAGCGCCGCGCCAAGCCCAAAATTCAGCGAGCCGAAGAGGAAGCGTGGCCGCGCGGAGGCAGGCAAGGTCGGTAGATGCTGCATAAGCTTGCCCGGCGAGTTGAGCGCTTCTACAGCATGCGCCTGCCCATGCTCGTGACCATGACCGTGATCGTGGTCGTGATGGCGATGGTGATGATCATGAGACCCTTGCATGCGCTCGTGGTGATCATGCGAGTGGCTTTTGCTGAGGTACATCGCGGTGTCAGTCGCAGATGGCTGCTGGTCATATGCCGCAAAGCTGACTGAGTGCCTGTGGTGGTGACCCCTCTTGCTCTTGCTGGGACTAAGCTCCATATCCGAAGCAGGCGAAATACTTATGAAGCTGCCAATGCTGCTTGTATTTGAAGAGTTACGCCGATCCATCGAGGGTGCGACTCGGAGTAAATCCGGGGAGGAGGATATGTTGATCGCTGGTCGGCCCGCTTCCTTGATGGGATCAGGACCTGCGCCCACAGCTGCGTAGGCAGCCTTAGCTTTTGCTTGATCCGCTTCCTCTTCCGCCTCGGTGCCGGGTTGCGGGAAGAAAGCAGACAGATTCCTCTCGTGTACGCGTGAGTGTCTGCGGGAGTGCTCTCGCCGTTCTGCTGGCGTCATTTGCGCGAATGGCTTGTGCGAGTCGCCATTGCTGGAGGAAAGGCCGTTCGCCAGGGACGAAGATGAGGAGGTGCCAAGCTCGCCGACAGCATCCATGTCTTCGTACAGCTCGTCGTCTTCGAGTTCTGTTTGCACCTGCGCGCTGGACAGGTCATCTGTTGAGATGGACACTATCGGAAGACCGCTGGGCTCGCTACTCTCTCCTCCATGCTGGGGCTGGTGACGTTTCAAACGCTCCTGCTCCTGGCGCTCCCGTTCAGCCTTTTCTTTGCTCTGTTTGCGCCTGTGCATCTTCAACGGGTGAGTCTCTCGCGATGAGGAGGGTACCCCTGCTGTCGTCGCTATCTGCGTAGTCATGCTGCTGCCGCTGCCCGTATTTGTGCCGGAAGAACTCTGCCGTTCAGGCGGCAAGAACGAAGACGGGTAGCTTGGACTCGCCAGACGGACCGAGGAAGCACTGCGGCCGTGCTGCTGTGCCGAGTAAGATGAAGTGGAGCTGGCGCTCAGCGTGCGCGGTCGCGGGTCTTCTATGTTCAGGGTACTTGGATAAGATGGACTGGCGAGCAATACGGACGCTTGGTGAGCGTGCTGACCACTGGCGGTGAGAGAGCCGTGCGAGCTGGCCCGATCTCTCGCTTGCTGCCCCTGCAAGGAAGCAGCAGAAGCCTTCGGTGGCGTCAAGCCAGATGAAGAGGACGAGACGTCCGCCGAGCTGGGGATAGAAGGAAAGGATGTGAAAGAGGACGAAGGAGACACGTTATGTGTCTCGTATTCACGCGTCAGGCTCTTGACAGATTTATGTTTCTTCTTGCCAGCTGGCGGCGCCTTCTTGGGACTGGCCCCGGTCAGCCTTGTGCTCAGGATCGGTTGGGCCGAACTTGGGGACGAAGACGTGGACTGTGTGTTGCTGGAAGCTGCAGCGATAGGTTCTCCAGCGCCAGCCGCTGCCCCTGCCGATGGGCGAGCAAGGACGTCGCCGACGTGCTGGTCCGTGGTGCTTGGCTGCGACATGATCTACCTATTTCGGTCACACCCCAGCCAAGGCGAAGGAAAGTGAAGGATGTGGGAGCAGCAGCGCACACTCGTTCCCACGCACGCTTCCACGCCGGCGCGGTCTGCACTGTCGATGAGCGCTGGATATATCCTTGCCTGGTGACCTACGGGGTGCAGCGGCGATCCCAGTCTGTTCACGAGCATTCAGCAATGTTTATCCCCTCTGTTGCTACCTGGCCACCGCTATGGTCCACTTCGAGTCCCCCCCCCCCCCAGCGTACACAAAGACTGACTGAGAGCGCGGCGCCATCTTCCTTTTTGTCTGCCCTCCCTCATCACTTGCAGGCACCACAGCTGTGTTCCTCATCAACGCACAGGCAGCTGGGCGCGCAGCGCGTGCGGCCAAAGCGCGAAAGGAAAAAGGGAAACCCCCGTGACAACAAAGCATCCAGCGCTCATATTCGGTGCAATGGATGGCACGCGTCATGCGCGCCACGGCCTCACAAATGTCAAAGCAGTCTCTAATCGGGCGCACTCATTCGCGTTGAATGCTATAAGCCTACAACACCCTCTCACAACCCATCCTCACATCGTCCATCATCCGACAAGATGTGGCCCACATGACACTTGATCGTCTCGTAATATCTCCTATCTGCCGCATCGAAAAAGCTACGCGAGGGGAGTATACGGAGCTGAAGAAGTCCAAAAGGTTACATCAACATGCCACCTAAAGTTAGGAGTAGCACTGGGGGCGGCGGAGCCAAAGCTCGCAGGTCTTCCTCGAGCAATGCGTTTGCAGCCAAGGGAAAGCCGAAGCGTGCAGCTACGGCCTCCAGCATCTGCTCCGCAGCGGTAGGCAGCGGTAACATTAACAAGAAGGACGGTGGCGCAGCACGGCCCAGCTTAGGCGTTGCCGCACTCTCAGAAGGTGGTACCTCGCGTACAAGCAGCAACAGTACCAAACGCTCTCCGAGCGCTGCAGATTTGCGCGCCAGCGTCGGAAATTGTGACAGCGTAAGAGAGTACTCGAAAGAGGAGCTAGACATCATCAAAGATAGGCCCGACTTGGACGTGAAGGACCCGGCGTGGGATGCATATTGGGATGCGACGCAGGAAAAGATGGGCTTGCCGAAGATTCAGCCGAGTGAGCAAACTCGCCGATCATCTCCCTTTGGCTGGCCCCATAGCAAGGCTCCTAGTTCTAACAGGTCGATATTCCTTTGCTTGCAGTCCACACAGAAGGTCAGAATCGCATTCATCACATGCTAAGGACGTTTGATCTGGATCCTGCGTGAGTGTTCACCTGTCTCTGCGCACTGCGGGATATATGCGCCTGACATTGTCAGGCTCCCCCGAATGGGGACATTTACGGATTTTCCACTGATACTATCCTTTCCCCGTGTACGTTCTCCTGCACATGTCCTTGAAACGCCCTGACGATGCCTTTGCACCGACCATCACCCACATCTGCGGCTCCCCCTGCCCCGCTGCGAACCGCAACATCTCCCGATCCAAACCCTTCTACGAACTCATAACCCAACTGCCTGCAGCTACGGCCCCGCGATTGGCATGACACGCTTGCAGCGATGGCACCGCGCCAAAGCGCTCGGAGACGACCCGCCCGAGGAAGTGCGTGCGATCCTCGAGACCAAGCAGGGGATGCTCGAACTTGGCGACCATGTCTTTGTTGGGACCGGAATCTGAGAGCTCGTGCAATAAACCGGCTGAAAAGGAACATGAATCCAAGCACAAGGCTCCTTGATTCCAGCGTCCTCCTCCTTCGCTCTTTCTGTTGCAAGTCGTCAGCGGAATGGGGTGCATATGTCGCCGACACCCAACGTCTCAGGCGCCTCGCTGTTGTACTTGTACTACGAGCTTTATTTCTTTCAGCACACTGCATCCGGGATCGTGCCTCCTTGCCGACAACGTACATGTGTAGATCAAGCACGACCAATACACCTAGTGCGCCCTTCTCATCGCCCAGGTTCTTGCATCTTCCCTTTCGATGTGTTCATAATATATCGCGGCGGACGGCGAACTGCAACACAAGCTACGCGCCTGCACCAGCTCGATGCTCTAGTCTGCTTGAGCTAGCGTTGTGCCGAGCAAAGTGGTTCATCCGTTGTTCACGCAATACTAGTGGTAGATGATTGTCATCGCGCCGTCATTCATTTGCCACGGTTATCCTAGTTCTCCATGATCTGTGGCCTGGAGGGCATAATACCAACACGTTTTTTCGGCGTTGGTATTGCTCGCACAGGGGGTACCGACTTCATCATCTGCGTCACACCTGGTGTACACCGGTATCAATTCGTTCTTTGAGAGAGTTGGGTGGTGAGAAAGTGACTGGAAACAAATGTTTGTTTGGGCTCATCTGTATACGCCCTACTCAGCGCCCTGCTTCGACTCATGCTTCGCCGCTGCTCTGCTCTCTAACTCTCGTCGTTATAATAAAAATAAGAGGTCTCCAGCGGGCACGCCCTCGTGCTTCGTATGCCCGTACGACAAACTGCAGTCGTATGGATGATATACAGCGCACCCGGAAGGGAGTGTCGTACGAGCCCGAGCTCGGACCTCATGCCCTCGTCTCGCTGCATATATAACCATCTATTGATACAATCGTGCCCAAGACTCTTGCATAGTTTAATGCCGGCTACCAAAACCTGTGCAGTTGCCAGAATATTATCGGAAATTTTTTACATACATTGCACCGCATTCACGATCCACCGGGCAATGGATTACATGTTTGTGTTCTTGTTACCTCCACTTTTCACAATCTCTGGAATGGTGCCAAGTCCTGCCCTGCGGCGAGGCACAAGCCCACAACCCACAGACCAAACAGCAGCTGCTAACTGCCTGCCGTCTACTGCGCCAGTAAGCGTGACCAGTGATTGCTCACACCTGCCCTGTCGCCTCGTTTATCGTACCACTCTCGTGTATACTCAGTATGTACCGCACGGACATTTCTTGTTGCTTTCGATCGTCACGTCTCCACACGAAAAGGGACAGAGGAACGCGCAAGAATGACGAAAGCGTCCTGGTTCTGGAACATGGTGCCAAATGGTAACGTGCACAACGTCCCCGCACCCGGCTCCCCTGTCTGCCGTTGAACTGCAGGGCACTGCTGTGGCAGTCGCCTTTTGTGGCAATTCTGCACGTAGGACCCAGATTGGATCGTTTTATATGGAATGAATCGACAAATTCATGTCGATAGCCGTGTACTCTGAGCGGCTGGGCTTGAATACATTTACATGGTCTGATTCGGGAGGGCTGAAGCCAGACTAGCCTGGTTACACGACGGCAAATGACCTTGCACCGCATTTAAAGCCCTAGCAGACTCGTTGTTTGGCGCATTCTATTTCACTGTCTTCAGTGCTGACAAACTGACTGCTTCCAAGACGCTAGGGGCTATCATCGCTCCGCCTGCCCATCCCATAAATGCTGGTCGTCCAGGTGTATTATTGTTCCACTTCCCTCCATATCATATCGCGGACCACCACGCTCCCATCCTTTACGCACGCGGGCGCCCCAACTTTCAGATGAACTAGCCTACAAGTGATTGTTTCTACAGAGACTAGCCAGCCGCCACGAAAGGCCTCCGTAAGTCGCCAAGCCTCGACTCACTCCCCCCTTTTCGCGGTTCCTCGTCTTCCGATAGGTGAATACAAGCGGACCCACGACAGGGTATGCGTCTCTTGCGATCCGCCGCGGCTTTAGCCGTAGCTGCCGGTGTAGCTCATGCTTCTGTTTTCGCTGATTCATTTACACAGTCGGTGCGTTGCCCATTGCCTCCTAGCGAGGCGTGCACATGCTGACCGGAGCAGCTCTCATTCCCCATCAGCAATATGGATTCACGCTCCAAGCGATCTACGACTCGGATGCAGGTCACACCAATTTCACCCTGCACACCCTCAACTCGGGCCAAGCAGTAGGTTGGATGGGTATTGGAACCGGGGAGCAGATGGCCGGGAGCAACATGATGGTCGGCTGGGTAAACACGGATAACACCGTCGTGATCTCGCAGCGAACTACGGCGGGTGAGATCATGCCGACGACGAAAAACATCAAGGCGCAGCGCTTCACCGTTGACAAGACGCTTTCTAAGACGCAGTCGAGCGGCACGACGTTTGCATGGTCCCAACCGGGCTTCCCGGAAGCGGGTGGCAACATGCAGATGGTCAACATGATCTGGGCTGTCAACCCGAGCGACGCACCTGCTACTGCAGACACGAGCGCAACGATCTACAAGCACGCCAGCCGAGGCTTCATCACGCTTGACCTCACCAAGCCGTACACCGGCGGTGCGATCACAGCGAGCGATGCATCCTCGGGCGCTCCAAAAGCCAGTCGTACCATGAGCATGCGCAACAGTATCATCATTGCGCACATGGTGCGTTCTTGATCAGATGGGCCCAAAATGCAAGCTCTACATGCTGACTCATAGGACCCCACGCCCCGTCTTGCTTCCCCAGGTTCTTTCTATCGTCGCATGGCTCATCCTTATGCCCGCTGGCATCTTTATTGCGCGATTCGGCCGTACGGCATTCACGTGGCTGCCCAAGCACCGCATCGTCCAGACCGTCTCGATCGCGTTCATCCTGATTGCCATGGGTTTGGGCTTTGCAATCGTTAAGAGCGAGGGTGGCGTCGATTTTAGCCAGCGGCACCACAAGCTAGGCTTTGTGCTTGCCATGCTCGCCGTCTTCCAAGGGCTTTTGGGGCAGTTCGGCCACATGCTCTGGAATGCGAAGCGCATCCGCGTACAGAACTACCTGCACATCATCATCGGAATCGTCCTCTTCGGCCTTGCGCCGTGGAACATGGCATTGGGTTTCGACCTGTGGGTGCCCTGGTACCCATCGGTAGCGGGAAAATATGTCGTGAGTCGCTCTCATCGTGTTGTCTTTCCGCTGCGTAAGCCCTCAATTCGAGGACATGGCTCGGTCTGACCACCGCTCGCTCCCCTCATCTCACAGTGCATCGCGTGGGCAGCATTGCTCGGTGTCGTGTACATATGTGGACTTGCCCTTCTCCCTCGCGAGTTCAAGACAGACCGCAAGGCGCAGGAGCTGCGTGCTGCGATTCGGATCGATTCGAATGATGATGTCGGCGGCCAGCACGACAGAAAGGCGTGACCTCCGCCTTGATTCCGATTCGGCAATGCCGTAATACGCGTCTGCCTGATAACTGCTCGACCTTCGAGATAGAGGTGTAGTGTATTGGTTCCTTTGTGTTTACCTCGAAATCGATAATTTTTTGATAGGATGGCGCTCCGAGTACGCGAACGTCTTTCCTTTTTCGGCAGGCGGAAGAGACTTGGACAGCGGACGTGCCTGGCAGTGAGCGTGCTTCGTGCACCGCAGGTGGCCGCCATTTTCTTCATTGTTGTCTGCATGTGCATCGATTTCGGGACGCTCTGGGCGAAGCACGCCAAGCACCATCTCAACCACCCGTACCACTGCTTGGGCCTCGCGCTGACGCGCTTGGCTATCTCTAAAGGCAGCCACAGGCAGTGCGGGTTCATGCTGTTCCAGGCTAGGAAGAGCAGCGTGCTCACCCTCCTGTACATCGCCATTGGCATCGCGCTCTTCCCGCTAGCGATCTACAGCATGAGCCTCGGCTTCGGCGAGTGCGAGTGGCAGCCGCCCCGCTCTGCTCACTATGCTATACGTTCCTACGCGGACAAAGAAGCAGAGATAAAGGCACCACACGCGGACCGTGCACGGGAAAAAGAGGAGGCGGTCTACAGAGTGCAAAGAGCCGAGATTCAACGTGGAGCAGGACGAGTAAAAGCTCGAAAAGACATGGTTGTTAAACATAAGCTCCACCTGTGCATATTAGACACGTTGATCGACTTGTCCCTGGTCTTGTAGCTTAGAAGGTTGTCACTGCCGCCTGTGCTCCTGATTCTTCTCCCATTTCCTGGGCAGTCTTTTACCGGGTTGGCTTATAAGAAGAATGTAGTGGGCGAATGAAGTACTAATCAGTGCTCGCGCTGATCAGAACAGCCGTCACACACGTGGCAGCCTGTAGCAGTGACGCAGCTGCGGACCTGGTGTGCACCTGGATGCGTTAGGCTCAGAGAGACCTGCTGTCATTTACAGAGATTGGAGACTGCGGCGCAGAGAACTTGCAAGTTGAACAAAAACAGGTGTGCTAGTGTGCCCATGAGAGTCCCAATTGACCATCCACGGCTGTTCCATTTTCAATTACTGACCTTCATCCTTCGGGTTTGGCCTCAGTGTCGGCTCGTCGCTGCGACCCCGTCGTCTCACTCGACTCTCGAGACTATTTCTTGAGGCGCCGGCCGGCCAACTGCCAAGAAGAAAAGGGCCGAGTCAGGGAGACTGAGGCCCTTTAAAATTGCCAGAAAAGAAAGAAAGAAAACCAATCGAAGGAGAAGTCTTTGACTCGCGAGATGCGCGACAGCCTACACGAAGCGAGGCCTGGTATTCAGGCTGTGAGACTCTTCTTGCGAGTATCCTGGATGGCACTACAGGCTACAATAACCCACGGGCAAATAATGTCAAAGTCGGCATTACTGCAAGTAGCGGCAAACACTTGCCAGATACCTTTCGGCCCCAACAGGCAACTCAACCGCATCCCCCCCCAGTCTGCACTGAGCAGGCACAAGGCAAACAGTAGGCTCCATAATATCCAATATCCATAACCCATATGCTATAGCGGCTGGTCCTCCTGTTGTTGCTCGGTATCTGGCAAGGAACAGGGGTTTGTACTTGCGCCGCTGGATATGAGCATCATCATGTTGCAGTCCGAAGTCTGCTCTTCACCATCAATTCCTTCCCTGCGGATCGATCCGCGTGACAGTCCGTCGATCTAGAGCAATGGCGGCTCAAAGAACACGCTGTATTTGAACGCGACACACTGTCATCCTCGCCATGCCATTCATGGCCCGGTGGCTTGGCTTTTGCCCAATTGTCCTCCACTTCGCCTCGTATTTTTGTGCTGCACAGTCCTCACAGATTCCCTTACTGTCGGAGCCGTCCGTCGAGCAGTATCAGCGCCAGTTTCATGACTCTGCGACAACAATCCATCGCGCCGTGACGGAGGGCGGGGTATTACAAGGCTTGGAGTGCGGTGCATGCCAAGGAATCCTCTACGCCCTCAAGGGTCTCGCCGCGGTCGGCGGAGAAGACGCCGTGCAATCGGCTCTTCATGGTGTCTGCGACCTTTTCGATGTCTCGATTCCCGAAGTGTGTCGAGGCATTGCTGATCTGCAAGGGCCGCCACTAGCGTATATGGTCCAGAACATCGATCCAGACAGCGAACAGGGCAAATTGTTCTGCTACTCCGCCTTCAGCTTACAACTGTGCCCGAGGCCCGAGATAGCCGCTTACGAGGTCAAGTTCCCGAAGTCGAAACCTGACATCGTCATCAGGCCAAAAGGATCAGGTGAACTTGTCAACGTCGCTCATCTGAGCGACTACCACGTGGATTACCAGTACACCGCAGGGGGCGAAGCGCAGTGCGATACGTTCCTTTGCTGTCGCGGATTGAATGTGTCGTCAAGTACCGTGACTCGCGCAGCGGGCAAATGGGGAGACTACAACTGCGATGGCAACGAGCTCTTGACCTCGAACCTGATCAAGAGCATCCCAAAAGTCAGCGGACAGCCGCGCATGGCTATTTTGACCGGCGACATCGACCCTCACAACATCTGGTCCGATGATGTGAACTTTACCAGCACCAACATTGACCGTGCGTACACCGACCTTCATTCTCTATTTGACGCTCAAGGGGTCCCCCTTTACGCTGCCATCGGGAACCATGATGCGGGACCAGTGAACCAATATGTGGGTAGGGCTTCGAACCAAACAGGTGCCAGGCGTGCTGCTCATCCCACCACCCTGCAGGATCTACCGTCAGAGTTCAACCCGCCCATGATTACCTACCTATATAAGCTTCTCGCCAACAAGTGGAACGGTTGGATTCCGCAAAGTTCGCAAGAGAAAGTTGCCACGAATGGTCACGGCTCCTATTCGCTCGTCCTTGGTGACGCAGGGACGCTCCGCCTCATCTCACTGAACACGAACCTCGCGTACAGTCTGAACTTCTACCTGTATCCACGGACGAACGAGTCGGACCCGGCAGGTATCCTGGAATGGCTTGTCGACGAACTGCAAGCTGCCGAGGACAGCGGCCAGGCAGCATGGATTATCAGTCACGTTCCGACCGCCGGTGGCGATTCGCTGCAGGCCTTCTCCAACTACTTTCTCCAGATCGTCAGGCGCTACAGCGAAACGATCACCTTCATCGGCGCCGGGCATACCCACCGTGATGAATGTCCGTTCGGTGAGATTTGATTAGGAGAATTCGGAATGAGACTGATCCTCGTGCTCCTTCATCCCCTGCAGTCAATGTCTTCTACAATCGCACGTCGGACCCCAAGGAAGTGCAGAGAGCCGATGCAATCTCCTGGGCCGCTTGGGGTCCATCAGCGACGCCATACACGAATCTCAATCCCGGCTGGCGCGTCTACCGCGTCGACTCGGGCAGCTGGGAGATCATGGACAGCCTGACGTACATTGCCAATCTTGACCAAGCAGACTCATTTGACGCGAATGGCGGTCCGAACTGGCATCTGGAGTACTCAGCGCGCGAGTACGTCCCCAACTGGGCGCCAGACGCACCTTTGAACGCGACATTCTGGCACCAAGCAACGCTCAACTTCGAGCACAATTTAACGGCGTTCGATCGCTACTTTATGCATCGCTCCAAGTCGTCCGGCCTGGACGGTAGCTGCGCCGCTGGCGAGCAGTGCGCACATGATATTATCGCCAACTTGCGCACGAGCGAGTCGAGTTATTGGACCAAGGCCAGCAGCAATCATGGCCTCGTCACGCTCCAACGCCAAATCGATTCACGCGGCATCAACCCGCGCAGCGGACAGCATTGGCAGCAGTCGCTGTGCTCGCCACATGTAGCGTAGGATGCGAGTGATGCACTGCACTTGAGGCATTAACACCAAGATGTTGGGATCGGGAGAGCGGAGGAGAGGGGAATGCGCCTTCGGTATGTTCGAGCCACCTGTGTTTGCCCGATGGTTCCGCTGCAGACACCTGCTGCACCGATACAGCGCTTCTTGTTCGCGTGCAGTTCGCAACATCTCGCTTATTGCTCGCTGCCTCGTCGGCGATACGGGTTTCCGTAAGCGGCAACGGTGCGGATCGTGGTGGGGCATCTATGGCTGTGGTCTCGAACAAGCGGCGGTAGACGACAGAAGCCAACGGGGAAAGCGAAGGTGGGGTACACTGTGCACCTCCATAGGGTTGAGTCAAATTGCATGAGATCTGGGCAGATTGCGGTCACACCCGACTGAGCTGGTCTGAGATAAGAAATGCAAGATTGTCCTCATGGCTGCACATGGCAAATGTCGGGGCTATGTATGTGCCTCACAATGCACACACGCGTTCTGCCCCGGTCTGCCCTGCAGCCCCTACAATGGACTACAGCAGACAACAACCGATTTATTATCTTTGCCCCAGCCCATGCCAACCCGATATCTGCAAAAGGTGTGGCTTTGGGGCCCACACCGCCGCGGCCATGTAACAATGAACAAACTAATCGCGCCCCACTATTCCAGAGTGCGCCACTCTGCCCAGCAAGTGGCGCACTGCAGTGTCCAGGCAGCTGAAAACACATCGACTCGTAGACACTGCCCTGGCAGGCTCGCGAGCGCTTTGCTATTCTGGCTGCCTGGTTTGAGTGGGGATGGCACCAGTGGCCAGGAACCTTAACATGCAGACCGAGCAGGCTATAGGAAACCGCTCGGGGCTGCGAGAGTCGAGATTACATATTCGCTGCTCGCAAGTCCTAAAGAGTCCCGCCACGGCAGGCCCTGTCCCGCCGGCGTATCAATGAGGCTCCGAATATATGACGAGCACACAGCTCAGGTGCCTAATCATTGAGGCCCAAATTGGACTGGAGCCAGGCGGAGATCGGCGCCTGCGGTGGCACGGTCGGGTGCCGCAGGGTGCGGCTTTCCCCGCCTACACCACTGGGCTTTTCGGAGCCTCGCTTCAATCTTCTTGCCTGTCGCTACACTCTGCCCAACTGCAGCTCCGCCCTGCAGATGGACCAGGAAGAGGGACCTGGCTACAGGCAAGAAGCATGGAGCAATCTCTCCTGGTGCGCGGGTACGTACAATGTTGCCCTTTGGTATCTCTGGTTCGTGCGTTGCCGCACTGCTTGAGCTTCGTCTCTCCCCAGGCGTTTGCAGCCCGGCTCGCTGCTAAGTGCTCCCTGTGCCTTCTTCTGCCAGTTTGCTCCCTTCCTCTTGAGAGTTGCGCCTGCTGCGTGACCGTACGCCGCAAATGCGCCCAAAGCTGCCAAAGCCCCCACCAAACCTTGACACAATTGATATGACAAGTGAGAAGCTCTCTCTCCAACCCTGTGTATGTAGTCCGTGAGTCGCGAAAAGGTCCCATCCCCATGAACTGTGGAAGAAGACAGCTCTGCTTTCCCCGTCGGCGTGCCTGGATCCAGCGGGGGTTGTTATCACAGCATTATCTTGCATCAGAGTCTGAGTGGTCGCCTCTGGAGGCAGCGCTGTGTCACTGTATGTTGGGAGAATCTATGTACCGCCCGCCAGCAGCAGCGCAGGCAAGGCTTCCTATCAATTCCAGAAGCCAGCAAGCCCATACGCTCCCTCCGCATAGCGAGCACCACGTTGTCACTCGTCTATAAATAGCCTTGGCCTCATCCCCCTACCTGGGATCTCCCTCATTCCCCTTACCCCATTGCACCATCCTTGGTCACACGCCGTGCCTTTGCCAATCGCCTCCGGATTGTCCACCGTCCATCTGCCTCACCTCCTTTCTCCCCGACAGACCCGGCCCCTTTTGCCATCCCTGACCTGCTCCCTTCGTGCCCCACCCCATCCATATCCACCATGTCGCAGATGCGCGCCTCGGACGAGAAGTCCGACGAAAAGTACGCCAGCGATGGCACCACCCCAAAAGTTGACTTCAACGGGTACGACCCTGAGGCGACCGTATCGGTCGGCGCCACGAATGCATTCGACCAGCGCAACGGAGAGGAACTCAGTCGAAAGCTCAAGGCCCGACATATTGCCATGATCTCTATCGGTGGTGTTATCGGTACGTCTCCTTTTACACCTGCCTGCGAAGCAGAAATATTCAGACTTGCTAACTTCACGTCACCTTCGCTTCTTGTTGATCACAGGGACTGGTCTTTTCCTCGGATCAGGCGGTGCGCTCGCAAGAAGTGGGCCTCTCGCTCTCTGGCTCGGCTACATCGCCATGGGTACGATTTGCTTATCGGTAATGCTTTCGCTCGGTGAAATGGCCTCCTTCCTCCCCGTTCCCGGTGGGCACATCAAGCTCGCCGCCCGCTTTGTCGACCCTTCGTTCTCGGCTGTCATGGGTTGGAACTACTGGTATAACTGGTCAATGTGAGTCTGTTCTTTCGTGCCCGTCCGCGTCTGACTTGAGATCGACCAAGGGCTAATCAGCTCTATGTGTGCCGTTTCTTAGTGTGCTTCCTGCTGAACTGTCTGCCGCTGCGGTGCTAATCGGCTACTGGGCACCCGACATGAACCCAGCGATATGGGTCGCCATCCTGCTTGTTCTCGTCGTCGTCATCAACTTCCTCGGTGCCGGTGCATACGGTGAAGCAGAGTTCTGGTTCGCCTCAATCAAAGTCATCACCATCGTCGGCCTTATCATCCTCTCCTTCTTGATCGACGTTGGTGCCGTCGGCGACCGTCTCGGCTTCCGCTACTGGATCCACCCGGGCCCGTTTAATCAGTACAAAGGGGTTCCCGGCGCCTGGGGCCGCTTCCTCAGTTTCTGGGCTGTTCTCATCCAGGCCGCTTTTTCCTTCATCGGTAGCGAGATTGTCGCCATCGCAGCCGGTGAGGCCAAGAACCCGCGTCGCAACATTCCCCGTGCCATTAAGAGCGTTTACATTCGTATTCTTCTTTTGTGAGTCGACGTTTACTTCGCATGTCCAGAGTGTGTAATGTTCTGACAGTTCTTTCTACTCAGCTACATCGTCGGAACACTGGCCATCTCCGTCATTGTCCCTTACAACGATCCGCGCCTACTAGGCGGCTCTACTGTGCGTGCGTCTCCGTTTGTCATTGCCATTGACAATGCCAAGATCAAGGTTCTGCCGCACATCATCAACGCCGTACTTGTCACTTCTGCTACCTCGGCCGGCTCTTCGGACTTGTACACGTCGTCGCGTGCTCTATATGCTCTGGCGCTCTCTGGACAGGCACCCCGTATCTTTGCCCGCACCACCAAGTCTGGTCTACCGTACGTCTCCCTTGCCATCGGCACCGTCTGTGCCTTCCTCTCGTTCATGGTTGCCACGGAAAATGCGTACACGGTGTTCAACTACTTTGCCAACCTCACCGCCGTCGCCGGTCTTAGCACCTGGGCATGCATCTGCTTCACTTACCTCCGCTTCCACGCCGGCATGAAGGTCCAGGGCATCGACCGCTCCACGCTGCCGTTCAAATCGCCACTCCAGCCGTTCCTGGGTTGGTGGGGCCTCTGTTGGTCGATCACGTGCATCCTCTTCTCCGGCTTCAGTGTCTTCATGAAGGGTCACTGGGACGGCGCCACGTTCATCACCAACTACCTAACCGTCCCTCTTTTCCCGCTCATCTACTTCGGTTACAAGTTCGTCACGAAGTCCAAGGTCGTTCAACTTCATGAAATGGACTTTGTCACTGGCGTCAAGGAAATCGAAGCGGCCGAGGAGGAGGAGCTGCCACCGAGGAACTTTGTCGAGAAGTTCTGGCGCTCTCTCGTCTGAAGGGAGCCGCGCAGCTGGTCATCTAGTACATGTACGTATACTACATCCCTTTGGAGACAATGCCATGGGCTGTTTGCATGAAGCAATGAGCTAGTTCCTTACCGCATCTGCGCTTGTAAGGGAGCACTGTCGTTAGTCTTGTTTTTGCTTGCAGACCATGTCTGATCGAAAGCCGATCTTCCGTGAGGCATGAGATGGCGATCGGGTGGGAAGGCGGGTCAAGCCCACCCGGTCATGTCGGAAGCGTGAAGTATCAAGATGTGGTGGTCGCCGGGTGTTGGTGTCTGATTTGTACGAGCTATCGGCGAATGAAAATTGCTGGGTTAATGAAGCACGACGTCTCAAAATGGTCCATAGATACACTCAAGCTGCGTGTTCTATTGACGCAGTAACCTTGAAGAGCCGCGTACAAGCTTGCGTGGTATGCAACGCGATGGGCAACAGCGGTATGCTCAGTGGGTAAGAAGCGGGGTCGAGTGCGAATACTGTTCGCCGAAAAAACGGTGTTCGTTGAGATGGAGCGATGCGGGCGACATCGCTGGGCTGCTGCGCACATGATCGGACTAACTCTCCGAAGCCGCCGCCGAAAGGCACCGCAAGATGTCATCCGTCGCCTCTAACGCCCGTTGTGCGTCCGAGATCGGACGCACAACGGGCGTTAGCCCATTCTACTGTGGGCAGGCAACTATTCCGGGCCGGCGGAGCTGCCAAGAGGACAGGTACCACCCGATACGGTCCGCTCAGCGATGTATCCTCTGTGGAACGCAGACGTCAGACTTTCACTGGAACAGCATGTCTTGCGAGGTCGTTCGATGATCGAATCGTCTGCATTCACCCACGCAGAAGTCAACTCGCAGAGCCAGAATTCGGAAGCAGAGCGGTTCCCGAGCTTGGGAAAAGCATTGGACACGATCCGTGTCGATGACGTCCACCTACGATCAATACAGCGACTATCTATTCGCCAAGACGCCGGCAATCCAAGTCGTCAAAAGTTTCCTTCAGCGAATGCATAGCGTCTTCATTGAATTGTAATTTACGCTTGCACAACTTGGCCGTTCCAGCCAAGTCGTTCGAACAGAACAGGTATACTCATGGTGGCATGGAAGCCAATGCTAAAGTAAACGACGACTTTAGTGAGGACTGCAAGGGTGCGAGAGTCAGGCAGGGTCTGACGGACCTCACGTTTCAGCAAAGCCTTACTGCTACTCACCATCCGCATCATAATGCTTGACCGGATTCTTCTCTTTTTCTTGACGCCTTTGCTTGTCTTTGAGCCTAAGCGCCTCCGCGATCTTTTCGGCAATGGGGTCGACATACGTTGGAGAACCCGGTCGTGATTGTGTGATTGGCGCAGGAACGCCGCTCCCGTTCGCGGGTTTGTAGTCGACCCGCTTGCTGCCCGCATTGCGCTCGTGTAGCGGACCAGGACTGGATACCCTGGAGCTGCTGGGGCTAGAAATGGAAATAGATCCATTGCGCCGATATGCGCTGTCGGGGGAGAGTAATGATCTGCGCCGATCATCCCCCATCTCTGTGGTCGGCGTGAGCGTGTCTGGAAGGTCCAGGATGGATGGTACCGCCCGCAAGTTGGCCAGCGGAATCTTGTTGTATTCCGTGGCTGGCACGTAGTGTCGCCGGGGCAGAATCAAGCCGAAGGTTTCGTAGAAAAATCGAATGATCGGCGGTAAGATGATGTTACACATCGTCTTTGTCACGAGACGAGTAAGGATGACCAAGAATATACCTGTAAGAAAACAAAATTTTACATGAGCAAACGCTGATTCCGAGTGCTGCGTCCGACGCGCACCTGTTAGAACCATGAGGGTTGACGCAGCGACTCTGTTGCCAAGATCCTCGGAAGCTCGGTCGATGCTTATGACTGCGTTGATCTGTGCGAGCAGTACGTCGAGCGAGTCTTCCAGCTTGTCAGCCCACGAGTAACCGTTTGGTAGGAGGCGTATGACAGGCGTCGTGCGTGCTTGTGGGTACGTGTTCAACGGATGATCGTCGACCAGCATGACGCCTAGGTTAGCCGCGACCCAGCGCGAGACGGAAACACCCATAGCGACTGCGATGAATGCGATAGCGTCCTCAAAGCATGGGCAGTCATCCAATGGCTGAGGGTGTATTGACACCATCAGAAGGCCAATCGGAATAACCAAGAATGGGACTGACCAGTCACTACGGATCATGAATGCTTCGATTTTATCGAAACCTGCCCACTGTGCGAGAACGATGACGAGGCCGAGAAGGGATCCTGCAACGCAGTCGACGATGCTGTGCATACCCGAATAGATTCGGCCGTAAACAACGCTGCAGACGTAGTAGAGCAATCCGGCCTCCCAGAGATAACTGCTCCACACGCCACCGGTGAAAGCATCCCGTAATGTCCGTATCCAAAGGTAGACGTAGCATGCGATGCTGACAGCGTTTGTCGAGTGCGTCGAGGGAAAGCCGTACTCGAGATGATGTGTACCAATGGTCAGGCGAGTGACGGGAGGAGAGTATGGCCGTGGGACGCAGAGCCAGTCCTTAAGGGCCGAGGATAAGTAGACGCCAAATGCTAGTACATTGATAAGCCCACGGCCAAAGTAGGGACTACCGAGCCAGAATGTCATCGGAATGAAGATAAGGAAGAAGGAGTGCGTCCCTAGCATCGAGCTGTAAACGAAGTAGCGATCACGAAGCCGGCTTCGTAATTTGTCCTGTACCACATTTAGCATGGTGAGTACGGTCACAGTGATGGACAGCGCGGCCCCTCTATCGACATACCTGCTGCCATTTGAGAAGGGGCATTTCCTTGCGCAAGCTCCACATTAGCAGCCTGCGGATCATTGCGATAGGCTTCGACAAGTACCGATCGTAGACCTCATCTTCTAAGATGCCAATATCTGTTGCATTGTAGACCGACTTGCCCATGTCGTTGATGCTCTTTGCGGGCGAAAGCGGCGCATCTCTGGCTCTCTGAGCGATCTCTCCAAGCGATTGAGGCAGAGGTGATGTGCTGCGAGGTATCTGTAGCGTTGGAGAAGCTGGTCGCGACGAAGGTCCGATGCTCTCGAGGTCCGAGTCGGTGCCCGACCGTAAATGGAACTTGGCGCGACGATTGGCCATCGTGATGGCCAGCAGTAATGTGGTGAGGGGATCTGGCTCGGCGCCCAGCCTTGAATGTACGATTGATGTCCAAAGGTGCGCATGCTCCTGGAGACAAGTAATCCTGAAGGTGACAAGGACGCGTAGGTGATGCTGGTTCGGGCTCGGTTTCGCTCGGACGGAGTGAGGTTCAGCACAGAGCAACGCGACGGCTGGGGCGGGGGCTCCGCTGGGGCGCTGCGCCTGTGTTCATCACACGTCTGTTCACTACCGTGATTGATGACAATGAACCGTCATTCATCTCACGCGGGACAGATATTCTAAAAGACGACAGTGCATCTTCGGCATGGGCATCGTAGTCGCCTGAGCATTACAAGACGGGTCAGCACGGGCTCATGGACCTGAGGAGTTTGAGGCCGTGAAGAGGCCGTTGCGACCATGGCACTGCCATCGTTCAACGCGTTCCTGGCCTCATTCGCATTCTTCTTTTTCCTCCTTGGCGTGTCGCTCTTCGTCGGGTTCATCCAACTGGTCGAGGGGCACACGCGCCGAGTCGTCAGGACAAATCGCAAGCGGCGGAGACAGCTGCTCGCTCGCTTAGGCATCACGGAAAGCAAAGGCGGCGAGGACAGGCGGTTGATCATTGGCTTCTTCCACCCTTATTGGTGAGGAAATACAATGATACTCCGTTCAAATGGAACCTGTACTTACGCACTTACCCGCTGTTATACTGTAGCAATGCAGGCGGCGGTGGAGAGAGAGTCCTTTTCGAGGCTCTTGCCTATCACCTGCAGAATGACCCGAACGTCATCTGTGTGGTTTACACGGGCGACGTCGGTCCATTGCCCGACGTTAAACAGGTTCATGCACCGGCCGATGAGGCCGCGTTTGACGCGGCCTATAAAAGCCTGCGCAGCGAGACACAAGAAACAAGAGATTCTCCCAAGACGATCAAGCAGAACGCGGAAGCTCGCGAAGTTGGACGCGAGAAGAAAGTAACCAAGGAAGACATCATCTCCAAGGTCAAGTCACGCTTCGCAATTGAGCTGGACAGCGAGCGCCTTCTTTTCCTCCCACTGGACGCCAGGAAGTTCGTAGATGACAGTTATTGGAAGCACTTCACCCTCCTCGGCCAGAGCCTCGGCAGCGTGTTGCTTGCCTTTGAAGCGATGAGCGAGTTGATCCCTGATGTCTTTATCGGTACGCTATGATGACCGTGTGACAATTACAGTCTCCACTTCTCACTGACTGTGATATATGTGGCTACAGATACGATGGGCTACGCATTCACGTATCCAGCCGTACGACTCTTTTCCAAGAAGTTGCCGATCGGTACTTACACTCACTACCCAACCATCTCGTGCGTGTTTGACATGTACTCTGCACTTTGGCGCCTGGCTGATCCGGGCCTTTTCCCTGACGACAGCACCGACATGCTTCGACGTATCGAGAACCGTGAAGCGAGTCACACGAACAACACCACAACAGCGTCCTCCGCATGGCGGTCCGCTTTGAAGCTGCGCTATTATCGCACCTTTGCATGGATCTACTCGTGGGCTCTGCGCCGTGCAAGCCGCGTAGTGGCCAACGGTACGTGGACGCGCAATCACCTCGACCAGCTGATGAATGCTGGACTGCCTCGGAACTCGCACAAGAGGCGAAGAGTGGAGGTCGTCTACCCGCCATGCGACACGGAAGGTCTTGCTACCTTCCCTCTCGACAATGCTCGAGTAGGATTCGTCAGCTTGGCGCAATTCAGGCCTGAGAAGGAGCATGCAACGCAGCTGCGATTTCTCCGTGCGCTCCTCGACCGCCATCCCGACGTGGTCGCTAAGCATGGCAAGCAAGATCTGAAGATGACCATGATGGGCAGCTGCAGGAACGAAGGCGACGAGGCGCGAATAGAGATGCTCAAGGCGCTTGTCAAGCGCCTACACCTTGAGGAGTACGTGGAATTCGTCGTGAATGCACCGTGGTCGGAAGTCATCCAACGTCTCTCTACGGCAAGCATCGGTATCAGCACTATGGTCGATGAACACTTTGGCATGAATGTCGTCGAGTTCATGGTGCGCATCCTCTCCAGCACTCGCGTTGATATCTAGCTGATGAGCTTTCCTCCCCACTCGCACGTGCTATCTCTACAGGCTGCAGGGCTGATCACACTGTCGCACGCATCCGCTGGACCCTTGCTAGACATTTCCGTGCCGAACGCCTCGGGCGAGCGGACCGGCTACCACGCGCTGACGCCGGACGACTTTGCTGATCGCGCCGCGGAGATCTTGCGTCTGCGGGAGGGAGAGGCACTGTCGATCCGCAAACGGGCGCGGGCTCGGGCGCAGAACATATTCGGGGCACAAAGCTTCCGTGACAGTTGGTGTAATCATCTCTGGTTGCCATTAGTCGGATCACTCGGCGGTGGAAGCCAGGGCGCTCAAGCCGCGGGTCTCCTGCCATCAGAAGCAGAGAGCAGGAAGGACAAGTGATGTATCTTTCAGACTATACATCATCCGCTCATTAAAACCAGGGGTCATCGGAAAATGGGAAGAGGTAGCGAGGAGGACGCCGAGACAGCTGTGTCCAAATGCCAGTCAGACTGGTTCGTTACATCCATGTGTGCGAGAGACAAACGTTGTGGGAGTAGCGAGATCTTCCAAAAGCGAAACTTAGAACCCGCTGTTCTGCGCCTTGGCCGCTTCATTGGCAGCGTACGTCTGAACACCGAGAAGGGCTGCAATGCCGGCGACAGTGGCAGCGATTGTGCCTCTGTCAGTGTGCCTGATCTCGTCGCGCTTGGTGTACGCGTATACCGCGCCGGCGCCGAGCAGCACGAGGTTGACCGAGGCGAGCGTCGAGGCCCAGTATTCCGGGTTCGACGAGAAGGTAGACCAGAATTGCGTGGCCTCTTTCTTGGCGTCCAAAGCAGCGCGGGAGGCACTGTGACGTTGGTGTCGAGTGGATGGATGCAAGATGGTCAGCATGTGCCTCGTGCTTATTTACACTCAGAGCAAAACCCAACCCGAGGTGGGGTCTGGGTCAGTTCAGCACGTACGCCTTCTCAAAGTTTTTGGCGCCCTTCTTGATTTCGTCGCCGATCTCGTTGGCCTTCTTTTCTGCGCGGTGGGCCGCGTTCTCAGCGTCGCGCTGGAGCTCCTGGCGCTTTTCGTCGGCCCGGCTGGCGGCGTCATCGATCTGCTGCGAGGTGGAGGTGGACATGCTGCATAGGTTGGTGCTGAGTGGCACGACTGTGAGCTTGGGGGAGTCGACGTCGACAGGTCTTTTTTCGGGTATCAGGTTGAAATGATGTTGTAAAGTGCAAGGTGAAGATGGACAGAGCCCAATAAGCATGTAATGGCGGTGAAAGACGAAACGGTGGCCCAGAGGGTATGGTGTGGGGGACGAGGCTGATGTGCAGAGGCGCGATCGATGACGCAAGGCGGACAGAGCGCCGGAGACTGTAATGCGGCCGGTGGTGCAGGCATGCAGTGTGATGAGCCAAGTGCAGGGGCGGAAGCAAACAGGTGGGCACCACGCGTACAAAGTGTCACAACAGTGACAGAACGGCAGAGCACGGCAGCGGCGTAGCAAAAGCGAGCGGGGCGGAAAGTAGCAGTTGTCAGTAGCGTCGCAGCCCGAGAGGAAAGAGGCGGGGAGAGAGACATTAGAATTATCGGGACAGGTAATCGTCACCAAAGCGCGTCCTTCCGAGGAGGATCGACCCATTGTAAGAAGGCTTGGGTCGAGCTCGACAGTGACCCGTTTGAGCTGCGGCATGCTGACCTGCTGCTGTTCGTAGCAGTCACGTGAGGACAAGCGGCCTCGTTCACCTTGAATCGGGCTGCTTGCTGGGGTGTGTTCGACTGCCCGCTTCCACCCCGTTTCCTACTTTTTGTCCGCGCCAGGCCCGCAGACGACCCGCACGATGCGGACTGACGTTGAGGCACATTCGTTTGCCTGAGGAAAACCCAAACATTGGTGTACCGATGGTGCACCATCCGCACCAATAAGATCTTTGCCGGAGCACTAGCCAAAGCTGTGCTGTCCGCAATCCAGCCTGATGCGGACAATCAGCCAAACCGGCACGATATGAATCGTAGGGTTATCGACGATGTCGGCGCGGACAATGGGAAGAGCAAAGGACTGCACTGACTAGCCTGTGTTGTCTCCGCCGACGAATCCAGAAGTGAAAAAGCGGACGCGGACAGCCGCACGAACACGCCCCGGATGGCTTGCCTCAATCCAGTAAAGTTGGGTCCGGCAGTGGCTGCTCGGACGGCGAAGAGGCATCGGCGACTGAGGCGTAGGACAGTTTCAGACGATTCAGCAGAGTACTAGTTAGCTTCTTCCAAGTGAGTACTGCGTTGCCCGCGGGCCAGAGAGATATGTACACGATGACTGTGATTGCTATGGACGAGTCGCTGAAGCGCGGGGCGATACAGAACGGCTTGCGGAGTGAGGACGCGATGTAAATGTGATTGATGCAGAAGAGGAAAACGTATGCCCTGGAGCCTGGTGGAAGTGGTCGGTTTCGTGCGTTGAAAAGAACGGGCACGGGAATGTGATTGATTGACCGCGGTTCTGGTCCAAAACGAGCAAGGTGGGGTCCCGCTGGGCGCGGCGCTGCCCGGTGCAAGTCATTTTCGCCCTTGCTAGATTGGAAGGCGCATGATGTCATTCTGTCACATTTAGTTGTCCTGCCTCATGTCATTTGTGAGGGGGTTTTTCCCCGCGGTTGCAAATTGCAACAAAAGAAAGAATGATTGAGAGTGGAGGCCCGAAGACGGAACTCGCTATGGTTTCTTCAACCCTACTTCTGTTATGCGTAGGCTTTCTGCTTCTTACGTCCGGACTCCGCCGCCTCTTTATCCCAAAGGTCCTAACATCGCGCCGTTGACCTTGAAGGTCAACGTGTTGACAACGCAATACGTCAACCTCTTTCAAAAAGGTCAATCGACGAAGGGAAGAAAAGCCTCCAGTACTCTGCAGAAAGGCGTAGTTGGTCCTCCTTCAACTCATCCCGGCTTGGAGAGGCGCATTGCGAACTGCACGACCGCCCGTCACTCACTAGTCGGAGAGCGTTCCTTCAAAGGCAGATTGCGCGCAGCATGTGCCGCTTGCTCGTCTTTAAAGGAACCGAGCCGATCCAGATCTCGCATCTCGTCACGAAGCCGGCGCACAGCATCATCAACCAAGCCTTCGATGCGCGGCTACGTCTAGACGCCACGCGGTCCGTCAATGGCGATGGCTTTGGTGTCGGCTGGTATGACGCGGCCATGGCGCCGTCCGCCCTAGTGGCAGCGTCTGCTGCCTCTGGCGCCGGGCAGTCTTCCTCACTGGGGCGCCACGAGGACTCGGCTACTTCAGCTAGCAAAGGGAATACCACCCGCAACATACCTTCTGAGCAAGAAGAGGTAGGGTCAAGAGAGTACGATTACAACACCCACCCGTACGCGCCGTGCATCTTCACCAGCGTCACGCCCGCGTGGAACAACGCGAATTTACATCGGCTCGCGGACAAGATTCAGAGCCCTCTGATCTTTGCGCATGTCAGAGCTTCTACCGCTGGTGCACTAAGCGAGACCAATTGTCATCCTTGGCGGTACGGGCGTTTAATGTGGTGAGCACACCGTTCGCATAGGTCTGCGTGTTCGCTTCACCAATCTCTCAATGCCCGAAATCACCTTATAATGCTGGTACAGGATGCACAATGGCCAGATCTCGTCCTTCTCACGCGTCAAGCGGCGCCTCCTTGCGGCTTTGCCCGAGGAGCTCTTCCTCTATCCACAGGGCCACACAGACTCGGAGCTGGCATTCTGCGTCTTCCTCTCGCACCTGCGTGATCCACTGCGATGTGGCACCTTTGCTTGGCGAGAATTGCGCGAGGCCATGCTGGCCACTATCGCGGACTTCAATGCTTGGGCCAAAGAAGCTGGCGTACAGGAGCCAAGCTTGATGAATTTCGTCGTCAGCGATGGTGAGAGCGTCGTCTGCACGCGCTACGTCTCGAGTCGGACTGAGGAAGCTGCAAGCCTCTACTTTTCTTCCGGTACCTCTTTTTACGAGGATAAGGAAGAAAGCAGCGCGGATACCAGCAGCGATCCTGATGGCTTGTCCGCTGCGACAACAGAGGTCAAGAACGTCCCCGGCCTACCGCCGCCTCGCGGGCCGGGACGGTACAGGATGGTCAAGGCCGACAAGCGCGAGAAGATCATTGTCGTTGCCTCCGAACCTCTGACATTCGAGAAAGCTGACTGGATCCAGATACCGACCAACACACTTGTCGCCATCACTCCCAGGATGAATGTCCTGCAACAGCCCATCGAGGATGAGTTTGCCACTGTCAAAGGGGACCAGGACGGTGCGACAAAGCGCAACACGGAGTTTGCGATCAAGGCTGGTTATCAGATCAATGTGCCTGTAGGTCACGCCGCTGCGACGAGGCAGAGAGCAGAGCAGGCGCCGCTCAGCCCGCTTAACGGCACGCAGCAACAGCAACAGCAGGCGTGGACCACAAGTCCAAGTCCCAGCCCCGGCGCAGGCATGAACAAGTTCCCGGAGCACAGCCCGCCTATGCGAAGTAGTGCCGGAAGTTACAACTCAGGGCCCTCGCACCTCTCGCTGCAGTCGCCGACGAAGAGCCACGCTGCTGCCGCGACAGACTTGGCAAGCAGCGCGGTAGCGGCTGACGCGCTCGTCTCCAGGCTGCGTTCCAAGGCTAAATCTTCTGGCTCCAATTTGGCAGGGTGTGGCGCAGATGCCTCTGCTTCCTTGGTCCCGAATCTTGAAGCTTCGTTGCAGAAGCAAGCTGCGGTGCCTACGGACAGCTCCCCTCCGGCATCTTCTGGCCAATTGTCATCATCATCATCGGACGCGCAACGCCATCCTCTGCCGCTGCTTGAGCCATCCAGGAAGCTGCGCATGGTCGATCCCTCGCGCGTGATCTTTTCGCGACCGCGCAAACGCATCGTTTCACCACGGTCACTGAAGCGCTTTGAAGGAAGCGAAGTGTTCGACGAGCTGCTGAGCTTCATCAGCTTGCTCAACGACGCCGTTATCGGCAAGAAGCTGCACGATCAAAACGTTGTACAGAGCGAGCCCATCCGGGCACTGTTGAAGCTACTGGCGCAAGTAAGTGCGCTCTTGGATGAGACTCCCGCAGACAAGTCGTCTGGCTCGCGCTTTGGTAATTCGGCGTTCCGGACGTTCTACAACAAAGTCAAGGACGTCATGGGCCCGCTGCATGCGCTCATTCCTGGCTTGCCGCTTGCTGCGGTCGAGGAGATCAGCGTCTACCTTGAGGAGAGCTGGGGAAATGAGAAGAGAATTGATTACGGCAGCGGGATGGAGCTGAACTTTGCTTGCTGGTTGTGAGTGTTTCTTTTCGAAACGGAGACAACGCGTCACAGACTGGCCGACATTCCTACCTACCATTTCCCACTTTAGGCTATGTTTGGTCAAGCTAGGGGTCCTCACCGTAGAGCGTGATGCGCAAGCGCTGGTCATGAGTGTGTTTTGGCAGTACATCACAGTCATGCGAAAGATCCAAAGCACGTATTGGCTCGAGCCTGCTGGTAGCCATGGCGTCTGGGGTTTGGACGACTATCACTTCTTGCCGTTCTTGTGGGGATCTGGACAGCTGCAAAGTGAGTCCACCGCATATTCCCCCGCTCGCTGCGTGAGCCGCGCGGCTGACCAAACGGCGTTTTGTCCGCTACAGATCACAAGCATTTGAAACCTAAGTCGATTCACGATCCAGAGATCCTGGATGAGTTCGCAGAGGATTACATGTACTTTGCTTGCATCAAGTTCATCAACTCGGTAAGTCAACGCACGACATCCAATTTGGCTTCTCTGCCACACCTCCTGACGATTACACTTCCGAAATACTCTAAACAGATCAAAACCGCTTCCCTCAGATGGCACTCGCCGATGCTCGACGACATCTCCGGCGTCAAGACATGGGCCAAGGTCAACGAAGGCATGCAGAAGATGTATCGGGCCGAAGTCCTGCTAAAGCTGCCCATTGCACAGCACATTTTCTTCGGCTCATTGCTCGCTTTCCCCGAAGCAATAGCCGGCGAGGAGGCAGAGGAAGGCGAGGCAGAGGAAGACGAGCACGGGCACATCCACTCAAAGCATGGGCACGGTGAAGGACAAGCGGCCGGCTGGGGCGATTGCTGTGGAATTCCTATCCCGAGTGCCTTCGCTGCTGCTGCCGCTGAGAAGGAAAAGTCTGGCTCGAACGCAGCGAGCGCGTACGCGCAAGGCGCTAAGCCTTCGCAACCCGCAGTGCGAAGGATTCCTTTCGATTGATGAAGTGACGTAAATGATGACATTGGAACATTGCGTATTAGCTTCTCGACAATTGAAAGGAATGCAGCTGAAATAATACAGTGTCTGAAAGAAAATCTAGTCTTGTGAAAACATGTAAGTGCATGGTGATGATGCAAGTATTAATCAAATCGCGGATGCTGGTGCATGAGTTGCGGTCTGCGTGGGCTCAGACCTCTTGACGGCCTCGCGCCGGCATAACGGACACGTGTTCGATGAGCTGCAGAGCCACCGATCGACGCAGTCCATGTGATATGCATGCTTGCAGTCGAGCACGCGGATTTTGTCTTCGGACTGCAATGAGTTTCAAAAGTATGTCAGGCTCAAACCTATAGTTGAAGGAACTATTAGCGACGGACTGACCAGCCAATCTTCAAGGCACACAAGGCATTTCTCCGCTGTATTAGAAGCGACTTGCCCCTTCTGAGCCATCTCGACGATTTCCTTGCCTGACACAATGCGAAGCGCGCTATTCTTCAGGTCGTTCTCCGTTGCCACGTTGCGTTTGGGTTGAAAGACACTCATAGATGCGAGGAGCTCCATCAGATACATCAGATCCCTTGCGGCGAGGTGCAAAGGGGATGAGAGCAAAGCGTGGTCCCTCGGATAGTAGCCAGCAGAGACGAAGAGGTTGTAGCGGATCGCATTGCCGTCCGGACTTCGTGCGTCACCCTCGGCTGCGGCTGAACCCACATTAACATTAGCGTCGGACGGTGTCGCTGCACCCGCAGCATCATTATCGCCGCTTTCGGCAATGTGCATATCTGCTTGCGACGCTGCAGGCACATCGGGGCCGGTGGCGCCTCTTGCATCGCCCATGTTCGCCTCTTGTGCTGACGAAGGCATGTACATGGGCAAAAAAGTTGCTCCTGCATTCAGCGGGCCTGACCGCACGCCGACAACCAGGCATGGGAGAAGAGATTCTGATCCTGCAGCGGGTGCTGTGCTCGGGCTCTGGTCTCCTTGCGCTCGCCTAACAGATGGGCTAGTCAAGCGAGGATACCACGAGCTTCTCTGTTGAGATTGCGAAGCGGAAGCATGGGCATCCTCTGGGGACGAAGACGGCTGCGTTGCTCGTGGGCCGGGCTCGGACGCAGCAGCAGTCTCTGATGGCTGCTCGAAGCGAAAGATTCGGAAGAAAGAAACGTTACCGCGTGTTAGGTCGTGTGTGCGTCTCATCGCGACGCTGTTCGAAGGTGGTAGCTGCGGCGCGGTGCCATATGCATTCTCAATGGCAGCGGAAAGGTCCTGCGTCAAGCTGTGCAGGAAATGGTCGAATGTATGCTCTGGGCCATCGGTCACTGCGCCGGAGCGAGCCCTCGCAAGCGTCTGGTTCAGCGTTTCTGTCGTCCAAGCAGGTGCCTCAGACGTTGCTGTTCCGCTGCTCGTCGTCGGAGAAGCAGACGTGGAGAGCGGAGTGAAGAGCGAACCCTCGCCATCATGTCCGGCATTCAAAGCATTGCGCAGCATGGACGGCAAGTCCGGCTGAGCAGTCGTTTCTGCACCGGTACCAGCTAGGCCTTGAGCAGCTGCAGGCACATTGGACTCTGCTGTAGCACCCGTGCCCCCGCGGGTACTGCTCCCTGTCGCCATGCTCGTTCCAGCAGAAGGTTGGGCAGCCGCATTCGTCTCCTCTGGCACGAAAGAATTAGCTAGCCTGGAGCCCAAACGCGCAAGCCTTTCCCTGAGACCAGTCCCTGGCCCAGTGCCAGTCCCGGTTGCTGTTGCTGGCGCTGTTGTGGGTCGGGCAGTAACGCCAGCAAGCGCAGTCTCAGCAGCACGCAGCCTGTCGCCGAGCGGATCCGCTACACCATGTGCTGAAGAGTTCCAGCGCCGTTGCTGCTGCTGTTGCTGTTGCTGATGCTGTGCTTGCGCCGGATCCAGCAGGGAGACAGCCGTCGCGGCAGCTGCGATGGAGATCATGCGCGTCAGCATCGCAGCTTGCTCGGTCGCAGTCGATGGCGGCGTGAAGGGCGCCGCATCAGCAGCACTGGCGCCAATAGCCGGGCCTGTGCTGGTGCCGATGTTGGACGGGTTTGTGCTTCCTGCTTGCTCGCTAGCTGCATGCTGCTGGCGAACTGGACCAGTTCGGCCTGTTCCGGACTGTCCCGATGATGTCGATGCTGCTGGACCCGCGTCGGAGAGACTGCGCCTTCGCATCGTGCTGCCACTCGCGGAAGAGCCGGGAGAACTGGACAATCTTGCTGTTGAAGTCGCGTAGGGGTTCCTCGATGCAGCTGCGCGTGTTGAATGAGTGGGTGCGTCGGATGGCGCTGACACTGACGTAGCGGCGTGGCTCTGCGATGTTGCAGGTCGAGTCGATTCTTGTCCTTGAGCTACAGAAGGGGACAATGCTGTATTGCTCAAAGGCGGACCGCTTCTTGCGACTAGCATACCTTGAACGACGACGTACGTTCCCGACGACACGGATGGCCTCGGCGCGCCAGCTTGATCGCCTGCTTCTGCTCCGGGTTGTCCAGCACCTGCCGTAGTTCCTCCTGCTGGCCGCAGACCAAGAAGGTCGTTCATAAGCGCAGGGATGGTGCTTGGGCGCGGTGGCGGCTCCTCGTGCGGCCCTTCTGCTCGGGAAGCACGTGGTGCCTCAAACCAACGACCGCGTGATGCGGCGTCTGACGCCGCTAATGAGCTCGGTTGCTGCCCAGGCACATCGGAGATGCCAGGTAGAGGACTAGGCGTTGCAGTAGACAGAGTCGGCGAGCGGACTTCAGTGTACCGTGAGCTGCGCTGGACGGCCGGTTCGCCGAGGACGCTAGCAATCTGATGCATGACCCTGCTGCGCTCTTCGGTTAGCTCGTCTGGGCTCGAAGCGCGTTGCGTAGCTGTTGCTGACTGCATACCAGAACCACTAGCGCTGCCTCCGGAGCTAGAGTTAGCCCCAAGAGCCTGTGAGCTGCTCGTGGCGGCAACTTCGTCAGTGGCATCCGACATGTGCATGTCGGCACCGGTCGCAGAACTGCCTCCCGCCGAGTCAGCAGGAGTGCTAACCTGGTGACTGGCTGCCCCAAAGTTGAGCACCCTGCGGCTCCGAGCAAGCAACCTGTCTTTCGCTGAACGACCCTCGTTGCTCCTGTGGTCACAGTGTGTAGCGGATTCTCTTGACGATAGCTGTGCTGGCAAAGACGATGACGCTGCTAGGCGTGACGAATCGCTCGTTCCTGCTAGCGGCTGCGCTTCCAACTCTGGTTCTTGTGCACTGCGTAGCACGTTCCCGCGAGACGTGATGCCTAGCCGACGAGAAAGGGATAGACGCCGGCGCTGTGGCGATGGATCGCTGGCGCCAGCACTGGAGCCTGAGCTGACCATCCTCTCCCTCCTGCGCCGACCCTGGGCGGGAGCTGGGCTCGATGCGTCCACGTCCATGTCGTATGCTTCGGACCTGCCTTCAACTTGCAAGTGCGAGGATCCGGGAAACCCCCTTGGGCTCGAGTTTTGTTCAGAAGGCAACTCTTGCTGCTGTTGGTGTGTTTGTTGAGGGTGTTGCTGCCTGGCCGCAGCCTCCCTGATCAGGCCGTGCTCCGCTGCGCTGACTCCCGCGTCCTCTAGGCGTTCCCTCGACTGAGAGAGTCCCATGGTGAGCGTCTTTTACTGTATGCTGGGGCGCTGGGCTCCTGAACACATGACAAAGATTTGGGGGGGGGTTAGGGTGTGTGTGAAGGATAGTGAAATATGGAATAGGAGGTAGAGAGAGGTGATTGGATTGGACCAGTTCGCTGCGATTGCGTGGTGACGGAAGGGCGGTATTGTTGTGAACTGAAGGACGGAGATGATCACGTGATCATGCATTCGGACCTGCCGAAAAATGAAGGTTTCCAGCGGCACATCCATCAGCGCCTCCATGCTCAACCATGCTATATGCACCTGCATGCTCCCCAGACTTGTATAAGTCTAGCAATTATCCCTACATTTGTAGAGCGTTTATGCACTTCTGTAGATTGGTCAACTGCGAGCGCCGACAATATGACACATATGCCGTGGACTGACCCGGATTCCGAAGCTCCGATTGTATGAGTGTGTTTCTACATCATCCAGTTCTTGCCCTCGCAGCGAAGGGATATGTGACCTGTTGTCGACTTCGGTCGACTGCTGTCGAGCAACTTTGAGAAAATAACCCATAAAGACAAGTGGTCAAGTCGCGCTCCCAGCGCCTGCAGCCCTATCACATCAGTCTACAACATTGCTAGTCTGGGGTCGAGTAAGGCATGGGGGCATTTACAAAACTGATACGGATGGAATAACACCGGGTCAAGCATAAACAGGGGTTCCACCCGGAACCATGTATACCTACCTGGTCAGATGTCTACGTGCACTTGGATGCAGGTGTGCGAACCAGAAGGGGATTCCAGATTGGTGTTCCCGAGGCGGTATCGCTGTTGATGCCATCAACAAAAGATTTGGTTGGTCAGCTACAGAGCAGTGTCTACCCACCACTCCTTTGCTACTGTTTGACCCAATGACGCACCATCAGTGACGAGCTCAACACCTCGACCTTCCATGCTTTGGCTCAATTCCTGGAAGCTTCACAGAATTTGCATCTTCACTCCTGCCACGTGGTGATAGTGGCTGGATTGCAAGCCACAATGCAGGACTGATTGATGAGCAAGGTCTCTTTATACGTACAGCAACCGGTGTCGTTCCGGCGAATCAGGTTCATAAACGCACTCAATGTCGACTGAGGCTTTCGACAACCGCTTTCCTGGTGCTGTCGACTAATCAACACACTTGACATACGGCAAATGGTCGACTAGTCAGTCAACACAACATTCGACGCGTAGGTACGCTACATCGAGGTTCGGCCGGCGGCTCAGCCATGCGAAATGACAAATAAGTGATTGAGCAATGAGTGGCATGGGAGTCGAGGCAGCCGCTCAAATGATACTTTTTCGGACGGATCCGGCGTCACGCGTCACTTGAAGGAATCGCCAACAACGTGCTGGTCGCTGATGCGCATAACGCATCGCGCTGGCTACTTATGGCTTAATGATTTCGGTTTTGACGTTAGACCTTGGACTTTGCAGGAGACTGGTGACGCAGACGTTGCTGACTGCCTGCGCCGCAGGGCATTCCTGATGGGAGTATGTGCCAGTATGTATTCAGGCTAGTGTACTCGTGAACGCGCTCAGAAAGATACACCCAGAATCCGATATACTTGCGCCTCAATGCTCGGCGGCGATGGCAGCTGCAAGATTGGAAAACCGGCTTCCCTGTGCTGGTATCGGACATCTGACTCTTGAAGGAGGTCATCAAGCACCATTCATCATTGTATTGTGCTTGATGTAGGAGGACACAGCCCCACGAAGCGCCGCATAAGAAACGCGATGAACATGATGGCGGATGAAATCAACGTCTCATATTCCTATTTATGTCTGCTTGTCATCACAAGGGTCGGTACTGATAGACCCCGATGCAGTGGCACTCCTGCCGCATGCCCGATGAACGTGGTACATTCCTCCTGCGTCCGTGATGAACTTAAAATTGATGAGGCGAGAAGCCAAAAGAGCAGGGGCAAGCAAGCACCGATAGAATCACATATCTCTCCTTTACTCAGGATGTTATCTGGCTTGCGCTGACTCTTGTGCACAGCACCCAGGCCATCATGCGAAGGCATGGCATCATTGGCGAGTTCAAGGATTGACCAGTAGGGGTGGGGGTGACAGGGCAGCGAGAACTGCCCTCTGCACCCGCCCTGGGTATGAAGTCGCTGTTGCCGCCTGCGTCAGACGCGAATCATAGGCCGGCTGTGCTTGATGCGCCGAAGACGCAAAGTGATGCATGGGAACCAAATGCTGAATGTCCCGAGGGGGGAGGGGATCCTTGCATTGCCGATGGTGACGGCGCACCGAGTCGAAAAGCATAAAAGCTCTTTTCCGAGGCTTGACCAGCTTCTCGAGTGATAACATGCCGAGCGCTTCGCCATTGTCCCGGAGCTGACGATCGCCTTTCCAGCTTCAACGCGAAGTGACCGGCGCGAGGGACAAGGGTGCTTGGCCGTTCTGCCAGCGCCTGGATGCGAGTTCATGTAGCGACCTACCTGGCGGTCGCTCAGCGGCATTCTTCGGATCCTTCTCCCACAGGTAGTAGGCGAATGCGCCTGTCACCATTCCGAACACAGGGTCCGAATATCTATCCGGATGAAGGATGAAAGTCGCGGTCAGCCTTACCTTCTCTGATCGCTTGCGCGCACCAGGGTATGGATTCGGACTCACTTTCCGATGAGATACCGCACCATTGTCCGTTGTTCGATCGCTGTTATCTGCCAGGAAGCGCGTCCGTGTCTGCCTTGATCTACGTCTTGCTACTATCACTACTATCGCTACTACCACTTCGGCGGGTTGAGAATGGCTGAGGAACGGCTCGGAAGAGGTGGCAAAGAGAGCCTTGACTCCCTCGCCCTCGCGAGGCACTCAAGCCGAAAGCCCAGAGTCGGAAGAAAGCGAGAGGGCGGAACGGGCGTCCTCACTGCGCGTTCACCGCTGTGGTGTAGCCAGCCCGACGAGACAGTGTTGAGGCGCTGAGTACAAGTGTTGCGACCCTCGGCGCTCACAGTCAACAATCCACAGGGGTGCAGCGGCACGCTACGACAGCAGGAATAATGGTTAGATTCATTCAAATTTGAGGTGCATAAAAGTGCATGTAGCACAGTCGAGCATGAGTGGTGAGTGGGGAGAGGGAGCCGTTGGGGTATGCACGGACGGTGGCGCCCATGCAGTGGCAAGGCTGAACGCATGGTCACGTGATCCTTTCCTCCTTCAACTCGCTGTTCATTATCAATCATTCTCGATAGAGGCGTATCGTAGTGTTTACCCAGTATTATTGGTCCATACTCCATGCTTGCATTATCCATTGCGCATTTCGATTAGAAATGCGGCGCCCTGCATGACCGTATTGCGCTAGGCTGTGCCACTGATGCGCCCTATCCGCGCCGATACCGTACCTGATGCTCCCATCTTGCCTCTTGTTCGAGTTGTTATATGCTGTTATATGCAGGGCAACTATATAGTCTATGATCCATATATTCCTCCGTCATTTTTCAAGTTGAAGAGGAGCGTACTTGAAAGCGAATGCCGAAGTACAGCCCACAGGTTTCAGGCTGACATGGGCTGGCACAGGAGACAAACGTTAGTGGAGCTAGTTGGAGAGAAGCCTATGCATAAAAGGAATAAGCATTACACATAGTACGATAGTACGTATGATATTAGACGCACATAGATAGTTGGTGGTATACTGTGATACACTATACATTATATAGTTTATGTATCACTGAATGCTGAAGTCTTCATACACCTTGGATACACCTGGACTTGGCAACTAGCAGCCATGGGTCGGTACCATGAACAAAATATACATAGTACGATTACCACATACATGATATACACCGCTCTTGTGCCTCATGATCTAAAATGTCACTATTAGTGAATCCGGAGTCCGGATTTGAGGTTGCGAGAGATGTTGCCTGAAATACACTGTGCAAACAATAGATGCAGATTTTGGGCCGACTGCACGGAGTTCCAATTTCAATTCCGCTCTCGGTCCATCGCGCCTTCCCGAGCCGCGAGGCATAGAGCTTGCGCCAGGCGGTAAAATAGGAAATTGGACGACCCTCTTTCCATCAGCGCCTCCAGCAGGGAGTAAGGTGATAGAAATGATAATTTGAAACAGATCAGGTCACCTCCAGGTACTTTTCACTTGTTGGCATGGTGCACCCAGCGCCAATATCCAATCTTAGCCAATCGGGCGCTCGGAGCCTATCCCGACTTGCTGCATACACATAATCCGCCGCGGCCCTGTTGCCTACTTATTGAGTTAGTTATAGCTGCTGAGGCCTCCAGAATCTAGGGACTGTCCCGGTCAGCCAGTGGCCCAGCGGTCAGGACTCAGCAGCTTCAAAGGCCTCCTGGGGCGGCCCGCGAATGGTTCATGCACCGCTCAGCGTGCATGCATTCATTATTTGGACACTTGACGATACATGCGAGCATGTATCTGGATGGATCATGTTCACATGCGCACAACGGTCATGTAGAGCAGCAGTGACCTAGCCCTGAGCCCATCGCGCACAGTTGCGCATCGTACCGTACTCTTACATACCACAAACACAGACGGAGTTCGGACTCTGGAGATCGTGCATGACTTGTGTCCCCCCGCTGTCGACAAATATAGGTACGTGCACCACGCAAATCCCAAAAGGACGACAAATTACGAAGCTGTGGCATCATCTCATGCAGTACTTGTCCAAAGGTGCCAGGAAGCCGGGTCGTTGTGGATCACTTTCCGCTGTTGCGCTGATGACAGCTTTGCCAGGGCGTGCCCACTCATTGCAAAATGCCTTGGCTCAGGTGGCCAAAGCAATTTTTTTTCTTGAAAAATACTGGAATCTGAGGGTTTTCAAAAGCGGGTAACAGAGAGGTGAGGTGAGGGCAGCCGCCAGCCCCAGCCACACTCACCCAGGACATGTTCGCTTCGGTTGTCTGCGTCCTTACGAACGAACCCACAAGTGAAATTGCCAACGCGGACAGCCGAACGAGGCGCACCCCAGGGCTTGTGCGGCATGCGGGACCCCCAAATAAAGCCGACGTCAGCATTTCACGATTGCGCTTCTGTCTTTTGATTTGCATGTTGCGCTCTGTCCGATCTCCGTTGCTTTTTAAGACAGGATGGCCCATATTGAACACGTGTATATATTTATGTATATATGTTTGTATGTATGTATAAACGATGAACAGAGTGGGTAATGAATAGCCTGCGATTACTGTGAAATATTTGGAGCACATGGCATTTGGAATATTGGACCACGTCAATGCATCTCCGCTCGCCTTCCTGCTCTTCCTACCAACTCTTCGAATATCCTTTGCTCCTTGCGAGCGACCTCCAAGTGCTTACCTCTTTCGTGATTACGGACAACCTTGTTCTGCACATTCGCAAAGATTTGACCATGGTCTCCTCATCTAGAGCGTGAAGTTAGGCCACTGATTTCCTGACCTCGACACCTCCGCCTTGATCGACATCTTCGCGTGCAAAGCGAGTACGGCAAATGCCTGACTCTGTCCAGCGTAATCTTCCATACACTCAACGCCCCCCATTCTAAGCATAGAGGCACACGGAATCTCTTGGAAGGAACGGCACAACCCCCGTCGAGCACCCCGGCGAGCCCTCTTAGTCATCAGAAATACCCTGGTCTCGGGTACCGTCGCGCCGCTGAACGAAGCGCTTTGAACCCAAAAAGTGATACGGATTGTTTGTCAATCGGATGAGCAAATGCGCAGATCGCGGCCCCTGTGCAAACACGGTTTTGGCTTTGAGAGCTGACGCTGTGGCTCCGTGTCGCATCATGTTTTGCAGCGCTTTGCTCTCGGAGGTCGATCACGGCACCATTTTACCATTCCGTAAGGGCTTCGTGCTTATGGCCAATGCTGTTTGAAACGGGACCTTCAACTGCGTTACGACCAACGACCCGCTATTACAACTAATCTTCGAAAGGCCATTCATGCATCGACGACGCGGATGAGGCTGCAGTCTAGTGTCACCGTTCCGGTGAGTTCCTTTTAAAAGCTTTTGCATGCTTGCTGATGGCACTCTCCGTGAACAACTCCATAACCCCTTGCAGAGCCCCGAGGTCTTTTGCGTTGCCAGTCCGTTCGTGACTTGCAAGCGCTCGGCAACTGTTGCACTTTCAATCTTCACCGCTGAACCCATCAAGAGAGCATTGAGGCGGCCGAGACGAATGCCAGGCGACGCTTTCCCACAGGAAGCACACGGGCTAGGGGGCGCGAGCAGTCTGGATGAATCGACATCGTTGTCACATGGTGGGAATTCGGGTGATGGGCGTCAGAGCGTGTCCGCACGGTGGCAATCTTACCGAAGACCATCAGAAGGCTCGGAGTCTTACGGGCGTCAGCAAAAACGGCTACCAGGCATCGCGTACATTGATCAATTCTTGCCCCAGAATTTCCTTGAGTCCAGAAGGCGTGGCATCGCGTCGGAATCCGGACCGAGGGGAAGAACCGCCTACGGTACATCGCAGCGGCTACCCTTTTCAACCCATGCCGAGTCGTTACATGCGTCGAAATGGCGAAGCACGAGCCTTGGTCCTCGAATCGACCAGCCTCTCCCTCCGGGTCCACTGCCGAACGAACAATCATTACACCGTCAGGGTGGGTCATCTGGAGAAGGCAATGTATTGCATTGCGCCAGCGCTGACGGTCTTCACCTCATTGCAGAACATTCGTCGCTTTTGCCAGCTCCCGTCCACCCGTGGCGAGCGCCGTACGGGCAAACCCACTACAGAGATGAGTCTCCAGGACCAGGCAACGCCCCTGTCCATCAGCCTATGAACCCACAAACTCGGACGCAACTCAGCGCACAAGATTGGCCTCCCGAGCTCCCCATGCTTTCTGGTTCGGCGATTCGGATAGAACCGCAATATCAGCTGGCCCACAGCGCCAGCGGTAGCCGGCAGTTCCAGGGTGCTGCTGCAGATTCAACTGATTGGCAAGCCACCTGTGAGTTGCGGATGCAAGAAAGCTCTGAGACGGTGCAACGTGCGGCTGATTTCCTTCTCGATATGACGGCAACAGCTTTCTCTGATTCACCTGGGCCTGCTGATGAGTACGCTCCCAGCTACTTTGACCGCGTCCTGTACCGACGGCAAAGAAGCATCAGCCAGTCAGCCTTACCCTCGGACCAGCACGCTGTGCGCCACCACCCGTACTTGAGTCCGACCATGGCGGCCTCGCACGGTGGATATGTCGATGCCAGTGAGGTACCGTCTCCACAAGTACCTCCGTCAACGATGCTCGTCGTCAACGGGCCAAATTCGCCAAACCAGTACCCTTCGCTTGCACCGAGACGGAGGGGCAAGCTGCCGAAAGAAGTGACCGATACGCTCCGTACATGGCTGCTGGACCATGTCGCACGTCCCTACCCGACAGAAGAAGAGAAGCGCCGACTGTGTGAGGCGACGGGTCTGACGATGAGTCAGATATCGAACTGGGTAAGTAAAAGCCCAGAGCACAGGAATAATGCAAAGCTTCGTGTTGGTCTGGCTGCTGATGCACAACATTCTTGCATGTGTTGTGCAGTTCATCAATGCGCGACGGCGGATCCTAACGCCCGTCGACACGACGAGCGCCGACACGATTGCTCAAGACACAGCCGTCGGCACTTCCCCATTGGACCAGTCCGAATCGCCCAGGGCCAGCAAAAGTATTGCCTGAGTCTACCTCCATGCGACGCAACCTTTTTCCCTTTCAACTTGCCGAGATACATTGAAGGTGCGCTTTATACCACCGAACGCTTTCATCGTCGCCAGTGTATCTCTTTTGGCAAGCGTGGAATGCCGCCGTGATGCATATCCGCCGTGTCACTTTTGCTTCTCCGTCAGCCTCCTTCCATCCTCGGCTACACTCTTACGTCCCTCGCATTCTTGTTTCTGAAACGCCCCCACCTCTCTGCCGTTCGTCCTTGCAATGAAAGCGACCGATCCCTGCCACAATCAGCGTCGCCTGGCTAACCTTACCACTACTTCACCTTCACTTTCCCGCTTGCATCATATCGCGCGCCCTGCATACACGTTCAATAATCCATGCTGCAGCCCTTTTTTGAACGGATGGACACTTTATCTAGCGCGATGCTCCTGACTGACGTGGCTATGCAGCCGCCAAAAGGAGAGAAAATGCAGCTACGCGGCACCAGTCGCGTTGTACGAGTAGACAGGAATTGTAAAAGAAATCCTATCCATGAATCCAGTTTGCTTATTTTTGCTTGCGAAAGGGTCTCATTAGTGGTTTTCTCGTCGATGCAGAAACTTCAGGACATGTCATATGCACCTTGTGTTTCTAGGTGCTGCTGGAGCGCCTCCGTTCCCAACAGTAATTGCCTCAAATGGCAGGCGTCGAATGGGCACTTCTGCCCTTTCGACTGTCCTAGCTCTTTGTCTGCGGACTTCTTCGCCTCTCAGGCAAGTGCTCCCAGCTCGAAGCTCTCCGCTGATACACAAGTATCCGACAAGGGCCTACATGGGCATTTGAGCATGACGAATAGTCGGGGGATGGGGTTCGATGAGTGCTAGGCCACTCTCCTTCTCCTTTGCTGCAGTGCACCCCATTGTGGACGGAAAGGTGCATTTTCACGAGCTTCTGGTCTGGAAGCTGGGGCGCAGTGGGCAGCCTGGGACCCCGAGCACAAGCGGAGTGTGGCTTTCGACCCCGCAGCCGTGCTAAGAAATTTTGGGCCGAACGCAGTTAGGCGCTTGGCGAGTGATGATTCTCCTTGATTCACGAAGAAGATGATCGAGCAGCAAGCACAGCGACATTGGAAGGCACACCTCAGCAGCTATGTATGGCCAGATGCACAACTGGTGCCGGGCCTTCGTCGGCCTTCAGTGAAAAAGTGGGGGAAAGGGAGCAGGGTACTTTCCGTGTCAGTGATGTGAACCGTGTGGTGCCCCAATCTGACTCCCCACTCGCCCACAATCCATTGCGCCATCCCACCCTCCATACGACCGAGAGAGCAGCAAAGCGAAGAAGTGAAGCCCTCCAACCTCCTCGTTGGCTCATTGCGGCCCCCATACGTTGGCGCTAGGACTGCTTGTGGTTGTGTATGTGGGGAAAGGACATCGTCACGCATCGCCGTCGCACAATTCATCGCTTTCTTCCATCCCTCCGTTCATCCCACCTGTACGCTCCCACCTCGACACCGTCCGCACCGTCAGTAGCGCCCACTCGAGCGCGTCCTGACCAAGAGCGCCGAGCGCGATCGCGCTGGCATAGCCCACACCGGACCGAGAAAGAGAGGTAGAAAGACCTCTCTTGCTTCCTCGGTCTTTCTCTCTCTGACCCCGCAAGAGATAAAAAGACACCTCGTCAAAGATAAATCGGCACAGACGATTTCGGCGGACCTATTGGAACTGTAGATCACGACAACACGCTGGCCTGAACTCACAGCGGAATCTCCGACCAAAGTACAGCAACCATGGCTATCACCGAGATCGGGCAGCCCAACCTGCCCCCGGCGGAGGGTTACGTTGGTACGTGCCAGCCCGACCCCGGTGCATTTCCTGGCACGCCGATGTAGTTCGCTGATTGCCGTCCCCCGGCGGCGCCTTTTCCTCCCAACAGGCAACATGACCGCAGAGCAGGAAGAAAAGCTGCGTGAGATGTGGAATGGTTACTTTGACTGGTGCGCCAAGGCTACCGGAAATGTCACGAAAGGCACCGGCGGTACCTTGGTGGACGACAGCGCCAACGACCCGAAGAAGGCCGGCATCCCCAAGGGCGACGCCGCCAAAGAGGAGGCCAAGATGAAGGAGGAGCAAGCCGGCCTCGACGCGCTGCTCAATACCTACGGTCCGGACTCGCTCAAGCGTGCGCTGTGGGAGTTTATCAAGATGGATAACCCAGATGGCACCTTCCTGCGCTTCCTGCGTGCTCGCAAGTGGGACGTTACTCGAGCGCTGGGCATGTTCGCATCGTGCCTCAAGTGGCGCCTCGACAACGGCGTCGAGGACCTGGTCCGCGGCGGAGACCTCGGAAACAGTGAGATCGAAAAATTCCTTGAGCAGCAGCGCTCAGGAAAAACGTACGCGCTCGGCACCGCCGTCAACGAGCAGCCCATCTGCTACATCCACGTCAAGAAACATTTCACCTCTGGCCAGCCCGGGTCCAGCATGCAGAAGTACGTCATCTACGCCATGGAGAGCTTCCGCCTACTCATGATGCCTCCTGGAGACAAGGTCATCCTCTTCTTCGATCTCACGGGATTCGGCCTGAAAAATATGTGAGCGGAAAAATGAGCCACCTATTCTCCAGCCGTAGAGCTATGCTGGACGCCGTCTACAACCGCTTTCTCTCTCGCAGGGACTGGAATTGCATCTTGTACATCGTCAAGTGCCTCGAAGCCTACTTCCCTGAGTCGCTTGGAATCTTGTACATCCACAATGCGCCGTGGATCTTCACCGGCATTTGGAAGATCCTCAGTCCGCTGCTTGACCCCGTCGTTCGCTCAAAGGTTGCTTTCACCAAGGGCCCAGACGATGTCTCGGACCGCGTGCCAGCGGAGCGTCTGATCGCTGATCTGGGCGGCAACGTAATCACCGGGTTCGACTTCCAGGAACCTCAGGACGGCGAGAATGACAAACTGATGGACACCGAGACGCAGAAGAAGCTGTGGGACAGCTACATGGTGATTGCAAACGAGTATGAAGACACGACGAGGAATTGGATCGGGTCGAAAGGGTCCGACTCGAAGATCACTGAGAAGCGCGCTTTGCTCGTCAAGAAGCTCCGTGTGGCGCACTATGATCTCGAGCCCTACATCCGCGGCCTCACGACGTACCACCGCAACGGCACGATCGATGGCCAGGGAAAGGTGACCTGGCGCTACGTCCAGAATGACGGCAACGAGATCCGCCACGTTGCAGGCCGCAAGACGTGCGCGGCGACGCTCAAGCGCGAAATCAGCGAGATGGAGCGCGGGGTCGGCGGCAAGGGCCAGCTGCTCACTGCCGAGGAGGTCGAAGCACGGTCCCAAGCGGCGCTCGACAGCCGCGACTGGGTCGCCCTGTATGGTGACTGGGCCAGCGCCGAGAAGCTCGAGGGCAAGATCGAAGGCATCGGAGAAGACAGCGACAAGCAGGGCGTCCCTGGTTCCAGCGTCAATGCTGACGTGATCAAGGAAGCACAGGAGAGCACTCCCGCGTCCCCCTCGAACGGCCATGCTGCCGGGGCTGCCAGTGCAGGTGCAGGTGCAGCCTACCAGCACGACGAGGAGAAGTCCGCCGAGGCCCCTCAGCAGGCCCCTGACTCAGCACAGGAGATGGCCGACGACCCGCAGGCTAGCAACGAGAAGGCCAAGTTGGTGCCCAAGCAGGCTGTCGCAGGCGTCGCTGCTGGCGCTGTGATCGCGGGCGCCGCCAAAAAGATAAATCCCAAAAAGAGCAGCAACGGCGTTGCCGACGATGTGAGTGCTGCCGCTGCGGCTACTTCGGCAGCTGCCCGAGACACACAGGCTAGCGCTGCACTGGCTCCCGCGGCAAAGAAGCCCGCGCGCAAGAGCACAGGCCTCACGTACAAGGCGCGAGGTCCTGCCGACGCAATCGAGATCGACCAGGCTCCGATCAAGATTCCTGAGGGCAGCCCCGGCAGCCTCACGGATGAGCAGGAGGCTAAACTGAGGCAGATGGTAAGTGATGCTGCGACCTGCATGTTTTGAGCAGCATCCGTATCTTACACCTGCACCTCTTGCCTCCAGTGGAATGGATACTTTGATTGGTGCCCCAAGGCCACCGGCACCTCTCAAGGCGGCACCGGTAGCGATGACTTCGCGGAGAATGCGAACGACCCGGGCAAGTCTGGCATCCCCAAGGGCGATGCCGCGGAAGAGGAGGCAAAGAGGAAGGCGGAGGAGGAAGGTCTCAATGCGCTGCTCCAGACGTACGGCCCCGACTCGCTCAAGCGCGCTCTGTGGGAGTTCATCAAGATGGACGACCCGGACGCCACATTCCTGCGCTTCTTGCGCGCTCGCAAGTGGGACGTTACGCGAGCGCTAGGCATGTTCGCATCGTGCCTCAAGTGGCGCCTCGACAACGGCGTCGAGGACCTGGTCCGCGGCGGAGACCTTGGCAATAGTAAGATCGAAAAATTCCTTGAGCAGCAGCGCTCCGGCAAGACGCACACCGCTGGTACCGCCAGCAACGAACAGCCGATCGGCTATATCGTGAGCATTGGTATTTGCCCTGGGCGATGCGGAAGACTTGCCCGGCTGAACTGTGTCCCCTTTCTCACTCTCTGCAGCATGTCAAGCTGCATTTTACCTCCGGGCAACCACTGGCGAGTATGCAGAAGTTCACCATCTACGCCATGGAGAGCTTCCGTCTGCTCATGCAACCGCCGCAAGAAAAGGTCGTTCTTTTCTTCGACCTATCAAATTTCGGACTTCGCAACATGTGAGAACCGAAAATGACTCCTGGTCTTAAGTTCCAGGGCTATTATTGACAAAGTTTGCACCCTCTTGTGCTCGTAGGGACTGGAATTGCATCTTGTACATCGTCAAGTGCCTCGAAGCCTACTTCCCCGAGTCTCTTGGAATCTTGTACATCCACAATGCGCCATGGATCTTCACCGGCATTTGGAAGGTCCTCGGGCCGCTTCTCGACCCCGTCGTCCGTTCGAAGGTGGCGTTCACCAAGGGCCCGGAGGATGTTAAGAACCATGTGCCTCATGACCGCCTGCTCGCATGCCTGGGTGGCGATGTTACCAACACCTTTCAGTTCGTGGAACCCAAAGATGGAGAGAATGATAAGTTGAAGGATAAAGAGACCCAGCAAAAACTGTGGGATAACTACATGTCCCTCGCCCAGGAGTATGAGGCCATAACTAAAGAACTGATCACGTCGGAAGGTAAAGAGTAAGTGCGTTCTCTTTAGATCAAAAAGGCAGTAGCCGCTGATGTGCAATTTCGTCACCTCCCTACCAGTGAGAAGGTTGTCCAGAAGCGCATTTTGCTGAAGAAGAAACTCCGCGTTGCTCAATTCGATCAAGAACCTTGGATCCGCGGTCTCACCCAATACCATCGCGATGGCACGATCGACGGCCAAGGTAAAGTCACGTGGATTTACGAGCAGAAGAACGGCAAGGCGTACCGCCACGTGGTGGGACGTAAGTCTTGTGCCGCCACGCTTCGGCGCGAGATTGTTGAGATGGAGGAGGGCAAGAGCGCAGCGGAGGTTGAAGACAGGAGCGAGAAGGCTCTTCAGGCGAAGGATTGGGTGGCTTTGTACGGTGATGAAGAGACAGCAATCGAGCTCGAGGGAACCACGGGCTCTGGCGCTTCCGCTGCGGCTCAACATGCATCTTCTCTACAGGAGCAGCAGAAACAGCAGGGGCTGCAAAAAGCAGAGCAGGCAACCCGGGCTGCACCTGTTACCGAGGAGGAAAAACATGAGGCAGAGCAAGCCGACAATGAGAATAGGGGAGTCATCGCAAGCGTTACTGCTGCCGCAGGAATTGTTGCGGCCGCATCAGGGGGTACCGCTTCAGCATTCACAAGCCATTTCACTGGAGGCGACAGGGAGGAGCAGCACGAGCAGAACGAGCAGTCAACCGGTACCGCAGAGAACAAGGCCCTTGCTCAAACCCCGGGCGAGTTTCACGATGCTCTGAGGGGGACGACGCTCGCCATCTCTTCCGCGCTCGACGGCGACAAGGTGCCCTCTGGCCATTCCAATGGACACATACGGGGAAGCAAAGATGGCATAATCGACTATTCCACTCGTCGCCGTCGTCAATATACCGACGATGATGAGGTCCCTGCTTCCATCCAGAACAGGGATGCGCACCCGCAGGAACCTGCGCAGGCTGATTCACTGCAGTCAAATGGCGGGTTTGTGCGCAGTCTGGCCGGGGCCGCCAGCGCTTTCACTTCTGATCTTGCTGACACTCTTGGCTATGGAAACTCGAGCAACAACGGCAACGGCAGCGCCATCTCCAATGGTCACGTCAACGGCCATGGCCAAGGAAAGCCTGCGCCAGATCTGGCCACCCGCTCAGACGTCTACACTACGAACGGTACGGTTAAAGGCTTCGATGAGGATGCTGCAACAGCAGACAAGCGCAGCAGCCGGATCACCAATGGCTCCAGCAACAGCTACAACTCGAAAAGCATCCGTCGTAGGAGTGAACTGGCGCAAGCAATGGGCGACCACTACTATGGAGGCAGCAGGAGGCTCTCAGCTGGGCCAGCCAAGAACGTATCGAGCTACGGCAAGGAGCATACCGTCGTCGATGGCTACGGCTCGAACAACAATGAAGGCAGCGGATTCCTCGGCCGGAGGCTCAGCAAGGTCTTCAGCAAGTAAACTTGCGCGTACAATACATTCTCGTATCCGATCTCCATTTCGCAACCTTCAAGAGCAATATATAAATAATCTCACAGTTACACACATACACACTCCTTTTCTCTGGGTTTCGCGCGTACCTATCTATTCCTTGCTCACAGAACCTCACTCTGTGTACTGTTACTAAGAGAATTTGACCTCGAATGTGACGACCAACCCAAACAATGAATGTGTTCATCTGCTTGCCATATCTTGGCCATGATGCCGGCGGAGAGAATGTCGGCTTTCTTGCCTCCACTGGTGTGAAGGATCGAGCTTGCACGCAGACACAGACAGAAGTTCACCTGTACCATGCACAGTGTCCACAAAGGGACCAGCGGTCAGGATGCAGAGATACGGGCAAATCCTGTGACTTTTACGGTGTATGCGAGTAACGAGTGGAGCGAGTTTGGGGTAAATGCCCGTGGTTTGGTTTCTGCTCAGTGGGGTCTGAATACGATGGTCTGAGAGTAGTATGGCCTAGCGGATGAGAGATAACCAGCGTGAGCAGCAGCGAAGATCAGAGAAAACCGACTTCGTTGAGTGCTACAAAAGCATACATCACTGCAGACTGAATATTATTAGAGTCTCGTGCCGGCGACCGCGCCAAAGGCACAAGATGTGCAGTACAAAGCACTGAAAGCACAGCGGCACGCGAATGCCGCCCAGGACATGGTCCATCTTTTCTGGAACAATCGAATACTTGCCGTCCATGATGCTGTTCAATTGTTGCACGAGTAACGCGCTGATTTTTCCTGCGTTTGGTGTGGTACAGGCTGCCGGCTATTTCAAGACCGCCGCAGGCGCCATCACAGGTGACTGTGCGAAGAGCGCGCAAGGCCTAGCAGGGCAATACACTACAGATGTAGAGCGCTTCTCTCATCAGCGATTGCATGCCTCTTTTAAACCGTGTTGCTTTACATACATACCGTAGATCATGCTCTAGATACCAACTGCTATAATACTTCTTAGGACCGCATCTCATCAAGTGAAGCACTTAGCCCATTCATCTTCCGTGTTGACCCACGAAAGCGCTTCCAGGACCCACTCCAGCGGACACAGCCCTTGTTGCAGGTAGTCCATGTCGTCCGTGTTGGGATGGCGGCGAGACGTGGGGCACCATGGCGCGCCCTCTGGGTTCTGAACAGCAGCATTCGCACGCACGCGGACGTAAGCTTGCTGGTTGCGGGTGCCTGCCGCGTCAACCACCGCCAATGCCGTCTGGGAGCGCTGCCGGCGGCGGCTACCGAGCGTACGCCTCGTCGGAGGCGCAGCGCAGATGAGCTTCTCGAAGACGATCTTGCCCTGCAGTGGTGCGATGCGCGCGAAATCCCACGCGTGTGTGTTGCGCTCGGCGTGCGCTCCCGTCGTCAAGGCTGGCCCGTCGAAGAGGCCGAAGGCGGCGGCGATGGGCCCAATATTGTTATCGTGCGAACCGTCAAAGTAGATTAGATGCCCTTTTGACGAAGGGAGCGGAAATGTGGAGACTTGGCCGCCGAGGGTCGAGTTCAGCGAAGTAGGATCAGAGAGCGGTGGTGCCGTACCGTCCAGGCGCGCGTACAGTTCCCTCAAGAAGCCTTGTCCGAGCGCCTTATAGTAAGGGTTGCCATAGCCCGCACCGGCATACTTGCCAACGCTGTTAGCATAACCGTAGATTTTCCACTCGGTAGCGTTGAAAGCACCGCAGACAGGGCTGACGGTTAGCTGCAGCTTGCCGTTTGTGATATTGGCGTTGCTGAGCGTCTTGAACGAGCACAAGCCCATGATGTGCATGATGTCCGCATACGTGAGATCCACCTTAGCCGGCGCCAGGCGGCTTGCAAGGCGCCTTCCGATCACAGGTGAGATCGTGGATTCGCCATATGCCTCTTGCGCGGCATCCTCTAGGTCTGGGGACAAATGCCCAGCATTGGTACAGGTTTTGACATCGAGTGTATTGTTCTGCCCCGACCGCTCGGAGAAGACAATATCAGGCTTTTGCAAGCCTGGAGCTTGGCGAATCTGTTGCGACCTAGTGAAAGAGCCCGATGGAAAGTTGGCACCAGAGAAACCAAGACGCCAGTACTTGGCCGTCACGATCACTCTGTCATTACCCAGAGACTCGTCTCCCGATGCTCGAATAAAAGGTAAGAGGTGGCTCTGCTTTCGATAAACTTCACGAGTCGAGCGTCCAGAATAGTACGCTCTGGGTCGAGTGTGTGCAGCGTAAGAGTCAGCTCGAAATGCGGGAGGATGCAAAATGCAAGAGCAGACGCACTGCAATGCACCATAGGGAACCAGTGAATCGGTCGTGCTCGAGACGGTCAAGTTGCGGAAGAAGCCGAGAGCAGGGTCTGCCAGCTCAGAATCCTTGAACCCTTGAAGGGCAGTGTGGAGCTTGCTAATGGAGGCAACAGTGCGCTTGTATGCTCTGTCAGAAGGCTACGGAAGCCATTAGCAATGCGCGCCGGATATGCGGGAAACGTTTGAAGAGTATAATAATCACCCTGAGGTGAAATGTCTCACGCCGTGCCTTTCGAGCGAGTTGACAAAGACGACGTGACAGCCCAATGGCGGCGCAACTGCTGGCTCGATCTGGCTGTCGACAGCAAATCGAGGACCATACTGTCCGAGATGGTAAAAGACGTGCGCCGGAAGACCCCAGTTCAGCTCATCGTCGCCGTCGATGTCGAGCGCGGCAGAGCTGGCGACGGTGGCCAGGAAGGCGGTCAGCAGCAGTGGTGCAGCGAGCAGCTGCATTTTGGTCATCCACAAGCGAGAGGCACGGCTTCCAGACGGCCGTGTAATAGCCACGGATCGACAATTGTCTTCCAACTGCGTTTCAGGATCTGTCCATTGCCGAATATACCTTTACATGTTGGGTTCAGCGCTGGAAGGATGCTTCGCGGGCATACTGTCTGCGCCAAATGTGCTGGCATCGGAGACGTCGTAGACGTATCTCTCTCCATAAGCTGTCAACCTACAACGTGCACATTGTCAGTGGTTTATGGGAGAAGCTTTTTGAAAAACTTGCTAACAGCAGGGCGATGACGCCGAGCAGCCGAACATGAGATGCACGTGCGGGTCGCGTTTGTTCGAATGGGGGCTTTGGAGCACACAAATTAACACATAGAACACCTCCTTGCTCATCGTCGAACGATAGAACGGCATTGCAGACAGCATCAGCCTTCTCCCTGCAAGCCAGCCCTTGTTTTGGCTGGGAAGGTGACTACAACCGCCAGCGAGAGAGTTGAGTAGAAATGCTGAATGCAAGCAAGTCTCGAAGGAGCTGAACCGTGAACAGAGTTGTGTGAACATCTGAACAATATTTCCCTCCGCTTATGCCCCCTTTATAAACACTTGAACAAACACTACAGGCGCTCCAAAGCGCAGCCCCGTGTCCATATGCTCCACTGTTACTTTGAGAAAACGCTCTTGAATGCTGCCTTGGCCTTGGCACTGCGAGAAGAAAAGACGGAGACATTGGACGTACTAGGCGCGTAGGTGCTCGGCGCGTACATGCTGCCCGCGTAGCCTCCCGCGATGCTCCTGTTGCTCGATTGCAGCACCTCCTGGGTGTCACGCCCCGTCTTGCTGCGAGAGATGCCATTGGAGGAACGGCTGATGTTGAGCGACTTGGAACTGCGCTCGGCCGTTTGGCCCGCTCCGCGCGTGAACTCGCTTGTGTCCGTGATCTTGCCCTGCGGCCCGTCGGACACGTCGAATGTCCGCCGAACCTTGGTTTTGCTCGAAGTTACGGCAATGCTAAGCACGCCGCGGCGCTCGACACGTGCCTTGGCCACCAGCAGCCGCGCGCTGTGCTGCTGGTAATGCTGCTTGCCGACACGCTGCGCTGCGCTCTGCGTCCCGTCCAACGCCCGATCCCGCAGCACGCTGCTGCGATGCCCCGGGTCGATAGTGTCGACGTATTTGATATGTGGCTGACGCGCGCCAGCCAGGTGCATTGACGGCAGTTTGAGCGGGAGAAAGTTGGCCACGCGCAGGGTGACGGTGACGACGTAGCTCATCTCGACGACGAGCGTGCCTTGGCAGGAGTGGCACGTGAGGTCGAGCCTCGTCGCGCGCAGACATGCCGGACAGCGGACTTTCATCCGCGTCGCAGTGAGTTCAACATTCGACTTGAGCTTCTTTCGCGCCAAGATGCCTTTTGCATCGATCGGAACACTCCAGGGATCCATGGCACCTGGCGGCTCTGGAGCGATCTCGTCTGCAACGCATGGACCACACGCAAGCAGCCAAAGTTAGTACAGAATGACAGAATGCGATACTTCAGTTTAACTCGCACGCACCTCCTTCAGCCTCGACGGACCTGCGAATGTTCCATCTCCCGTCGCGCGACTCAGTGTAAACACTGACCGTGACGCTAGCCATTTCCTGCTTGCTGCATGCCTCAATGGTCAGGTCCTTCTCTCTAGCCTCGTATTTTTCCTCCATCTTGCGCATATGCTTCTCGCTCATCAGCACATCCTGCCCGAACGCGCCCATGCCGCCGGACAAGGCGCCCTCCTCGTCATCATCATTGACAGTCGTCTCTAGCGGCTCCCGCGCTGACGTCAGCGAGCGTGTGCCCAGCTGCGGATACATGACCACGAGCCGGCGCCGGATGCCGAAGAGGCTGAGCTGCTGCTGCGCCTCGCGCACCTCCTCATACTCGATATCGTCTTCGCGCAGCGTGCCCCACGGCTCGTTCGGCTCGTAGCCGGCGATGGAGTCAGCGCCCCACCGGCTGGACGGCGCATTGGACAGCCGGTCCGGCGACGCCGGCCGGAACTCTTCGCTGGGCCCCGCGCGCGATGCAGACTGGGACAGCGCGTGCAGGGGTGGCGCCGCGCCGCTGCCCGGACGCGACGCGTTGCGCGGCACAGTCGAGGCACTGTTCGACCGCGCGTAGTCGGGCCGCTGCGGATAGTCAGGAGCGCTGGCGGGCGAGACGGGCGCGCGCATACCCTGTCCGCTGATGCTGGCCAAGAGCGGCGCAGGCTGCCCACGTGCTTGCGTCTGCGTTTGCAGCTGCGGCTGCGGAATGATGCGCGAGAGGTGCAACGTGGACCCATTCGAGTCGCGGTGGTCGTTCTGCTGCGAGGCGGGAATGCCCAGCTGCAAGCGCAAGCTGGATGTCGCTGATTCCTCCGAGGCGTTGTCGTGCAGGTACGTCGGCCAATCCGGGTCGGCACCCGGTCTCCCCCCTCCCCCTCCGAGCCTCCGCGGGGCGCCTTCAATGTCCGACCCTGATCCATAGTCCGGCTCGCCGCCGCGCCCTGCACCTCCACCGGCGCGTAGGCTGCTACGCCCGCCGCGGAAGGGTGCATCGTGCAGATTCTCGACGCTTTTGTTCAGCAGCGGCTCGGTCTCAGGCCGGCTGTCAACCGGCTCGGCGCTGGCGGCTCGTTGCAGGGCTTGCTGGTGGTGGTTTTGTTGCTGTGCGGGGCGCATGCTCCCGCGCACTGCGAGCTCCTGCTGGTAGCGCTGTTGCGCAATGACGCTGTCGTACGACGGAAGCGGCGGAAGCGTATCGTTCGGGACCGCGGCGAGAGTATCGTCCCAGTGATCGATAGCACGTGGGGCAGCGGCGGAGCTGCTCGCGAACGCCAATGGCAGAGCAACAGGCGCCGCCGACGCCGCGTTGGCAGAGACGAAGGGCGGTTGCGCCGGCACCTGGGTCTGGAGCTGAAACTTGCCATGATCGTAGTCCATGTTGTTCGCGACGCTGTTGCTGGCATCTGCATACGAGTCGCTGTCCTGGTTTGCAGCGCGGCGGGATGGCACCTGGCCTTGCCTGCTCCCGCCGGCGCTCTGTTCTCGTATGCGAGTCTCGACGAGCAGGGTGTGATGCAGCTCATCGCTGACCTCCTCGAAAGCTCTTCGCAAATCCTGCTCGTGCTCGCTCTCGCTTTGGCTCGCGCTCGGAGCAGCGGTCACGCGCGGTTCTTGGCGCGCGGGCGCCCGATCACCCTCGCATTCGCCCACCTCGCGCTGCTGCTGCTGCCACCGATGTTCGCGCGCCTGCTCCTCGGTCCTCGCTGCGCGTTCCCGTTCTTCCTCGCTCGCCTGCTCCTCGGTCCTCGCTGCGCGTTCCCGTTCTTCCTCGCTCGCCTGCGCAGCAGCCTCCCTGCTCTGTTCCGACGCTGCTGCCAGTGAGGCTAGCAGCTCCTCCTCCTCCTCCTCCTCATCCTTCTGCGATTGCTGCGGCGAATGCGAGGGGCGCTGGTGCTCTTGCTGGTGCTGGTGTGGAGAAAGGCCAGAGGGCGCGGACGCGGGCCCTCTCCGCATATGCTCACTCTGGGCCTGCAGCAGCACGCTGCGGCGCGCCGGGTTCTTCGGCGGGCGTTGTTGTTGCTGTTGTTGTTGCTGTTGTTGTTGCTGTTGTTGTTGTTGTTGCTGTTGCTGTTGTTGTTGCTGTTGTTGTTGCTGTTGTTGTTGCTGCTGGTAGTGCCGCGGCTGTGGGCGCGCGGTGGAGATGTTAGGCAGGACGCCGGCGTTGTGTAGGAACTCGGCGGGCATGGCCTGTCCGCCGTGCTCTTGGGCGCGGCGCGCGCGTGCGGCCATGCGACGCTCGCGCAGCGTGCCGGACATGGCCGACGTCGTTGACGCGCCATCGTCGCTCTCGTGCGCCTGCCCGTTCCCGTCCGCATTCCCGCTTGGAGTGCCAGTGCCAAAGGAGTGGCTGTGCCCGTTGGCATTTGGCGAGGCGCGCGAGGAGGGGGTGGAGGAGGAGCCGGGCTGCTGATCGTGCTGCTGCTGGACCTCGGGGGAGGTGCCATTGGAGGTGCCGGAGCCAAAAGCGGCCTTGCTCGCGCTCGGTCGGAGCTGCTGTGCGGCATAAGATGATACTGCATTGCTGCTTGATGGGTCGCTCTGATACTGCAGACTGGCGTAGGCCGGCAAGGCCTGCGTGGAAGCAGACGAGCCCACCACAGCCGCGGCGACTCTGCTCGAGCCATTGCCGTCGCTGATGCTGCGCACGCACATGCCCTCGGCACCGAGGCCAGTGGCACTGTCGCTCTGGGTGTCTGCGCTTGCGTCCACGTTCATGTCGACGTTCTCGAGGCGCGCCATCAGCCGTGCATAATCGTTGAGCTCCTCCTCCTCCTCCTTTTCCTTCGCCTCTTCCAGCTCGGAGGCGCCGACGTCCGCCGGGAACGCGAGGGGTGCGTTTGAAGTGCCGCCAGCCGGCGAAGGGCTGCTGTACGGCGACGTATGCTGCTGCTGCTGCTGCCGCCGCCTTGCAGAGGGCGACCCTGACGACAAGGGGCTGGGCACGCGATCCATCTTGTAGGACGCGCCGACGCCGAAAGGCGATGTCGGCGCCGAGTCGTAGTCGGCGTGGGATGACGAGGATGTAACTACCGCCGGCATGAGGCTCAGCGTTCCCATCACCGCCGCATGAAGCTGTATATATATATACAAGCGCCCTCGCCTTGTGCCCTTGTGCTTCTGCTTGTCTGTGCGGCGTGGCAGATGCCCGCTGCCAGGTGTGCGCGTGTGTGACGGCCGAAGAACCCAAATGCAATGGAGACGAGGGGAGTTGGACCAGCGAAGGCGCGGCAGCCAGCGTCCGTGCTCAACGTTGTTACACAAGAGGACTGAGAAGCAGGTGTGTTAGAAGGGAGCAGGTGGTGAAGCGGATGAGGTCCAAGTGTGGAGTGTGTGATGTGAGCCAACGCCACTTGGCAAACGGCAGAGGGGGAAGAAAGGCGGACCGAGTTGGGTTCCGCTGTGGCTCGCTCGCCCATCTTTTTGCTCTCGATATAGCGCAGGGTTGGACTCTATCCGGGTGCGGGTGCCGCCGCCGCCCTTTTCGCTTTGCCGATCGCAGACTGATGAGCAGCGGCTGTTTGTCACTAGCGGCACCCGTGGAATGCCGATGCTGATGCTGAATGCTGGGGACTGGGGCTGGAAAAGGCACCCACTTTGCTCTCACGCAGCGGCGGATCGTGCTTTGGGGACAAGGACGAGGAGCGGCACAGGGCCACTGTATCTTTCGGGCCCATCCCTCCAAATTTCATTTGAGGCACTGCGGCAGTCATACAGTTGCCCAACACTCCATCGGGCTGCGCAAGCCCAGCCTCGACACTAAAGAAGGACCGACGGACAAAGACCCGTCGATCAGCGGCCGCCTGCGTCCGTCCTACCTGGTGCGGTCGGGTAGGTGGGTAACGAGTATATATCCTGCACAGGAGCGTGTGACGTTACATGATGAGATCATATTCTACCTCTAGCCACACCACGCCCTCCAGCAGCCATATCCAAAATAGTCACGAGAGGAGAGTGTGATGAGAGGAAACGGGCATCGACGACGCACAAGGCTGGCGTCAGACATCATCCATCGCGTGCATCTATCCGTCACCACGATTCGTGATGCTTACTGCCCAAGATAGATAGTAGATCGCTTCGTCTCTGAGAGCCGGTTCGGTGACCGCGTCCTGAGGCTGCTCCCGTGGGGCGCGGGCAATAAAGTGGGCCGTGAAGTATGGCTTTCGCAGCACCCGCCGCCCTCCCCGCACCTTGCAATTGATACGTACGTATGTGGCCAGCTAAACGCGGTAGAAGCTCCATGAGCATGACGGCAGTCCCACTGGCAGCACTTTTGCTATCTTGATTTTCGTGGTTGAAGACCAGGACCTCGACGCTGAGCTCCTTGTTGGATCGCGAGGACAGCAGCGAGGAGATCCACTGATCCAGGAGCTCGGTGACGGCCACCACACCCCCTTGTATTATAGATACAATGGCGCCGATGCGAGCATACCAACAAGTAGGTAGCTTGATCCTCGACAGCCCCGATGAGACTCCACGTCAATCCCTTGGCTGTGGGCGCAGGCAACGCTGCTGCTGTTGCTGCTGCTCGGGGTGAACCCGACGGAGCGCGTACCTGCAAAAGACTTTCGCTCTCGCACGAGATCAGCAGCAATGCGTTCTTCGACCAATTCTGGTGGTGGAGCTACGACGCTGAGCAGAGGCGCGCGAAAGGCCCAGAGTGAGCGCGCTCGCTCCGAGCAACGCACTTCATGCTGGCTGACTCGAGCGATATTCCTCGGTGAATGCTCCGTCAAATGGTGGCAGATCCTAGGCAAGGTCATGTAGAGTGATCTGGCGCCTACAGGACGGACCGCTCTGCGTAACATCTGACATCGCAAATTTCTCTGAATGAAAACAGCTATGTCGACCAGCGCACAGCCAAATCCCAAAAGCTCGTGTACACCGAGCCCGTGACGGGCCGCCTTGTCCTGCAGCCGGGCACCAGGCCAGTTGACTTCGCGACCAGTAACAAGGCCAGTCCATCGAACCGGATCCAACGCAAACAAAAGCTTGGCAACAGCATCGTCATTGCCAAGATCTTGCGCATGCCACAATGCTGCGGCAGGTGCCCCGTGTACTGGATCTTCGGAAAGGCCTCATGGCAGACGACGCGCGAGATTGACATCATGCGTCGCCGAGCGAACGGAACGCCACCTTCGCGCGCCCCCGACCGGCGTCCGGAGCGCTCTGCTCGCGCGCGCGCGCGAGAGAGAGAGGTGGCCTTGCTGAATGAACTGTTGCTCCATTTCAGCTCGAAGGCGTGGATGATCAAGGCACCAATATCGAAACGCTGCACACGCCGGCAGGCTGCGCAATGTTGCCTTTCAACTCGGCTGCAGCGCTCTCCGACACGGGCTCCTCAGCAACAATGAATGCGACGATCCGGCTCTTTTGGCCACATCGACTACCAGACGCAGCCGGACTGTGGCATCCACGTGGGGACGAATGCGTCGTTCGGACCGGTTTAAAACGGCGCGGCGGCGGCGGCTATGCCATTATGCGCCACATCGCGGCGCCCAACGACACAGGGATCTATATCAGAGTCTTCTTCTGTCCTGCGCATGCTGACACGAGCGCGAGCGCGGAGGTGCCCCCGCCGGCGTTTGTGCTGACCGAAGACGCCGTGCGGCAGTGGGGCATGCCGCATGCACGCTTCGTCAGCCACGAAGGCCTTTGCGACCTGGACGCCTTCCTTGGGGTCAAACGAGATTATCTTCGACTTGAAGTTCTGCAGAGACTGTGCGTGGCCACGTTCACTCGTGCTGCGTCTGCCTTGCTTCCTGGCGAGCATGTCGCGCAGCGTTCCCTGACTCGCCTTGCTCTTTCTTGCTCGGATCACGCTCTCTCGTTTGCAAGGGGCTGGAGAGATGTTGATCACTACACCTGGTTACCCGACGAACCTCACCTGCGAGGAGTATGTTCGAAGTGAGTCCGAGACGCCGACAAATACTGGCAGTGGCTCGGCGCCGACGGTGATCCTCCCAAACATCCCCTGCCAAATCGCGCTGCACATTGCACTGTGCCTCGCCTCCTCGACCGTCTAGAAAACACGCAAGCATTCCAAGACGCACGCTTTGAGTTTGACTATCTGCACATCTACGCGACTGCGCCCCGTTCGACTCAGTACCCTCTAACTGTGCCGCTTCTGCTTGGCTTGCCATGCATTTGACGGTGTTCCAGATCAGGCTACATAGTGGACTCTGTGGTCGTGTTGCATCTTGCATTCATAGACTTTCACACGTTACACCTTGCTCGCGATGCTACCTCTGGCACCGGCGTTTCACCTTGTAGATTACTTGTAGCCCTCATGAAGACTCCCGCTTCGCATAGAGATAATCTGAAATGGGAGAGGCCCCCTCTTGGCTCTTGGTTTACTCTTTCTGGTTCTAATCTGCCAGAGTAGTAACGGCTCGGTCGATCGGTGCGAAAGCCCCAGTGGGAGTCCCCGCAGTCACTGCGCGGGTCGTTTCTAGAGCAGCTGAGCGTGACCTGCTGGGAATCGGCGGCTCGTCCCTCTGCCGTGTTGTTCCGACTGCTGTAGTGCCTGCGTTTGGTGGTTTTTGCCGTGTGAGATGCTGAACTCACGTCGCACGTACAAGCTGGCGCAGTGCCATCATGCAAACTGCCAAGGCGGCACGCAAGAGTTTTGTAGAAAGTATGCTATGCACTGTTAAACCCCCGGCGATTTGGCACCAAGAGCGATGGTTTCCCGCCGCTGGGTGCAGCAAGGCATGATGCTGGAACACTGTCCCCCTGCCTCGTGTGGGTTATCGCGCTGAAGGGCAGACGGCTTCGCCGATCCCACAATTCCACTTCTTTCGGGCCTCAGAGGAAATGCGAACGCATGCAAACGTTTGTTGCGGCCCAAGGTCGCCATGTCTTGTCCAGCCACTCTCAAGACGTCATCAATGTGTACATGGTCCCTCGCCAGTCTGAGCACTTGACAGTAGTCATTTGAGTGCAGGCGACAGCGGTAAGTTGGCAGGGGCTAGCAAAGTTGCCAAGTGCCAATCTGAGCCTCACTCAGTACTGCGTTTCAGTCTGGGTCTCTGGTGGTTGGGTATTTGACTGTTCTGCATCATCACGGAGGTGGCCAACGTCTAGAAAGATGTCACAATACTGTTTGTAAAGCGTCAGCCGCTGTGGCAGCGTGGCTTGCAGCGATGCTGTGCTCGGCGCGGCCCTGTTAGTTGTCGCTTTGGGGCTGTGGCCAACCAAATTCCGTCAACTCACCCCGAAATAAAAGACGTTCGTGCTAGTGCGCGCCGCCGCTGCTGGCAGCGGCGGCCAATGTGCCACGCGTCGCACCGTTTCTCGGGGCACGGGGCACCGGTGTGGTGGGCGTGATTTTTTTATTATTTTCCACCCGTTTCCACATTGTGCCAGACTGGATCGCTTGCGGCCAGCCTGCAACTGTCGATCCATTAGCGAGGGCACGAAGATCCTCGCTGTCCCATTCATTCCCTCTGTGCCTAATGTGCACTTCACTTGAGCCGCAGAACGTGGCAGTTGCTTGTCTGTCTGCCTCGCTTTTTGTCTCCCCCCCCACACGCGCTGCGCTACAGTGAACCGCACTAACATGGACGACTCGCAAGCAAGCCGGCAAGCTAAAACCAACCCTTGTCTCCTCGATTCCGGCTTCTTCCCCGCTCACAGGTCGCTCCTTGATCACTGTGTCGCATCATCCTAAAGGTGCTCTTGACCTCGCCGATTTATGTACATCTTAACGACGACCTCCTTTTCCCCGTCCCGTGGATCCCATTCGCATCCTCGCTCGTAACTTTCCCCCTTTGCGCTGGATCCAAACGGGGTGGTGTCGCTCTTCTTTATCATCATCAGCATCATCGCATCGTTCCCGACCCCTCACACTCCTTGTAACAGACCAGCAGAATCCCTTCTTTTCCGCTCTTTCTCAGCCGTCCGGCCAAAAAGTCATATCAACACATGCCGCGATGAAGGTCCTCAGAAAGGCGGTTCTCGCGGGCGCCATCCTTGCACTCTCGCAGATCACTACGTCGCTTGCATCATCACCGCACAAGCAAGCACACGCGGCACTCGTCCAACGGCACCGTCTTTCCACGGAGGATGCGTTGCCCGCAGAGCTGGTGAATGGCAAGCGAGATGCCTCGACCGTGATGAGCGGGGGGACGAGCAGCGAAGGCGAGGACCATGGTCCCATCAATAAGCCTTCGGGGGCCAACTTTGTAGACTTGCCGGTCGGGACCAATGGTGACATGATTGGCACCTATTGGACCGCGAACCCGAAAAACAGCACCGCAACACATGCGTTTGTCATGATCCATGGCCGATTACGTGAGTGGTTCCACAACCGAAACTGTCGTCCCATGGTCAATGCTGATTCACAACCGTCCATGAGCACATAGGAGACGGCGACAAGTACTGGAAAGTTATGGATGACGCCCTGACGAATGCCGTCAAAGCCAAGTACCCAGGCGTGGACAAGGATGCAATCGTCGTCGCGCCCGAGTACTTCTCGACCAAGTTGAACGAGGGGCAATACAATGAGCACGAGCTCGGCTGGTCTGACGTGAACGCGTGGCAGGCCGGCGAGATTGCGACGCACCCCAAGGGCACAACAGCTTCAGCCTTTGACGTTCTCGACGCGTTTGTCGCCGAGTTTGCCGACCAGACAAAGTACCCTGCGATGAAGAACGTCACGCTTGTCGGTCACGGTGGCGGCGGCCAGCTGATGCAGCGCTACGCTGTCGTCGGGCAGAGCCCGCCGTCAAACGTGCACGTGCGATACATCTATGGCGACCCATCGTCGAGCGTCTACTTCACAAAGGACCGGCCGCAGGTCAAAGCATCCGTTGCTAACATAAGCTCCTGCCCGATGTACAACACATGGCGGTACGGCTTTGCGAACTTCACCACTGACGTCAACCCGACGTCCCCGAAGCTGCCGATCGACTACTTTGCACAGTACATTCAGCGCGATGTCGTCAGCATGATCGGTCTGCAGGACGTCAAGTCGTCCGGCGATGAGTACTGCATGGCGCAGCTGCAGGGCGGGCCGAAGCGCCGCGATCGCAACCTTGCGTACTGGAAGTACATCAACACGCTCGCCAAGACCAACTTTGACCTCACCGGCTTCAATGCGACTTTCAAGCACCTGCCGGACTGGTCGAATGTCTCGCGCAACGTCATTGCACACCGCCTCATCGTCATCGAGAACGCCGACCACGATGCGGCGCTCGTTTTTGGCTCCGCCGAGGGCCGCGCGGCACTCTTCTCCAGTGGCACGCTCCCTACCGGCTGGCGTCCAGTCGGCTGGAGCGCCGCAGGCAACGGCCAGCGCGTACCCAGCGCCAAGTCTGGCACCAGCAGCGCGAGCAACTTTGACAGCGGCTCTGGCTCCCACGCAAACAGCAGCAGGGCAGCGGGCACTCTCCGGATAAGCGACGCTGTCGCGCTTGGGGCCGCTGCCACTGCCTTGAGCATTGTACTGCTCCTATGAGCGGGCGTGCGACCCTCCCTGCAGCGCCTACGCGCAAACGGCCGCCGCCCGCGCTGATGCGATACCGCGTCACGGCCACCTTTTTCACGTTCGCTTTCTGGGGACCCGCGGCTCCCTACACGGACTATTGCATATGTTCTATTCCCTGCCTTTTGTCGCGCTGCACCCGCCCTTGCATGCGACGCTATGCTAGGTACTTGCTGACAAGTGCATCTAGCTTCTCATCGACGTCCTACGTGATCTAGACCATCGCCATCGTCGTATAGCCCATCACCGCCACCGCCATCATCATTGTCATTCATTGTTCATCGTCCATCATTCATCACTACTGCCACCATGTTATTGTCATTCTCAGCCGCCGACTGCAGGCGGTGTACACTCATACATTATCTCTCTCTTGCCAGCGAGCAAGCGAGGAGCAACCTTGGTGCGGCAAGGAGCCAAGCGTTGTTGATTACACTTGTGCTGCTATACACCTATCAGCATCGACCCGTCATGGTCGCATATTCCACCGTGCAGTAATTTACCGGAGCATTGCCGCAGCACGCTACTTGCGTACGTCCCCTAGATCTTTGCACCGTTCGAATCGTGAACAAAGTTGCCGTGCTTGCTGTGTGATGCTTAGGTTTCTCCATGATGGTCGCAGCGCGACGACTTTTTATTATAGAATGTTCTGCGAGTCGGCGGTCTGCCCCATCTCAAAACTGCACAGGGTCTGCCCAGTCTCCAAGACTCAACGTCGGGACTGAGCCCTGCTGCACTTGGCACCCAGGTCGTGAACCTACTCTGGTCTGCCTGGGTCTGCACTCTGGAGTCTACACAGGCTTTCACGCATCATACATACATGACGCGTAGCCGGCGCTTGGGCAATGGGCACAACTAGGCCCGGGCTTGTCTCGGGGCTGACGTACTGGACCTTGGGCGCTGGGAAGGCCTGGGGATGAGTGGGGTTGGGAACTGAGGTATGTAGGAGAACACGGTGTTTAGGGTTTTGTATTATAGAGGGCTATGTAGGTGCATGGCTCAATGGTTTGTATCTCACCGTATTTGGCCGCCTAACTGCAGGCACCTGCACACTACCTGCACTCTCTGCAAGCGCCAAGGGGCTATCCGTGCACAAACACAACACACACTTATAGCAAATTGTAGCGTGTACATATTCCATGTAGGTATGGATGTATGCAATGCCCATTTCACTTAATCATTTTGCTTGAAGACGTAGTTCCGGTCTGCGCTTAGCGCCCAGCAATCTATGTATGTACGAGTACGTCCATACTCAGTCGTCTGAGCGCCCGATATCGAGCTTGGGAGCTGTCGCGGAGAGAAACCGCCCGAGGGGTGTTCCGTCTTCGATAACTTGACGTAGCGAAAAGCGCGCAGAAGCAGGGGGGATGCAGATCACGCAGGCACATGAGCAGAGAGACGGAGGCCCATCAATGCAAGTGTACTGTAGATCTTTCTGTCCTTTCCTCTCAGATCTCGTCAGTTCTTCCGAAGAGATTGACCGCCTCGGCCCGAGTCACTTGTCCTTGCGAGTGAACGTCAACTCTTTTTCAGCGGTTGTCTCAGACTTTCTCCAGAGTTCCGCCATCGCCATGCGCCGGGGTGTCGGAGTCTGAAGGTTCCCCGATTTGTGGCTTGCTGCGCATCAACGCGCCAGCAGGCTATGTAGACCACTCACCAGGCTGCCGTGAGTCGTCTAGTGGTGCGTCGGCGCTTTTCGCAGTGGTCACGCACAGCTTATGTAATCAGGTCAGTATTTGAGCGCCTTCCATCTGCGTTCCGCCTGTTCCGTGTTTCTCAGTTGGTGTTTTCCACTCCTTCATTTCAGAGACGATTTCCAGTTGTGGGACTTGCCCCTCGCTTCGGATTTAGTGCTCTGCTCTATGCAGCCTGTTCTTCCCTGTGCGCTCCAACAGTCCCGCGAAACCATTTCAATTGCCATCTGTCCAGTGTTATAGGCTGATTAGGATTGGTAGCTTTCTGAATTATTGACCAGCGCAGTGATGCAACGGAGACCGGCGAGACTCTGCAAGACCCAGTGCAAGACTTCAAAAAGGCCCTGAGGTACTCGCGATACCCTACATGACGGGTTGTTAAGCGAGATGATCGACATCTCACCCTACCCTGCCTATGGCACAACCAATGGAACGCCCCCTCTACTTTTTGACAGATGCAGACTTGATAGACTGCAGTCAAGTACATACATATCCCGTCGACCCCCTTAGCTCCCGCAGAAGCGCAAGCATGAGTCTCACCGCTGACAGCGCTTCATCAAACTGGAAACAGCGGGACCGCAACGCCCAGCAACAAAAGCCACGTCAACGCGACGTTTCATGATGGACAAGCTCAAGTCGCATCTTGTCCCAAGCTCGCAACAGCCGTCCAATTTTAGTGGATTTTTACGTCCTCCTGCAGCTGACACGTGTGGACCACGGTCCAATGCATACAGGCTTTCAGCGGCTTGTGCATATGTGCTACTCTTCGCTTGTGGCATCAGGGGTTCAATGTGCATGCATACTCATTGACTCGTCATTCTGGCTCGCCCCCCCTGTTCACAGTGATCTCCTGGGAGACTCTGAGAGGCTCTGATGGCCCTCGAGGGGGTCTCTCGGGGTGTTCGCCGTACGGTCATCGTTGGAATCGCAAAGGAGGCAAAGCATGAGTGCCTCAAGTGAACGCCTGAAGCGAAAACTGACCGCATCAATAGTACATGCCAAAGATATAAAAAGAGGGAGAGAGTTACATCCACTGTTCTTCCCTCTCGTCCTCCAGACATCACCGTGCTCAATCTGCTCGACCTGCTCAACATCTCTTTCATTATTCCCTTCTCACTTCCTGCCGTCACCTCTCTCACACCCTCACAATGAAGTTCTTCGCCGCTTCTGTCCTCGCCCTTGCTGGCTTTGCCGCCGCGGTGCCCAAGACTTCCCAGCCAAAATGCAAGACAACCAAGTCAGTTGCTAGTGAGTGCCGTACAGGAACGCCCTGCTTGCCGTCCGGGAGCATTTGCTGACGGTGATTTGCCCTTACAGCCTTCGATGACCAGAGCTACACGCTCGCCCTGCCCATTGTCAACCCGGTAGGCACCTACAAGGGCCTGCACTACGAAGGCTTCAGCGGCGCAGACACGGAGCTCTTCGGCCTCAGCATCCAGCCCGTCAAGCCGCCTTCGCCGCCGAACGTCATTGCATTTGGTCTTCTGAACCAGCTGACGCAGGGCACCCCGACGGTGACAGTCGTTTACCCCGGGTCGAAGTCCAAGTACCTGAACCTGCACTCGCTGTACTTCGCCTGCTTCGTCGACACGATCGAGTCGATCATCAACCTCCCACAGCCGGCGTGCACGCTTAAGGTCCACGGCTTCCGCGATGGCCAGGAGGTCGTGACAAAGAGCTTCGACTTCAAGGCTGGCAGCCCCCTCCTCGCCGCCAAGCCCGTGAAGGCGAACTTCGAGAAAGGCACCTGGTGCAACCTCGACACGGTCACCTTTGAGGCCGAATCGACTATCCCCATCCTCAACGCCGTTGCCATCGACAACATCGACTACACTCTTCTCGACAAGAACTGCCACCCCAAGCTCTGAGCTGCTCTTGCGCTCCAGAAGGCTTTTCCTTGTATCCGCTTTCTTGGCTCTGCTGGGCGCCTGATCCCCGCTGCATGCTCCCTTGCGTGACGGTGCCTTTAGCCCTGTGATTCCTGCCTTTTTCTTCTTTGTACATGGCGAGCCGCTCGTTCCGGCACGCCCTTTTGGGGATAGCTTCTGATTTTCTCTCTAAAAACCACATCGCCACTGTCGTCGACATGACATTGCATTGGCAACCGCCCATTCCTCACTTTGCACCCTCGCACTGCATGTATCCTTCCATATCGGAAACAATAACCGCTTCATTTTGGAAGCGTGTGTGAGAAACTCGAGTTTGCCCATTACGGTTCTTGCTCTTGGGTTTGTGAGCCCCTCCTTGTGTCTAGAGACAAATATGGGTGGGAATCTTCGGACGCTTCGTTATCGGCGAAAAGAGTCCAGCTGTAAGGTTACAGCAGGTTCCCTCACCCTCCTAGGCTTCATTGCCCGCCTCCCATCCTGTTGTGCGCCTCTGCTACACATGTCGGCGCGCACCCATCTTCACCAAGTAGCCGCGATAAGCGAGGGCCAGCCTTGTTCTCTGTCAGGTGTCGCCCTGCATAGTGGTCTACTGACGATCTCACCAGGCGCGCCAGCAACAATGCTTTGTTCCCATTATATAGAAGGATACAAAGGTAGAACTTGGATGAACCCACGGATAGCATGGATGGGTGAATGAGGACCTTCGCGGCCGAATTGAAGTCCTTTCATTGCTGGCCTGATAATATGTGCGGCCTCCGCCTCTCGAAGCGAGGAGTGAGAATGCGTTCTCACGCGGCATCGCGAGTAGCTCAGGCAGTGCTCCTTTGACTTCCAAAGAGGCCGCGCAAAGCAGAGACTAGGAGCATGCCGTTACCGAAAATAGAGCCGTGAGGGTAGCACGATGGCCCAACAGCAGTGCCGCGATTTGGGTCAACGCGCAGCCAAATTGAATTTCATCCTTAATGGGCGCATGAGCCCCCTCCCCTCCAGCTCGCAGCTCCTCTGTGCGTAATGCACATTGCATGCACTGTGATGCATCCAATAACGTGTACAATACCTCAAGCCCCAAGCCTCAAGCATCGAGCGTCAGAGCGCTTGAGCGCTGACGGATGCTAGCAATGTCCTCCTGCCTGACCTTCAGATAGCATAGACCGAGTTATTGACTCGTCTGGCTCCTCTGATTTGAAATGCATACTCTGGCATATTTTGACTAAGATGTGTACCCTCTAGGTTAACCGGTGGCTATCAAGGTCGCGATGCACACCATCTTTCGCTCAAGCTGTTATTTAAAGGCAGACTGGAAGATCGTATGTGAGGTAAAGACGGCCATGCTCAGAAACATTGAAGGCCTTCATCGTTTGTCGCAAAAGCTTGAGGCAACTTTGATTCATCTCCTCGTCATGGACAAGGCTCCTTCTCTTACCAGCTCGCCGGCAAGCTGCGGGCCGACCACGGTGGCAGCTGACGCTTATGCCGAGTACGACCTCGTGATCATCGGCTCGGGGCCGAGTGCCCTCGCTCTGCTCTCTCGCATTCTCGAAGAGCGCCCAGCCGCATTGTACACCGAGGACGAGCGCGTTCATTTGCACTGGCTGCAACGCCGCACCAACGGTCAGTCTCGCGGCCGTACGACGCTAAAGACGTATAAGAGCTCTCAAGGCGTGCACATCAAAGCGAAGGACCGTGGCGACATTTGCACGAGGTTGCTGCGCCGTTGTGCCTGCCCTCGGGTTCTCGTCATAGACAAGCTCGGAGAAGGCTGGCTTGGAGCATGGAACCGATCGTTCAAGGCGTTCGAGATCACCCACCTGCGGTCGCCAATGTTCTTCCATCCGTCACCGTCGGGACTCGACGACTTGCTCGCATACGCCGTGCGAAGCAATCGCAATCGACTCGGAAATCCTAGCGTCCTGTACACGCGCAACAAAGGCCATTCGGATGCATCATTACCTGACCTCATCGAAATTTGCGGCGTTGTCGGCAAGGAGATATCAAACCACCGAAAGAAGAAGAAGCGATCAGGGCGCAAGTGCCAGCTCGACCTCGGCGTCAATGTGAACGAGCGTGCGCGGGAAGACTTTTACACACCGTCTACGGACCTCTTCGCCAAATTCATCCGCGAGGACATTGTCGATCGCTACGGCCTACCAGGCCTGCTTGCACCGTGGAAAGGCCTCGCGGAACAACTGCTGGAACAACCAACTCACTCACAATGTTCTGGCTCTGAACTCACCGTCGTAAAGGGAGAGGTGCAAGACCTTGAGTGGCAGGATGATGGCACGTGCTTCTGTGGTGCGCAAGACAGCGGGTTTGTGCTCAAGCTTGCCTCTGGCGAGACTGTCGTGTCAAAGGCAGTGGTTGCTGCCGTCGGTCCAGGTGGCATGCCGGCAGTCCCTTCTCTGTTTCTCCGTGAACAGAAAGCTGATCAACACAAGCCAGCGTCAGCGAGCGGCTTGGGATGGTGCCATTCTTCCGCTCTCGCCAGTAAGGAATTTGCCTTCCCCCCTCCTCACGTGCTGACTGCACGCCTGGCCGGGCACAAGACCACCGCCGTCGTCATTGGGGGAGGACTCACGTCCGCGCAGATCATCGACTTGTGCTTGAAGCATCATCATTTCGACTCAGTCATTCTGCTCCTCCGTGGCCATCTCAAGTGTGAGTCCATCCCATGCACGTTATTCTCGAACTCAGCCTGACACTTTGCGTGGGCTCCAATGCTATAGGCAAGCCATTCGATGTTGGCGGTAAGGTCTTCCTCCTTACATCTCGTACAGCCGAGGCCATTACTGACAACCTTTCTGGACGCTAATGCAGATGAATGGATGGGAAAATACTCCAACCTGCAAAAAATGCGTTTCTGGCAAGAGGATGATCCTCAAAAGCGGTTGCTCGCTCTTCGAGCTGCCCGGGAAGGTGGCAGCATCACACCAATCTACGCACGCATTTTGAAGGGATGGGAGGAAGCTGGCAAACTTGAAATACTACCTTTCTCCGAGGTGACGGGCTGGAAATGGATACCCGAACAAGGCGTCAACAGCATCACATTGATGACAAAGGAGCTCAAGACAGTCGCTGTTTCGCTCTGTGGGACGCCGTCGCGGGAAACCATCACAAAGAATCGCGACCTCACAGCCGACTACATCGTTGCAGCTACGGGAGCAGAGCTTGCCTTTTCCAAGCTACCTTTCATGCATAAGCTCACAGAGCAGCATCCTGTGCCCATGTACGGCGGTCTTCCCATGCTGACGGAGGATCTGCAATGGACCAAAGATGTGCCGTTCTTTATGATCGGCGCTGCATCAGCTCTGCAAGTAGGACCCGGCGCTTTCAATCTTGGCGGCATTCGAGAGGCGGCCGACCGTGTTGCCACGCGGCTGGCCGAGCTGTCACTTGCAGAAGAGGGCAGCAAGCACTCGACCACCGCTCACACAGATGTGGATGACTATCCTCTTTCCTTCACCCACTTTGGCTTTGAGACCCTCTCGATGGAGGCCTGAAGCAGAAACAAAAGGAGATGCATGTTCTATGCTACATGAATGCATACTCTATCGCTGCGTGTTCTTGCAGGTGATCCATCCATTTTTTGAGATATGCTTCTCTAGAGCCTCCGACCGTGTCAGAATCGCCAACGATAGAAAGATGCCTCTTGGCCCTCGTCATGGCGACGTTGAGACGGCGCTTCTCGCGCAGGAAGCCGACTTGCTTTTCGTTATTACTGCGCACCAGCGTGAGGATGATCGCGTCCTTCTCGCGCCCTTGCATGCTGTCAACCGTCCCTATCTCGAGCTCCGGGTAGATGGGCCGCAGTAACGCGGACAGCGCGGCGACTTGCGCCGAGTACGGTGCGATGACGGCGATATGCGAGGGTGGAAGACCACGTTCGGCAAGCGTGGCCACATGCTTGGCGACCAGGTGAACTTCGTGTTCGTTCCACTTGCTCTCGGTTGCGATCACGTTGCGCAACGCGTTCTCCCCGCTGTCATCCCCTGCCTTTTCATGCATCTCTGCGCCAGCGGTGTCTAGAAACATGACCGGCGCCGCCCATGGTTGTTGGTCAGGCTCTTGCCACTCGCCTGGTGCGTTGATACTCGCATTCTCGCTGGTATTGCCAACGCTAGCGGGTGTCTGGGCGTCAAACCCTTCGAGATCCGCCAAGCGTATTTTGGCGCAACTAGCATGGGCAGACAGCTTGCCGTCATACATGGCCATGTTGGGAAAGGCCATGATCTCCTCGTTCATTCTGTACTGCAAGGACAGCAGGGACTTGCATTGCGGGCCGTAGATTGTCAGCAGGCGATCGAAAAGTGTGGTTTCCAAAGAACGCGGTGGTTTGAGCTTTGCGTGCTTCTTTGTGCTCTTCGCAACCGTCGGCGATGAATCCAGATTTGAGACCGGGTTGGTCCGTTCTTCCGAGCTTGCCTCAGCTCCAGACTCAAGGTCGACTTCTGCTTCCGGATGCTCTTCTTCTTCGTCGTCAGTTGGGGATGCAGATTCTGGCGACAACTCGTCTTTCGTCGTCTCAGCGCGCACGTTACTCGCATCGCTTTCACCATCTTGCCCAGGTCGGCCGCTCGCTTCAGGTCGCTCCCGCCAGTGTTCTCTTGCTTTTGCCAAGGCAGCAGCGATATCCGCGCTGCTCGACTTGATGGTTGGTCCCAGCTGCTTGTGATCGCCAGCGAGGATCAACTTGGCGCCGCCAAAATCGTCTTCGCGCGCTTTGAGCACGGCAATCCAGCAGCTCGCCTCGAGCGCCTGGCACGCCTCGTCGATGATGACATAATCAAAGTGCATCTTGGCCAGTGCGCGGTCGCCCGCTCCATGCAGCGTGGAGAGAACGATGCGCGTCTCGGAGAGTACGTCGGTGGTCAGCTTGCTTTGGCGGTTGCGCAGCTCGCGCCGCAGCGCGCGCACATGTTCCCATTTAGCCTTGCGCGCCGAGCCTTTCAGGCCGCGCTTCTGCTGTGCAGAAGCGCGGGATGACAGCGTCGCAGTGGTCGGGAAGAGCTCCTCCATGGCGCGCTTGAGCTCGTCTTGGACATCCTTGAGCAGCGCTCCCTGGTCACTTGACTCGCGCTGGGCGTCGAGTGTGCTCTGCGCAACCGACGGTAGCACGCGTGCAGGGTGGCCGACTCGCGTCACTTTGACGCCTTCTTGCTGGAGACGCGGGCTCCATGGTGCAGAGGAAGCAAGCAGACGCTCGGCGATCGTGTCGACTGCCAAATTAGACGCTCCACAAACCAGCACTCGAGCTGGTCGATTGGGAGCGGGGTCGCTTTCTTCACCCGCATGCCGGAATTCAGCAGAAGGGATGTGCGATGACGGACGTCGATCTGGCAAGCGAACACCGAGGGCAATCTGCAAGAGAAGCTCCACGACAGTTGTTGTCTTACCTGTCCCTGGTGGTCCATGGATGATATGAAATGGTAGCACCAGATCCGCCTCTGTTTCAGTTTGCCTACTACTGTGCGAGTTAGGTGGGGGAGGAATAGGTAGACAACGTTGGATCGCTTCGATTTGCGACGAATTGAGCTTCTGAAAAGGTGGTTCGATCGGCAGAGGCTGTTGAAGTTTTCTCCCTCGCTTAACACATCTTTCTCGTGAATCAAACGGTGCCATGGCGAGGAGAGCGCGCATGAGCTGTGTTGGCCCCCGTGGCACGCGCCCAATATGGGTCTTCTCTTCTGCCTCTGCGGCAACAGCTTGACACACAGACGGATCGTCTTCACCATCTGTTTGAACAGGATTTGCCGCTGACATGCCATCCTCATCCTCTTCTGCACTATCTTCTCCGTTGGCAACCTTTTTCGGCGCTCTTCCACAATCCTTGATGCGATCTTGTTCCGAAGGTAAGTTTCCAACAACTTCAGCTGCTGACTCGGACCTTTGCTGTAGATCTCCATCGGCCGCTTCCGCCTGCAACGACAGCTGCTCATCTGCCGTATCATCGCCCTGAGCACGACTTTCACTGTGCACATGGACTACTGGATTCATCTTTGGCTGTGGCACGGGAGCGTGCTGCACCTCACTTTTGACGCCGCAGATATCTGCCAAGCTGATCATAGCAGCTTTCATCCGGTCGTAGGTTGCGTCATTCGCAAGCTTGACAAGGCGCAGCGGTCCAGAAGGTATGGCGGTGTGGGCATTTAGATTGTTGGAACCATTGGGCGCGGCGGATCCCTGTTTGAGTTTGGCCGGCTTGGAGTTTTGTGAGATGGAGGCGTCTGTTTGCCCATCTTGAGCCCGTCTGTCAGAGTACGACGATGGAGGGACCTTGAGTGCTACGACAATCTTGTTCTCGTGCACACGGTAGATGACAGCGGAAAGGGGCTTGCTCGGTTTGATACGGTTGCTACTGGCCTGCACTCCATTATTTCCAGCAGCATCACCGTCACTGTCGTCCTTGCCTTTTCCCTTGCCTTTGGACTTGCCTCTGCCTGCCTTTCCTTTGAGCTTTGTTTCCGCCTTGGTGGAGCTTGCGCTCCCAGCTGCTTGCGAAGATGAGCTGGCAGATTTTAAAGCGTGCACTTGGACAGACTGCTTTTGACTTTCGTCTTGCAGCTCGGCTATATCCCCCGGCCGGAAAGTGTGTGGCGGGAAGGCGGATGTATCGGTGTGGTGTGCTGGGGACATGACCAGCTCCACCCTAAACGTCGTGCGCGAAACAAGCGGGGGAGCTGATCAGCTTGGTCACACTGTGACTTTTAAGCCACAAGATATAACGCACAGTGTCGCACCCCAGCTTTCCTGTACATCTCGAACATTCAGATGCAGCAGTGCAAGGCCATTTTGCGCGAGCACCTTAGGCGGAAATGCGGAAAGCAGCAGTTGTTGCGAAGTGTGCTCCGCATCGCACTCTGCTTGCAGCAAGACAAGTTGACGGTCCACGAACGACCGGATGCTGTAACGCCCCGGTGCAGAGGGCAAGGAAGATTCTCCACGGCTGAAAACATGCTGGTTTGCTTTCGTCGGTGCGCGACCGAGAGCCGCATCGCCTGCGCTCTGAGAGGACATGATTGTCAAACGTTCGCTTGGCGGCCACGCATGCGATTCAGCTCCCATTCTCCTGGTGTTCAGCCGTGTGGCTTCCGTGACCTTTCCACGCCAAGCGCCGAGCGTTAAGCTTGAAGTTCTTCATGCTTTTGTCGACTTGCTAGGCCGACCGGAATTGTTGGAATTGGAAAGCATAACCGGCTGCTGCACGCGATGACGATCAGGCTGAGTGCATGATGCAGGGGAAGGAGGGCCCGAGGGTTAAATCTTTCGGCCGAGAGAGCTGGAAGTACGTTGAGTCAATCTGGTGTGCTGGCATAGCATGGCTCGTGCGGCCACCCCCAACCGACAGTCGAGTCTCGGGTATCATCCACCACATGCAGTAACGAGGGCGAGCTTTTGGCATTCCATTTACCTTCTTGTGACGCTCACTTCTCCGTTCTGCCTGCAGTCCGTTCCCCCCTTCATTCCACGAGCACTTGATTCGCAGCCACTGTCGAAAGCAAGTCGCTTCAGTCACGCGCAAGGAACCCGAGGACGATACCCTCCTCAAACATGTCCGTCGAAAGCGTCAAAACCCAGCCCTTTGAGGGCCAGAAGCCAGGGACATCGGGTCTTCGAAAGAGGTAAGTTGTACACAGTCAGCGCGCCTGCCTGGCTTCTTTCTTGCCTGGGCAAGAGCTTCGTGTCTCCCAGCGCTCTTCGCGCTCGAATCCCAAATTTGCCGATTGCCAGCTCAAGGGAAGCCGAACTGCAGCGAAGCAGTGTGCGCTCCGGCTACCACAAGCGTGGCAACGCCGGGATACTTCGAATTTCGTGACACTTGATAGAGTGCACCATAATGCGATCACTAATCCCACTTTCGCCGGCTACTCAATGCGCAGGGTCAAGGTGTTCTCACAACCCAACTATACCGAGAACTTTGTGCAAGCCATTCTTTCCGCCATCCCAGGCGGACCAACCGGCACAACGCTCGCTGTAGGCGGAGATGGTCGCTACTTTTCCATTCCTGCCATCCAAACCATTATTCGCCTCGCAGCGGGTAATGGTGTGTCGAAGCTGATCATCGGACAGGATGGCATCCTCTCTACTCCGGCTGCCAGCCATGTCATTCGCAAGTATAAGGCAACCGGCGGCATCTTGCTCACTGCCAGTCACAACCCGGGAGGACCGGACAACGACTTTGGCATCAAGTACAACATGCAGAACGGTGGACCTGCGCCAGAGGGTGTCACGGACAAGATCTTTGAGATCACTAAGACCATCTCAGAATACAAGGTGGTCAAGGGCGATGATGTGAGTCCAGCCTATGGTATTCTGCTCGTACCGACGTCGGCCTAATCTGCCTCTGTTTCTCTGTGACAAGGTCGACCTATCAAACGTAGGTTCGACTAAATTCGCTGGCGTGCTCTCGATCGACATTATCGACCCAGTGACCGACTACATCGACTACCTCTCCACCATTTTTGACTTCCCGCTCATCAAGTCCTTCCTGACCTCCGACTCTTCCCGCTTCACTGTCCGCTTCGATGCGCTGCATGGCGTGACCGGACCCTACGGACGCGCGCTGTTCGTTGACACATTCGGCCTTCCGGAAAGCTCGATCCAGAACTGCACGCCCAGCCCCGACTTCGGCGGTGGTCACCCGGACCCGAACCTGACTTACGCCAAGTCGCTCGTCGACGCTGTCGAGCGCGAAGGCATCAGTTTTGGCGCCGCCAGCGACGGAGATGGGGACCGCAACATGATCATCGGCAAGGGGACCTTCGTCAACCCGAGCGACAGCATCGCCATCATCGCTGACTGGGCTGAGAAGTGCATCCCGTATTTCCAAAAGGGTGGCGTCAAAGGTCTCGCGAGGAGCATGCCGACGAGCGGCGCGGTGGATCGCGTAGCAAAGAAACACGGTCTGCAGGTGTACGAGGTGCCGACCGGTGAGTCATGTTCTGTTCGTACACGAGGCTCTGTATGCTTGGCCCCCCTAACGCTATCACGGTCGGTTCACAGGCTGGAAGTTTTTTGGCAACTTGATGGACGCCGGTCGTCTCTCCATCTGCGGTGAAGAGTCGTTTGGCACTGGCTCGGATCACATTCGCGAGAAGGACGGCCTCTGGGCCGTCGTCGCGTGGCTTTCCATCATGGCAGCCGCGAACAAGGAGAAGCCGGGCACGACGGTTCAGGATGTGCTTCTGGCACATTACAAAGTGTATGGCCGCAACTTCTTCTCGCGCTACGACTACGAGGAGGTCGATTCGGATGGTGCCAACCAGATGATCGCGCATGTCACCAAAACGTTCGAGGACGCTGGCTTCAAGGGCAAGACCCTCGGCCCCTTCACCGTTGCAGAAGTTGGCAACTTCAGCTACACTGACCCAGTCGACGGCAGTGTCAGCAAAAACCAGGGGCTTTACGTCAAGTTTGTCGATGGCTCCCGCATCATCTTCCGCCTGAGCGGCACTGGTAGCGCCGGCGCGACGATCCGGTTGTACGTCGAAAAGTACTCGAATGACGAGAAGGAGTTCCTGGCCGATGCCCAGGAAGGGTTGAAGCCGCTCATTGACGTTGCGTTGCAGCTGAGCGATCTCAAAACTTTCACCGGGCGTGAGAAACCGACCGTTATCACGTAGTGTAAATGAAGAAAAGGACGCTATCGCGTTCGCGTAGACAAGATTTTGAAGACATCTAATGTCACACCGCCGCACTCGCCTTCAGGCGAGCAAACATGTTATTCCCGCACATGTTGTTCAAAAGAATCCCTTACAAGCATAGCGCATCGTTAGTTTGCTTGCTCCTTGAGCGCCGTCTCGGGATCCCATGCGCGGTACAGTTTCATCACTCTCCGCTCGCGGGCTTTGACATTCTTGTCGTCTTGACCCATCACTTTGCGTCGCCACTCGGTGTTCAATGCAGCTTTGTACTCGGGCGTCGAGGCAAAGTCATTGTTCTCGTATTCTGCGACACGCGAAGTTGGGAGAGCACCTGGTCAGCATTGTAGGCGCGACGATGCGACTGGTTAGCGAGCTCACCATGCAGACCAAGACACGTGGGCACGCTCTTGCCGTCCTCATTTTCTTTACCGGCCAGCTTTCCATTGATAAAAGCATCGATAAGGACGAACCTGCGCGTACGTTTCCATCCTGGGACCTTCATGAGCATCGGTACGTGCTCGGTATCGTACCACTCGTCGTACGCCTTCTGCGCTTCCTCGTTCACCAACGTCACGCTCGTTGCTACGACGATGGGAGCATTCAGCTCAATCTCGCTGGCTGACTGGGGACGCAGCGAGGCATTGGGCGTGCCCTCAGTGCTGCTGCTAGACGCTTCGGTGTCTGACTGGAGAGTGTAGATGCGCCGGTCGAGGATCGCTACGCGCGATAGGAGTTCCGCCTCTCGTAGCGAACGATTCGAACGCAGATTCGCGTACGCCGGATTGTTGTATAATGCATTGGAGGAGATAGTGTATAGTGCTGCCCAGCCGGAAGTCATCCATGCAGGAGAGGAAGATGCATCCGAGCCGAACGAGGAGGCTGAGGAAATGACTTGGTAGCGCGCCGCAGAGCGAAACTCAGGGAAGCGAGAAGTGCGCAACGGGACGTGCTCGGTGTCGTACCAATCTGTGTCCGTAGCAGGAGTTGAGTGCGATCAGTAACAAAGAAAAGGTAGAGAAGCGATCGACAATCTGTTTCATGCGGAGACGCACCGTGAAACTCTTCGAGCGTGGCATTTTGGCCCGGCTCCGAGAAGACGAGCAAAAGGCCTGAGTCGGAAGATTTGTAGCGCGGGTCGCCCATCTTGGCTGCTCGTCAAAGATACTCCTCAGATTCGCCCCTTCGTGCACTATACTTTCTGCCGTCAAGGATCACACTATTCTTCAAGATGTGAGTGACCGCAATAAGAGGATGTGTATGTGAATGTCTAGAGTGCATTAGCTAGGCAAGCACACGATGATAGAGGGGTTATCTTTCGGCCGAGAAAATGTCGAATCCGGCGGAGCGTCCGATTTTACCGTCCGGATGGAAGTCCGATCCTGGCCGCTGCACAAGCTATAACAAGATGAGAGCGAGTCCTACGTTGGACACTACAACCACCGATCCGTACATGTTGCCAAGGAAGACATCGGTTGCCGCCATAGTTTAGGCAATAATGTCCGGCTCGTGTGCAGCAGCAGCTAGCAGCAGCAGTAGCATGCAGTTGCCGACGCTCGAGATGCTCGCGGTAACAAGGGCGTCCTCCGTGTGTCCACGTTTCCGTCACCTGATAACTGGCACGTTCAACACCTCCTTCCTGCACTTGCTCGCGTACGATACCCTCAACAAGGCTCTCTTCGTATCTCGCTCGATAGAGGCGCAAGGCCCGCATCAATTCTTGGCAGTGGGGCGTACCGCACAGAGCGACGACCGGCCGGATCTGCTGTATGCTACGACATGGGCCTCGCCACCCAGCTTGAGTGCTTGGCGAGTAACTGGCTTGGATGACCAGGCCGGCGTCAGCGAGCAAGACGCTCGTAAAGTTGATCTGCAATGGATCAACACAAATGAGATTAGTGAGCCTCATGAAGGCACAGGAGGGGGCATGTTCAAGGCTTACTGATGGAATCGGTTGCTTGATGGAGCCGCGACGTCATCCTATGTGCATGTCCAACCACCACCATTCAAGTCCGTAACATCCCCTTCGTACAATGTCCCTCCCGGCCCTTCCCGGTTTCTCTACTCAGCAGGAGGGCCTACTGGAGAAGTCCACTCGCTCGACCCATCGAGTGGTGCGCTCCTCTCCAAAGAACAAGAGCTCAATTTTCTCCCCGATCCTTCGCCGTTCGCGCTGGCCCAAGCAGATAAGACTCGCAGAGCACTGCGATACGGTGCACATAATCTTGACGTTGCTCGAAACGGCGTTGCATATGTCGCGGACCTTGGTCGGAATGCAATCTTGGCGTATAAAGTTGACAAGAAGGACGGGACGCTACAGCTCTTGTCTGAGACTCGGAGTCCCCGCCAAGGTGACGGCCCACGGCACGTGGTCCCGAGTCCGGATGGCAAACTCATTTTTAGCGTGACAGAGCACACATCCTACGTCGATGTCTTTCGCGTTCCTTCTTCGTCGCAAGCTGTGGCACAGAATATGGGCAAGCTTGAATATCTCCAGTCGCTCGATCTATTACCAGACCGAGTCCAGCGCGCCGACTATCGCGGTGATACGGTGCGACTCTCGCCTGATGGGCATTCCGTCATCGCGAGCACGCGAGGCAAGACGCGTGCGACCAAGGGCATTATACGAGCATGGCGGCTCTCTCAAAGTGGGCAAAGCGACCAGCCAGTCGTCAGCGAGCCGTTATGCACATACGAGACGCCAACATCGGGAGGCAAGGCGAACGCAGTCGAGTTTGCCATGCGATACGAATCTGGCTTTGCAGCGAGCTCGGACGCAGAAAGGGAATCTAGCTCATCCAGAGTCAAGGACTTGGCTGTTCTGACGGATGATGAGCAGGGCTGGCTGTGGATCCTGGAATGGAATGGGCAAGACCTCAAAGAAGTGGCGAAGACCAAGTTGCCAGGTAAAGGTAAAAACGATGCAGGTGATGACGCCGATGAAGGCGCCAGCCATGCTGTTTGGCTGTCGTAATGCAATGTGGTCAAGCGCTCCCTGTGCAGTCTTTCTTTTGTATACTAGAAGGCAGCCTGGAGCTTCAAACATGTTTACAAGCCACCCGTGGCCAAATCGCAAGCTTATTGCGGGAACGACGAGACGGGCGCAGTGATGGTTGGCTGCAAGTGGTTGAAGTAGCTCCGCCAACTGTCCCAACTTTCTCCAAATGGCATTGAGTTCCAGAACCCCTCGAGCATGAACCCTTCGTTCATGCTATCGTATGCGCTGCGACTTTCTTGTTGCGGCTGAGCTGAGTGCTGATTTGCATGCTCGTACGGACCTAGCTGCGGTTGTCGTTGCTGCTGGCTTGTAGCAAATGCAGAATGTGGAGGAGGCTGCGCCGGATAGAATGCCGGCGCGTCCGCACTTGTGGAAGAGGTAAGATTGGCCTTCTGAGAGGTAGACTCCGCAGCGTTGCTGCTACCGGCGATGCTGTTGCGGACATCGCTGAGATTCCGCAGAATTTCGACGTCCGGCGCTGCACCCTTGTGAGTCTCTGATATACGTTTGAGACGCTCGATGCAGCGATTTAACTGGCGCTGGCAATGCAGCGCGGTGTCGTGCGTCAGACGATACTGCTGCTGTTGCATGGTGGCGTCAACGAGTCCGTTATAGATGGGTTGTTGTGGCATGGATGCTGTTCCAAATGAAGAGTAAATCGTGGCACTGGAGAAGACGAGGAAGACCTGAAAATCGAGCGAAGAGCCATCAACCGGAGCACTTCAAACGTTAAAAGGGAAAGATTTGGATCCTCGCTACCCACCCAGCCTGACGGAATTTTTCGCACAGGGAACGTGCTCTCGAACGCATCAACCAAGTTGAGAATTTCGTCTGCCGCCGAAATGCACGCCTGTGCCGGATGTGACAAGGCTGAAAGACTTGAGACAGCTTCACCTTGAGATCCATTTGACACGTTACGCGGAATGAAAGGCCGGTGGAGTGCAAGCATGCAAAGGCTAGCCCACGCCCTGAGCGTCAAAACGTTGGGTCCAACGCCGCGATGAGGGTTGGCGCCTGATGTCCTGGCGTGCCGACTAGCATTGTCGTGGCCGGGGAAGAGTCCATGCCAGCGGATCTCCTCAGGCAGCTCCTCTGCCCACTCGCCCAGCAGTCGCAACATGCTTCGGAACTTCATCTCCATGCTATCTCCCGCGTCTCGCCCGTTCAGCGGCCGCATGTCTGCGGCCATGCCGGCTTGAGCTGATCTCCTTGCGGGGAGTGAATAGAGCTCATCCAGAATATACTCGAGGATGATCATCAGCTTTGCCCAAGCAACGAAGACAGAGATCCGGTAAGAGCGAGACAGCTTTAGCTCAGGAATCGCACGGTGTTGCACGAATGACGCGCTAGTCGTGTTGAGCCAAAGCTCAACTTCGTCGGTAGTGTTGGTCGAGGGAAAGGGGACGTCAATGTCAGAGCTTCGTAGCACGAATGGCTTCTCGGTGACGCAAGACACAGCCTTGTCGCTGTAAACGTTGCGACATGTAGGTTGTCAGCAAGAACCGCTATGCCGAGCGTCAGGTTTCCATGCAGCTCACAGAATGTAGCACGCCCAAAACGCTCGGCGCCTCAACGTGATTTCTTCTTCCACATCTTCCCCCTGTCCACGTTCCATTCGCAGAATCGTTTCTCCCTCCACGCGGTGCAAACTCATATCGAGCGCAAGCCGACAAGCCATACCGCTCATCATGAAGGCCTGTGCCATCCTTCCCGCTCCGAGGTCAGCGAGTGCTAGAAGAAGTAGCGTTTGTACGACCCACAAGAGACGCGTATGGGCAATCGGAAGGATGGCGCTTCGGCTTTCATCCGCGTAGGACCGCGACAAGTCGTGCGGATCTCCTGTATGGCGAGCATGCTGTCGCACAAAAGGGTCCGACCCGTTAAGCGTTTTGTTTGCAGAATCTTGTGATGCTTGCTCGCCAACGGCAAAGTCTTTTCCTGTTGCAGGTAAGCCAAGCGTTTGTGACAGACTGACTCTCGTCACGACCGAGACATCTTGCATAACTCCTCCTGGTCCCGGAGAAGGGCCATCGAAAGATCCCCCCGCTGTCCCCGCTAAAGTGAATGAGTCACCAGCATTGAGCGGGTCCAAGGAGCCCATAGAGCTGAGTTGGGACCGAGGTTTCATGTCCTTCTCAGCTTCAAAGGTCGCGCTGACCACAGCAAGAGCCGCATTGAACAGAATTGGATTGCTGGTCTTCAGCGATGCGATGTATGTGACTAGAGGCTGTTGTTCCGACCACTGCTGCTGGTTAGCAAGGCCAATGGAAGCGCCGTCTCTCCTTGGTTCAGCTGCCTGCAGCGGCACCTGTGCAGCGCTGGTAGCTGGTCCCCGCGGTTCAGTGTGAAAGCTCGGCTTGTTGACCGCCAGGATCGGCCAGTGGGCATGTACGAATGCGACGTATGTCTCGATCAAGCGCCATTCCACAGCATCAATTGTTGCACTTGCCTCTTCAGCAACGGCGGCCCTAGCTCCACTGTTGGCGGATTTTGCATCATGATCAAAATCCTGTGTCCATACTGCGCTAGCGCTTGCTGGTGATGCAGTAGGGAGCGTAGGCGCGAACGTAGGCCTCAGCCCTGCCCGCATGGGTGCGGTTGGCGAGACACTAGGATCCTGCCCGGATCCTTGAAGTGCGGCATCACCACGGCGATTGCTCAATCTGCTCGCGAAGTCGGGTATGTTCATACCACTACTGATGCCTGTTATTCTGCTGGTATAAATCTCTCTTCCGAACGTGCCACCAACGCTTGCTTCGCGATCGTACGAGGTAGGAGCCGGAAGTGTCGCACAAGGTTGACGCGTATAAGAGGGACGACTTGCGCTGCAGCTGCCGCTACCGCTGGCTGCAGAATCTTCTGCAGTGTCGTATGCTGAATTTCCATATCCGTCCTGAGCGGAAGGATTCGAAAGGGGGTATTGTTGCGCAGCGTATTGCTGCTGACGCAATGAGTCCACGTACGCTGCTTGTCGCGCGGCGCCTTGTGCTGCCGACTGTGGCTGCAGGGGTGGATATGGGTGCGAAGACAGTGCATGAAGCTGAGATTGGGGTGGATATTGCGAATGAGAGAGCAGGAACGAACTGGTAGATGAGCCTGATGGGGGATGAGAAAGGATGGACGGTTCAGAGGGCCCAGTCTGTGGAGGTGGAACAGTGGATGCTGATGTCGGCACTTGAGGCACTGGACTACTCTGCCGTGACCCTCCTCTTTGCTTCTTCGCAGTTGCCCCTGAAGCGCCCCTCTTGCGAGCAGGTAGGGATGCAATGTTCCCAATGTTCACAGTGGTGTCTTGCGATAATGTAGAAGAAGCGGCTGTGGTCTGGGGCTTGTTCCTGGTATTGTCTTTTCCTATATCCTTTCCCATTGCCGTGGTACCTCCACATAGAGGAACTGTCTGAGGAGCAGGATGTGAAGGTATAGTTGTTTTTGCTGAGTTACTATTGGGGGCCAAACGGCTCTCCTTCGGCTCCTGCTTCCGCTTTGCCCAGAAACCTTTCGGCGGGCCACGCTTCTTTGGGTTTGGATTGAATTGGCAGCATTCCGCAAGATTGAAATTTCTGCAGGGTCCGCACGGTGGCCCTTCGCCATCACAGCGTACCTTCTTTTGCGAGCACCGCGAGCATGCGCGAGATGAACGCGGGCAATTACGAGCCGACTTGGTCGTCTCGAAGTCGTCGGCAGCGACTGCATGAGACGAGGCGGATGGGGAGGCTGAGCTGAACTGGCTGACGACCGTTGACTTGCGCCTACGCTTTCTGGCCGGAGAGGCGACATTAGCAACAACCTCATGACCCCCTTGCTTCTGTTGCTGCTCCTTTGCATGCTGCAAGTCACCGCCGCCATGGACAACATCGGTGGGCTGTCGACGATTCTCGGGTTCGCACCGCCTTCCCAACGAACGGCAGAGGCGGTCCTGAACTCTACATCCTGGACGCCCCTGCTGTTGTTCTTTCATTGGCTCCATTCACAGCTGTATCATTCATACCACGAGGCGCATCAACTGCCATATGCTGAAATATCAGCTACATGTGGCAGACAACGAAAACGAATGGCGAGGGCATCTGAGGGTTTACGATAGGCTGGATATGTAAGGGATTCTCCGCGGACTACCCCGCACAATGGTCCCAGCGGCTCGGGGAACGGGAGAGTCCCATACAGAAAATCCGGTGGGAATCCGATGGACAGACCATCGATGACATCGCTCCATCCTAAGGCAACGAGCACGCCTAGACCCAGTCTATATATACCATTTGCATTGCAGCGAGTAAGAGAACTGGTGTCGTCCTCTTGCGTCTGATTCTGCTTCTGCTGCTACCGCCGGCCTTGTTTAACAGGTGCGAGCGGCCCGACCTTATGGCCTCACCTGCTGCTGCCAGGAGGCTCCTCTGTGCCGCTGCCCCATTGCGCTTCACTCCGCCATCATCACTTTCCATTGCAGGTTGGCTGCGCAATTTGTCACAGTCATCGGCAAGGGGCGTGTTGAGGATTCCACCAAGCACATCATTGTCAATCATATCCATCTCTTCACGCAACATGTCCGTGGCCGGCCCGCAAGGCGGGGAGATGCGTGCCATCCTAGTCAAGGGCGGCAAAGGGGACCTCAATGCGCTCTACATCGGCAGTGCACCGGTTCCGCAGCTGAAAGACCCAAACGAGGTGCTTGTGCGAATCAAGGCGTTTGGCGTCAACCGCATGGACATTCTTCAGCGCAATGGCCAGTACCCTCTGCCGCCTGGTGCGCCCGAGATCATGGGCGTCGAATTCAGCGGACGCGTCGTGCAGGCTGGCTCCGAAGCCAAGAGTCAGCACAGCGGTAGCGGCTTGTCAGATGACTTCAAAAAAGGGGACGAGGTGTTTGGACTCGCTCTCGGCGGTGCATATGCAGAATACATTGTGGTCAAGTCCAACTTGTTACTACACAAGCCTGCCGCTCTCTCACATGTCCAGGCAGCTGCCATTCCTGAAAATTGGCTCACAGCTTTCCAGGCCTTGCGCCCGATCGCAAACCTGCAGCCCGGAGAAGACGTGCTGGTGCACGCAGGTGCTTCAGGTGTCGGGCTCGCCGCACAACAGCTCGCGCGGGACTTTGGCGCCCGCAACGTTTACGCTACAGCTGGCAGTGAGGAGAAGTGTCGATTCTGCGAGCAGACGGCCGGGGCCGACAAGGCGTTCAACTACAAAGCCTGCGATTGGGCCGAGGAGCTCGCCAAGTACACTTGCGCAGGAAAAACAGAAGGCTGTGCCGACGTCATTATGGACTTTATCGGCGCAAGTTATTGGAATAGCAACATCGCTTCGCTCAAGCGTGATGGACGCCTTGTCATACAGGGCGCCATGGGCGGCATCAAGGTAAAGGACGGCAACATCGGCCCCATCATCTTCAAGCGCTTGCGTATCGAGGGCAGCACCCTCCGTAGCAGGACAGTGGAATACCAGGGCGAGCTGGTGCAAAGTTTTCTCAAAGAAGGTGTATACATTCTGTGCTTCAATCGTTGCATTTGGCGAGCGGAGGGCAAGCGGCAGCTGACTTACATCTCATCTCGACTCTCGTTCAGGTGGCCTCGACAAGATCATTGCCGGTGTCTCCAAAGAGTCAGGAGTGGGCGGCAACGACAAGTTGCGGCCGCACAGCCTGGTCATTCACAAGGTCTACGCGTGGGAGGATATTCAAGAGGCGCACCGCGAAATGGAGGCGAACAAGAACGTCGGTAAAATTGTTGTAACGATTGACGGGTAAATTTGTCCCATGCAATTACAGGTGGTTGCAAACTGCTCGCGAATCACTCTACTAGCTGCGAAATGGAGAGCCCTTGTCGGCTGAGATGCGCTTACGAAGCCTCCCGGCTATGCTCGCAGTGGTGAGCGGACATTGCACAGCCCGAGGCCAAAGACTTCCGCAATGGTGCTAAAGTGAATCGCAAAAGCAGAGGATCTGGCCTAAGTCAGTAGTCACTGTGGCTGCGTGCAATGTACCACAATATGCCATGTCCGCTGAAGGAGAATCTATAAGAAAGGCACAAAGCTGTAAAAGACTGTTCCAGGTTGCAAGGGCGGGGGAAAATGAACTACAGCAAATCGAAAATGTCCTTTTTCTGCCCGGCGCCGGCGCCAGCGGCAGGCGTGTGCGCGCCCATGGGCGGCTTGGCAGTGGCTGCGGGCCCCCAGACGTTGTTCGCGGACTGGTTCCTGGCCATTTCCGCCATGGACATTTTGGCGGGCTTGTTGTTTCCCGCCCCGCCGGCGGTGGATTTACCTGCAGAGGATGCCCAGAGGTCGTCAAAGTTGATCGACGCAGTAGTCGATGAAGAAGCGTGGGACGCGGCTGCTGTCTGTGCAGGTTTCGAGGCGCCAGCAGCAGCGCTGCTGGAGAAGGAGGAGGTCGTGTTGTTGCGCGTAGGCGCTAGCGGCTGCTGCTGAGCGGCCAGGCCTGCTGGCCGACCGCCTGTTGCCGGGCGAGACTGTGCAGGCGCAGGAGCTGCGCCATTATTTCCGCCGAGGAAGTCGAAGATGTCGCCTCCATTTGGCGCAGCAGCGGTGACCTTCTTTCCGATGCCTGCGGCAGCAGGCGTCGCACTTGAAGGCGGCGCCGCTTGAAAGTCATCGAAGTCATCGACGGCTGCAGCCGCACTGGAGGATGCTGTTGCTGTTGCAGGTGGATCGTCGTCGAAGCTGAATAGATCCTGCACGACAGTTTGGGGCTTCGGTGCAGCCTCGGTATTCGCCGAAGAGCTTTCGCCAGCACGTCTCCTACTACCACCACCGCCGCCACTTCTGATTTCGCAACCACCTGCATCATACTCTTCGAAGCTCTGCCTAGCCGCCGAGCCGCCTCCACCTCCACTCCCATTTCCGCTAGCACCGGGGTAGCGATCGACGCCGCCACTGTAGTACTGCTCGCTGCTGAAGCCGCCGTACCTGCCTGCTCCGCTACCAGGGACAAAGTCGGTATTACCCGTGCCTTGGTACTTGTTCTTGTTCTGCCGTGCCTTGCGACGTTCTGTGCGGATGCGCTCGACGTCCATTAAAAGCTCAGCAAGCTCTTTGGCGCGGTTGCGAACGTTGAGTCCCTGGTCTTTCCCCTTTTCATCGATGTAGTGAAAGTTACGTAGGATCTTGATCGTCGATAGGTGCGAGCGCGCGTCGTCTACAACACGCTCTGCGCCGTTCCTTACCAGGTACTCTAGGAGGGTTAAAGACTGTGGCAGAGTAAAGGGGTTGAGCAGCGTCACACCGCATACAATCCGCACTCCCTCGTGTACGCACCTTGTAGATCTGTCGCCACTCGTTTGCCTCCTTTTCCATGAAACGCCTGTAAATGGCCTGCATGATCTCGCCAAAATCGGCGTAGTTGTGCGTCGCTTGGGCGATCTCCGCCATCAGCGTGGTGGAGGCGCCCCAGGGATCGTCATTCGTAGCCTCGTCCACCTTGGCTTCCAGCTCGGAGATGTTGAAGGCGTAGTTGCGCGCCGAGCGGTAAAGCTCCTTGACATCGTACATGGTCAGGTTGGAAAGGCGATTGCCGCTGCAAGACGTCCCTAGCGTCAGCTTCTACTCCTTTCGACTTTGGCGGACAGGGCAAGGGGTTGGGTGTTGAGACTTACACATCTTCTAGATCCCAGTTCTGCCGCGTCGTGACGTATGACGAGCACGATTATTAGCTTTTGTCGCTCGGCGGACCTCATCCAATCCCGACTTACCATCTTGGGCGTTGAGCGTGATCCGGTCTTTCGCGCGAAGAGTGAGCAGCAGTGTGCACAAGGTGCTTCCTAGACCCCCGGGGGGGAGGGGGGTATCACACAGGATGCCGGAATAAGGAGCAGGTTGGGATGGCTCTGGCCCGCTTCGCAATGCACACACAGAGGTAGCTCGCAGCTTGCGGCCCCGCAGGAATCTGCACAGCGCCCGATGATCGTCTCGTCTCGACCAGTCGATGTGCCCAGAAACAGGCTGCTGGATATAGGCAGGGTGTGTTGCGAGCTAGAAACTGAAGCACCTTACGTCCAGCATGCAAGCAGCAGGACTGAGGACAGCACCATCACGCGCGCACGGGCTCACGCCCTGCCAGTGTGCGCGGTTATGAATAGGAGGGGCGGAACTGCACGCCGCATCGTTGCTAGTCCGCGAGTTGCATGTCGCATACGCGTTCTTCTATGTGGCAGATACTCAGCAGTCAGCTGCCTTCATGTATAGATCGCTCTCGATTGGCAACTGCCATCATCACTCAGAGCAGCTTCGAGATTGTGTGCAGCCGCTCGAGAGAGAACACCCAACCCGGCCATAATCGGAAGCTGCAGCCATGTTTCTAACCAGATCCGAATACGGTGAGTATCCTCACGCCCACGGGTGGGCGCACAAGCAGTGGCCGCACACGGCGCTGACGACCCGCTCGGCGCAACGTCGCTTCGCTGCATGGGGGGGCTCTTGCTTGCAGACCGCGGTGTGAACACTTTTTCACCAGAGGGGCGCCTGTTCCAAGTCGAATATGCCATCGAGGCAATCAAGCTCGGCTCGACGACAATCGGCATCTCCACCAAAGAGGGCGTGGTGCTAGGTGTGGAGAAGCGCGTGCATTCCAGCCTGCTCGAGTCGTCTAGCATCGAGAAGATCATGGAGATCGACAAGCATCTCGGCGCAGCGATGAGCGGGCTCGTAGCCGATGCAAGGACCATGATCGACCATGCTCGCGTCACTAGTCAGAACCATGCATTCACGTACGACGAGGAGATCAAAGTCTCATCGGTGACGCAGGCAGTGTGCGATCTGGCGCTGCGCTTCGGAGAGTCGACAGAGGATGACGAGGCGATGATGAGTCGGCCATTCGGTGTCGCATTGCTCATCGCGGGGATTGACGAACTAGGGCCGCAACTGTGAGCCTCTCTGCCTCACTCCCGTTCCCTTCTTCATAATGACCATGAATTGTGCTTTCCTTCTCTGCGTGCAGCTACCATGCCGATCCGTCAGGGACATTCGTGCGATTCGATGCGAAAGCAATTGGGAGCGGCTCAGAAGGCGCGCAAGGAGAGCTGCAGGAAAAGTACACAAAGGTACGCGGCACATCGCTAGAGTCTAAGTCGGTCCTTCGACCTTTCAAGCTGACTCCCAAACCTCCTTTTTCCGTTTTTCCCTCCTTCAGGACATGTCCCTACACGACGCAGAGTTGCTGACGCTACGGGTGCTAAAGCAAGTGATGGAGGAGAAACTGGACGAGAAGAACGTGCAGCTCGCCGTCGTCACCCCGCGCACGAGCGAGGACGGCAGGCCGAGCGGGCAGTTCAGGATACTCAAGGAGGAGGAACTCAAGCCGCTCGTAGAGGCGATCAATTGAGCGTCTCGAGGCAGGTGCCGCTGGGCGGGCCAGGAGAGTTTGTACGATAAGATGGCATCCAACGCACCGCAAGCGTATGATACACTGCATTTGCCATCACGCCCCCGTGCCCCTTGGCCGCTTGTGCAGTAGCCTCCGTCGCGCTCACGTGCGCGCGTCTGATCTCGCCCTCTGACACGGTTACGAATACGCGAGCCCTTCCTGCAGTCTCGCGCCTGTGCCATTTGCAGGTGTGCGTTCATGACGATGGTGATGTGAGGTGAGCTGTGCGGATGCGCAGGGCAGGGCAGTCCTAGCCTGCCAAGCGGGGTTTGGACCGGCTTGCAATCTACCTTCCAGCGACTGTGTCTTGTCGCGGCGATCGAGCGTTGGCAAACGCCCACGGTGTGCAATGCACCGCACGCCATTCGTGAGCGTTGATGCTGAAGCTTGGTTTGTTGCGGGACCGTCTTCGACCCTACTGGGGGTGCGAATATCTGGGTGTTTTTTACGTCGTGCCTGTCAGTTAGTTGTTAGCCGTGTGGGAGACCCTATCGACGGCCGGCATTCAACTCCATTAGGAGGCCATTCGACGTAACCATAGACGATAGAATGAATGAGACTGTTGCGGAGCGCGGATGGCTTTTTATTCTTTATTCTTTTACTTTCTTTCTTTTCTTGGTTGTCCAAGTGAACGCTTCCGCTCCTGGTATATTTTTCTCCTTCGCCATTTCTTCCTTTTCTTCTCTTCTTCTCTTTCTCCTCTTCCATCACGACCACGACCACGAAAGACGCAGTGAAAAGTTCTTCACAACCCTGTACTCGCTGCGGTCCGAGCGTGCGGCGTGTTGATATTCCTTGGATACTCGCCATGCTCGTTTCGTCATCAGCTGGGGTCGCAGGCAGAGAATGGGCCGGCGGATGGACGCTTAGGCAGATCGATCGATGCCCGCATGCGGCAACTTTCCCTCCGCGTTCCCTTTTTGTGCGGCGAATCGGGTTTGCCCTCGATCTCGCCGGGAAGGCGGAAGGAAGGCTACCGTCTCCGGGCGGTGTTGGTGGATCTGCGAGGGATCGTCGCTCGCGTGCGCTAGTGTGCTCACTCTAGCACAGTATCGCACAACACCGCGGAGCACAGGGTAATACACCAGGGTACGGCTCTATCGAAGCCCGCTCACCCCGTCTCTCCCCACTCGCTCGTTTTCTGAGCACCGGGGATCGCAGGCCATGGGTTTGTCGGGTCAATGTGCAGCCAAGAAAGAGTTTTCTTAAAAGAGCAATAAAGGTCGTGAATTGATGCATCATGCCGCCATGTCAGGTCACATCACCCAATTGCCCTACATCCGATCTATTTCTCTATATATGAGACATGTAGTATATGCTCGTGGACACAAAAGCTTCCACCCCAAAATGAAAGCGCAGCCAGCGGACAGCCTGGCTCAGCACCAGTGAGGAATGTTGCGAAGTACGGTAAGAGCCAAACTATGGCGGGCGGTGCGCCATGGACCAAGGCACGACGGTGACACGTGGCTTCTGAGCGAGCGGTTGAGAATGAGTGTGCGCGTGTGCTTCTGGGAGCGCCGAGGCGCCACGGATGCGCGCGCCGGGTGCAATGCTTGGGTAAGGCGTTGCGCTTCGCTCGACGGGAGGGAGGGCGGCGCATGGAGACAGGCAGCCTTGTAGGCCGTGCCCGACCTTGTCAGTCGATGCTGCTGGTGCTGATGATGATGATGAAGGGGTCTGCTTGCTTGGGAAGACCTGCAGCAGCTGCCGCTCTACTGCTGTGCGGCTTTCTCCTTCTCGACCTCGTCGGGCGTCTTGAGCCTGAGGCTGAGCGCATGGAGCCCGCGGCGTTGGAACTCGTCGCTGAGCAGCGCATGGACCATGCGGTGGCGCTGCAGGCTACTGAGCCCGTTGAACGCGCCCGAGACGGCTTCAACGAAGAAGTGCGTTTCAAGCCGAGACACCGTCGCGGCGGCCTGCGCGCGCGCAGCGACCATCGCAGCGTGGTGCGCGTGCTTGCTGCTGTCGTTGCGGATGCGCAGCGTGTGCAGTGGTGCGAGCGCGGCGGCGAGCTTGGCGCGCATCGACGCTTCCAGCGAGCCGTCTGTGTCCGTGGCGGTAGGCGGCGTTGTGCTTGAGGACATCCTGGCGAGTGAGGTCGTCGTCGGCGCGGAGAAGGAAAAGGACAAAGACGGAGAGAAAGCTTGCTGCCGAAGGAAACGGGGGAGTGGGCGCCAGGCGGTCATGGCCAGCCTGCTGCTGGGGGAGGAGGGTGAACAATGAGCTGGCGTTACTGGTACAAGCGGCGGAAGGGCAGGCTTGACTGGACCGTAGACGACCTTGAAGAAGGATGAGAGGACGAGCGTGATTGTATCATGTGTATGTACATGGTATATATCAACCTATCCTTTCGGGAAGGGGCAAGGTGTGTCATGTTGCGCTGCGGAGCATTCGGTGCATCTCGTGCGATAGAGATAGATCTACTTGGGTGATGACAGTAGGGTTGCAGCGATCCGACACCATCCCATCTAATTCGGTGCATTTCGATAGCCCAACCCTTTTAAGCATCCCAGAGGTGTCCGTCTGTGCGGCACGCCGACAAGACCAAGGTCCGACGGCAGCAGTCTCAGAAGTCTGCGGGACTCGGTGTGTGCCGTGGTGTGTAAGGCAGCACTGCGCTGTGGTGCAGTGCCGGTGCAGGTGCCGGTGCGCGCTGGTCCCCTGACGATGGCGGCACGAGGAGAGTCTAGCAAAAAGTCATGCCACTCTTGTCTGGGTTATCATGCGATGTGATCTGACGATCTGCGGGTTTCCTTTTCTTCTCGTGCCTGCTGGCACTGTGTCTGTGTGGTGTGGCGGGTGTGTGAAATGTTTCTGCCTAGTAGAGGGAGTCATGTACGACATTGTCTGTGGGTATTGGAGTGTACTCGACTGTAACATCGTCAAGGAAATGCTCATGCGTCGTATACGAGTGGCTTGTAGCATCGCATCGCCACGCACTTTTATACCCCACAAGCACGCTCGCCTCGCCAGCGCCTTGAGCTTCCTGCCTCCAGCCTCGCTCGCACTCTGCAGCTCAACTCCTCTCGTTGCCTTCCTCGCCGCCTTCGGCGACCACAACGATGGACGTCGTGCTGCATTACTTTGACGAGTACGTCCTCGACGCGCTCTACGCCGTCGTGCTGCCCGCCTCGCCCAGCTCACCGCTGCTGCGCCGCTCTCCCGCGCTGCTAAGCGCCTTTCTCGCCGATGGGCAGACCCATGCCACCCTCGCGCACGCCGCCCACACGCGCATTGCCGGCGCCGCCGGTGCCAAGGGCTTTCTGCACAACCTCACTAGCACGCTCGCAAGGGCCGCCTGGCCCGCTTCCCACTCGATCCCAGCAGTAGATGTAGCGCGGATAGCAGACACCCCGCTGCCGGACACAGCGTACGCCGCGCTCGACTGGCCCGCCGTGTCGCATCTGAGTGCGCTACCGCGCTCGAGCATACTGCGCCAGTCGCTCTCGCTCTACGCGATCACCTACGTCGGCATCCTCCTGCTTTACTTTCTCTTTGCCGGGCTCAGCTACCGCTTCCTCTTCAACAAGGCCATGCTGCGCCACCCGCGCTTCCTCAAGAACCAGGTCCGCCTCGAGATCGCCGCGTCGCTGCGCGCCTTCCCTGTTCTCGACGCACTCACCCTGCCCTGGTTCGTTGCAGAGGTCCGCGGGCACAGCCGGCTCTACTCACACATCAACCAGGGGCCCTGGGCCGACCGCTGGTTCGGCTTGCACGGCTGGACCTATGCTGCGCTCATCAGCACGCCTTTCTTCCTGCTCTTCACCGACGCGTGCATCTACTGGGTCCACCGCCTCGAGCACCACCCGCGCCTGTATAAGCATGTGCACAAGCCCCACCACAAGTGGCTCGTCCCCAGTCCGTTTGCTTCGCACGCCTTCCACCCGCTCGACGGGTACGCTCAGTCGCTCCCCTACCACATCTTCGTCTTCCTCTTCCCCCTACATCGCACCCTGTACATTGGCCTCTTTGTCTTTGTCAACCTCTGGTCCATTTTAATCCACGACAGCGACATGATCTGCAACTCACCCCTGGAGAAGTTCATCAACGGCCCGAGCCACCACACGCTGCACCACCTCTACTTCTCCGTCAACTATGGCCAGTACTTTACCGGCTGCGACCGCCTCGGCGGTAGCTACCGCGCCCCAAAGCTCGAGGACGACCCCTTGCACGACGTCCCCGACGCCGGTTCGGATCCCAAGGCGAAGGTTGAGAAGACAGAGTGAAGCAGGCCGCCGTTCCTCCTCCTTTCATAGACATTGCGCCATGTGCATGCAAACATATACATACATGCCCACGTATGTAAGCGCCGCCCCAGTCCCAGTCCCAGTCCCAGGCGCAGGCTCCACCTTCACCCGCTTATCACTCTTGCGTGAGAGCTTGCGCATATCACAGCCAGCCGAACCAAACTAGAGCATCAATCTATTCATGGGATATCCATTTTCTTCTTCTTTTGGCTTCCATTTACGAGAGTAGAGTAGAGGAAGACGCGCGCCCCACAGTCTCGTTTGCAAATGCTGTATCGTCACCCGTCGCGTCCCATTACCGTGTGTGCTCCTTATCGACTGCATCATGACAGGTACCTCTCCCAGCAAGCCTGCTCGATCTGCTGACGCGGTGCCGACAGGCCCGTCCACAACTCAAACTGCGTGCAGCCCTGCTCCAGGAGGATCACCAGCCCCGGGATGCCGGTCCACTGCCCGCTGGACGCGGCTCCTGAGCTGCGCTTGGCGTTCTCACGGCGCACGAGCTCCATGAGCGGCGTGTGGCTCGGTTTGTCTAGCAGTTGCGAAAAGAAAAAAAATGGGCAAAAGGGGTCAGTCGGCTGATCATGCTTGCCTTCCGTCGCAGCATCCAGCCGCCGCGCTTGAGACTCACAAGACATATCGATCACAACTCCTCCCTTTCGATGCGCGAGCATTTCCCGCGCGAGAAAGATGGCCGCACCGCCCTGCTCAATTGTCGTCCCGTCGGCGGGGACGTTGCTGACGATGATGCGCGGAAGCGGCTGAAGGCCCACGAGCGACTCGGCCACCTCCACGTTCCACTCAGACGGCAGGCTCTGCGCAAGAAGCACCGCGTTTGCGGGCGTCCGGTTGAATAGCCAGATGCGTCGCGCGCCCAGCTGCTGCATCGCGTAGATGGCCGCGCGCGCCGACCCGCCCGCTCCGATCACAAGCGCTGTCAAGCCGTCCGCGTCCACCTCCCCTTCCGCCTCGCCGACGCTCGAAGTTGCGAGGTGCCGCACAGTTTGGGCGTGGATTGCAGCCCAGTCTGTGTTGTCGCCAACCAAGTGCGCCGACGCACCTGCATGTTCACCAGAGCGGACCGGAATGATCGTGTTGACTGCTCCGATCATCTTGGCGTGTGGCGTGATTGAGTCCAGCTCAGGAATGATGGCCAACTCTGAAAAGTCCAAATCATTCGAGTAAGCTTGCGTTCAACTCCAGTGGAACGCGTAGGCGAATAGCACTCACTGTGAGGAATCGTGACGCTAGCGCCACCAAAGTCGGCGCTGCGGATGACATCGCGCACCGACTCATCCACCTTTGACGTTTCATGCAGCCCATATGTATGCGGAAGACCTGTGATCGCAAAGCCGGTATTGTGCAGCGTAGGGCTTAGCGAGTGGCTGATCGGCGTGCCCAGCAGGAAGAAGCGTTTGGGCTCCAGCTGGCCAAGCAGCGTCCGCGCATTCGCGATCTGCGCAAAGCTGAGCTGTCCGGGTGCTGCTTTGAATGGCAGTGCTGGATGAGTGATGGGCGTGAACACCGGATTGAGGATGCGTGACATTTGCCCCACTGCGCCCATGTTGATAGCGATGAGCGGCTTGGCATCTGCTTGGGCCGTGATGGTGCGTCTGAAAGTCTCAAGCTCCAGATTGTCCGCCAGCGTGCACGCCTTGCTGACAATCTTGGTGACGTCTCCGAACTTGCACAGCTCGGCATACTTGTCCAGCGTTGACTTATCGCCCCAGCGCAAGTTGCCGCTCCAGTCATGCCATGAAGCAATGATATGACTATGTCCCTTTGCCACGACGCACGCTGCGATTTTCTGCTCCGACCATCGTGCTTCCACATCGACGTACTCGCATGCAGCGCGGAAACCGAACTTTATGAGCTCAAAGTATGCCTCCTCTTCTGCGTCCGGGAACATGCCGCCCTGGCTCTGTGTGCGGACGGTGTAGATGATGGGCAGCGTCGTACGGCTGCGCAGCGCAGCGAGCTGGCATGAGACGTACTCTGCCGGCGGGATGGCAGGGGTGGTGTATGCGATGCCGGCAGGATTGAGAAGATCTACGCGCAGCTCGATGACGTTGGCACCAACGCTGATCTCCTCGAGCATCGGAAGCGCAGCTCGGATATCCGGGAAGGTCAGACAGAGCATATGCGTTTCTTTTGATGCGAGGATGTTAGCGGATGGACGATTGCTGTCGACGCCCGTGATGAAGCGCGAGAAGCGGCGTACCTCGTCGATGAGCGTGCGAGCGTTGCGGATCGAGACGATGTTCTCAGGCACATGTGAGGCTATTTCTGATGCAGCCTCTGAGCCGCTGGTCGCCTGCTTGACGTCTCCGATCGTGTAATTGACCAGTTCGCAGCTCGAGCATTCGTAGAACCACGGCTGGCGTCTCGCCCAGACGTCTCGCTCGCTCTCACCATAGGGCGGGCGCCCGCTAGTCCTGAGGAAGGCGACGATCTCCTCAATGTCACGCTTGATGTACACGACTGGCCCGCGGGTCTGCGCATACTCGCGCAGCAAGGCGCGATTTTCTGGCGTCTCGACGACGCCTCCGCCAAGCGAGATGAGGTGATTGGTGCTTTTGTCGCGGATGAGTTCTTCAAGGATCTCACGCTCAATCTTGCGAAAGCTTGGCCAGCCGTGCGTTTTAACGAAATTGTTGAGCGTGTGCCGCTCATCAAAGATCGCGTCTGCATCCAGGAAGGGGCGCCGGAGGGCTTCGGAGGCGAACTTGCCCAGATACGTCTTGCCAGTCCCGCGCATGCCGATGCAAAAAATTGTCGCACCAGGCGGATATGCGCGAGGAGTCAAGTGGTTACTGAGCGTATTCAGTGGCGGGAGTGCGGCTAGAGCACTGCTAGACGCTGACGCCGCAGAGGTGTGAGCGGCATCGAGTTCAACACCCTCTACGCTGACGCCCATTTCACGCGCGAGCGCATCCCACCAGTCCGGCCACGTCTTTTCCACGCAGCGCTTCTCCTCCAATATGGTCCCCTTGCCGGGTGCGACAGCTGCCAACACGCTGAATGCCATTGCGACGCGGTGATCGTCGTATGTGTGCACCTGTACGTCGCGCTTCAGGTTCTTCTCGAAATCTGCGACGCCAAAAATCTCGAGTCCATCCTCGTGCTCGATGGTACGCACGCCGAACTTGTGCAGCTCATCCATCATCGCCTGGATTCGGTTGCACTCTTTGACGCGCTGATTGGCGATACCGGTGATCCGTGTCGATAACAGTGTTTCTCCGCCGCTGCTGTTGACTGGCAGACCCGCAACGGCGAGCAAGGCGGATGCAGTGAGGAATGCGTCGGTCATCGGTTCCATATCAACGGTGCCGATCTGCCTCAGCTGACCTCTCGGCGGGCCTCGGACGCGCGTGCTGTTGGCCGTCTGCACAACCTCGCATCCCATGGGCTCGAGCACTTCCTTCGCGAAGCGCGCATCGCCCTGCAGAGAACTAGACCCGATGCCTTCCAGCAGACACTCGGTTCCTGTGATCGCAGCGAGCGCGAGCGGGTACGTCGCGCTGCTGGCGTCCGACTCGATTTCGTACACGCCGCCTTCCGCCGCGGAAGGCGCGACGTAGTGGCCGCGCGGAATGCGGTACTTGTTCTCGGCGAGGCGTTCGACTTGGATGCCAAAGGAGCGCATCATGGCGACGGTCATGTCAATGTACAGCTGTGAGATGACTTGTCCACCAACGAGCTCGAGCACGACTTCCTCATGCGTCGCGTAAGGCGCGCAGAGCAGGATGGACGAGACGTACTGCGACGAGATGGAAGCTGCGAGCTGGATCAGACCTCCGCGGAGACCACCGTTTTGGGAGGAAGAGATGGCAAGCGGCAAACACCCTACTTTTTCGCGGTACTGGATGCTGACGCCGTTGGACATAAGTGCGTCAACGAGGGGTCCGACCGGGCGTTCCTTCATGCGCTTGTTGCCCGTGATGACGACCGGCTGCTCGGCTGCGGAAGTGGAGCAGGGCACGAGCGCGCAGACGCTCGTCATGAAGCGCGCGGCGGTCCCCGCATTTTGCAGGTATAGCTCCTTGCCGTTCTTGGGCTGCACCATATGACCGCCCTTGCCGTGCACGACGACCGTGCGGCCGCCGTCGCGCCACTCGAAGCGCGCCGCGTCGAGGTCGGAGAGCGCGGCCATCATGACCCGCGTGTCATCCGAGTGCAGCAGGTTGCGCAGCGTCGTTGTGCCCCGCGCCAGCGCGGCCAGCACAAGTGCGCGGTTGGAGAGGGACTTGGAGCCGGGCGTAGAGAGTTTGACGGTCTTGACGGGCGCTGCTTGTTGGGATGCGCCTCCCAGCTGCGGAGGAATGGGTACGACTCGCACGGACGGTGCGAGAACACGGCGGATGATGGAGTCCGGCACCGTCGACGCCCTCTCCTCCACCGTGCCACCAACTTTGGAGAGGAGGACGATCTTCTTTTGCGCACCGCTGTTCTTCTTGTCGACACGCATGATGTCCAGCAGGCGCTCGACGCTGAGTTGTTTCTCCTGCCTCTGCGTTGAGGTGATGCGCAAGATGCGCGGGTCTTCCATGCTAATGGGGAGGTTGTACTCCTTCAGACAACGCGTCAGGCGCCCTATGACGACTTGAGGCAACCCGTGCGGCATGGCGCGCGCGATCTCCGCCTCGAGGACCATGCCAATGCTGACGCATTCGCCGTGCAACAGGTCTGGTGTCAGGATGGCTTCAATGGCGTGGCCGATCGAGTGTCCAAAGTTGACGAGGTTCCGCAGCCCAGTTTCCTTTTCGTCAATTGTGACGATGTGCGCTTTGATGCCGACGCTGCCACGGATGACATCGAGGAGCAGAGACTGGGCTTGTGTGCGCGTCGCGAGCGTCCTTCCTTGTGCCTGTACTGGTCCCTCGGACCCTGCCGCGGGCCGGTCCATGACTGCGTTGCGGATCTGCGCAGCATTCAGCTCGAGCTTGTCAAAGTCGTCCGCATCCCAGATGGCGGCAGTCTTGATGACCTCGGCCATGCCGTTGCTGAACTCGCGCTCGGGCAGCGTAGCGAGCAATGCGGCGTCGATGAAGATGAAGCACGGCTGGTGGAAGGCACCGATCAGGTTTTTGCCCGCCGGCGTGTCGATCGCTGTCTTGCCTCCGACAGACGAGTCAACCATCGCAAGGAGCGTCGTGGGGATCTGGATGAATTTGATGCCACGCATAAACTGTTTCACAAGGCGAAAAAGAGCTCCACTTCAGTACCTTGACAGCCAGGTGGAAGCTTTTACGCAGTCAGACACACGCACCGTTGCAGCAACGAAACCGGCCAAGTCACCGATGACACCTCCGCCGAGCGCAATGACTGTGGCGTCGCGTGTGAGCTTTTGCGACAGCATCCAGTCTTCCAAGTCTGCCTTGGTCTCTCGGCTCTTAGAACCTTCGCCGGGTGGGACAATGTACGTTAGCAAGCGAGGCCGTATATGATGCGTTGACGTGGAGATTGCATCGTTTATTGAACTTTCCGCTGAAGAGGAGGGCCAGCCGGCGTCGAGCGCGCTGTTAAACTCAGCGACGAACGCATCGAGGAAGAGTGAGGCGATGTTGCGATCGGCGACGAGCACAAAGGCGCTCGACTTGCCATTGGCCGTTGGGCTCGCCTCTTCGAGCAGCAGCGTGTGGACGATGTGCGGGAACAGGTGGAAGCCGAGGTGAATGGTTGAGGTGAGGCAGCGCAGTACATGCACATGTGTGCCTTCGCTGTCTGCCGGACTGGGGAAGAGGGTGGGTGGTGCATGGTAGTTGGCTACCTTCTTGCCGGCTTGTGCCTCGCTCGGCGGTAAGGACGCCATGCTGGGCGGCGGGGGAGACAGAGGCTATGCGCAGGTCCCGCTTATTCCAAGGGTGATCCTTGCTGGCCTTTCGTTGCTCCCCGTGCGTGACTTGGGGGAAAGGTATATTGATTACGGTCTTCCTGGCGGGATCGGCAAGTCTTCGGAGTACTTCTTGCAGTTTTCCCACATTCCCCGAGTCGTCTCAGTTCTCAGTTCTCAGTTCTCATCCAATTGCACCGATTCTGGCAAATAGCTTTTCTCCGTCGGATCGCTCACCTCCCATCGCTATGCAATGACGTTATTGATGTGGCGCCAACGGAGTTTTACATGCTGTGCGACAAGTTGACCTGGACATGCCCTTGGAACTTCCACCTGCAACACAGCACAGCACAGCCTGACCCGACATGATGGCGACGAACATCACCTTCCACCCTGGCAACGTGACGCACGCGGAGCGCTGCTCGTTCCTGCGCGCGCAGACCGGCGCGACGCTCTGGCTCACCGGGCTCTCCGCGTCGGGCAAGTCGACGATCGCCACGGCGCTCGAGCAATATCTCCTCCACCGCGGGCTGCATGCCTACCGCCTCGATGGCGACAACATCCGCTTTGGCCTCAACAAAGACCTAGGCTTCAGCCAGAAGGACCGCGAGGAGAATATTCGAAGGATCGGAGAGGTGCGTTCTTGCTAACCATTGAACTCCGCCCTCGTCCGTCTTCAGTCGCTGACGCTCGACTCGCCTCTGCCCTTCAGGTTTCCCTACTGTTCGCTGACTCCGCCTCGCTGTGCGTGACTTCCTTCATCTCGCCTTATGCTGCGGACCGGGAGCTGGCGCGGAAGCTGCACACGTCGCACAAGCCGGCGCTCCCGTTCATCGAGATCTTCGTCGACGCCTCGCTGGCCGAGTGCGAGCGGCGCGATCCCAAGGGCTTGTACGCCAAAGTTCGCAAGGGAGAGATCAAGAGCTTCACGGGCATCAGCGAAGATGCGCCGTATGAGCGGCCGCAGAAACCTGAGATCCACATCGATGCGGACAAGACGAGTGTCGAGGACGCCGTCAAGGTCATCGCCCACTACCTGATCGAGAAGGGCATCATCAAGGCGTAGGGGTCGGTCCTTCACTCGAGAGCGAGTGCTGTAATGTATGGATGCGTGATGCCAGCATGGGCAGAATGGAGTCAAAAATTTCCCTCCATTTTGCTTTCTCGCTATGATACAGACTTTGGATCAACTCTTGACTTGTGGCTGCGAGATGACACCATGCCATCCTACATACAACCTCGACGGATGCTCAGTCGTGCACAGCAACCCACCATGCAATTTCCTGCAGCACTGCGCGCACCTCTTCCGAGCTCATGTACTGTCCTACAGGCGGACAATGCACGAACAGGACTTTCGTGCGTTTCCTTCGCCATGCCTCACCCCTCCCTAGGCCCTCCGGTCCTTCATCCATGGCTGCTACCTCATGGCGACAACCAGCCTGCCCTGCTGCACGCTTGCTCTCCGCCAGGGAGGCATAAAAGATGTACTCGCATAGGAAGAGACCTGCGTCAGCGCTGAGGCTCACTGGGACGGCTTCTTGGGTTTTCGCTCGAGCTTGTGCCTGCTGTTGCTCCTGCTCCTGCAGCATTGGCTGTGATGTATATCCAAACTGCCGCATATGCTCCGCCGGCTGCTGCAATGGTGCGTGCGCACTACTGCCGTGTCGTAACTGGCCTTGATCGTGCCTTTGCCCTTTCGCCTGCACCTGCGCGTGCGTCTCCAGCAGCGCGGGCGGTATGCGCGGGAGCACGGCGCGCAGATGGTTCATGAGCGCCTGCACGTCGACGGGACGGTCCGCCGCGCAGTCTGGGGCCCCGTTGGGCCGCTCTTCGTCGCGGAAGCTTTCGCTAGTGGGGTACGCGGAAGCGGGGAAGCCGCGCCGAAGTGCGTGCGCCGGCTCGGGCTCGGGCTCAAGCTCGTCCTCGCTCCCCTCGCCTTCGGGTGCTTTGCTTATCGTTCTCGCTGTCGCACATGTCAATGAAGAAAATGAAGCAGGTTCATCGCCCTTCTGCTGCGGATTCAATCGCTCCATCTCATACCGCTGCATTGGAGTCCAAGGCTGCGTAACTTCCCTGCCAAACCCACCAGAGTCCGCCGACACCGCGACCACGGCCGCCTGGTCGCCGTAGACGAACGGCGCGAGGGCATTTCTCCTATCACGGAACCGGTACCCGCTCTTGTGCGCCCGGGTCTCTAAGCGCATGAACCCGGAGCGCCCGACGCCGACGTGGATGACGACATCGTAGCCGCCGTCACCTTCCCCCCCTCCACGCCCACCTGTACGGTCATCGTCATCACTACGCTGCTGCTGCTGCCTGCGGTGCGACCGCGGCACATGCTGTAGGCCGCGGTAGCCGTGTGGGAAGGAGCGGCCATCGCCAGCGCTGCCATCGTGCGCGCCGGCGGGGTCGAGCCACGGCTCGGCCGTGGGTGGCGGGAGACGCGGCGTGTTGTTGTGGATACGCGGCACGGTGTCGAGCACGGCCGAGTACGCGACGGGGATCTGGATCGCCTGCAGGTGGACGGCCTTGCGCTTCTTGTCCGTACGCATGTCATTGGCCTGATGCTGCGCCGCTGTCGTCGTCGAGGTGCTGCCCATTGCGGGGAAGGTGCTTCCGCGTAGGGTAAGGCCGTGCAGCGGTTTGACGGCCAGCCAGGAGGGGTTGTGCTGGAAACTCGAGAAGGGCTGCATGTATGCGCATGAAACATTGGTGACCAATGCGGTAGATGATCAGCAGGATGATTCTTGCACGCTACTCCGCAAGTTTTGTACTCACCCCGAACCCGGTGAACAGCACCTCGATGGGCCTGTCTTCATCGTCGATGGCGGGTCTATCTTGCGAGGATGCGAGCACCGACGTCATGGCCGGGACTGTTGGGTGCAGCGGTAGTGGAGCCATGGCATTTACTTGGTGAAGGCCTCTTGGTGTCCGAAATTGGAGAGTGTGGCTTTTTACGTTATGCATAAGTTGTTGACGGTCAAGTCACCGAGTGCAGTCGGCATTCGCTGCGAACTGCAATAGCTTGCGTGGCCAGCACTGGTGAGGTTTTCCTTCAGAGTCGATCAGCCACTGGTACCGCCAGCTGAGCTTCAATCGTGTTGTACATACGTATCCACCAGCGCAAGCAATTAGAACCTAGTGAGAGCGGGGGCGGTGTGGGGACAGCGGGAAATAGGCGCGAATGGGGCCCGAAGGGTGAGAACCGTGAAGCGATGAGGAAGCGACGGTCACCGTTTGATGATGGACCGACGAATTGCAATCCTCTCTCTGATACGGACGCTTGTCGTGTCAGAGTTGTCGTTGTCGTTGGCTTTGGTGTTAGTTCCCTTTCATGAACGGCAGCCTTTACAAGTACATGAGTGACACGAGCTGGTGGGGTGTGTGTGCATCGCTCACATCATCGATTTGCTGTGCAAGCTACTCCATGCTGGCCGCTGATCGAACCATGTGACAATTTTGGGTTGAGGGATGAGCCGATGGGGGGAATCCGTCAATACAGTAACGAGACGGTCGAAAGTGCCTATGGCCTCCTTCAAGCAAGTTGCATTCAGCGTGCGTTGTTGGCAGCGCTTCTCTGCTCTTCACTTCCTCAACATATCGTCATTATCTCTCGATCAAATACAAAGAGGAATCCCAACCCCATTAATCGAGCATGAGCAAATGCATAGCAAGCTGCTGTTATCATTCTGCTTACGCCAGCCAACGTAGACATGCCTTTTGCTATCAGCGGCGGCGATGGTACACGACCCTGTAAATAAACACGCGTCACCGCATGGCAACCAAATCATCGAACCACTTTCACAGCACCCAAGTCGTTGAGTATATTGTTGATAAGACTCTCCAAAGCATATCGAAGATCTATCTGTCCAGCCCTGGCCCTGACCAGGGTCCGCGCTCTGCGCCGACAAGGGCACGCGGAAGACTCAAACTCTACTGCACAGTGCCCACAGGTTAGTTGAACACGGGGTCTGGAGCCCGACCTTTGATTCTTTTTAAAGTTGCTTTTTTATTTGTTTATTTTTCGTTCTAGTTCGCGTTCTAGTTCGCGTGTGAGGCACGTTGGCGGAAGTCGGAATGCGGAACCCGGGGGCCAGACTGAATCATGCTCCAGTTCATCACGCACACGCGCCCTCGCGCGCCTCCTTGCAAGGCCCAGAGAAGTTGGTGCGAGAGTGAGGTTATTGGTGGTTGCTGGTGATGATAGTGAGCCTATACGTCACGTCCATGTGCGTTGTTCAACGCATTGTTCAGGTGCAGGAAGAAGTTTGCCAATGAGGAGGAGAGCTAGCACGCTTCAGCTGCCAGGCCTGTCGCATTGCTTGGTGAGTCGTAATTCTCGCAGCCCTCTTGGTGCCGAACCCTGTCTGGTGGCGGCAATGAGTCACAAGGCCTTTGTAGTGACTGTGTCCAGGCAGCTCCCGGGTGTGCCCCAGGCGGAGTTGGCGTGCCGCAGGCGCTTCGAGACGCATCTAAAGGCATGTCTCTTCAACCAGTTGACCGAATCTGATGCGCCTTCCTCCACGCCCCCAGTCCAATAGAGCTCCTTATTGCATCGTAGATTCAAAACCAAGGTGCATTAAACATATCACTTGGGAAGCGAGAACAAAAACACGATGTGCAAGAAGGAGCAGTCAAACGATGTTGCACGTGCTGGAAATCAAGGTTTGAATGGCTCTGCCACTGGTGCCCCTCCATCTCGAGGTCGCGGACGGGGCCGAGGGGCTAGAGGCACTGGCCGAGGCCGAGGCGGTCGAGGCAGGGGAGCAAGAGGAGGCATTCTGGGCCCAATGGGCTTTGATTCGCATCTTCTCGAGCAATTCACGCAGGGAAATTCATCACCGCGCGGCAGTCGAGGCGGCTCGGGGAGTTTGACTCCCCGCGGCGCAGGAAGGGGCTCAAGAGGTCGCGGAGGCCATCTTGCCGTGCAGGGTGCCAATGCCGTTCAATTCAACTACGATGACCTCAACAAAAGAAGTGCTACCAGGAATCGAGACAAGGCGAGCGGGAGTGCAGACACAGCGGTCGACGCTCAAGTGATGTTGGCGGAGACAAAAGCACAACCGTCGAATGCCGGTCTCTGGGACGGCGTCGCGTCCGATTCGGACGACCCTAGGGAAGATGTTGCCATTCAGCTCCATCATTCTTACAAGCGCAAAGTTGTACCTCATAGCGAAATCCAACATCCACCTTTCCCTGCAACCAGCTCGCCGAGCCAAGAACACACGGACTACGACCTCGCTGTTTCCTTGCAGCAGCAGCAATTACTAGGTAGTAACACTGCTGCTATGCCATCAAAGGCGAGGAGAAAGAGGGCGGACAACAGTGGCCGGATTAAACAGACGAAATTTCCCGAGTTTTATACCTCACGTGGAGTTGATGATGCTGGGCCTGCCTCTGCGCCTGGTGTCACTACTTATGGCGGCAAGGCGAATAAGAACCCCAAGATTCGTCCGATTGAGCAGGAAGGCGACGCGCGATATCTTGCTGGAATACCACCGGCTTATCGGGCGCAATTCGGCCTCGGGCCAACTTGGGCCGCCAGGAACGGGGGCAGTGGCAAGTTTGACGGCGGAGACGGCTCTAAGTTTTCCTCAAGAGGACAATTCGGAAAGCAGCTGCGCTTCTCTGGCGCCCGCGACGCAGACGAAGGCAGAGCGCGCCTGCATGTTCCGATCCTGTTCAAGAAAGCTGAAGGCGAATGGAAGAAGGGCGAGTGGAACAAGCTGGATGGCAGTGATACCTCTCAGCAAGGCGAGGTCAATGAGCAGGGCAGAACGCAAGAGGATGCTATCGACTTAGTGCATAAAGCTGAGAAGGAAGTTCTGCGTCTTACCAGCAACTCTTCTGCCGCATGGGCTGTCGGCGGGGCTGGACTCGGGTTCAAGCCGCCTGCAGTTGCCGATGCACAAGTCGCACATCCTCCAAGAAGGCAAGCTTACCAGCCACCAGAAAACATCGATCTCGACGCCCTCGTGAGGGATGTCCTTGGTCCCGAGCTGATCGCGTCAACAGAGAAATTTGGCTCAGTGCAGCAAATCGAGGCCGCTGCAGCCGCCGCTGAACGACAGGATGCATTTGTACGGCATCTGCTGGCTGTGTATCCTGGCAGCCAAGTGCTGCCGCAAGACCAGAATGCCGAGATGTCACATAACCAGCATTCTTCATTCCCAGTCGGGTCGCTTGTGGCCAGATCCGAGCTTTGCGATCACGATAAGTCTAATAGTGAAGATGACGAAGAAGATGACGATATTGTTCTCATCCCGCAGGCGTGGCTTCGTGACGGGTCGCAACCTGCTATGGGAAGCTCGCATCCAGGTGAGAGTGACTCGGAGGAAGAACGACAGCTGGATCAGATCCTTGCGGCGGCTGCAGCCCAAAGACTGGCAAGAGGCGAAGGTGCCCAGGATGCCGAGACGCCCCATGGCAAGCCGTCTAAGAACCAACCAATCGTCATCGACCTCGGGCAAGAGTCTGAGGATGCAGCTGATTCGCCGACTTTGCCGACTCCTACTACCGATATGGACACTGAGATGCAGAGAGACCAAGATCTTTTCGTCCTGGATACCACCGGGGATGCTGAGTTGAAGGACTCTGGGGATTTGAGCTTACCCTCCTTGCGTCAAGGTGAGGTGAAGGAGATTCTGGGGGAGGGCACGGCGCTAGTCGAAGCCATTGAGCACACCGAATTGCGCTCTATCACCATCCTTGAAGAGCCTATCAGTGCACCCGCGGCAACGACTTCTGCAGTGGCATTCTCCGCACTGCCGCCTGCGCCTCGATCTATCTGGAACGCGCTTAATCGGCAGCCACGAGGGAAGGGCAAGAAGGCTCGGAATGCCGGGAAGAAGGCTCGTAGGCGCCAGAGAGCTGAAGAAACCGTGCGATCTGAGCGCTCGGCCATGGTGCCTCGGATCGGAGACTCGGACATAGAATGGGGCAGCGACGGGCCACCAGAAATGCGGGATGGGGAAGCTCTCGATCAAGATATGCAATTGGGCGAAGAAAGTGGATCCGATGATGGAGAACTATTCGGTGAAGCGCTCAGGATTGCTCTTGCGGCATCGGCTGGCGCACCTCAATCGAAGGAGCAGGATGACGCCATGCTACAACTAGCCATGCAAGAGAGTCTCAAATTGCAGGAAGGCGTTGCAAGTGCCGGCGTAGCCGATGGTGGCAAGGCCCAGAGCAGCATCGTCATTTTTCCGCCAAAAGCCGCGCAAGGACAACGGAAGCGTAATGGCCGCCGCTTCCGCAAGCAGAATGTCGATGAAGCCATTCTAGCCGACTATTTGGCCAATGCGATGGGCAACGCCGACGAAGAGGAAGAGCACATTGACACAATCAACCCTTCCGCAACCTCGAAGTCAGATGGCAAGAAGGACTCTGAGATGGACGCCATGTTACGTTTCATGCGTGGCATGAGCGCGAGCGGGCATCGCGAAATGACGCTGCAAGATATCGAAGACGAGATGCGGCTTCGCGAAGAGGAAGAGTGGATGACCATGAGTGAGGAGGACGATGAAAACGAGGGGGCAAGCGATGAAGATAGCGATGGACTCGTGGAAGAGCTGGCTCAGAACGACAAGGACAACATGTTGGACCGCGTAGTCCGAATGGCAGAGGAAAAAATGCTGCAGGAAAGCAAATCGGACAACAGCGATGCGGGCAAATCGGACGATGGCGAACGAGCCTTCGGATCTATCCAGGAGGATGGTTGTGAATCTTCGAATTCGGATTCAGATGAAGACGTTGACGGCGTTAGCGACTCGGATGATGGCATGTTCCGGGGTCGGATGACATGGGCAGAAGGCGATGAAGATTTCATACGGATGATCGAAAAGCTCACTGAAGAGAACGCAGTTGTCATCAGCGGCCGCGATCGTAACGCACGCAAAAAGCTGTTCCGGCAAATCGAGCGCGGAGACTTTGGTGATCTCGTCGACGATGATGTCGTCATTGATGCGGAAGACCGCGTCGTTGGTATCGGATCAGTTCCTCCAGTAAAGGGTGAGGGCCTTACAACTTGCTTGCTGCTCCTGGATCACTCGTGATGACTGAGCAATTCCTTTCTGCATGTTTTACACAGGAGGCAAGGAACGCAAGAAGCAGTGGAAGGAAGGCGACCTGTGGGCGGATGACCTACAGCTGCAATGGAACAAAGATCGCGAGACGAAAGCAATGAACAAGAAGAAGCGCGCAGCCGAGCGTCAAGCTGCAGCTGCGGATCCTTTCCACAACACGCATGATAAAGGCGCCAAATTGGAAAGGACGGCCAAGAAAGAAGCTAAACGCGCTCGTCGCCAGGCTCGTGCTCGTGGTGACTTGGACTATGACGAAGACGTGGACGTAGAGGATGGTGGTAGCGGTCTTCGCCACGCGGAGAACCTGAATGAGCTCAACGGCCAAATCCAGATCTTCTTGCGTGACACAGGAAACGACACGATGAGTCTGCCGCCCATGGACAAACGATCCCGTGCTCAAGTGCACATGCTAGCAGCTGCATACGGACTGAAGAGCAAAAGTCGAGGTACCGGAAAGGCTCGTTTCCCCGTCCTCATCAAGCTCGCCAGGAGCGGTATTGAGGTCGATCACCGCAAGGTCTTGCGTATTTTGTCAGGAAAGGCAACCATGTGGGGTATCGGCACGAAGGCTGCTGCGCGCGGCAAGGGCAAAGCGCCCAAGACGGTTGGTCAGACAGGCGGAGGTGCTCATGCACCGCGTAATCGCGAAGGGGCCGAGGTTGGCTTGGGAGCTGATAAGATTGGCGCGGATAACATTGGGCACAAAGTGAGCAGATTCAGGCGGAGCTAGCGTACCCAAAAATTCTTGCTGAAGCTTTTGCGATTTTTCAGCTTTTGTCTATGATGGGATGGAAGGAAGGTGCAGGCATCGGGCAGGTTGGAGGGATTGCAGAGCCAGTGGGCGCCACAGTCAAGATAACTCGTGGTGGCCTCGGCTTTTGAAACAGTACCTGCTTTGACTGCCGGACACGCAGACAGTTGCAGCAGTGCTTGAAGGAATGCGGTGCCACATGTGTTTCTACTGCTTCTGTAATGAAGGCCTACCGGGGTGGCGGCGAAGGGCGCACGAGCATGATGTAGAAAATTGATTTCTGTACAACTCCTGCACTACACCAGATCCCTTGGCCATAATCCAAAATGGCATGAGATGCTCCGTCATGGACCATAGCCTTACCTGTGGTAGCTTCCCGGCTCTGCCTTCTGCAGACACCAGATACGAAATCGTCCACTACATTGTAGCCTCACCTCGTAAGGATCGTTCACGATCTACATTCCAGAATCCAAAGCAAGGAGCGCGGAGGTGAGATGGCGAGGGTTCCGCCCGTGCATATCGCTTGTCACGGGCTCCCTAATCTCTCAACTTTCGTCAGCATATATGGCTAATACACCCCCTATTTCCATATATATACCCCCATCTTTACGCTCCGCAGTGACCAACAGCTCACCCTCGAACCTCCCGGGAGATTCCCTGTGGATTCTTTCGCCATGAGCGAGAGTAAATTCGCGGCCATTCGCGGCCTCAAGCACCCTACGACCAACTCCACCTCGCAAAATACTCCCCTTAACCAGTGCGTGCCCGACTCGGTCTCGGCCACGAGGACAGGGCCCTATCATAATCATGCCTCACCAAACGATTCGCTCCATAGATTATCGGAGACGAGCCCGCAGGCCTGCTGCAAGCCTCCATCGAATGAGTTTTTGGCAAGCAAGGAGGCATCAGAAGATGATGGCCTGCCTCTGTACCGCCACGATGACCGGCGCAAACCCTCCCGCTCGCCCTTGTCGGTTCCCCATGGCGTGCGGCGCAGACTCGGCGGCAGCCCCATGAAAGCAGGTGTGCTCATTGTGGCTGGCCTCATTTATGTCTTGAACCTGCTTGCAAGCACCCACACCCATTTCAGTGGGCGGTGGCCGGGTAGCAGCCCACCCCATTGGAAGAGCGCCAAGACGAATGTCATCCTCATGATCAGCGACGGCTTGTGAGTGCCCATCATACATCGATGTCCTAAATTACGCTCTCTAATCGCCATGGATCGTCATTCCTAACGCAGTGGACCGGCTGGAGAGACATTTGCCCGCTCCTTTGCCGCTGCACTCAACTCGAGTATTCCAAACGTCCCGTATTCGACTCCGAAGCCTCTCCCATTGGATGACCTGCTTATTGGAACTCACCGTTCCCGCTCATCCTCGTCACTCATCACTGATTCGGCAGCCGGTGCCACGGCGTTTAGCTGTGCGCTCAAATCATATAATGGTGCGATAGGCGTCGATTCAGAAGGTCGCAAATGCGGCACACTTTTCGAAGCTGCCAAGAATCAGCGTGGCATGCTCACCGGTGTCGTCGTCACGAGCAGACTCACTGATGCGACACCGGCCGCCTTCGTTAGTCACGCGGCAAGCAGAGCCCTAGAGGCCGACATTGCAACGCAAGCAGTTCTCGGCACGCTTGATGATCCCAAAGGTCGCAATGGCACGTCTCGCGTTCTGGATCTGGCCATCGGTGGCGGTGGCTGCAACTTTATGCACCGCGACCACCCCATGAGCTGCAGAACCGACGATGTAGACCTCGTCGCAGATGCCACCGCGCTTGGCTGGAATGTCTGGGCAGCTTGGCCGCTTAATTGGACTCGGGATGCCCGTGCTCGCCGGCCCTCAATGACCACGCACATATCTTACGAAGACGCCGTCCTGGCCCACGTCTCGGCAGCGCAGATTCCTGAAATCAAAGTAAGCGCTCGATCACGGGATGTGGTTGCCCACATCGACAGCCACAAGTCTGCCCTTCCCTTCTTGGGTTTGCTCGCTCCAGGAAACACTCCATACGAGATTGACAGGATCGCAATTGCAGAGGATCAGCGACCCCCGAGTCTGAAGATGCTCGCAAGCAAGGTTCTACACATGCTTGATACCGATTCTTCTAACAAGAACGGTTTCATCCTGATGATCGAAGGCTCACAAATCGACCTTTGCGCGCATTCGAACGACGGCGCCTGCCACGCCCGCGAGATTCTGGCCTACCAAGAGGCGATAGCCACTGTCCGCGACTTTGTGGATAGCAAGAACGCGGCAGGCGAACGAACCATCCTCATCTCTACTTCAGATCACGAGACTGGAGGGCTCACGCTTGGTCGACAGCTCACAGCAGCGTACCCTAACTACGCGTGGTACCCTGAGCGCCTCCTTGGCGCCAAGCAAAGCGCGCAAATGCTGAGCGCCGAACTGGTTGGCTTTGCGACAAAGCAGCGCCGCAGCTCCCAGGACCTTGCAGAATACATTCGCAGCCAGACGCTCGGTGAGCAGGGCGCAGGTTTCACGGAGCAGACCGGTGGTCTGCCCACGGACGAAGAAGTGGACAGCATCGCGCAGTGCATTGCCTCGATCCCCGCTTCGCAGATGATGGAGGACCCGCCCCTCGACGTCAGAGACGTCTGCAGGGTTGTCATCGCCAATGCGATGAGTCGCAGGGCAGAGATTGGATGGTCCACATGTGAGTTTTGCGCTTCCATATTGCTGCGTGCAAATCTCTTCTTCAGCACTAACCTTCCAATTATCGAAGCTGGTCACACGGGGCTTGACGTCAACGTCTTTGGGCGTGGACCTGGCATCGACCGTCTGCGTGGCAACATTGAGAATACCGATGTGAGTGCTGATTCCGTTTCAGGGTGATGACCGAGCGATACTCATACAATTCAACCGCCAGATTGGATCTTTCATTGAAGCGTATCTCTCCCTAGACCTTGGGAAGATTACCAAGGAGCTCGCATGAACAAGCCACAGAGACCTGGCGCTACTCCAGCGTCACAATATTATGTATTTTTTCTTCGACGTCGGATACTAGATGAAGGTGGCGAAACTGTTTCTGACTGGCTTGAATGGCAACCATATATATTAATCCCACGCTGCGTCATGACGGCGGTTCGGGAGTGCCCTTTCCCAGCATAAAATTCTTGGAAGTCACATAGAGCATGGCGGGCAGCTTCGCGTAAGTCGGCACCGCTGTAGCATGCTCGAGTGGAATTGATTGCAAATGCAGTTGAAGTCATCTTGAAGAGTATGTGACCTCATGGGCTGTTCCGCACGCGCGATGTGGAACAATGATGGCGAGATTGTATGAGTTGTTGTTATGCTCCGGCACCCGACTCGTTCTTCCTCTTCAGGTTTCCATGTTTTCGATGCATTCGATAGTTATCAAACCGGCAGCTTCACTCATTTGACCTCAGCAGCATCGCTTTGAGCAAGTAGCAGGTGCAGACTCTGCGCAATTGCAACTGCACAAGCGCACCACTCTCAGGTACATTCCTGGCCCCACATTCGCACAAGTTGGACATGATGATGCTCTTAAGAGCGGATGGCGCCGGCGCGGCCGGTTTCCATCAAAGAGACCTCACAAAATTGATCGAAGCTGTTTTTGATGAAAGAAAGTTCTACATAGGATGCATTGCCGACGGGAACCAACTCGATGCGAAGGGCGATACTTTGCGATCATGGCACTCTCCGCGGTCGCCAATCCGCCGAATAGAGGACCACAATTCTGACTGGGGCAGTGATACTGAAAGTAGCAACGAAGGCCTCAGCTGTGGCGTCACCGCTTCAAGTACTTTCGGTGGAACGAGTTGCCCGTCATGGCATGTCGACTGGCGGAGTAGGAGTGATGAAGCACTGCTACTCGAATCACACGCTCGGACGGTTCATTTCGGCTCCTCGTCACCGTCACCGATGCAAGCCTCCAACTCGGACCTTTCCAACATCAACGCTTCGCATTCTCATGAGTACCAAGGAGCTGAAAGTCCGCAACGATTCCTGGTGATGCCAAGATGCCACCAACCACACGCCTTCGCCAAGATGGCATCGAGTCCCGAGTCGGCAGGCTCCTATTGCAGCAGGCAGGGTCAGAATATGCGCCTTCCAAGTGATGATGACACCTACTTGCACGGCAACTTTGAGTCTTCAGGCCAGATACAGCGGCCTCGATTACAGCGCCATAAAAGCTTGAGCTCGACTTCGCTGCCGGCTGCTCCATCCGTGGATCCCCCCCCAGGTTTGTGGTCCAAAAGCGCAAAGGGTTCACGTCCCGAGCTACCGGGGTCGCAGAGAGCACTTCAAGAACCACAGCTGGAAGGAATCCCTTCGCGCACGGTCAGTCCGACTGCAATGATGCCGATTCGACACCGCATTCTTCCCAGGCGTTCATTCAATGATCTCGTAAATTTGTTCGATTCGGACAACGGCAGCAATGCATCGACGAACACCCCGCCTCTACGGCTTGTCGCATCCACGAATGGCAGCGGCTGGAACAGCAATGCAAATGGCAACGGCGGTTGGAACGTCTCCGGTGCAGGCCCCCAGAACGGACGCTCGGGCTATGGGTGCATAGGCAGCGGGGGGCCTAGCGGCGTCGGTGGAACTGGTGGCGCCGGTGGTGATGCAGGGAATACCGGAGGCGGTGGCTCCGGAAATGGAGGCGGGGGGCCTGGTGACGGCCACCGATGTTCTTCATCGTCATCCACCAATTCTGCACCCGGAGTGCAATCCATTTTTCGGCGACTGGAGCTCGTGGGTCGCGGCGCGTACGGGGCCGTCTACCGCGGGGTGCACGTTGCAACAGGCACAGCTGTCGCACTGAAAGTCGTCAATCTGGACACACCGGAAGATGATGTGCAGGATATACAGCATGAAGTGGCTGTCTTGAGCCAGCTCAAGGAGGCGTCCAAGTTCAATGTTGTCCGCTACTGGGGCTGTTGGATGAAAGGGCCAGAACTCTGGATCGTCATGGACTTTGCCGAAGGCGGCAGTATCCGAACACTCGTAAGTGATGCCCGTACCCGTACCCGTACCCATGCTCTCTACTCAATAACACCCCACGCCACTTTTTCCGTAGATGAAGTCGGGGGTGATTCCAGAAAAGCTGAATGCTGTGATTGTCCGGGAGACGCTGGTTGCTCTGTCTTACCTCCACAAGCAAGGAATCATTCACCGAGACATCAAAGCAGCCAACATCTTGCTCACCCATACTGGGAAGATCCTTCTATGTGACTTTGGAATCGCTGCCAATCTGCAAATGCAGAACAAGCGATCTACTATGATCGGTACACCCTATTGGATGGCCCCAGAGGTCATTTCCAAAGGCAAGCTGTACGATCAAAGTGCAGATATCTGGAGTCTGGGCATCACGATCTACGAAATGGCCACTGGGAACCCGCCCCTTGCGGACCTCGACCAGCTAGCTGTGATCACTCTCGTTCCCAAGCAGACGCCGCCAAGGCTCCCGGCAGATGGCCAACACTCACAGCTAATGAGAGAGTTTGTCTCGAACTGCCTGAATGAAGTTGCAATTGAGGTGAGTTTGCCGCTTCTCATGCACTAGATAAGGGCTGACCTTTCTCCTCTACCTGCTCGCAGCGCCCAACTGCGGATGAGCTGAGCAAGAGCAAATGGCTGAAAACTTATGCTAAGGTTCCAACGAGTGCGCTCAAAGAGCTTTTGACACAGTACAGCTCCTGGGTCAAGTCTGGCGGCATGCGGACCAGCCTACTCGGCGCTGGCCTTGCTGGTTTGAATGATCCCGGCAACCGCAACTCTTTTGCGTTCGATGGAGTCGAGAGTGATGAGGGGTGGGAGTTTAGTACGCTTGGAAGCCAAACCTTCGAAGCCATCTCCGAGGTCGACGAGCCGGAAGCCTCACGCTTACCGGCTCAACTTCGCAATCACCCGCTCGCGCGGCTTTTTGATACCAAGAACACCGCAGACACGTATGGAGGTTTTGTACCTCAGACATTTCAGCCTTACGCATCAGAGGCTCTTCCTTCAGAGGGACTGTTAACGCCAACAGTCTCGCAGGATGCACCTGTCTTCAGCACACCGGTTGAAACGCCAACTCTGCGCCAGCCAACCCCCTCGACCACCGTCGATAGTGCCACTGCTAAAAGCAGCGCCAATAGTGCAGGAATACAGCCGAAGAAGGCCTTGCAGGCGACTTCCAAGCCTACTGCTGCCGCCAATGCTGCTGCGGTAAATGGTGGCTTCAGCGGGACAGGCAATGCGCCATTCCGTTTCGGCGGCGGAGGCGGCGCTAGCCACTTCAGACGCCCCACACAGCCATCAGAGCGTCAGAGGTCTGCTTCGATCCCGCAGCCAACGAGATGTCGTGATGAGTCTACTCGCTCAGACACCGATGCTGGACCTGACTCGCGGACAAGCACAAGCGCGACATCGAGTCGGGAGGATCTTGTGAGCCAAAGTGGGCACCGCAGCAGCAATTCGAGCGTGAATAGCAGCTCTATTCCTACGCACTTGCGTTCTGCTTCCCGCAGTGGGCATTCGCATAAGCGGGGCAAGAGCAGCGTGTCGAGCTTCTCTTCGACGTACCACAGCCCAGGATCAAGCTCTTACTCGCCGGCTGTCGAGCAAACTGGATGGCAGCGACAGCATGAGTCCAAGGGGAGCATTTCGAAGCTTATGCGCGGCTACGCTGGACGGCGCCTTGATGCGATCAAAGGCGCGATGCCGCCTTTCTCACGATCGATTAGCGAGCACCCGGCTCCGATCAAGAAGCGCCGGCCTTCAGCTGGCGATCCGGACGCACTGGTGCTCCGACGCCAAGCGTCGCAGCCGGTGCTAGATTCCTTTGGCCGCCCAAGAACGGGAAGCGCGCCAGAGACACCGCCTCCGCACATGAAAAATGTCCACGAAGTTGGCGCGGAATCCAGCATCGATAGGGCCAAGCCCGCCCTTGCCGCTAGTATCGAGGGTGGGACAAACCCACAGTCCGGGCTTTCACACACGCGCAAGCAGCACGGCGGGAGCGACCCGACTCTGCGCAGCAGCACGGATGCAGCAGGCCACCTCGCCAGGACGTGGCGAGAGCGAAGCACAAGTCAAGCTTCGGTCGGCGGTGGCCGCAGCGGAGGGGTTCCTTCTGGGATCGGCGCCGGCACTGCACACCTCGTTCGCTCGCAGCTATCGATGGTCGTCGCCGCCACCCCACCGAGGGCGCTGAAGCTCGTCCGTTCGAATTTGGACGGCATACGCGACGCAGAATCGCCCATGGCAGGCAGGGGACAGCACCATGCGGGTGTGCTCGGCATCAGCGGCGATACACCAGGTGCGTCGACCTCCTTCTCGACGGTCATGCCGAGCGCTGCCGAGCCGGCGTTCTCCGCCCTCTCTTTGGGGATGGGCACTCCGCGTGGACGCGCGGAGTACGGCGGACGAGTGCGAATGCAGGGCGAAGCATCCGAGAGCGGGGTAGCTTTGGGTGGTGCGGGTGCGTCAGCGTCGCTGCCGCAGCCGTGGACGGCGCAGAGCATCCAGTCTGTGCATGCTGGTGCCATGGAGGCGTCACTGTGTCCCTTGGATCTTGTTCACCTGATGAGCAAGGATGATGTCAATCTCGAACTCGCAAAGCGTGTCGAAGATGTCGGCCGGTGGCTCGATTTACTGAGTCATGAGCTGAGTAGCATGCTAGAGTGATTTACAGCACAAGTTACATGAATTCTTTCACTGTGACAGCAGCGGTTGAACTTGCAGGACGCGGGATGACATCGGTGTGCCGCCATGTATCACATTGACGTTGCTGTTTGGCTTCGCGGTTGTTCTGTTGAATGCAGTTGACTGAAGTTGGCACGCACTCGAGGGTTCGATGCCGTCCGTATTCATTGCAGAAGGATGGATGTGTCGATTGAGGGGAATGGCTAAACATAGGCGGCACTCACTACACCCAGTTCCGGCTTGCGACCCACATGTTCCCTCCTTGCCATTCACCCACATTGCTCCTACAGCCTTTAACAATAATCTCGTCACTTGAGCCAAGTAACAAGTCCTGGATATGTATTTAATCCCTGAGGGGTCTAATATTTCGTGCATGATCGCTTCGCCTTCCTCACATGCTCGTGTCGTTCGTGCATAGTATCGATAAGCCTGTCAATCTCATGCTGTGGAATCGCCTCCCAGCCTACCTGTGCTGTCTCCATGAACTGGCCCATTGTGTGGGTACCATTGACCAGGTTCCTGATGCGAGCTTCAGCGTGGACCAGCAGTTCTTAATGTCATTGAGCTCAGGGCTGCCGCCTGGATGGTTCGTCCGTAGTCGACGATCTCGCGCGCCCCCTTTGCCCGCTTGGCCTTGTAAGCAGGAGCACCTTCCTCGAGAACGATGCAGTCACCGTAGATCCTAATAATCTTTTCGACTGCCTGGGCCAAGAGGCCTTAGGTGATGTTGAAATATCCTTGATTATTTAAGCCTTTCTTGCCCTTTTGCCAAGCCGTCATCTTGCCGGTCTGCTCATGCCAGGTACTGTATGGGAAGACCAATGACGATTTGAAGCCTTTGCCGACTGCAGTCCAGTACATGCCTTTGTATCTCACACCAGGGAGCGATTTGCGTATATTCTGGCTCTTTTACTTCTCTTCTAGGCGCATGTTGACTTTGGAGACCGGGTGTACGCTAACTTCAAATGACGCTTCGGGCGTGAAGAGGGATCTTGTCGAAGTCAGTGGCTTGACTCTCTACTATCCACAGTCTCCTGTCTTTGATGCTCTTCGGACAAAGGCAGTGCTTCTTCACATACTTAGCCCAAGTCAGCCTGTGCTTTTTGAGAAGTCTCTAGAGGGTGAAAATGGGATACATCGTTGGGATATTCTTGGCCCATGCGCTTGCAAGTCTCCCCCCACCGGCAGTATCCGCAGTGGTCCCAGCATGCAAGCTTTGCCCTTGCACTCATCCCTCTCAGTGAATTTGCGTGGACTGCCAGACCGCGGAAGATCACTTCTTTTATCGTGTTCGCGATCTTTCTTGACGAGCGCTGGTACAGTCGAGAGGTTGGCGTGGACGTGCTGCGAAGCATCTCTTTGCGAATGAGCTTTTGCATTCTTGAGGATCTTACCGCGGGTTCCAGTGGAGGAGTGCGGCTCACTGGAGACGCAAAAACGTCCAAATCGTTCTCTTCGGAGCCTGGAGAGCGTCATCGACCATTTTCGCTGTAGGTTTGCTAATGCAGAGACCGAAAAGGAGAAGTACAGGTACAGGTGGGGGGTTCGTCAACTGAAAAGACGCGATGCGACACGAAGCGGAACTCGGTGGAGATTTTCTCGGAGTAGCCTCGTGCGCAGAGTCATTTCTCGAACGTCCTCTTCCCGGGGGCGCGGCGTATGGCGTAGGTAAGCCTCATACACGCCGAGCGCAGCTTGGCGAAGCGAGCCTGCCTGATTGCTACATGTACTAAGCAAAAGAGGGGGTTGGCGCAAGCAACCGTCATTTCCAAGGATATTGTTGCTCCCCGGAACTCGGACCCGCTGAGTGACGAGGAAGAGCGAGTTACGTCATGGTTGCCGTTTGTTCATGCCCGTGTCACGTGCGGCTGCGCTCTGGTGCCCTGCATGTGTGTATCACCGTGGAGTGTGACAGTGATGTGCAGCCCAGAGTCGACTGCACTCATTGCCCAGGGCAGCTGTTGAGCGTATGATGAACGATATCTAGAGCGGAGCAGTGCTGCGCGTTGCAAAGGTAAGCCACATGGCGACTTGCGCGGCACAACACCGCACGACGCAGGATTGCCCACTTTTTGGTGACTGTCAACCAACATGCCTGACGCTGGCAGGCTGTCGCAAGCAGTTCTGCTGTGCGCGCTCCCAACTGGTGGAGAGAGGAGAGGGAGGAGGACAGCACGGGGGAGCATCTTTTTCGGCTGTGCTGCGATCCGGGGAGCACAGTAGATGAGTGGCAGGGCGCTGTCCGTGTGTGTATGTGTGCATTGTTCCCTCACTTGCATGTATGCTTGAGTTGACATGACGTCGCGGTGACAACACTGCACAGGCTCGCTCCTCATCCCCTGTTCGGCCCTACCACATGACGATAAATACGTCCCGCGGTACAAGTACAGCATCGTTGTTTACCCCTTTCACATCCCCTTCCCACATCCATCATTACCGCTGCTCTTGCTCGCCTTAAGGTACGCACTGATCTACCGTTAAAGCAGCCCAAAGAAATAGCCCGGACAACATGCCTTTCACCGCTTCGGACATCTGCAAGGTGAGCCCGCACGTCCCTCGCGATTGTGCCGGCTGCTCGCTAGGAGACTGTGAAATGGCCGGTTGCGTGCAGTGGAGGATGCGAGCAGGATCGTGGAATGGCGAGCGACTCATTGCGAGGAGGAGTAGTGCATCTTGCGGAGCGGCATGGTGCACACAATCGGGGTGAAGTATCGAAACGAGTGCCGACATGCGCGGGTCAGGCGCTGCGAGGGGACCACGTTGCATCTGGCCACTAGACCACGAAGAATGCTGCGCCTGGCTTGAGGTGCGGACATTGCAAGGCGTGGGGTGCGAGTTGCGGGGTGCGGAGTTGGGCAAGGGTTTTTTTCTCGACCAGACTGAGCATCAGCTTCCTTGTCTTTGACAGAACAAGCCCTGCGAGTTGATACGTTACTGACCATACCTTATTCCGTTCTTTACGCTTCCTTGCGCCCATTCCTCAGATCATCTTCGCCGTCATCCTCCCGCCGCTGGGTGTCTTCCTCGAGCGTGGATGCGCCGCTGACTTCTGGATTAACATCCTGCTTACTGTGAGTAGTGGGGCACACGATTTCCCCACTGCGCGTTTTCTATTCCAGAATCTGGTTTGCTCACACGAAACGATCGTTGATTTCGTTCCTCTACAGATCCTTGGTTACATTCCAGGTATCATCCACGCTGTACGTTCACACCTTGCCGCTTTCTTTCCCAGGGTCTTGTCGCTGACGCTGCTCACTCCCTTTGCAACACTTTAACAGCTCTACATCATTCTTAAGTATTGAGCAAGCTCGAGTGCTTAGATCAGCTCCGGCTCCAGCAAGAGCCCGAGATGAGAGACGTGCATACGGCATTGTGAGGGGCAGGGCGCTGTAGACGACTCGGTGGCCTTGCGGGAGGGCCCGAATCTGCTCTCTTGGACCTGCTCCAGGCTTGGTTGGCATGGATTCTTTCCCTAAGCCAACTCTTTTCTAGTGTTCTGCAACCGATTACACGCCCCCTGTCTTCTGAACTACACATGCACCCGGCAATGAACCTATACCTTCTCCAGCAGCCCCCCACTCCCGCAGGGTATGCTCACCCGTGACACGGCTGCTACAGCTGCAAGATAAGCTAGCTACCCATGCGTTTTCGTGCAGCTGAGAATGTGCCGTCTGCACAATGTGGTAAAGGCAAACAGGCGTCTTCGCGTTGCGCTCAGATTACATCCACTGCGAGCGATCGAAATTGGGATCTTGTAGGAATGCGCACAAGACTTTGCTCCCGGTCTTCATGGACAGGTAGGCGGGGAATGGGGAAGGAGTGTCTCTGAGAATCAGCTACAATGTTTCGTCAGTTGTGATGGAAGGAAACGCACTTGCAAAAGAGGATGACCAGCGACGATCTGCAAGAAGCGCTCGAGGCCCTCCCTCCTCGACTCGATCACCTCGTCGCTGAAGCGGTTCGTGAACACTTTGCCAGGCAGCACGGGGATGTTGACCCGGTTCGACTCGCGCTCCAGGATGTCCCGGAAGTATTCAAAGTCGGAGTAGCGTCGGCGGACAGATGAGAAGCGCACTTTGAACGCAGGGATGTTGGTCTGGCGGCACGTTAAAAACAGTTGTCATTCTCCCCTCTGTAGGTCAGGGCAGCACATGGTGCGCCACTCACCCTCGTGACGATCTCGTAGTCCGTGTACTGCTTCCGCCCAAAGCCATGCGTCATCGCATTCTTCACTTCCACCTCCAAGAAGTTCTCGGGCACGCCATACATGTCCTCAGCCGTCTCCTTGTGCGCGTTGAGGCTGTCGACGCGCGCAAACGGAGAGTATGCGGAGACGTTCGAGTTGTACGCGTACCCGCCCGGCAGCATGCTTTGCGGTAGTCCGCCGCTGCCGGCTGCACCCCCGCCGGTAAAGTGCGAAGCGTGCGATGTGAAAGCGCGATGCGAGGCCGATGGCATTTGCGCCTGCGCGCCGCTCTGGTTGGGGAAGCCGGAAGAGTTCCCCAAGGGGCCAACATTGCCGTTCGACGGGGCCCTCTCTTGCTGATCTGAAGGGTGAGGGGGCTGGTGCTGTTGATGATGCTGAAACTGCTGATGAAGGTGCTGTTGCGATACAGGAGGCGACATCGACTGTTTGCTAGGCGGTGGAGGGGGCGCTGAACTAGCAGCAGCAGCATCCGGCGGGCCACCCCACAGCTGCGAAGACGTATGCGGTTGGTGCAGCTCCTGCGGCTCTCCAAAGACAGACTGATGTTGCTGCTGATGGTGCGAAAGAACGTCAGGCGCTGCTGCGGGTGGTTGGAAAGCGCTGCCGGCGCCTGCTGATGTGAACCGCGAAGACGGCGCAGAGCGATAAACTTCCTCATCTGGAGACTCAGCGGCTTGGCCAAAGAAGGAAGAGCCCGAAGTTGCGCTCGCCATGCCCTGTCCATTGGCGTGGGGATCCAAGTTGGACAGCTCGCCAAAGTACGACCGCGTCGGCGGTGTTGACACCGGTGCCCCAGCATTGAAGAAGCCTGATCCTCCCAGCGAAGGCGGCTGCTTTGAGAAGCCGCCAGAACCAAAGCCCCCGATCCCGTTGTTTATATCCTCGTCGACGGCGAACCCTCCAAAGCCGCTTGTTGCTGCGGCGCTGGAGCCGCCGATGAAGCCAGCACTCGTGCTTTCCAAGCCAGATGATGGGCCCCCGACTAGGAACTTGTGTGTTTCTGATGTCGCATTGCTGCTGGAAGAAGCTGCTGCCGGCGCAGCCGGCGGAGCTCCCCATGGGTGCTCTTCCACATCAGCCTCTTCGGACGGAACAAGGTAGCCCTCGCTGCCGAACCCTCCATCCGTTAGCGGTCCTGCTGACATGCTGTTTTGACGCGATCACCGGCGAGAGCGTGCGCACACAAGTCTGCGTCTTGTTTGCTTCCCTCGGAAGATGCTCAGCTGAGAGATGCGCTGCGACGGGCATGGAGTCTGAAGTTGTGCATGTCGAACCCGGACCTCATACAAGAAGATGGCATTATCGCCTATCGACAAGCAACGTCCGTCGTCTCTTGGTGGGTGACGAGTGCAGACACTGATGGTGTGCCGCGCGGCACGCCCGCCGACAGGCACACACCACGCCTATCCACGCCACACCAGGTGAACGACGCTATGATCCACCACGCCACGCTACTCCATTGCAGCTTCGCCCACTTCATCGGTTGAACGATTGATCAATTCACCTGCTGAGATGTAACCCTCCATGTCCCGGCGTAGGACTGGGTGGATTCTACCTCAAGAGAAGAATCAGGCCCCACGCTTCACACAGGCTCGGGTACTCGGAAGCTCCTTTAGAAGACCTTGGATGGCTACCCTGCGTCTCGGTGCACAGGCCTAATATTTCCTTATCGCTCGGGCAGGTGTTTATCGATTTTGCTAATTACGTTGGAATCCAAGATGCGTGTTGTTCGACTCGGGTCCAAAAGCCTTCCGTGGTACCACTGACGGTCAAGGCAACGATGTTCCGCGACCCATGAGCAGCCACACACTTCTACCCATGTAACCAGGAATATCAGAAATGATATCGGGGCCTAATTCTTTCACTACAATTGCACTGGGTAGAACAGTTCATGTTAGTTAAATTCGCTGTGAAAGCCAATAAGGCGACTGTGTCTTGCCTGGGCTTGTGGGGCTTTGTCTAAGGAGCTCTTCTTCGGCTTCGGTTTACCGCCATGCTGTCGAATCATATTTGTGGTTCCATGTGCCCTTTTGTTTTCACCGCCCCTATCTTATTGCACGGTGGACTGCAACGCGGCCCCGGACCGTGCGTTTGGAGTCTGCACGCCTTCGGATTGCCTTCTTTATTCCCCCCTCCCCTGTGCTTTACACTTGATGCCAAATCGAAGCGGAGTTGAAAGCAATTGAAACGAATCACCTAATACACTTCTTGAAAGGAGAGCCATGGTGGCTGTAGCGATGGTACGTTCTTCAGGACCACGGCAGAACTCAACGAAGTGCTCGCTGTCTACGAATCGCGGTGTGGACCAGTTGATGGTACACATCGAGTTTCAACAGTGGTTGTCAGGGATATTGCGCCGGATGTGGGAATAAATTTCCACGTAGCTGCCAGGGATGGGAGAACCCCGAGCTCCCGTACACCGAACCTTAACTCCCCCGATTCAACGCGTACAACAAGCCTTCACTTTCCGGCCGACTCCTGCGCCTTTGCCGCGCTGGTGATCGCTATGGTACTCAGCAGTGTAGGTACTCGGCATATTCGCGTCCGCTCAGCTGGCGTCAAACGCAAGCGCGTGCGGCCCGTCGCGTTGTGAGTCCGCGACCGTAGTCGGAGCTGTGTGATGATGTGATGATTGCTATACATGCACCTCCCACCCAGGCACCGGGCCACTGTCGACTGTCGGCGCTCGAGCTCTGACGATCTCGCTCGTCACACTATTCTCATCCGCAGGCATCATCGGCCTCGATTCTTCATCATCAATTTAATGAGAAACAGCAAAGGCGTGCGTTTGTGGATGGGCAACACAAGGCCCTCGTCCTCCTCGTCCAAAACTGTGTCGTCAGCATTTCCCCTCTGCTGACTGTGCGCTGAGGAAGAAGATGAATCGCCCCTGAGAGCCAAACTGCAGAGGCTGGAGCTGAAACTGTTTCATGTCCAGTCAGACGTACCTGAATGCGTGGTCATCATCCTACCTTGCTCGGACCGTACCTCTTACGCTGAACTGTGCTGCTTCAATACATATCCAGTTGCGCATCTACGCCTCTCGGACCTTTTTCGAAGCTGCCTAACTCTTCTCTCTACAGCTCACATACAGCTCTTTGCTAAAGATTGCAGCAGAACATTCATGCGGCGAAGAGGTCGGATTGCTGCGAACATTCTTGGCTAACTCACCTTGACACTTCTTTCGCGGAATATCTTCCCTTGCCCTACGAAGGGGCCCGCCCACAACATGAAGCTGCAGCGGCAATTTGCACTGCTCAAAATTGGTCGATGCTGGTCCCGCCCCTCCTTACCTCCCGCTTACACATTCATCAACGCGAAGGGCTTAACAGAGCAGTGCGGAACGGGTACCGGGTGGTGTGCTATTATTAACAGCTCATACCTCCATGCTCCACCCCCTTTGACTGCTCGTTGCACTCCAGAGACATTGCTTCGCGCTCGCAACTTTGCCCAAGTACAAGCAGATCTGGACAAAGCATGTTCACCTTGCGAAGCGCCAACATGCAGGCAGTACGGTCCTCTTTGCGTCTGATTGCATCTTTGCTGCTCGCGTCTGCGACTTCTGTCACCGCTCAGAACAACGCAGGCACCGTCAGCCTTTCGCCAGCAGCAAATGTTCAATCCGCCAACGGCCTCTCGGTCGTGCTGTCGCCCTCCTTTGCCGGCATGGGAATCGAGCCGTCCAATCTGCTCTCTTTCACCGGATCCGGTTCAGTCAACCAGCTAACGTACCAGCTGTTGTCCAACCTCGCCAATTATTCTGGCGTGCCGCCGCATCTGCGTATCGGGGGAAACTCCGGTGACAACATGATTTACGGCCCGAATGAGTCTGGGATAGGCCTCATCACCAACTCCAACCCTCACGGGCAGGGCAACACACCGACAGATAAATTCATCATCGGTCCTGGCTTCTTCAACTCGTTGGACCTCATGCCGCCAAATACGCCCATCACCTATGGACTCAACCTCGCATACAACGGCTCAGATGCTGTAGACCGGCTCGTAGAGCAAGCAGAGGCTGCATTTACCTTGCTTCAGAATGTCAAAATCGTCAGCCTCGAGATTGGAAACGAGCCAGACCTATACCTTATCAATGGCTACCGCGATTCGGGCTGGACAGTCAACAACTTTGGCTCCGAATGGTCGACTCGTGCTCAGGCTGTCAACAACCAGGTGCTGAAGAAGCGCAACTTGCCCACCAATTTCTTTGAGCCCGCCGTGACGGCCACGACGGCCACCTCATCAGGGCATGCGTACCGTATCAGCAACCTGGTCAACACAGGAGTTGCCGTCGATAATGGAATTTACGTCGCCGGGTGGAACCAGCACGATTACTTTTATTACGTCGGCGTCAGCACGTACGAATTAAGCTCGGGATACCTCCTCGACCTCTCCAACACGTACAAACAGTTCGGCGAGTGGGCCAACCAGGCGCAGTCAGCGGCCGTTACGGGAAAGCCGTACTACCTGAGGGAGATGGGCGCCGTTGGTCCGACAGGGATTCAGGGCATCAGCGATACATTTGGTAAATCTTTCTCGCGCAGACGTCTAATTCGGTTCTCCTGCTGATGGCCCCTGCCTTTCTTGCAGCTAATACGCTTTGGACTCTCAACTTTTTCCTGTATGCTGCCACCATTAAAGTTTCGTCGGTGCAGATGCACATGACGGACAACTCGTATGGCTCGCCTTGGCAACCAGGCAATGCCAATGGCGTCGGTCCCCACGTCCGTTCGTCGTACTATGCCTTTGCGGCAATGTCGCAGATCGTGGGTGCGCAGTGCAATACTCGCATCGGAACTCTCATGATTGGTAACGTTCCAGGCGCATACAACAGCCATCTCGCTGCCTACTCGGTCTACAGAGGAAATGATCTCGCTTCCACCGTGCTGATCAATACGCAAGAGTCTCAGAGCTACGTCTACCCCAAGAACAGCATTTCGTTCAGCGTTTCGCTACCAAAAATGGCTGGGCAGACTGCCTATTTGTCTTATCTCACCGCTCAGGGCTCGGACTCGAAGCAGAATACCACCTGGAACAATCTGTCCTTCGAACAGTCCAACACCGGTGCACCTACGACCGTCAACGATGGTAACACGGCCACTGTGCAGGTCGGGTCAGATGGCACGCTCATCATCCCTGTACGTGACTCGCAAGCCGTTGTCGCCGCCTTTGGCGCACCGATCGGGTCGAACAACCAGGTTGACCAGAACAACTGCAAGTCGCTCTCAGCCAATACATCCGAGGGAGGCGAGACCAGCCCAGACGCCACCAGCGCACCACTACCAACATTCAAGGCAGTCACCGGCTTCCCGTCGGATGGGCAGCTCAGCACCGCCGCCATCCTCGGCATCGCAGTTAGCGTGTTCTCCGTCATCTTTTTCTTCGGTCTTGCCATCTTCCTATGCGTTTGCTTGCGCCGCCGACGCAGGCAGCGAGCATACATGCAAAAGCGCCTGTACAGCTCGACTGACATGATCACCACGGACACCCGCAGGCGCTCAAGCGCCAGAATCATGTCGGAGCGACCCGGCTCCGCATTCGTTGCAGCTCGCATTATTCACGAGGGCGAACAGTCCGGCAATACGTTAGTCTACTCGCAGGAGCAGCACGGTCATGGGCGTTATGATTCTACTGGTTTGCCAGATCTGCACAGATACCCGGGCGGCGGCGACGGCGGCACATGGACACCGCCAGACGCGCGGTACATACATGTGCGAACAGGCAGCGAAGACGCGACGCCAAGCTCATCGAAGACGTGGTACAAGAACGATGTCGCAGGTGGCGTTTCCAAACAGAGATCTTCCGACTGGCACCGACAGTCCATGAGCTGAAGGCTCCTTCGCTTTCTCGCATCTCTTGTAACTTCGTATCTTCTACGCAAACCAATCATTCACGCTGCAATTGTACACAAGATAGCTCTACAGTCAACTAAGTGCCGCTTAAACACCGCGCGCGTCGCGCGTCGCTGCTCTCGCAAATCAGCAAATATAATCGGTTTTCGTTCAAAGCTCACTTTGCGCGTAACACTTCACCTTACATGCCGCCACCAGTTCACATCTATGCAGCCCTTACGCAGCTTGTTCACTGTAGCATTCTGGTCTTTACAGCCTTCGTCCTTGCCGATCAAGTTGTTCATTTCGGCTGGCTGTCCGGACTTCCTTTCAGTCCTGGCACACCTCCTATTTCTTCTTTTGAATCACGTCCCTGGCGAGACACACCCTGATTGTAAAATATCGAGAATTTGTACTCATAGATGCCCCACACAACGGACACTTGATAATGGTTTCCTACAGATGGCATGGGTGCATGCGTGCAGACCTAAAAGTACATTGCAAGAGTCCATGAAGTAGATGAAAGAGCGCATTAAGAAAGAATAGTCACGCCTAGAGATAAGTTCGCCATCTCCTCCATAGAGGTACTGCCAGGAGCGTCGCTGCAGCTGTCCCAGTAGCGGCTAGGGCAAAGCTTAGTTGGAAACAGCTTCGGCCATGCAAACATACGCCCAATGGGACGTGAGTTCCATCCTGACGTGCAGGGTCTTCGCCTACAACGTCAGAGACGACAGCGTAGAGCAAGGAGAAGCCAAGGCTTCCTGCAGCGCACGAGTAGGTGAGTAATCCCCAAGAGCGACCAAAGGTGCGCAGGCCATAAGCGTTTGCTACGATGGAGGGCACCTGGGTGAAGGTGAAGCCGTACCCGATGCCGACAAGCAGGCTCACGCCGACGAGTTCATGGAGCGTACTCAGCGCCAAGGCGGAAAATGCGAAAGCTGCTGTCAGTAATGTGGTGGAGGTGAGCAGGATTGTCATTCGCGACACGCGAATATTTCCTACGAAGTGCAGAATTCGGCGTGTAGCGCTGACGTCGCTTGTGTCAGAAAGTGGAGGAGCTTTTGGTCGACTTGGCGAGAGAAAGTCGGTTACGAGGCCAGAAACAAGACGAGAGAGTGTGTTGGCTGTCGCGAGCAGCTGCACTTGCATGCTCCTCCATCGGAGAGCTTCGTGATTCATTGCCGGAAGATCTGGCGAGTTTTCATCAGCTGATGTCACGGCGCTTCCGGTAGCTCCATGTGAAGGTGTGACGATCCCGCCCCCAAGGAGGGAGACGACCATACTCCCCACGCTACTCATGACCATTTCCGCACCTCCGACAGCGGTGAACATGAGTAATGCCAAGATCCAGACTGACGGGGTGGCGAGGAAGTCGCGCAATGAGGCGGACCTCGGCACAAGTGATATACTGCTGCTGGATGCCCCGACATTCGCGGTACTCCTCGCCTGGTCGGCGCCGCTATTCTCCTCGAGATCCGAATCTGCGTTGGTAGACAAAAGGGGTAACCTCTCGTCGGCTAACATTGACACTGCTCGGTCTTGCACGGTCACACGCTTCTTCTTGACGCCCTCAGCCTGCGATGGCTTGACCTCGGGTGCAAGCATGAAGAAAGTGCTGACGCCATTGGTGATGGTCAACAGGACCGCTAGGAAGGTAAGAAAGGTTGCGGCGCTTAAATCGCCGGTCGTCGCGTCGATAAAGAAGTGCGAGCCGATAGACGTCAGAAAGAGTGAGGATAGAGAGAAGAGGGTCAGGGGAAGGGAGATGGCTAGCCCAGGGTGGGATGGAAACAGGCGTGTCGAGGCGGTAACCGCCGAAAAGTAACTATAGATGTACAGGCGGTCATACTGGCGTTAGGGCAGTGCCCCCCAAGACTGAAAAGGAGCAAGACCTGCACTCACCTGGCAGAGACACCGGCTCCAACTAAGACGAAAGCGAACGTCATGGGGACGAATCCCAGGGAGGAGCTCGTCTGGTACGGTGTGGCGACCATTCCCGCAAGTTTCCTCTGATGCTGCTGTGCCCGGTTGAGTTTCACAGCGGTGGCGTCACCATGCGCCATTAGACTGTACCCGACGCCAAAGAGCACAGCTGCGGCGGCGGACAGCGGGCGTGGGCCGAATGCATCTGCCAGTGCGCCCCAAAAGGCGGCGGTGATGTACTCGCCCATAACTGCACCAACCCTGTGATGCAATTGATAATAAGGGTGTGTGGAATAGGTATAAAGTGAAGAAGGTAAGCTCACCAAATGGTGTTGGTCTGCTTGAGACTTAGGGATAGATCTGCCATGAGAGACGGCCCGATGAGGGGAAAGCAGCTATAACGTATCATCAACGGAGGGATGAGCGTGTTCAACACCTGAACCCCGGCGATTGAGGCTACTAAGGCGCTGAACGACTCACAACATGCTACCAGCGGTCAAACTGTTGGCGGCGATACAAAGAGCAGTTACTGCGGTCTGAAATCGGGAAAGTGAGGGCGCCATCTGCTCGTCCTTCCCAGTGTTGGATATAGCGTCTGCTGTGGGCGAGGTAGCCGTGGGGGTAACGCGTACCTCATTGGGTTCGCCAGCGCCAGTCGCTTGCATAAGCGACATGATTGCGTGGATTAAAATGTTGGGGATTGAGGCTGAGACTCGATACCGAGGACGACAAGAAGCTGGCCCCGGAGGGACGGGTGAACGATGGCGTTAGTGATGGATACAACAGCAGGGTGGCAGGCTCCTCGTTGGCGCACAACGATGGCACTGGGAGGACGATCCGAGAGGGAGGCGATATGTCTAGCGTAACCAAGGCTTGGCAAGGACGAAAATAGCTGCGTTTTCAGTCCGATACATCCTGGTGCTCAGCATGCAAGTGCGTGAAGCTAGTAGACAGCCAATATTTGATGAACCCCACCCTGTTCATGAGAATTGCGATCAACAACGTGAGCTGCTGCTTGGCGCAAGCCACAATCCTAATTGTGACTCGCCGCAGAGGGGGCAAGCTGCAAGACGCAAGCGAGCAACCCTAAAAATGGCTCTGTCACTCAATTGCACCGAACGACAACGACTCTTTCCCTCCTGCCCTCATCAAACACAATCTCGTCGACGGTCCCTTTTCGACTTCTCGGTATCCATTCTCAATGCTTCCTTACAAGAGGAAATCCACATCGAAGGTTCTGCAGGCAACCTCCGGCATCTTTGAGGAACCACAAGCTCACTCGCCTTGTCTCGAAAGGAAACTTAGAAAGAAGCCTAAGGTGGCAGCTGAAGTCACGCATTAACCGTCGCCATGGCCTCTCGCCTTCCCATCGCCGGACCATCGCGGCTACCTATATTCAATATCCATGCGGCTTCGTTGAGAGCCGCTAGGTCGATTCCGACCATCGCAGTGGCATCATACATAGAACAAGGGCGCCAGATATCCGAGGTGAAATCATTTTCGCCATCGCCCGCACGCCTAGGCACGACAAGTACCCTTCTCGGGAGGATCTTTTCAAGAGCCTCCTCGCCCTTCACATCGTCTATGTCAACACATTCTTTTCTTCGAACAACGCCTTTTCCCTCATTACGCCAATCGCATCCGCAGTCACAGCAAGCTCGCTGTGTGACGTATGGGTCCGAATATCAGCCCTCGCAACGCAAACGCAAGCGCAAGCACGGATTCCTCTCTCGCCTACGAACAAAGAAAGGTCGCCAGCTGCTCGCCAAAAGACGGATGGCGGGAAGAAGATTCTTGAGCCATTAAGCGGGGAGTGGAAACCTTAAATATGGGTTTCCCCAAGAAAGCAAGAGAGAAAGCGAACGCCGCCTTAACGAGCATGAAGGAGCAAGTTCAGGCATTGCGTTGCAAACGGCATGGGAAGTAATGTCCCTTTGAAGGGTTACAAAATGGAAGCGTACTAGAAGACCAGGATCAGGGAATCAGTTTTAGACACAAGCGCTTAAAGCGGACCTCAGAAAAGGAGATCGAGAGTGCGGGCTCGTTTGGATGACACCGCAAGCATGGACAAGGTGGAAAGGGTGTGCGCCATGATCCAGCGCATGATAAGTGCAGCAGAGGTCTCGCCGTTCGGGCCCTTCCAGCATTGTCACCATCTGAATTGCAATACATGCTGTCCCAGCTTGGGGGAATTGAATCTCAGTCTGATGGGCTGGCTGTGGACTTCCCTAAGCCGTGCTATTTGCGTGCCAGCAGGCAAGTCAATGTTTGCCAAGTAGACTTGCGAAGGGAACAGCGGGAATGTGCCGCTATCGTATGGGTTCTTGACCGACGGTACCGTTCGCTACTGTGCGGACCGGGTTAGGGACATGTAACTTCCCTGCAGGACGCTTTGCCCGTTCCGCGACGACCTCGCCGTTGGTTTCCCATTACCCTCGTCTCCGGCTAGCGTGCGATAGAACGGCAGAAGACAGGCAAAGAAGCTGCATTGCCGATCATCAAGCCCATTCGATGCTATAAGGCGGCGGCGGAAAGAGTGCCAGCCGCCCATTGTTGAGGCAGTCGGCTTCAAGAATTGATGCGGCATCTGCACTGGACAACTCCTATCCAGCATTGCGATCTTTGACAACTTTGACCTTGAAACCTCGGTTTTTGAACTCGTGCATCAGCGCTATCCGATCGAATGGATAACGTCAGCCCACATTCCTTTTGATTAGGCGAGACAACTCACATTCGTCTTGCCGCTCCTGCTCGCGCCCCTCGTACGATAAGACAAGCTGCTTCAATTGCTGCCTTTCAGCCGCATCACGCATTTGTTTGGTCCGAGTGTTGACCGCAATTGCTGCGTCAATCGGGACATCGACGTCATGTGTCTGTGAAAACAATGCAAATAAACTTCGTCAGAGTGGAGCATTGTGAGAGACAAGGACGCAAAAAAGTATCCCCACCAGAACCCTGTTGCCACGCTTCGACAACAGGCTGAACTTCATGTGCTGGCCATCTTTAGCGACTGCCTCGGTCTGGTCGACAGACTCTGCAACTGATGCCGACGATCTCTTTAAGAGCGGGATCGCTGCATCGAAGAGTCCCTTTTGTGAGCGAGTTGCTCCTCCCGGTGGCACGGATGAGCTCTCCGCCATCATCTTTGCCAGCTCGCGGGCGAATTCCTCGTCTTGCTCTTGAAGCATCTGCCGCTCTCTCTCGCCCCGCATTATCATCGATTCATCTTCGATATGCGGTTCATCAACAGCATTGTCGATCTCTGTGTCGGCATCCGAATCTGCGCCATCGATAGGAGTTGTGGCTCCAGACGACCGAGCACGGTTCCCTCTTTGTCCTACGTCGTCGTCGTCGTCGTCGTCATCGCTTGATTCATCGTCGCTTTCTTCGGCCTCCTGTTGGGCAGAAGGGACACCTTTCGCCCTTTCCATTTCTTGCACAGCTTGTGCTGCTTCCTCAAATGTCTTCTTCAGCTCAAAATTGGGGCGCAACGATTCAAGAAGGTCGGAGAGCATAAAGTCGACGTCCATGGGAAGCGGCTGCTGTTTCGACATCAGATAGAAGTTGAAAAAGACAAGAAACTCGTCGAGGCGTTTCTTGGGAGAACCGCGGTCAAAGCACATCCCGCACGTGTCGAGCAGGGTGCAGACCAGACGTACGCGAAAATAATCATCGGGTGCATCCAGCGGCGAAATCTGGTTGGGTAGCGGCGTCCCGTTGCGGTGTCCAAACGTGGTAAAGCTCCACAGTTGATCAAAAATGATGCTCGAGCTGATCATGCGGTAGTTGTACAGCTCGCCGAGAAATTTGACAGTTGCAACGCGGCGCTGGTTGTTCTTAAAGATGTTCGCTTCCATTCCAGCACGTATGTCCTCGCAAATTTGGTCAATGACGCGGATGGAAAAGTCCGAGTGGTAGGGCTGAAGATCGTGCAGCAGTATCACAAGCAGATGGATGTGGCTGAACTTGACCTTCCACATCTTGGTAAAGACTTCGTGTAGGTGCTTTATGATAGCTGGATCCTCCCAATGAAGCTTGCGCATGAGCTTAAGGACCTTCTCCAGGTGCTTTTTCGAAAGGACATTGAAGACCAGGTGGTTAATGAACTGCTCCATCGGACTGCGTTCTCGCTTTTGTGTGGCCTTGCGCTCGGGTGGATTGCACTGATAGTATGCATTGTCGAGGATCAGGACTTGCCTGTGATCCAGATTTGTCGCCGCACGTTTGCGGCGGAGCAGTTCCAGTGCGGATCGCATGCGATCACTTGTCTCTGGTGTGCGCAACAGAAAGCGACCACAGCCTTCAAGGAAGCCGGCCAGGTTGTCAATGTTGTGCCCGCTGAATCCGTCCAAGCACACTTTGAGGCAATGAAAGATGATGTGAATTGGTGTGACCTTGAACTTTGTTAATTCTGACAGGAATCGCACATTCCTTGCTCGGCTCTCGTGCATGTCCGCCTGGCGCTTGCGTTGAAAGTAGCGAAATTCCTCATCTAGAGTAGATGTGACAAGAGTGCCGACATCTGGCATATACCGGTTGAGAGTTGCGATGAGACGAGCGTAGTACGGAATGAGATCAGACCGGTTCCTGGGGACGTTGGAGGTGGCGCGCACCAACTTGCGTCGCGCAAGCTTGTTGTTGAGGTACACGAAGTCAACAGCAGCCGAGTCAATCATGGCGCGGTTTGTCATTTCTGGCAGCTTCGCCAACAGAGCGTTGAGTTGTGCGGCTGGGCCTGCAGTGATTTGACCCTCGCTATCTTCTTCCACATCATCATGGGGCATATCGGCGTGGAGCATTGGTGACTGGGGCTGCGACGAAGAATCAAGGTCTTTGCTCGGTAGACATGGGCTGTTCTCGACGATCGCAATAACCTCTTCATGCGCGCCTTGAGCTGCTAAAGGCTGTTCCTTATCCTCTGCATCGGTCCGGCTCGAGGCATCAAGTGCTTCCTTCTGCTTTGCCCACCCGTCGAGTATTGGCTCTGATGCACCCTTTTCCAGCGCTAATACGCTGGCAGGGACAACGTCTTTGAGATCAAGAATGTCTTCGTAGAATTTTCGCGTGTCTTCATCCTCCCAGGGGCTCATGCCACTTGCATATCTCTCTTCAGCGTCGGTACTTTGAAGATTGGGTGTTGCATCGAGGTTGACACCGACTGAGCCGCCTAGAGCGATTTCCTTTGCCTCGCGCAGTACCGGCATGGGCACATCGATCAGCTCGGAAAGCCCCTTGCCAGCTTCGATGAGCTTGTCGAGATTCTTTGTCATCTTTTCATAGTTTTGTTGCCGATCTTCGAATATTTCACCAGAGCGAATGTACGCTTCATGGTTACGCTTGTCTTGTTCGAAAAGGCGCTGTTTTTGCATACAGATGACTCGTCAGTCAGTGCGTCTGCAGCTTGGTATGAAAGAAGTTCGGCTCATGACTACTCACAAGGTGGTCCCTGGATATTCTCTTGGAAAGCGTGCCAAAATATATCGCACAAAGCTTTCGAAACTTAGCCTGCCACTCGAGGGGTACTTGAAGAACGGGTACGGGCCGCTCGCTCGCCGCGCTGCCATGCTCTTGCAGCGATACCTCCTGGAGTGTGTCCGAAACTTCGTCTACATTCGCAGACTTTGGTCCGAGCAAAACAGTGCCATGGGCCTTGAGCAGCACCGTCAAGATCGGTACGTTGGCGTGCTCACGATCTGAGGTAAGCTAATCGACACCCACTTGTAAGCTGCGATGCCGCAGAGCTAAGGCATTCGATATTCTCACCATGTCCCGTGTGGTAGTGTACAGCCATTCCAGGCCAGGTGTCCCCTCGCTTCCCTGTCCATCTCCGCGAACGCATTCGACGAGAGCAGCATCTGCAGCCACACGAATGATTCCTTTTTGACGTGCAATGCGCATGCTCTCTTCTCTTTCCTTTTGTTCCGGCGACAGAGCTTGAATAGAGGCCCGGGACGGTTGCGCTAGCTGCGCGGACAGTTGCACGGATACCGGTTTGGAGAATGCTGGGCCGCCAAAACGGGTATGGAACGCCGACAAAATCTGAGGTGTTTTGGCGAGAGACTAGAATGAGCAAAAGGGGCAAGCGGCCTGCAGTTGAACGCTTACCTCAATCGCTGCAAAGCTGTCTTTTGCTGCGGTGCACTTAGAAAGACCCTCCGGGACGACTTGCAATATCTCCTCGAGGTATTTGTCCAGGTTCAAAATGCCGAGCTCTTTGATCAATTGATCTCTCGCATCGGCACCAAGACCTTGCTTTACACGTTTCACGAACGCCGTGTTCTTTTTGAGGTTCGAGTCCAATGGCCCCGTGTGCGTAACCGCGGGGCCCGATTCCCAGATGCGAAGGTTTGCATCGCGTAGCTGTTGGCGCTTCCGGTCCCGCTCGGCTGCAATAGCTGCCGCCTTGTTTGCCGTGCCCGATGTGTTGGTTGCAGCAGCAGATGCAGCTTCAGACATTCCGCCAAGTCGAGCCGAGGTGGCACTGGTCGAGAAGCACTCACACGAGCAGGTACACAGTGTGTGCGCTCACAGCGCAAGGCGACTTTAACAGGCCATGTGGTCAGCAACGAGGACTCCGAAGGAGCAAGTCGTCAGCGTACGAATTGTAGTCAGAACTTTCGAAATGAATGATCTGGTAATGGCGGGAACAGTCATTGAAAGAATCTAATGCTCCTGATGCTTGCAGGTTGTTGGACACGCAATTTGAATTATTTTCTGGTGGGGTTGCAAAAGAATGAAATGACATTTAGGCATGCTCAAGCAGATTCTACTTTCGTTGCCTCAGCTTGGATCCCGACCACAGTCGTGAAAAGATGTATTCAGGGCCAGGGACAACCGCAATCATTGCGGGGGGTTGCAAATCTGCCTGGTGTGTCCCCACTCGGTCCCTTGTATATATGAAATTCTAGACATGTCCTGCATATAAGCTGGCTGGTCATCACCATGAAGTGTTATAGGCAACTTATGCGAGATCAACACCTTTTCTTTGTTATAATATCAAAGCATACCCGCAAACTACAATCCACAGCCCCCTCCCCCCACTCCGCAAAGCCCCGTCTTAACTCAGCAATTATCTTCAAGCGTCATGAGTCATTGCGTCAAGCGTCAAAGATGGACAACGCGAAAAGGCTGTGTGGACATCCAAGAATTCTGTTCTGGCGTTCCGGGGACTGAGTGGGAGGGTGTCATGACGACCAGTTGATTGAATGGGCTGATGTGCGGGCGGAGCGACTTGGTGAGCGGCGTCATGGGCGCCGGAGCGGCGGCTGGGAGCACATCGGTCGAGCCTGCCGTCGGCAGCGGGACCTCGTCGTAGCAATGGCTTCGAGCAGCTTGCGCATCGGGGGCCCGAGCTTGCTAACGTCGGCGGTCGATCGCGTGCGCAAAGTCCCCCGCGCTCATCGTGGCCGGCTGGAGGTCCAGGTCGGAGGGGGTGATGAAGTGAAGCGCAATGGTCTGCAGTCGGCGATGAAAACCGACGGGCTGCAGCTGTGGTGCCCTTCTTTTGCAACACCCCGGCAGCCTGGGGAACATCGATTTGAACGACGTGCGAAATGGAGTTCTATAGCGAGCAGGCAGCGGTGACGCGTACGAAGGGGTGCATGCCCTTAGTGACGCTGCTCTGGGCGAGCTTGCGCATCAGGTCGGACGTGCGTCGCACGCGGCCGTCTGCACGACTTCGAGCGAGTTGTCCCCGGCCGCAGGGAAGAGAGCTGCGACGAATACGGGCCGGAAGTCGATGCCTCGAATGCGGACTTCGATGATGACGGCCTGTTCTACAGTGCCTTGACCCTAGCAGATGCTGCAGGTGGAGAGAAGGGTACCTTTGCAAGTATCGAAGTAGAGGATGCCATAGCCATGGCATAGCAGGTACTCGATGCCGCTCTTCTCCTCGCCAGAACCATTGCACTACCGGGACTCGTCGGCCGGTTCATCCTTGCAGGTGCTACAGGTAGCTTTGCCAGAACCATGGTATTTGAGACACTTGGAGTTGACGAGCGATTTGGGCAGCTCAAAGTGGCGGCGGTCCTTCGACTGTCGCTCGATGGTGTCGAGGTCGTGTTCGAGCGGCAGCTGCCACGGAGTGGGCATGGAGGAGGTTCCTGGGTTCCTTGCAAGGCTATGCGCCGCCGATGCGTATCCACCAGCTGATCCGGCTCTCCATGATGACGAAAGATTTGACGAGCGTGTGCTTGCGCTTGCGTGGTCGGCGATCAGCAGGCCCTCCTTGCGCCCCTGCCGTTCCGCCGACATCGTCTCCTCCACTGTTAGCGGAAGCGGCTCGCTGTTCTCGCCAAACACACGCGCAGGCGCCTGCGTCAATTCCGGGAAGCGACTGGAGAGGATTTCCTGGCCCTCTTCGATGGTCAACGATTTTTGCGGGTTGCAGAAGAAAAGCGGGGTAGGTCAGCGTTCGATCGTAGAGGGGAACGCGAGAAGGCATAGTCACGAGGCGCGCTCACTGTCCTTACTCCCACCTTAACTTGTTTTGGTTTTGGCTTTTTTGTAGGGGACTACCACTTCATACCACAGCCAAATCAGCAGCGAGGGCATCTTGCGAAAACTCTCGTATTGATCGAGGCGATTCTTAGGCTTGATTCGGGGTCCCCCCGTTGCCAGATGCGGCAACAGCTCAAAGCCTGTCAAGTGAGAACCGTCCGAAGTCACTCTACATGAGGGAGTGGACGCTGCACCGGCAGACGCGCACTTCCAGTTTTTATCTGGAGTCTTTCCGTATTGATTTCATCGCACAGCTTCTCTTGTAATCATATTTTGCACAGAGACCTATTCTGCCTCCATGGAAGCCGGCGCTGAACCCGCATCGGGACTGCAACGAGTTCTTAGAGAGCCAATCGCCCATCATGCCTCCTTTGCGCACAGCGTGGCTCACCCTCGATCACATCTTCCTCACGCTCGTCCATGTCCACTATTGTCATCATAACCCTTTTGGGCCACCGTGTGGCTGCCTGAGATCAATTTTCGAGACGAGGGGAGGGGAAGAGAGAGATAACTCGAGCTCGAGAGAGCCGAAGCCGCGTGTGCTTTTCGACCGCAAATATCTCTTGGCAGGTCGACGCGTGGACCAGTCTCGCGGCGGAAGCGCCGCTAATGTCACAAAAGTGTTTAGACAAGCGGAGCAACACTTGATTATCTTAATGTCAACGTTCCTTCTACATTTAGCAGTCTGGGTGCAACTTCTGGCGCTGTGATTTTCGACACAAGGTCTGCATCTCACTGCGTGGATCGTAGACGAGTGGTATGGGGGACCTTCACTCCTTGCGTGATGGCTGCGATCAGGCGCCCCTTAGGCCGGCCTTCAACTGCCATACAGTGCACAATTACAAGGCGTCGGAGGAGAGCCAAAGACGATGCCGCTGTGCACGCGATCACGAGGGACCACACGTTCAGAGCCAATGGCACTCGCTAGGCTCGGGACGGTCTCCCAAGAATCCTAATATGAGCATCTGGCGCTCCGCCGACAAGTCTTTGGGCTTGATCTGTTGCGATGGATGCTCCGGATGAATGTGGAATCTTTAAGCCAGAGACAGTTTATCTCCAGTAGATCAGGTCGAGATGTCCGTGGAAGTTGGAAATCAGGGAAAGGTTGTCTCCAGCAGGTCCTGTAGCTCGAACGAACCAGGAGTGGAGGCTGTGAGCGAGGCACAGTTTGTTGCCTACAGCCTATCTTCGCACAAAGGCGGGTCTAGAAGCGCCACGCCGGGGCTTCCGAAGGAGCTGCTTGCATTCAAGTCCTATCTAATCTAAATCGCTCCACTAGCGTAGTGCCGTCGCCCATATTCAGCACCCCTGCACAAAGATCCAGCCCGGCATATCACATGCCGCATGTGCAGCCGCGTGCCTACTACTACCACAGCAGCGCAAGCGCGCTCGGAAGACCCTACATATAGCACCGCTCGTCCCTGCACTTGGTCAGCTTCGCACTGGCGCACCTCGCTCCCGCGCTCGCCCGCCTCTGCGTCAGCGCTTAACTCTCCGAGCCCACGCCGCGGCTCGACGGGCGCGCCGGCCTGCACAGAGCCAGCGGCAGCAACAGCGGCGGTGCCAGCGCAATTAGTGCGACCAAAGCAACTAGCGCGCCGCTACTCGCCCATCTTAGTCACGTCATCTCCGCTCGCGCCACATGCCGACCTGTTGTCCCTGCCGCCATCACCCGCGCTCGGACACAGCCTGCAGCGTATCAGCCTGCACACGTCCGCCTCGGCGTCGGGGTGCAGCAGCGCGGCGGCGCACAAAGAGCAGCAGCTTCAGCTTTAGCTGGAGCATCGCGCTCGCTGCTTCTGGGCATCAAGGACACTATTTCCAGCAGCTGCATCTGCACGTCAGTTCCGCAATAGAGCGGCTACACGCAGGAGGGACATCGCAGATCATCGCGAAACTCTTCCCCAACCTCCCAGCCTGAAGGTTTCGGAAACCTAGCTGCAGGCAAGCCCTCTCAAGATGATTCCCACGCTCGCGCGCTTCTCGCGGACGACGTACCGCGGCGCCCTCAGCTCTGGGTCGGGCTC